AGCGGAGGGTCGGAGCGCAAGCTGCGGAATCTGGACCAGTCGGTGGAAAACTACTACATCAACGACCTCCGAAACAAGTGCCAGCGGGAGGAGGCGTACAGAGACCGCATGATCGAGGACAGCTACGGGTGGTTTTTCGTCGATAAAGATAAGCTCGAGCTTGCGCAGCAACTAGAACTCAAGAGCTGCAACAGATTACGGGATCTGAACCTAATTTAAGGCTGGACTACACAGCATGCATAATTGTCTGGGTCGGATAGTCTATTGTGTCAATACCCACCCAGAGGACCCCTGTTGCGATGCTCCAATCATATACACGTATATGTCGATGCACAGTAATTCTTTTGGCAGATTGGTTAAGCCATTTTTTTTTTTCACGCACCATTTTCTGCAGCTAGTAGTTCCCCTTCCAAATTATTAGCAATTGTAGGCAAACATACCAAAACGGCGCATCTCCACAGTGGTTTGACGTGTTTGTGTACAATTTGATCAAATTCGCGTTCGGATTCGATGTTTACATACCATGGACTTCCCTAATAATAGACAGCCCACGCCGCAGTATTTGCAACAACAACAACAACACCAGTTGCCTGCACATATAAAAAACCTCACCCCGGATCAACTGCAAAACATATACAAACGGCTCCAGCTGCTGCGATCCCAGCACGGAGAAAATGCCAAGCAGCTGCCCGAATTCGCAGAGCTCGCCTCGGTTCTGACCCAGTACTCCCAGTTCCAGAGACAGCTCAAAGCCCAGAGCCAGATGTCGCAGTTTCAAAACAAACAGGGCTTCTCGCAATTTCCCCAGCAGCCTCCGCAACAGCATCAGGAACAGCATCAGCCCCAACCGCAGCCGCAGCCGCAGTCCCAGCAGGCCAGTCGGTCCGGCTCTTTTGGGCCCTCCAATATTTTCTCTCCTCCCCAGTCGCAACTGCTGAAATACCAGATTGCCGCTTTCAAGAAGTTCATTCAGAACCAGCCAATCGAGCCCGAACTCGCCAATGTCATCAACATTTCGTTCCAGCAGTACAGCAGACAGTTTGGCGATCCCAACGCGTCGATCGTCTCGCAAAACAACTCATTCCTCAAACAGCAGCAGCACAAGCAAAAGCTCCAGAAGGAGCCAGCAAAACAACCGCTGCAGCCCATGCAACCTATGCAGTCCCGCAAGACACCGCAAATGCCTCATCCGCAGCCCATGCTCAACAACCAGCATATGATGATGTCGCAGCAACAACAGCATCAGCAACAGCCCAACCAGACACCCGTTCCTCCGGCTCAGCAATTCCCGGTTCCTCCTCAGCAGACCATGTTGAAGCAGGAGCCTCTAAAGCAGCAGACAGCTAAGATGCTGCCTCCACATCCGCCTTTGCCTCTCGACAAGATGACGGAAAAGTACCCAGACGTCTCTAATATTATACCTATCCATGACCCGCAACTGGTTGTAGATAGTTATTCGCTGCCGGACGTTGCAGAAGTCCTTCCATACGAATACCTGGGCGATGCAAAGTCAAGAGTCATTATTCCCTCCCTTTGCCCAAAACCTTTGGACGTCGTCAAAGCTGCAGAGATCAAGAAATTGGTGGACCAGCTGCGTTTGGAACAAGAGCTGGACCAGTTAAAGAAGCTGAAGGAAGAGGATGTGTCTTACACTTTTGAGTACACCCTGATGTCATTGTTGCCATACCAAAAGGCTGTTCGAGGCCACGTCGTCAGCACGGTGTTCCATCAAAACTCGCTGCTCACAAATCATTTACCTAATTTTTCTGCAAGGGCTCGTTCAATCAACACGCACGACGCATCAGTGGCACACGCTCTGTACAACCAGCAGCGAACAGTCACGGCTCTTTCGCAAAAAACTAAAATACAGGAGAGACAGGCAAACATACTCAGTGTTTCCGACGATTTCAAGAAGTACCTTTCCACAAGAAAGGACCGCCTTTCGAGAATTGCCAGAGGAGTTAATAGTTTTCACGCACAGACAGAGAAAGAGGAACAGCGCCGCATTGAAAGAAATGCCAAACAGAGATTGCAAGCTCTTAAGGCAAACGATGAAGAGGCGTATATCAAGCTTCTTGATCAAACTAAGGATACTAGAATCACCCACATTCTAAAGCAAACCACCGGATTTTTGCGTACATTGATTCAGTCAGTGAAAGTTCAACAAAGAGATACCCAGGAACACATGGTTCACGCGCATCACATTGATCCGCAATATACTACTGCTGAGGAGGAAGACGACGACGAGAAAGAGAACGCAGATTATTATTCCGTTGCGCACAGAATTCAAGAAAATATTGAAAGGCAGCCGTCAATTCTCGTGGGCGGAACTTTGAAGGAATATCAACTCAGGGGACTAGAATGGATGGTTTCTTTGTTCAATAACCATCTGAATGGTATTCTGGCCGACGAGATGGGATTGGGAAAAACAATCCAGACCATTTCTCTCTTGACTTATATCATGGAAGTCAAGAAGATTCCAGGTCCATTCCTCGTTATCGTGCCTTTGTCAACATTGCCTAATTGGAATCTAGAATTTGACAAATGGGCCCCAAGTTTAAAGAAGATCAGTTACAAAGGATCACCACAAATGCGTAAGGAGCTTGCATATGATGTCAGGGCAGGCAACTTTAATGTTCTCTTGACCACCTACGAGTATGTGATCAAGGACAAGTACCTCCTGTCCAAGATAAAATGGGTGCACATGATAATTGATGAAGGTCACCGTATGAAGAATACCAAATCGAAATTGTCGTCTACGCTAACGGAATTTTATCATTCAGACTACCGGCTTATTTTGACAGGTACGCCTCTTCAAAACAACCTTCCTGAGTTGTGGGCTTTACTCAACTTTGTGCTCCCTAAAATCTTCAATTCCGACAAGTCATTTGACGACTGGTTCAACACACCATTTGCCAACACCGGTAGTCAAGATAAATTAGAGCTATCCGAAGAAGAGACTCTTCTTGTTATCAGAAGATTGCATAAAGTTTTGAGACCATTCTTGCTGCGAAGATTGAAAAAAGACGTCGAAAAGAGTTTGCCTAATAAAATAGAGAGGGTCATCAAGTGCCGCAAATCTGGCTTGCAAACTAAACTGTATCATCAAATGTTGAAGTATAATCAGTTATTCATCGGTGACTCGGACAGCAAGGCCCCAGTCGGTATTAAAGGTATGAACAACAAGCTCATGCAATTGAGAAAGATCTGCAATCATCCGTATGTTTTCCCCGCGATTGAAGACATGATCAATCCCTCACATGAAAATAACGATACCATCTGGAGAGTAAGCGGAAAGTTCGAGCTTTTGGATAGAATTTTGCCCAAATTCCGTGCCAGTGGTCACAGAGTTTTGATGTTCTTCCAGATGACCCAGATTATGGATATCATGGAGGACTTCCTTAGATTCAGAGGAATGCATTACATGAGATTGGACGGAGACACTCGAGCCGATGACCGTACTGCACTGCTGAAGGATTTCAATTCCGAGGATTCACCGTACTTTGTTTTCCTTCTTTCGACTAGAGCAGGCGGTTTAGGACTGAACTTGCAAACTGCCGACACGGTGATTATCTTTGACACTGACTGGAATCCACATCAGGACCTTCAGGCCCAAGACAGAGCGCACCGTATTGGTCAAAAGAATGAGGTTCGGATTTTGAGACTAATCACCAGTGACTCGATCGAGGAATACATTTTAGAAAGAGCGCACCAAAAGCTTGACATTGACGGTAAAGTTATTCAGGCTGGTAAATTTGACCAGAAATCCACATCCGAAGAACAGGAAGCACTTTTGAGGCAGCTTCTTGAGGCTGAAGAGAATGAAAGGGATGAGGATGAGGTTTTGGAAGATAAGGAGCTAAATGAAATTCTTGCGAGAAACGAGGATGAACTGCAGCTTTTCAATAAAATTGATGAAGAGCGTAGCGACAATTCATTGGGCTACCCAAGGTTGATATCCGAATCAGAATTGCCTGAAATTTATAATCAGGAGCCAGAAATCACTGATGAGGTTGAGGAAATGCTTCATTACGGACGTGGAACCAGAGAACGTAAGGTTACTCATTACGATGAGAATATCACCGAAGAGCAGTGGTTGAAAGAAATCGAGGGCTATGCTTCCGATGACGACGACGAGTCAAGGCCAAAGAAGAGCCGGAAGAGAGGCCGTAAGCCTAAGACAGACGCAGAAACTTTGGAGAGCTCTGTGGATCCAAACGGCGATTTGGCCGATTTCATTGATGACGACGAGGAGGGCTTGTCAAAGAAAAAGCCGAAGACCGCCAAACGCAAACAAAAGAGTGGATCTGCCCGGACCACTGTGTCTCCTCCTGAGCTGGGAGATTCTGCACCACAAACGCCGTCAGGAGGTGGAGTGGCAGGGAAGAAAAAGAGGTCTCGAGGTATACCCATCTCGGCTCCAATATGTCGTAAAGAGAATGCCATGCCTCCAGAAATGACCATGGAAGAGCGCCACACGCTACAGCTACAATTGAATGAAATTCTTGACCATTTATTGACTATGTCCATTGATGGCCGGAAACTCTCGACAATATTTCTCACTAAACCTGTCAAGCGTGTCTATCCTGACTACTATGTGATTATCAAGAACCCCATAGCTTTCGACGGAATCAAGCGCAGGGTTCAGGGAGAAGTGTACTGGAGTCTGGAGGAATTTATCTATGACCTTCATCTAATGTTTGCGAACGCAAGAATATACAATCAAGAGGGCTCCATGGTTTACAACGATTCCCGACTCATGGAGGATGAAGCTCTACAGATGTACAGAAATATGAAGGATGGAGCCGAAATTGATTTCGATGAATTTGACAAGCGCTTTGGTTTGAAGCGCAATCCGCCATCAGTCGTTGCAGGCCAACAGATAAACGGATCCGTACAGATACCAGGCGGGGTCCAATAATTCATATATAATTATTTACGTGTATTTTAATCAAATAGGGATGTTACAACTACAAGAGTCGCCTAATATTTGTCCATTTCTAAGTACTATTATCTCCGCCATCATCCTCCTTTTCTTGAGTACGTTCGAAACTCTCAGACGCTGCGGTAGAAATTCTCGTCGTTGAACGCTCTGCATCGCGATTCTCGACCAACAATTCGTCAACTTCCTTTGACTCTGGCACATCAGGTTGAGCAGCAGCCTCTTTTTTGAAACTCGAGTTCGAGTGTTTGGAAGTGGTTTGTTCTTCATCTTTCTGGCTTGAGTCACTAGAGTCTGCATCGTAAGACTCCTCGCTATCAGATCCAGAATCGTTTCCATCTTGTTCAGACTCAACAGCCTTGGAACAGGTTACGACCTCTTCAACAAAAACTCCTTGAGGATTAGATGAAACCCTGACGATCTCCGTGCCTGTGGTATTCTCAGGTTTATCCAGTTTTTTGGCCTCCTCGGTGCCGTCGTTGTAAAGCATAGCACGACGGCTACGCGAGGATTTCAAACTCCTGTTATCATCCTGCTTGGGGCTTCCCGGTTGGTGTTGTAGAGCTGTTGTAAATGGATCTCGATCATTGATCGTAGCAGCTCCCAGAGAGCGGAGTGAGCGCGCAGAACGTATAGAGCGGATCGAACGTCCCGGTTTCGCATTGAATTCGGAGCCCAAAATATTTGCACTGGACTCGCCGTGCAAATTCTCAGTATAAAGGTGAGGACCTAAAAGCTTGTCCAAGTCCTGCTTATCCAATTCTCCAGCGCTAGAGTCTTTTTGACTTTCCGTGGCGCTCAAAGTCAAGGTGAAACGTCTCTTGATACTTCCGAAGCTCAATGGTCTGATTCCAAACCCACCAAGACTGTGCCGACGCCCACCTTGAGCCTCCAATTCTTTGGAGGTGTCAGATGAAGGATACTTGTTCTCGAGGTACACTTTCCAGATCCAGTTTTTGGTTTGGAACGCAAGAAAGACAAGCCAAAATAGCTGAATAAATCCCATAAGCGTGCTCAGGACACCAAGTTCGTTGGATTCTTTGCCAACCAGAATCAGATTAAGGACAATGTTGACAGACATCAGCATAAAGCAGCTGACAAAGCAAATGATCGCTAACACGAACAGGGCCTGGTTAACCCTGGGAATGGAGAAGACTCGATGATACTTGAGCGAATATGGCACCACAACAGAGAGCGCTTCAATGAAGAATATTAGCGAAATCAGAAACACCCCGAAATTGATGTATTTGAGGACAAAGGAGTAGTCCAAAAGGGAGTCCAAGCTGTAATCGGTCCTGTCATAACCGCTTGACTCATAAATGGGATAGACAATTTTGTGGAGAAACTCGTTAGTATCCTGGTGGTGCTCATGGAGACGAAAGGAAAAAGGCATAGCGGGACGGCGCAAGGCTCTAAGAGGCGTCAGCTTGCGCCCGAACACACGTTTGAACTCTAATATTGGAATGGTGCTCTTTTTGAAATCAAAGCTCTTATTTTTGAAGTAGTACTTCATCGGATGGAATTTGATCCTGACCTCGGCTTCATCCAGAATAAAAAGCGGATTCAGTATCAGTGCATACTCATCATAGCTTTTGAGATAAGAGTTCTTCTGCATTTCAAATATCTTGCTTAGCGAGTTGTACAGCTCAATATTCTCCTTTCTGACCTCTTCGTAGTTCTCTTTGAAGTACAGCTTTCCTGAGTCAATAAACTTGTCTCCATTGTTAAGCACTCGCACAAGGTTGACTGCCGGAAGCTGGCACATAAATGTCGTTTGCTGGAAGATGCTGACAAAATTGAAGATCACAAACACAGCTAAACAGCTGAGAAACCATTTGGTTGAAAACTGGATTCGTTCTGGCGTCTTCTCCCTTTTGGGAAGCACGTGAACTGCACTGAAGGCTCCTGAGAGCTTACTCCAGCCCGTGGATAGCATTTGTATAGGTTTAGTTCAAGACGCTCAAACACAAGTTGTTTAAAAACGCCTAAGGGAGTTGCATCCTTCTTTTTTTATTCGCTACCGCCCATTTCGCTGGTGGTGGCAGGAGTACCCGATGAATTTGCTTACGTCAAAATTGTCCTGATATTTATCATCGATATTGAATCACAGTGGTATGGTGACACACACTGTTTACCACCAAAATATCAGCGACAGCGTACGGGTGGAGCTCGTGTACGAGAATTCCCCCGTAATTGCAGGAACTGATGAGCTTTCGCTGGTCCTGCGGTTTCGGTACATCGGGCCGTTGAACAATAACGCTGTCGCGAAGAGCCCGAAACAACCAGAGCATGACCCCCCTGCGCAAAACGACGGCTGGTTTGGTAGCCGTCTTTCTTCTCAATTTTCCAATGCCACACGGGCACTATTTTTACAGCAATTGGATACCATGCCAGAGGAGGAGAACGATGTTTTGCAAGATATTTCTATTTATTTGGGCTATGTGCAACTTTTCGGCTACTACTCGATAAACGACCGGATTGTCGATGCGTCAATATTTGAAGAGCTCCAGAAATCGGCTACATTCGAGGGCCGCCTTGCCGGGATTAATGGACTTGAAATCACCTTTGATCAGCACAGAAAGGGTCTGTTGACCGGCCTGACCACATTATTTCAGTCAGACATGAACGACGAGCATACCCATATCATACCGCATTACTCGACGACACAGTCCATTTTGTTTAGCGATCTGACGTTCAAGCCCACCCAACTGAATAACAACTCAACCTCTAACAAACTAACGCGAAGCTTTTACGTGAATATGAAGCTGCCCATGGATCTCGCTCCATCGTTCCGGTCGGAAGCTGTCCAGATCCACTACAACGTCATTCTGGGCTACCAGCTGAAGGAGAAAAACGGGACGTTCTCCAATAAAACCATGTTTTTTCCGCTCAAAATACAGCCATACATCGACAGGTTCGGAAGACAGCCGCTGTTTCATCTGGAAAGACCGCGGATGAACCAGCAGCCGAGTGTTCTGAAAAATGTTGACCTGAACACTTCAGGATCCTCTGAAACGCCCGCACAGCCCAGACACGTGCGGAAGTACTCAGAGCCGGACATAAATGGAAAAATCATTCGGAGATCGTCCAATGCGTCGCTTCCGAACAACTTATCGAAGAAACCCTCGACGATAAATATGGAGCTTCTTCGGCGTAGTCTGGGCACTACAGACTCAACGAGAAGATCGTCGTCAGAAGACCTACCAGCAACCTTTGATCTCAGTAAAGACCTTGAGACCAAGCAGTTTCTTGCGCTCTTGAACGAGCTGAATGACAGCGACGTGATGGATGCGATCAAATTGCAGGAAAAGTTTGAAAAACAGTATCATCACGGACACGATGCGGAGTCGAATCCTCGCCAAAACCTGTTCAACATTATCCAGGACTACCACAGCGTTCAGAAACAGGAGTTCTACTCTGCTGACGACGTAGCCGACATGGAGGGCCAGATTCCTGTCCATCAGCAAACAAAGTACATTGTCAAGCAGGACCATTTGCAGCTTGCAAACCTGAGTCTGAGCAAGAACATTGTGAGAGTTGGAGATCACATCACCATTAGCATGTCATTTGTGGATGCCCAGCTTGAGACCAAAGGCGTTGAAGTGCGATTGATAAAGGACCAGGTCATCTACAGAGACGAGTACCTGAAGCGCTACGAGTACAATGAAGTATATAAAGGCATCAAACACGGGAACAGCATGGAGACCACCGTTTTCCACAAGCCGGTGAGCACGTTCGACACCGAGCAACTCAACGTGAATGTCCAAGTGCCTGCGACTGTGGAGCCGCAGTTCAAGACGAATTTCTTCCAGCTGAAATATTTATTGCAGATAAAGTTTGTTCTGGTAGATGCTTACCAGCTTACACGGTCGCCAGAGGAGAGCACGCAAAAAGGACGACAAGTGTTTGATCTGGCTTCGATCTTCACCGATAACAAGGGCTCTGTGCTGTACAAGGCGGTAGAAGGCATTAGCAACGGGCTGGAGTTCACGGTGCGCCTGCCGATTGTTGTGCTTCCAAGCTACGAAAACGATATAGCACCCTGAAATATTTTATTTCACTGCCAACTCTGCGTGCGGTTTGGTTGTACGCGTAAAAAAAAACCTGTCAGCTTGAAAAAAAAATTGTACGTTTGTAAAGGTGAGGAACGGCAGGAGATAAATAAAGTACTGCGCTCGTTAGCTAGCAACTCGAAAATCGCGTCCCCCGGTTTTGCAGAATCACATACCCGCCAGTAACTGTCCTGCGTTTTTCAACCGAACAGCCATGAGTGCTAACGACAACGACACGGGGAGAACAAGCCCCACGGTCATCGTGGCTCCCACCACCAGCGGCAGAGATAAAGCCGACCGTTTGGGGAAGAAGTTTGCCGACGCGAAGCGAAACAATCGATCACGGTTTGCGCCTTCGAGAAGTGCAGAATCGCCATACAACGTACTGACATCTCCTTCCAAAAATGATCCTGTTAAGCTGAGCAGATTGTATTCAATTATGAACTCCAAACGGAGCACAAACAACAAAACAAAGCGGCTACGCGAGGAGCCCGCACTACGGCGCTCGGCCTCTGATCTTGCGCAGGCGCAGACTAGTACTACACAAAACGCGTTGGTTTCTCAGTCACAGCCAGCCGTCGCGACTCCGATCATTATCAGTGACACTCCGAAAACTGACCCTGTTGCCAGCGAACAATCGAAACCATCTCCGAACAAATCGACGGCGTCTGAACCTCAATCGCAGAGCAAGACTCCTCAGGCAACACGCAATGGAAATTCCCAGTCCACGCCGACAAACGGCTCCCATCCGTCTCCATCTCAATCTGGCTCTAGCAAGACCCCCTTGACGCCCAGGCAGCTCCACCTACGCATTAGTAAACATGCGTTCGAAAAGAGTGCAGCTCAAATAGGCGACACTATCTCCACGTTCCAAGCCGTGGTGAGAAATCCAGCGCGTCCCTCCAACACAGACCAGCGGCCTCCGGCACCAAAATCACCCACGAAGCCCGCGTCGCCTGCTCCGCAAACTCCAAACCGACAGGCTGGTTCCCGGGACGCGGCCGGAAACCAGTCTGGATCAGATCGGAGGGTTTTGTTTTCTGGCAACGTTGATAAGTCACCGATTGCGTCGTCTCCAATTAAAGAGCCTTACGAGCCGCGGTCGATTTTGAAAGTGAGTCCGCCTAAGGCGGCTTTGCCCGAACCTGTTGGAGGTGACATAGCTCAAGAGTGGCCGGCCGGTTTCTTGGTGCAGAGGGAGCCAAACGACGCAACCTCGGTTGAGCTGATCAGAAAATGCTACCGGCTTCTGCAGAGAGAAGACAATCCGAGAAGATTTGAAATCCTTGCTACGCTTCACAACACGCTCAAGATCAACAGCGTGGAGTTCAATACTCGCGAGTTGAATCACACCGACGTGTCGAGCATCGCCAAGGTCGCCTCTGCGGAAATTGCAAAGGCGTACGTATCACCACATATGGACTTCAATGCAGTGGAGTCGAGAACCACCATATTAGGAGTGAAGCTGATTACCACGGTCATGTCAATGTTTGAGGTGTCGCAGACCGCAGAGATAGTCGAGATGTTGTGCGCGCTGGTGTTGAGACCGCGCATATCGAAAGCCATGGCTTCCGCGTTTGTGCAGTTCTGCAAAGAGCAGTCCTGTATTCTTCCTGGGGGCTCGAGTGAAATGGCTATCAATGCGCTCATCACCATGCAATTTTATCCTAGCGGAACGATTTTTCACGAGAAGGTACTTGCTTTGAAGAAGATAGGTTCGAAGGCTCCAGCTAGCATGCTCAAGACGTGCAACAAGTGGTTTCCATTTATCCTGGCTACCATCATGAGTGTTGATCTGGGCTCACACCAAAGAGTTCTCCAGGCTGTGGTTGCACTTCTGAACGAGTGGGCTCCCAACTGCAATCCTAGCATTCGAGAGGACGTATTGGCTCTAATGAGCGAAAGTGCCGACGTTTTCGTGAAATCGCACGCCGTGGAGGCGAGTTCAAACTTGCTAGAAGATGGTTTATCTGTTTGCGGTCTTTTAGTCAGGACACTCAACATTACCCTTCGACGGGGTTCATACGTTGAGGCAATGAAGATTTGGGCCTTGATCACCTACTCGATTTCTGCGTTCACCTGGAATAAGGGGATCGAGGATTGGCCCCATCTAGAAGCTTGGATCTCGGTATTTACCGAATGCTTCAATAGAGACGGCTTTCCTCCCAAGATTGCCGCCTTGGAGGCATGGAAGGGAATCATTTTCGCGTATCAGAGCTCCATGGTGTACCGGGCATCTCTGTCTCCAAAGACAGACAGCGAAGAGGAGCTGATCGACCTCAAGTTTCATGTACTGGCTCACCCATTTTTTGGTTTAGCAGTAGAGCTCAGTGACACTTTGTTTGTCGAATACAAGAAGCTCTTTGTGCGGATCTACCATAGTCTATACAAGTTCCTCACCAGGAACCCACAGGATGAAGGAGGCGCTGTGAACGGTGCTATTAAATGGATCTGTACGATAATGGGTCAGTTTTTCCTGGCAGAATCGAGAAGTGTTGAGCAGTTGGAATTTGGAATCAATTTCTTGGAGCAGATGCTTACCTCAAACCACTCAAAACCAGATTCAGCACAACTAAAACTACAGAAAGATTGTTTTGTTGATGACATCGCAGTGGATTCTCTCTCGGTACTACCAATCAACACACTCTGGGTGTCTTCCTCGCCAGACCAATTTGTCAACGTTCTGAAGATTGCATGCAAATGCAACATCCCTGTAACCAGGAAGCTCAAATTAATCACGTTGTTCGTCCGCGGATTGAGAACGGGGCTTTCGCCAAGCTCCGTTAGTTTCACGCGATGGATGGAGCCGGTAATCGCAATGCTACTTGATACATTTTTCGAAACCGAGCAAGATTGTCCCGAACCAGGCGATATGAAAGAAATCGAGGGTATTCTAGCTGACTTCTTTAAGGCCATAGATATTCTCAACAGTCTGTACCTACAGGGAGAACACCAATCTATTTTCATCGTTGTTTCTCAATGGCTACGGAAACTAGACGAAAAGGACTCTCAACATGGGTCCAACGTGGTAGCCGGCTATTTGAACAAAATTTTCTCCCTGGATGTGAACCGATATGTGCAAGCATGTGACCAGTTGCTGAACCATTGCCAAGGTTTTGAAAAGCTGGTCACAGATTCGCTAGTTGCGCATGTGTGTTCGGCTTATTTCACTGCGTCACCACTTGTGTGGACGTCTATTTTCAAAAAATTGGGCGAAGCTCACTACGTTGACATCCTGTCTCGGCTTGTCTTGTACGAGATTGGTCACGACAGCACCATAGACGCACAGAAACACGATGAGTTCTGGCAGGCTACCAATGTTAAAACGGTATCCGAAGAGCAACTATATGTCTTGTACGGCATCCTGATATCGCGCCCGGGCACAGAGCTTCTCCGGTACCGAGTGAGCAATTGTATTCTCAACGAGAAGCCTACATTATATCTTCCTATTGTGAACCGAGTACTTAATCGTCTTATAAGTGAAGGTCAGTGTTCTAAAAAGGAACTCGAGCTATTCCTCCAGAAAAAAGCTAACTTGACTCATCACAGTGCTGCAGCTGGCAATATTCTGCTGAAAGAGATGTTCAGATTGGTGTCTCGACTGCAAGAGTTAATCGAAGGGGTCCCACAAGCCCAAAGCTCGTCGGAACCCTCGAACGCGAAAAGTGAAGCTGAAAAAGTTCAGAACGTAGCAGCGAAGGAGACTCCTAAACAGCCCGTCCAGCAGACACCTGAGCCAGAACAGAACAGACCGCAGGAAACCGCAGGACAGGAAGCTCAACTGAAACAGTCTGAATCGAAGCAATCCGAACAAGAACAGCCTGAGCAACAGAAATCCAAAACACAGGAGCCTGGACGACAAGACTTCTTGACTGCAGGCACAAGCGCAGAACTCACTACGTTTGTCATACGCTCGGACGATGAGGCAGAAGTACAGCCTACCGATAAGTCGGGCACGACACCTGAGCAACCAGTTGCTACTTCCTCACCTCAGAAATTGACCGAGCAGCCTGCTTCCGAGTCTGTCGTTTCTAAAAGTCCTCAAACTAACACGAGAGCACAAGACCAACCTACGGCACAACCTCACACTGTTTCGCCTGTCTTAGCACCGTCCAATTCGTCGCCAGCCAAACCTCCGTCACGCGTTGCTGTTCAGCCAGTTGTGGAAGCACCTATGACGGCACCTCCAGAGCCGTCGGCTAGCAGAACAGAGCTGCCGTTGGCTCAAGATGATGGAGTCGGCCAGCACCAGCCAGCAAGCGATCCGCCACCCCAGAGGCCCCCTCCAGCAGTCGAGCTGTCCACACCGAGGCAACAAACACCTGCTGGCCAGTGGCAGATGCCTCCTGTTAGAGATTCTGCTGAGAGAAGTTTCCTTGGACAGGACACAAGCCAGTTTTTGCCACCATATCCGCCAATGCCATACTACGGCTATCCCTACTACCCAATGATGCCACCTGCTACAGGGACTGCCGAGATGCCTCCACATATGCACCACATGCCAATGTATTATCCTATGCCTTATGCTTGGCCTGCACCGTTTCCTGGCCCAGAAAGAGCTCTAGATTCCAAAGACCCAGAGAACTGGGTCAAGCTTGAAGAGCTGGTGACGAAGCTTGCCCGCGAGAATTTTGACGGGTTGGATGGACTGGAGATAACGAAAAAACGGAAACTTGAGGATGACTTATTTACGCTACTAACGTGTTTGAAGAGGAGACGCTAGTTGGAGGAGAAACGCACGTGTGCGGCCAGCAGCTCGACCCCGATTTTCACCGAGTCCACAAACTCAATATCTGGGAAGTCCTGTTTGAATTTGTGGTCCAAACTGCTAAGACCGGCGCAACCCAACAGGACAATCTTTGCGTTTTGGGCAATCAGCACCCCGATTTTTTTCTTAATTTTGGCATAATTTTCCGGATCCGTCAGCTTGAGCACGTCCACATCGGCCGCCAGCGTCGGGGTCATGAACTTGGGTATCTTTTTGGAATCGAAAAAATCCAGCAGCGAGTCGTCTAATATTTGCTCCCAGCTTTTATTTGACGTCAAAATGCCGACTTTTGTCGCTTCTGTAGCGTAATTCAGCGAGTAGAGCAGCGAAGCCTGGAAAATGCCCATCACTGGAACACTGACCAGTTTTCTTAGACCACCGACTAATGGGTGGTCCGAGTAGCAGCAAACGAGGTATCCGTCGTATTTGAGATACGCAGGGTCTGATTTCAGCTGCTCGAGACAGGCCTTAGCAGACACTTTACCGTCATGCGAGTTGTTGATGGAGGACGGTGCAGAGGGAGGTCCAGTGAAGAAGTCAAACTCGAACTCTGGAATTGGCCGCACAACGGTTTTCAGGTTGTCGGTGATCGACTGCGACGAATTGGGGTTGATGATTAAAAGCTTCATATAAAATAATTTCAAGATATTCTTCTATGTACAATTATTTTTGCGCTCTATATGTTTATCAGTGCTGATATTTTGCGGTGCATCTCGCGGGAGACGTAGTGTTTGTGTGTTTTGTATTCGTCGAAATAGCGTCGGAGCAGGTCCACGCGCCCCGTTTTTATGAGAATGTCGAACATCAGATGGTACGTTTTGGCACTGGGCTGTATGTCGAAGCTGTTGAGGAGCGACGTGAGCAGGTCTACGTTGACCATCTCGCTAGCGGTGGAAATTTTCAACATGTAGTAGAGAGACTCTTCGTTGAGCTCGCATCGTCTTTTGCGAACCATGGAATTCACCAGCTGCACTGCGAGCCGGAAGTCGTTGCTCGACTCGCTAATGGTTTTCAGCATAATATTTAACGGTAGCACGCTGAACGGCTTGGACGATATCGCCTTGCGCATCCTGTACTTGTGCGTCTTGCGGTTAGGCTTTCCCACACTCGACGTGTGCTGAGCGTAGTCGCCCTTGAGCTCTTCAAACTCAATCTCGGGGTCACTTTTCTGCCTCATCATACGGTACAGCTGGTGGTCGGGATGCAGTGCTGGCGAGTATCGGTCGCGGTACTCTTTCAGATGGTATCCGTGCATTTGCTCAATGAGAACAATTGCCTGATGCAGATTCAGGCGACTGCCAATGGCGTGGGCTAAATCGTGTGTCAATGTCGGGAAGTCTGTAGCGCGACACTCGCTTTCCAAAAATCCCAAGTTGAAAAAAATACCACTCTCGATGACACGCTCTCCGCCAAGCTTGGCGACGTATCCTTTGAACCTGAGCAGCCCCATCTGGTGTCTGAACTGTGTGGCGCCATTTTCGTCGGTCAACATGAGTCTTTTGGCCTGGTAGTCGACGGTTTTCGCAAACGTAGCAAAATCAAGTCTCTCGATGCTCAGCCGCGCAAGACGCCCTGCAAGCTCATCAGAAAGGTTCATGAGCGGACGGTCGAACAGAAAAACGAACCCAACCACAAACCTCGACACCAGATCAACCCGGCCTTCGTCCAGCGAGCTTTTCACCAGCAGCTCCAAGATCTGCTGGTTAAGTATTTGCGGGTACCGTTTGGTGTAGAGCAGGTCTATCAATCGATAAGCCATCTCAAACTGCTTGTTGACTATCAAATGGTAGGCAAGCAACTCGCACGGGAACCTGTCCACCACAAGCGTGCTTTTTTCTATATTATTCAAAGCAAGATCGTATTCTCCCTTCAGTGTATACGACTGAATGAGCATGCTGGTGAGCTCTTTCGACTGGCCGCCGTCCAGCAGACAGCTCTGCACGTCTTTATCGCCAAAAAAGGGCAGCCACAGGCTAAAAAGCGAGTTAATAAGCGGCTGAGACAGCACAGACTGGCCGTTCCTGAGGTTTCGCAGAAGCACCAGCAGCGTCTTGCGTTTGAGGTCTCTGGTGAGAGTCGGGTTCTGCAAGCTGGCAATCAGCGACTCCGCATACGACTGGCTGGTATGCGGCAGGTTGGAAACAGTTCTTCGCCAAGCGGCAGGCACCGCTTTGCGAAGGACGGGGAACATGGAAATATAGTACGAAAAATATTTCCAATTTTTTTCACCATGATTTCTGTCTTTCGCCAATCAGCAAGACCGTTGGTGAACGTTCGCGCGCGAACCGTTGTTGGACGGCACGCAGCGCTAGCTGCCACGGGCGTGCGTTTTAACAGCACAGAGACGCCCGAGCCGAAATTCGACACCTCGCTAGGTTTCGACGCAGAGACGGTGTCGAACGTGTCGAACACGCTGACCTCTGATCAGTGGGGGTACATGAAAAGTGTCGGGCTCAGCGACGGCTGGTGGCCCTCTGACCTCATACAGACCACTCTCGAGGCCGTGCATGTGACCACGGGCCTGCCGTGGTGGGCCACCATCGCCGCTACAACGCTGGGCATCAGGTTCGCTTTGCTACCGCTTTTCATGGCCTCGTCAGACGCCATGGCCCGCTCGCAGGCTGCTGCTCCCGAGACGAAGGTGCTGCGGAAAGAGCTGAACACCGCGATGGCCAGAGGAGACCGCATGACGCAGCAGCTGAAGATGCAGGAGATTAAAAAGCTGAATAAAAAGTACGGTGTCAAGTACTCGAGAATGTTTCTTTCCCCAGGAATCCAGCTCACGTACGGTATTGGGTCGTTTTTCGGTATAAGAGAAATGGCCAACCTGCCCGTGCAAGGCTTTGAAAGCCAGGGTCTGTCCTGGTTCAACGACCTGACTGCTCCAGACCCGTACATTGGGTTGCAGCTGATTTCTGCGTGTCTGTATGCTGCGTCGTTCAGATTCGGAGGCGAGACGGCCATCAGCCAGTTCAGCTCTAAAACCCAGAAGGCCTTCATGGCGCTGCCGTTCCTGTCCATTGTCTTCACCTGGAACATGTCTGCGGCCGTGCTGGTGTATTTCACGGCCAACGGTCTGTTTTCGATCATACAGGCCCGTCTGCTCAGGTCCGCCAAATTCAGGAAAATGTGCGGCATGTATCCGATGCAGAAACCAGCCAAGGACGGCAAGGGCCTGATGGAGAACTTTTCGGAGACTTGGAAGGAGATGCAGGAAAACTCAGAGGTGAGAGAAAAGGCCGACGAGAAGGCCAGAACCGCTGCGCTACGCCAGATGGTGAAAGCCAAGTCGCAGAGAGCTATCATTGAGAAACGTGATAAATAAATAGTATATAGGCTTGTAAATGGACGTCATAGACCGTGTCACGAACCGCCCTTGAGAACCTCTGAGATCTCCGGCTCGCTCAGACTCGTCAGCTCCTTGCGGATCTCTCTGCCGTTCGCCACACGCATCACCACCGCAGGCGACACGTTCGAGCACTCTCTGATCAGTATGGGAATGTCTGGATTGGCATTTTTGATCGTCCTGTACTGTTTGACAAGAAACGAGCTGACTGTTAGACCTAAAGACCACAACTTACCGCAAGGGACGACTCGTCTCGCCCGTTTGCGACAGAATAAACCGCAGCTCTTTGACTCCCTTGGATAAAGACATGCCGAACTTTAATCTGCTACTCCACTTTTTCGCAGATATGGCTGCTGACGTAAGCCACTTTCCCACGGTTGCAGTTCCACTTGCACCGGGTTTGCGAGCCCCAGGGCGGCCACTATTTGCTGGTCGTTGGCGAGGTGTTCTGTGTCGTGTCCGAGCTGGGTATACAGCTGGAAGTCGAGCACACTGAGCCCGAGTTTGCGCGAGATCTTTCCACGCAGCTTTCCTACCGTTGCAGAGGAGAACAGCGTAGCAGAGAAGCGACAAGTATCATACACCACCTCGACACACGTGGACGTTGGGTGCTGGTGGGCGGGTGTGGTTTCCTGTGTCGATACGCCGTGTTTTGCGCACAAAGTCGTCCACAATGGCTGCGGACAGCTCCACTCCTTGGACCTGACCTTGCTGATGAAGTAGAGTTCGAAGTTGTCGCGGTGTTCGGCGGTGTACACTGTTCCGTCGAGTTTCACGAGAGACGGAATCCTTGCAAATAGCTGGCACATCGCGGAGTCGTAGTCGGTAGATTTGAGCAAGGGAGTGTTTAGTATCCTGAGAGAGGTGAGATTGGGTAGCTGTGCCAGGTTGTCAATTTCTGACCACTCAGAAACGGCTGTGTTGCAGAGGTCCAGCTCCTCGACTATTTGGAGGGAGGTTTCGGTGAGAGAAGGGATGTGCAGGTCGTTGTACGAGAGGTTGAGTCGTTTGGCTGGCGGCGCGTCGGATAGAAGTGTGAGGCTGTTATCTGACAAATCGAGCGATTCCAGACCGCACACTTCTATGTATTTTAGGCCATTAGAGGCGACGTGAAGATGTTGCAGTTTCGGGAAGCAAGAAAGCAGTTGGGCGGTGTATTGAGAGTTTCCCAGGTCGCAGGCAGCAAGATGCAATGTACGGACCGACAAACACGGCGTGCATGGCTCATATCGCGTCCAGCGGTTGCCGTTCGCCTTGAGAGTGTGCAAATTCGGGAGCTGGAGCACGATTTGCATCAGATTGTGCCAGTCCAGTAGATTAAAGCCTAGATCGAGCACCTGCAAGTTGTGGAGCGAAGAGTCGATTGGCGACGAAACCGCCACGTTCAGCCGCTCTAGAGTGGCCGTCTCGAGGTTCCGGAAGTCTGCCTGTAGTCGACTCAGCTTCTCGAAGCCGTAGCTCTCGACCTTTTTTGTGCCGATGGTGAGGTCGAAATGGTCGACGAGCGACGCAGACTCGTTGGCAAGCGACTCGTCGCTCGCGTACTGGTACACCATCGCGTCCATAAACGAGCGCGTCGGCTGCAGCTTCGACGGCTTGACAAAACTGCCCGACTTCGCTCCGTGCAGCGTGGTGAAGTACCTCGTCCCGTTGAGCGAGCCGTCGTTCTTGCCGCGCTCGGGAACGTCCCACTGGATGCCGATGGCCGTCTCGTTGGGCCAGTTCGGAATCTCGCCGACAAAGCGCACGGTGGCCAAAAACCCGTCTACGGCCACACGGTCTCCAGGAACAAGCATGAAATAATAAAAACCTTTGCACACTTTTTTCATATCAAATAATAGCATGAACAAGGTGCGCAAGATCCAGCAGCTGAACGAGCGCGAGCTGGAGCTAGGCACGCCCATCAAGGCGTCGTGGCACTACGAGTATGCCGACACGTCGTACATCTTCATCGGGAACCTGCCGCCGGAGATGAACGAGATGGACCTGCTGATTGTGTTTTCGCAGTACGGAGTGCCTACGCATCTCAAGCTGATGCGAGACAAGCGCACGGGCCAGTCGCGCCGGTTTGCTTTTTTGAAGTACGAGCAGTTCGAGTCGACCATTCTCGCCGTCGACAACCTCAACGGGTACTCCTTTGGCGACGAGTACGTCCTTCGTGTCGACCATGTGAGATACAAGCCGTACCAGTACGATAAGGAGTTCGACGCCAACAAGGAGTGGGACGAGGCTCTGGCCAGGGAGATGGAAAAAGACTTCGGGGAGGAGAAGGAGGAGGAATCGAAACTGATAGAGAACGAACTGGAGGAAGAGGACCCCATGGCCCAGTACCTCAAAAATAAAAAAGCCAGGACGAAGTAACGAGTGATGATCTAAACGAATTTACATATACTGTACACTTACACTGTCTGCATGCGTGACCGTTGGAGCAAGAGGAACGGCAGGCGACGTGGCGGTGGGCAAAGAGAACGTGGAGGTGTGGTCTGGCTGCTGCTCGGGAGCCTCTGCTGAGGCCTCGTCGCGCGAGGTGACGACAGGCGGCGAGAAGAACGAGTCGGAGGTTTTGTTGGCGTCGTCGTCGTCGCTCTGCGCCTCTGCGGGCTCGGCGTGTTCAGAGTGGTGCGAGCGGTCAGACTGCGCAGCCACAGAAGCCGGCCGCGAGGCCTCCAGCGTGCGGGTCTCGGAGTTGGTATCGTTTTCTGATGGCGAGGACGGTTCCTGTGCCAGCAGCTTGTCGAGTCCGCCGCCCGAATGGGCCTTGTTGGCGATACTCTCATACATCTGCGTCTCCATGGCGATCACAGAGCTGGTCTTCGCGAGGATGCTGGTGAAGGTGGCCTGTGTCTGGTCGTAGGACGAAACATAGTAGTCGTGCTTGGCGCGGTCAATATCGTCCAACTGCGACGCCAATTGCAGCAGATTCGACTTGTACGCAATGATATTTCGCGTCTTTTTGCGGCTCAGCTTGTTGTTGGTAGCTTCCTTCTGTCTCAGTTGCAGCACCTTCTCTCTGATTTCTTTCTTGAACATGGCGTCATTGGCCTTGTACGAGCGCTCGAAATCGGATATTATGTTGAGAATCGGTCTCTCGAATCCGTCAGACAGACTATGTGCCAGAATCTGCTGGTGGTTTGCTATCTGGTGGTGGAACCCGCTGGCTGTCATCAGTCCCTCAGAAGCGCTTCCTGCTCCCTTGCAGCGCGCACAGTCTTCCAACGAGCGTCCAAACTCGCTGGCAGCCGTGCTCAGAGCATTCAGCGCCTCTCTATATGCGGCAGCCGTGCGAACAAGGTCGCGACAGCTGGCGATGGTGTCGTTGACGTCCTTTTTGGTGATTAGGGTCTCCAGATCCAGTGTCGACGGCGTCATGGAGGGCTGCAGAGAGAGCAGAGACGCTGTTCGCGACGAGTCTGCGCGAAGCTTGCGCTGGACTTCGCCCAATGAGAGCCCAGCAATGTCGTAGAGCGAGTCGTCCTGGAATGGGTCTTTGGACCCGCTCTGGAGCGTCGAAGTTTCCAATTGCGGCTGAGACTCAGGAGATGAGCCGTTGACAAAGGAGTAGAACTCAGAAAGATGCGGAGGTGGCGGCTTGCGCACGGGCGACTTGCGAGGGGCCGTGTTGTCCATAGGTAAAATAACAAAATGGTGTATATAATTGAGCAAGAGTTTTTGAGGGGACGATCGGCGCACATAATTTCTCCAACGTGAGACGATATGCGATATAATAGTTTTTCAAATTTTTCCACCATTCCTCATCGCAGCATGTTCGCTCTTGCAAGATTCGGGCTACAGGCTCCAAAGGTGGGTGTTCCCGGACTCATACGGGGACTTGCCACCTCCGCGTCGGCTGCGCCGGAAAAGAGAAACACCACCAAACCGGAAAGCGGAAGAAAAACCTACCTCTTGGACGTGTACAAGCATTTCGATAAGAACAACCAGATCATGCTGTTTGCGCACCACAACAATCTCACAGCACACGATAACCTGAAAATCAAGCTGCAGATCGAGGAAGCTGGCGCACAAATGAGAAAACTCAAGGTGTCGCTCTTCAAGCACTACCTCAGAGCATCCCACCACAAAGACCCTGCTTCTAAGGCTGCCTACCGCCAGGTGAAGAAACACAAAATAAGACATCCTTTGGAGCCGCTTTTGAAGGGACCCACGGCTGCCATTCTGATCAAAGACCTGAATCCTAAAGTGGTGAAGAACGTCGTCAAGGCCCTCAAAGCACACAACGAGCGCTTTTTCCTTGTTGGTGGCCGGATTGGCACCGACGTGGTTGACATTGCGGACATCGACGAGTTCAAGGAGATGCCAACAATGGACGAGCTGCGGTCTCAACTGGTTGGAATGTTGACCGTTCTTTCAGGAGCGGGCCTGGTCAGAACTCTGGAGAGCGCTGCCAATACTCTGTACTTGACCATGGACACCCATAGACAGGAGCTGGAGAAGAAGGACAACCCAGAGAAGGACGAGAAGCAGGAGTGAGTAGCTGTACTGTACATAGACCAGTCGGCAGGAGCAAGGCTGTGCAAATCTAAGAACTTGAAAGGCTAATTTTTTTTTTATTTGGAGGAAAAAATACTGCTGAAAATCATGTCTGATGCTCTGTCTAAAAGAAAACAATACCGCGAGGCCAAGGAGGAAACTCGAAAGGTTCTCAAGCACGCGCGGTTCGAGGAAGGCCAGGAGGTCAGTCTCCCGAAAAAACGGTTCTATAGACAACGTGCACACTCTAATCCGTTTTCAGACCACAAGCTAGAGTACCCAAAGAGTCCCGACTCCATGGACTGGAGCAAGTACTATCCGGGGTTTGTGGATAGTGAGACGGGGCAGCTGGATCGGCAGGTTGAGATCGCAGACATTGGCTGCGGATTTGGCGGTCTGTTGGTCGATCTGGCCCCACATATCCCAGACAAGCTGATCCTGGGCATGGAGATCAGGGTGCAAGTCACACAGTATGTGGAGGACCGCATCATCGCATTGAGGTTGCAGCACAAAGACACGAATAAGTATCAGAACATTAGCGTGATCCGCGCGAATGCCATGAAATTCCTTCCTAATTTCTTCCACAAGGGGCAGCTGTCTAAGATGTTTTTCTGTTTCCCGGATCCGCACTTCAAGCAGAGAAAGCACAAGGCGCGCATCATCACGACAACACTGCTGAGCGAGTACGCGTACGTGTTGCGCGAGGGAGGAGTTGTGTATACCATCACGGACGTCAAGGATCTGCACGAGTGGATGGTGAGCCATCTAGACGAACATCCACTATTTGAGCGACTTTCTAGAGATTGGGAGGACCAGGACCCCTGTGTGGCCATTATGCGTGAGTCTACCGAGGAAGGAAAGAAAGTGGCACGCAACAACGGTGACAAATTCGTTGCATGTTATAGACGGGTAGCAGCGTAATCAATGTGAAGTATTTATGAATCTTTCGGACACTGCGTCGGACGCCATGCTTGCTTCGTCGTTGTTGGATCTGTTGAATCGGAAAATAGACGAGACCGCCTCAGAGCCCTTGCGCAGCGAGCCTCGCAGAGAGTGCGAGTCGTCTGTCTTATACTTGTAGATGGTAGCCAGGTCTGGTGGCTCGATATCCTGTGGCAAGATGAACGGCTTGTTGTTTGGCAACAACGGGTTCGTCTCTGGAGCGCCTGGATGTCTTGCAGCCTGAGGAGCGTGGCCCGTGATCATTCCTGACCTGCTGCTCCAGGCCTCCAGGTCGTTTGTGGATCCAAAGCCAGAGAGGTTGCCGGAATGCGTCGAGTAGACCGATGATCTGTCGTCGAAAATGCTGTCCATCTCCTCAAGACTCAGGCCCTTGGTTTCTGGGAACACAAACCACACAGTCACAACAGAGATGAAGCACGAGGTGGCGTGGATAAGGTATAGTCTCCATTTGATTTTTTCGAGCAAAATAGGTGCGAGTTCTCCGACAATGAAGTTGCACAGCCAGTTCGTGGCCGTCGCCATGGCAGCTCCCGAGGCACGGGCTTTGGTAGGCAGCACTTCAACGTTCAGCCAGCCGACTGGGCCCCAACTGCAGCCGAAAAACGAGTTGTAGATCATGACAAAAATCACAACCATGGTAGCGCTGTTTGACGCCTCGGACTTGCTGAAGTACGAGACGGCACACAGACTGACTCCCATAACCAGTCCGCCCATAATCAGCACCGGCTTGCGGCCCCATGCTTCTGTCAGGTACCACGGTGGAATGCTGCTGAGAACATACAAAATGGCATTGATACCGGTGAGTAGAATAGCGTCTCTGCCAACCCAGCCAGCGTGTTCGAACACCAGTGGAGCATAGTACGAGATCACGTTGATACCGTTGAACTGTGCAAACATCTGCGAACTCATGGCCATGAATATCCGTCTAGGGTATTTTCTGAAAACATCGAGATAGCTGAGACTTCCCTCCAGCCGGCCTATAAGGACGGACTCTTTAATGGTCTTGTACTCCTCGCGCGCCCTGTCGCTGTGGACATGGCCTCCTGAGAAGAGGTCCGCAATGACAACGAGTCCCTCTGCGTCGTGGTCGTGCTCCAGCAGCCATCTAGGACTTTCCACCAGTGCGAAGCTGCCGAAAAACAGGATCGATCCAAAGACAACCTGCAGCATCAGCGGGATGCGGAACGAGAGGTCGCTCTCAATAAAACTGCAGCCGTAGTCGATCCAGATCGACGAGGCGTAGCCCATGATGTTGCCGGTAAACTGTGCAGATCCCAGCAGTCCACGGTTCTCCGGAGCAGAGATCTCTGCCTGGAACGAGGGTGCTGTGCCTGACAGAAACCCAACGCCGATACCAGAAATGAACCGGCCAACGGCAAGATGCGACACCGACTTGGAACACGACTGGACCGTGCCTCCGATGCAGAAGATCAGGGCACCAAGCCGGGTGGTTTTTCTGCGGCCAAGCTTGTCAGAAATGGGGCCCAGACTCAGCGACGAGATCAGGGCACCAATCTCCAGAATTGCCACCACAGTACCGATTTCTAGAGCCGTAGGATAGTTGAAATACTCCTTGAAATAGTGGTTTGTCAAAATCGAGCTGAAGTAACCCTGGTCGTATCCAAAAAGAAAGACACACAGACTCACAAAGCCGGTGGTAAAGTACAGGAGCGGGTTGCCCACCAACACTGCCTTCGGAATATCATCGACAGTGATTTGCCGTGACATGTTTACATAAAATTCTATCTTATTCTTGGTTTACCCCGTATTATTTTATTTATATGCACGATACAACCAGCCACCCGTACACCGTGCTACTTGGCGAGCGAGGTTTGCACGTTGAACGAGACCGCTGGGAGCCGGTTCTCGATGACGTCCGCCTTGACGACGGCGCTGATGCCCAGACTGGCAAGAATGCCGCGGATAAGCCCGCACGGCAGCTGTAAATACGGCTGGACTTTGCGTATGGTGTCTGCGTCGCCTTGTGCGCTGGAGACGTTGATCAGCGGACGGAAATTGTTGTCCACAAGCACAAACGTGCCGATGTGGTTCGTGCGCAGGTTGTCCATCTGTTTGAGGTAAAACATTCGCCACACATCGCGGCATATAAATTTCATCACCTCCAGCACCTCCAGCAGCTGGATGTTGACTCCTTCCTGGACTGATTTCTTGTAAATGATGCAGTCTGTGATCTTGTATCCAATTTCGTAGCCGTATTTCTCCACGCGATACAAATTGTTGAGGCCCAGAAACTTGGGGCTTGATGCAAAGTCCACGGTTCCTGGTTTGTCCTGTTCCAGCTTGAGTCCTGCTAAGTCGCCCGCAAGCGTCCCAGGCACGCTGTCGCTGGCCAGCAGCTCGTCTACGCGCACAGACAGTGCCACCGCTTCATTGACCAGGTACTCCAGCGCCATGGCGCTGACCTCCTTGGTAAAGAACTCTTCGGGCATGGAAAAAATAAAATTACAATTTAATTTTTATTTTTCTAGTACATGATGCTCGATAATGGTTTGCGGGTCCGAGTGCAGTCGCTGCCATGTGGAGATCTGTCCGTTCGACGCGTCGACCTCGAACACACGCACCCGCCGTTCTGTGCCGCCGTAGCCGCCGTAGCCGCCCTCACCGACGGCACCTCCGTAGCACAGCCACAGATCCGATTTCAGACAGAAGTCGTTGCAATGGTCGTGGCCCACAGACGCCACGGAAACGCCGATCTCGTGAAGCGCCTGCGCCATGCCCGTGTTTATCTGTGGAGCCATGACGGCCTCTTTGTAGTTTCCAAACACTATCGCGTCGGTATCTCTGTACTCTGGCAAGGGAATGTGGAAGAAAGCCATGGCCACGGCTGCAGGGACCTTGGAGCTCTTGATCCACTCGATCTGGTCCTCTTTCAGATAGTCGTATCCGCGCACTTTAGGGTTGAGCGAGTATTTGTGCGAGTCGAGAAAATAGAGAGCGAGCTTGTTCTGGACCTGGAGCACGTAGTTGCCGACACCAGACACGTTTGCAGGCCCAGCTGACGAGAGCGAGTACGGCAGACCTTCGACAATCTCCATTATCTGGCTGCGTTGCAGCGAGCCCTCGTCGTCGTGGTTACCAAACACCATCGCGTACGGGACTTTGTGACGCTCAAAAATATCGCACACCTTGAGAATTGTAGTTTCTGTGTCGGGCGAGTCGTCACCATACACTTGGTCGCCTGTCATGACGACAAGATCAGGCTTCTCGAGGTCAAGCACAGTCTCGACGAACTGCGTCGTTTTCGGGTCCGCTTGGCATTTCTCACCTGGAGCAAGCTTTGGCCACGGATCGCGGCACACGCCGTCGAGCGTGGCGAAATGCAGGTCTGCCACCTGCAATATCTTGAATTTGCTGTTTTTGAAGGAGAGCTGCGGCCGGCTCGGAGTTTTGGCTGGCCGTCTGTAGCTGATGTATACATGGTGATCTGTTTCTGTGTGTAGCGGCTCTGTGAGCACTGTCCATCCGGGGCGTGGGTCCGACGGCTGGAAAAGCACCGTCGCGTCGATGATTGCATTTTTGGCCGGGCCGTACTTCACCCAAACCCCCTGGCCTCTGGATTCCCACAGGTCGCCAGCCTTGTACTCTGGTTTTCCCACGGCAACGTCCACGACAGCAGTGTCGTCACTGTGTCCAAGCTTCTTGTGCAAGTAGGTTCTTTTGAAGAGCGCCTTTCCCAGCCCCAGGTCTTTGTCCACCCTGACGTACTCGGACTCTTTGCAAAAGGGTCGGTAACAAGTATAGAACTCCAGGTCCAGCACCAGGGGAGAGTCGGTATAGACTGCTTTTGGACGGGTAGAGAGAAACAAAAGCACCACGGTCAGCACCACCAAAAGGTAGATGCTGCCTCTGAGAGCCTGTTTAGTGAGGCCCACCTGTCTAGGCACAAACATAAGGAGAAAAAAACATTTTTGCATTTGACACAGCAAAGGGTGTGGTGGTATTTTATAGAGAGGCTGCTTGTGTGGAGGCCTGTGGCAGATAAGTCTGCCTGGCTGCCCCCACGCAATTGACTGGCCTTAGCCAAACTGCTAATTTCGTGTCATAAATACATATCATTATACGTCCTGAAATGGTGCCGGAGGTTTCCAGCACGCTCATTGCTTCTTCTCCTCCCCCTCAAGTATATCCTCCTGTTTCTTCTTCAGATCAATCGCCTCCCGAACCAGATCCTCGCCCTTGCCGTCCGACCCCTTTGGTCGCTTGTCTGTGCGCAACAGACTTCCATGGCCCAATTCTTCCTTGCCCGGCGAACCGTGTACGACACGGCTATGTGGGTGTCTCAGTCGCTCGACGTCCACGGTCTTGTCGCCAATTTTAAATCCCTTGATCTCCTCGCCTTCCAAAGGATCCATAATAATTTATATTTCACCTTATTTTTCTCCCCATGAATTATATCCTGCTGGGAGTACTGCTCTCTGTTTCGGGCAACATACTCATTTCCATTTCCCTGAATATTCAGAAACAGGCCCATCTCCACCTGGGCTCCCAGAACTACGCCCGCGACCTCAAATGGCAGCTCGGCTTTGTGCTCATGTGTCTGGGAGAGTTGGGTAACTTTGTGAGCTACGGTTTGACACCTGTCAGCATCGTGGCGCCTCTCGGCGTGGTGACCATCATTTCCAACTCCACATTTATTGCGCCTGTTCTGTTTCACGAAAAAATCCGGCCCAGAGACCTCTACGGCACGTTTTCGAGCGCAATCGGTGTCGTCTTTATGATCCTGTCCTCGGTAACCGATTCCGCAGCACCGCCTATTCAGGACCCTTTTTCGTACATAGACTCCATGGTCCTATCGCTGACAACTTTCATCTATCTCGCAAGCACGCTCCTCGCCATCGTCATCCTCATGCTCCGGCTACGCAACCTGGAACGCTCCATGACCTACATCCTGCTGCATCTGTCACTGGTGGCTCTTTTCGGCACATACACCGCCATCTCTACAAAATTGCTGTCCTCGGTGGTCGAGTTTGTGCCATTCAGCGAAATACTCGTCAATTGGCGGCCCTACGTGCTGTTCCTGGTCATAATCGGCACCTCCGGGTTCCAGGTCCACTACTTAAACTCCTGTCTCAAAATCGCCAATGCCACCACCGTGGTGCCGATTCACTTTGTCTTCTTCACCACGGCAGTTCTATTGTGCTCCATTGTCGTTTTCAACGATTTTGCAGACAAGTCCGCTGCACAATGCATAGTTTTCCTGGTCGGAGCTTTGCTCACTTTCTCGGGAGTGTTTTTAATCTGTGGATCGAAATCTACCGACAATGACCACAATCTGGCTTGGCCAGAGCCGCCGAAATACACTTCTGCACACCAGCCCGTCTCAGAAACAGCCTCAGTGGTCTCCTTCGACGAGGAGCTGCCACCAAGACCACAGGGACTCATCCAGACATCAAGATCAACACCAGAACTCAACAACTTTATAGATAATGAGCCCTTCTACAGCTTCTCCAACAGAAGAAACAGCCTGTTAGATATAAATAGGCCCCCTAGAGATACAAACCACCGCGGCTTGCAGGACCTGGGCCACGGCTATTTTGTCCTCGGCGGAGGAAGCGCACTCATGAATGCTATTCTGAAAAACCATTCGCAGACCTCAGAAACCCGCAGCCTGGTCTAGCGCTTTGTCGTCAGCAACGGCGTGATGAAGGGGTGTTTCAGAAGCCTGGCTGCGTTGCACCGTTTTTTGTAATCGGTCTCAAAAGTCATAGTGAGGAAGTCGCGACAGTCGTCGGTGATGCCGTCGGGAATGTTGGGCAATGTCAACGTGCCAATGCGAAAAATGGCCTGCATTTGCGAAAACCCCGGGTATGGGTGCTTCCCCGTCAGCATCTCCACAATCAGACACCCTAGAGACCAGATATCCGCTTTATCTGTATATGCAATTTGTTTCACCACCTCGGGGGCCATCCAGTACACCGAGCCTTGCAAAGACGCGCGTTTCTGCTGCTTGGTGGTGGCGGTATCCTCGGGCTCTGTATTGTTGATATCTATTTTCTTGGAGATACCAAAATCGCTGATTTTCACTGTCCCGTCGATGTCTATCAAAATATTGGCTCCTTTGATGTCTCTGTGAATAATATCCTCGCCGTGTAGGTATTTCAGCCCTATGAGCACCTGTGTAATGAAGTTTCGCACCAGCGGTTCTTCGAAAGGCCCGTACGTCGACAGCATCGAGCTCACTGATCCTCCCGGAATGTACTCCAGAAAGATGTAAATGTTGTCAGAATCGGCAGAGGATCCAAGATAGCGCACAATGTTTTCGTGGTTCATAACCCTGAGCAGCGAGAGTTCCTGTTTCAAAGCATTCACCATCGTCTGCTTAGAATCCTCAGACGACCGGGGAAGGCTAACCTGTTTCACGGCCATCAGTTCTCCTGTCAGTCCATTGAGCCCCAAGTACACCGTACCAAAAGATCCCTGGCCAATTTTGGTTCCCTTGTGCCACACAGACGGACCGTCGTTGTTTCCAAGTGAGAAACTGAGCTGCTCAGACGAGTCAAACGACTCGTCGTCGTCCTCGTCATCAAAAAGCTTGATCACCGTCGAGTCTCTGTTCTCCCGCTTCGAGAACGCTACAGACATGCGCGCCCGTTGTTTGGAGTCCAAACTGCCATTCTTATCCAGAGACACATTGTGCATCGAAGCACGAATGGTTCCCTCGTCTTCCAAATCCGGCGGCTTGTCCGCGCGGATTGTGTCCATAGCAGCCGAGTGGTTCAGAATAACATCTCCAACAGTGTGTTTGACAGGAACTGCAACACCATAGCTGAAGACAGAGCTAGCAATGGACTGCGGCCTTCCAGAGTAGACCGACTCGCGCGTGGACTGATGCGTGCTCATCTTGGAACTGTACATGGAAAAACGCACACTATTGCGCATCACCTCCCGAAGCTCTGTTGCTCCCGTGTCAGGGAAGTATTCGCCAAGGTTCGTGGAAATCAGCTGTGAAGGCGGTCTCTGTCCTAGGAAATTCTTCAAAGTCTGCTTCTCGGTACCACCATTGGCAGAAATGGATCTGGAGGTTGCCAGAGCAGCTTCTGACGGCGACTCGCTCGCATGGCAGAGAATTATACGTTTTTTCTCTGGGCGGTCTGGAGAATGGCATAGTGCCGTGAACTCAGCATCAAACATCATGTGGAGATTATCGTCCTCGTCGACGTAGTAGGCTTTCCACTCTTCAACGTGTGTAGAGGAAATGCCCATTTTTCTGACCGCTTTTCTTTTGATCGAGGTCGAGCTAAAACACCCTGTCACGTTTACCTCGTTCTTGTGGCCGTCCGGTCCAATTATCGTGACGCAATTCTTGTACTCGTTCTCAACCTTGAATGTGTCGGAAGAACGTCGCGATTTGTCGCTGTACGTGACCGACTTATCAACGCTGCTCAACGTGGCAGAAGCGTTCGAAACAACCTCAGCCAGATCACTCACGTTCACCCGTGACTTGAGTCTTTCAGCATTCAGAAGATGGATCAGAACCTGCAACCGCAGCCTGTCTCCGACCTTGGTGATCCCGATCTCTTTCAAAGCGTGTCTATCAAGCTGGGGAAGCAGATCAATCTTGATGTCATTCGCAACAAATAGATCGATGTACTCCTCGCACTCCACGGTCTTCAGATACTGCAAGAGTTCATATCGATCACTCATTGTTAGCTCGCTAATTTTCTCAGCACGTACCTCTCAGTCATAGGGCTAAGCCGCATTTGGACATTCATGTGGTCCGGTCTAAATTTAGATCCAAGTATCAAAAAAACTTAAGCCCAGACTGTAGTGCTGACGTAATATTTGAATTTTTCCTCAGCCCTTGAAGGAGGTGGCAGGCTCCTCAATTGTAAAGTTTCCGCACAACTTTGGTCAACGCTAGCGATTTGTTGAATGGGAGGTCCCCGCATGACACTATCACCTGTTTGTTCTGCTGTCGCATCTCCACGAACTGCTCAATTATGCGTTCTGCCGACTCGGCTCGTCCTTGGTATATGTCGAGGAAAGAACTGACGTGCAGGTCATATGTTTCAATAATGAGTCCAATGGCAATTTTAAGAAGTCCATTGAGCTTGTGTAGTTTTATCAGCTTGTCCACTTTGATGTCCTTGTCCAATTTATTGAATGCTCTCAGCAGTTTTGATAATTTGTGTTCCACGAAATCAAGCATGTTGCTGATCTCCTCCACAACTGGACCCAGCTCGTACTCAAACCGCGACATCAATTTATTCGCATTGTTGTTCTGGTTCTGGAGTTTTTCCAAGTAAAGCTCGTAACTGGAGGAGATGAAGTTTTCTCTAAAGAAGAGCGATTTTGGGGTAAGCTGTGTTTCTTTCCTGTTGTAGCTGCTGGGAAGGTCCTGGGAGAATCGCACAAACGAGAGCGCTATATTGTATTTGGACTCCATTGACAGTTTCTGGAGCTTTAGGCACTTGTCGAGCGATCGGATGGTGGTATCAAATAGACTGTGGATAGCCTTGAACTCGTGCTGAAAGTACGCAAGCTGCTGGTATTCAAACGGCTCTTTGGCGACCTCCTTCCATTTGTGCTTGTTATTTTGCTTCCAGCTTTCCGGAACGCTTAGTATCACTGTTGGGGATGCCAGTGGCGAGGGCAGGCTGTTTTGAATCTCAACTAGTCTGCTGAGTTTTGAACACTCCTCCAATAGCCCCAGTGTGGCTAGTGTGTCTCGCAGCGCACAAAGTCGGTTCGCAGGCACCTTGAGCAGCTTTTCGACTTTAAGACCATTGAGGCCGGCAAACCAGTCGTCAAATCGCGGGTCGTTTTTTACCGAGTCCAGGATCTCTAGTCTGCGTCCCTGCAACGCAAAGAAAGACGGGTATACCTGGGAAAGTCTGGTGAAATGGTCATTCAGAGTCTGCACAAGAGCATGGCCACTTGCTAGATTCTTCACAAGCAGCTCGCTAAGACTGATCATCAGACTGATGTTGCCGAATAGCACGATACTCTCTGTAGACTTGATGGGAATGCCCCTTTCGTTCACGTAGTCGGCGAACGAGGCCGCCACGGCATTCAGAAGATCCAAGTCCTGCAAATACTGCTGTTCTGTGCTAATTACAAGCTGGCTGTTTGAGTCCCGAAATTCTGATATCTCTGGCGTTGGGAAGTCTTGCAGCAGTTTAGGGGGTATTGGGGGCAGCGATTTATCTCTTGTAGGGATGCTGAGCTCCTGTAATTTTTTGGTCTTCTGCCTAAACCTGCTGGGCTCGTGCGTGCGTTTTTGCATCTCTTTGATCTCCTCGCCTTGATTGCCCCTTGACAAAAACCACAGGCTCTGGGAGTACGGGTTGATAAAGCTCCAGCTGCTCTTGGGCTCGACATTCTCCTTATTTTCTACGTCTGAGTAGACAGACGACGAAGTCAAAACGGAAACAAAACTCACAGTCATAGCAAAGAAACAATAATATCACAAAAGTATCTTTTTTTCGTCTGCTCCCGTTCTCTGTTGGTGTGCTCTCCCCTACCCTCTCCCTCAAAAACGTTTCAACACAGCCACAGGTGGCTAAAAATATTTATATTTATTTTCTCTTGTTTTATGTCTCTTACAAACTGGAGACAGTTCCCATTCTTCGAATGTGTCCCGATCCAGGACCCGAACTACGGCACGGCGAACGCGCTGTACTCTGCTGCGGGTGTGAGTGCCATTGCCGCCACGCCAGACCTGCTTGTTCTCGCCTCGTCGCAGGCTTCCATTAAACTGGTCAATAGACAGTACGAGCCGGTGTTCGAGTTCCAGGCGTACGATCTCGGCTGGGACATCACACGGCTGGTGTTTGTGCCGTTTGGAGGAGCCGGCCACTCGGGTTTCCTATGCTCAATTGCCGAAAAACAGGGATATCCATTGACTCTCAAGCTGTGGGACCTGCCGAAGCTGGAGCAACTAAAAAAGATCGACTACAACAGCGACTACCACTCGCTCTGCCAGGTGACGAACGGGACGAACGACTTTCCATTGACCTGTTTCGACGCCACAGCGGACTTCACGGTGCTGGTGTTTGGGTTTGCGAACGGAACGGTTATTGTGGTCAGAGGCGACCTGCTCCACGACAGAGGGTCTCGACAACGAGTCGTGTACGAGTCACGGGACCCGATCACGAGCGTCCACTTCCGCGACGAAGGCATGCTCTACGTGTCTAACGTGTCGACAATAATGACAGTCCCAACCACAGGCAGAAACCAGGGCCGGCCAGACCGGGTTCTGGACGAGTCCATGGGTGTGGACATCAACTGCAGCGCCATGCTCGAGGACAAGAAACGCAACTTGGTGGTTGCCCGCGACCGGAGTCTGCAATTCTACAACTTGCGCGGGAAGACACACAATCTCCTGCTAGACATTCCTAAACGACGCATATTCGCATACAAAGACAGATACGTGGTGATTGAGGCCAGCGTGAGCTCAAACCTGACCTCTGCTTCGTCCATTGTCACAAACAAGCTTGTTATCGTGGACGTGATCAACAAGTTCATTGCGCTGAACCAAACGATCTCCAGTTCTGTGGTTGATATTCTCACTATGTGGGACGATCTGTACGTGTTCACGTCCGACGGGTTGCTATTTCAGCTGAAAGAAAAAGAACTTACCGACAAACTGAACATTCTAGTACAGCACGAGCTTTTCAATTTAGCCATCAATCTCGCAGAAAATGAAAATTGCAACACACAGAAGCTGCTCGAGATCCACAAACAGTATGGAAATCACCTTTACGAGAAGGGAGAGTTTGAAGAGGCAATCAAACAATACACGGAGAGCATCGATCTGGGAAAAACCAGTGAGGTGATACAGAAGTACAAAGAGAGCTCGAAGATTCCGTATTTGGTTGAATATCTTGAGAAACTGATACAGCTGGGGAAGTCAAAGATCGACCACACAACCCTTTTGCTCTGCTGCTACTGCAAACTCAAACGGCCAGAGGCAGTGCTTAATTACATTGAGAACGTGCCTATCAACGAGGACTTTGAGATCACGGATCCCTCCAAGCAGTTTGGCATGCCCACCGTCATCCGCACATGCAGAGAGAGCGGGTACTACGTCCTGGCTGCCAATATCGCCAAAAAGTTCAACGATCCGTCCACGGTGGTCGACATACAGCTGCACGACATGAAAAACCCCAGCCTGACGATGAAATATATCCGCACCTTACCCGTTGACGATCTTCTCCGCGTCTTGATCGATAAGGTGAAATGGTTTTTGGATAGTCTCCCAAACGAGTGCAACTTGCTTCTGATTGATGTTTTCACGGGGAAATATAGCCCAGAGCCCGAATTCGACCTTGAAGACCTTGCAGTGGCTCCGAATACAAACGCCAACCACCCTATCCTGACCTCGTACAAGCAGTTTGTGGCTTTCATGAATTTGGCAGACAACGAGGAGCCGCAAGTTACACAGCCGACGTATCTTCCTCCACGGCCGCGCATCATCTTCCAGTCGTTTGTAGACCATCCAAACGAATTTGTCATCTTTCTGGAAGCCTGCATTGAGAGCTACGATAAGTTTGGTGGTGACGAAAAGGACAAAAAGGATATTATGGTGACGCTATACGAGATGTACCTCACCATGTCTAAAAACGGGGACGGCGAGACCAAAGCCAAATGGCAATCAAAGGCCAAGACTCTGCTGGAAAACATCCAGAAAAACGGGTGGGATCTTGAGGACCAGACCAATTTGTTACTGCTGTCGAATCTGGGAGACTACGCAGAGGCAGAAATCTCTATCAGAGAGGCCACCGACGACTCCGCTCAAGGATTTGAGCTGGATATGTTCAGATCGACTATTTTGACAGGTAATTACCAAAAATCGATGGAGGTCATTGAGAAATACGGCGACAAAGAGCCCGATCTATACAAGCTGGCACTATCTGTATACACATCATCTGAGGAAATATTCAACCGTGTTGGAGAAGAGAAAGTGGCCGAATTGATATGGAAGATCGACTCGCTTAAACTGATGACCCCGTTGGAAGTGGTGAAACTCCTTGGTATGACCTCGTTTGTTAAGCTCGGGCTTATCAAGAGCTATCTGATCGAGCAGATCCGTCGGCAAAAGCGTGATATGGAAAACAACGAGAAGCTGATCGACTCGTATCAAAAGGAGGCGTCCACAGTCGCAGAACAGCTTTCAAAACAAAACACAGAGCCGCAGGTCATCAATCGATCCAAGTGTTCTTCCTGCAACCGGCCATTGTCCTTCCCATTAGTGCATTTCAGATGCTCTCATTCCTACCATGAGAGCTGTCTGACAAACGAGTTCTCCCAATCTTCGTCCAGCGACCAAACATGTCCCAAATGTTCCGGAGAGCTGGATACAATGACCATCCTCACTAAACAGCACGAGGAGGTCGGAAAACGCAACGATCTCTTCAAAGCCAGCTTGTTGGATAGCACCGACAGGTTCAAGGTGATGATGGGATTTTTCGGTCGCGGTGCGATGCAGGAAACCAGGACGATATGGCACGATAAATAGACTGTACTTTTAATCCAGAACGTTTGGATGCTCATTGCACACCGCGTGGCATCTGGCAAGGATGTCCTTAGTCTTCAGCTCGCCTTGGCACTTGCTGAACCCTCCCAGCTCGAAAAGCTGCAAGATATCCTTTGGAACGATGCTGAACTCGTCCTGCGTTTCGATCAGCGTGTTGATCACCTCAATGGCCAAGAAGTGGTTCTCACCCTGAGGCACGAGCTCCACAGAGCTTGTCGGGATGTCTTTGAGGTCCGTCTTGGGTCTTTCGTACAGTATGTTGGGCGTGATCACGGTGGCTAAATTGTGCACGTCCATCTTGGACCCGTTCTCCTCATCAATCAAACAGAACGATGCGACCCAGTTGAAGAATGAAAGCAACACCTCTGCCAAGTCTCTGTGAACCTTCGGAAGCATGCAGTAAGCAAGCTTCAGGATCCGGTCCTTTTTATTGGCGTCGTCTCCAAACTTTTGTGACAAAATGAACAGATCGTAGAGCTTGAACGTGAGCAGTGGGTCAGGCATCTCTCTAGTGAACTTTTTGAGCAACGCCGCCAGCTGGATAGGGGTCTCCTTGGAAAAATCAGGAACCTGCTGTGGATTTGAGTCTATCTCCTCGGTCAGCTGTTTCAGACGTTTGATATTACCGTTAATTCGGAACACACCCTCCACAGACAGATCCATCGTGTGCATCACGTTGATGAGCTCGTCAACAAGCATCGGCACCTTGAGCTTTTGCGGGCCGATTCCCAGGTCGCTCTCGACGCCGCATTTTTCAACCAGATCTTCCAATGGACAGCCAAACACTTTGTTGGTGGATTTCTTGGAGTTTCCTGATCCTCCAAACATCTTCTCCCAGAACGAGGCATTTTTTTTCACAGAAATAAATGAGAGACAGTCTTCCAGAGACAGCATATCTCCCATAAGCCTGTGCAATGCGAACGCTGCAATGTGTTGCAGATATTCGTTGTCTTTTTTTGAAAATTCCGAGTAGCGAACAGCGGACGTTGGCGCCGACGAGGCGCTGTCCTGCGTGCGCTGCGATTTGGCGAGGAGCTGAGACGGCGTCTTGAACTGCGGCACGGGAGACGACGGAGCGCCAGAGACGCTTCGCGTGGCAGAAGACATCTGGCCAGAGTCGGGACCCTTGTTCTTAACCGCTTTCGGAGCAGGGATCGTCGAACTAGCCGGCGTGTACGTTCTTTTCTGGAACCTGAACGCGTTCGGGCGGTGCTCGCGCGCCTGCTCCGACGAAACAATCCGCGGAATGTCGTCCAGCGTGAGCCCTTTCTCGTTCTTTAGCAAGTTCGACGTCACGTCGAGATTCGTGGAGTGAGGCTTCGTCTTCATAGGAATGTCCTCAATCCGAAGTCTTTTGGAGCCCTTGCGGCCCAAAGACCGCTCTTTCTTCAAGAACTTCGACGCCGTGATGGACGACGATAACGATTTCCCAGACTCCGGATCCACGTTCTCCATGCCCGCAGACGACGCCTCGGGGGCCTCCAAGACTATCGATTTTCTTGCCTCGGCAGAAGCAGTGCCGATCCGCTGTTTCTGACGCTTCGAGCGCATCCGCTTGATGTCGGTCACGTGCTGGTCGTAGGAGTCGGAGGACGCGAGGACCTGCGGTGGTGTCTTTGAGATGATGCCGCGTTTGAGCATGGCGTGTCTGGACCTGACGAGTGCAATTTTCAGCAGATAGATCAGCTGCATGTATCGAGACACTCTCTTAAAGCCGGCCTGGGCGTCCACGTCGTCTGACGAGCAGCTGGCACACAGGATCTGCTGTTTTTTGGGGTTGAAATTAAACTCGCTTGGACTGGTGTGTGTGCTGCTGCGTCTGGAGCAATTGGAGCACTCGAAACACTCCACGTGCCAGATAAGGTCCCCGAAGCGGAAGCAGTCCTCTTCGATGCTCTTCTGGCATTGAAAGCACAGATCCTTGGCGTTTGGCGGGATCCCCAGTACAGAAAACACGTCCTGGGGAATCGAGTCGTGGCTCGAGATCTCGCGAAGGTATCTGTCGGTGGCAAGCGAGGAGCGGCTGATTTTGTTATATTCGAGAGCGTGCAATAGGGTATTTCTGGAGATCAGCTTGATGTAGTGGGCCAGGGTGGAAATTAAAGAGAGTAGCTGCTGTGTGTGTGTGTTGGAGAGCAGCTTTGTTTTGTCGGTGTCGCGCAAAAACGTCAGATACGACATGATTTTGGAGGACATGCTGCGAGGCTCCTTGCTGAGCGGCGTCAGCTTGTGGTTGGCCGAGTAGTCGAGCCGGATTCTGGACGCCTCGAACAAGTCGTTCAGAATATCGATGCCGCGGAAAAGATACTCGATCTTGAGCACCAGCTGGCCCGTGACCAAAAGCCCGCCCAGCTGGTTGCCCGTCGACGCGCAGTGCAGCATGTCGGAGATACACGAGGCACAGCCTTCTTCGAACTCCGACAGCGTGAGCCAGATCGACATGGTCATGCGCTCGAGTTTTTTTTCGAGGTCGAACAGCTCCCTAGGCGTGAGCGATTTTTTCGCTTCTGTGTTGCTCAGGGTCTTTGCTCCCTGCTCAGACATCCCGACGCATTCGGCAGTGACGTCGACACCCCAGAATTTGTGCACCATGAAGCACTCCGGGTGCCACTGCTGCTCGCGGCCGCCTCTGTAGAGCTCGACGTACTGCTTCAGTATCGCAGATTTGCACGCCTCGCACCGAGCCGCGTACAAAACGGAGTAGTGGTAGTGGCAGTATATCTTGTTCTGGTGCTCATAGTAGTCCTCAGAGTCGAACACTCTGTGGCAGATGTCGCAGAAGAAGTGCTCGGGGTGGAATTTGCGGCCCACAGCAGTTATGTAGGAGCCTCTGATGGCCTTGTCGCAGGTGGAGCAGATAAGATCGATGCGCTTGAAATAGTCGTATTCACAGAGCGGCATCTGGACGGTGTGGCCATCGACCTGCACATCGGCGGCAAAGAACTTGTTGGAGCAGGGGTTGCCGCAGTCGTGGCAGCGGAAACAGTCGACATGGTATATTCTGTCCATGGCGCGCACGAGCGTGCCGATGATGGTCTTGCCGCAGTGGTAGCACAGTTTGGGAGGTTTGCGGGACACCGCGCCGTCCGTGGAGCTGTTTTTGCGCGAACTATTGGAAGAAGGCCCAGGAACACGCCTGGTATCTCCAATGTCCATATTATTCAGTCCTGGGACCAGGTTGGCGTCAGAAACCTCCGCACCGCTGGCTACTCTGTTGCCATTGGCTGGATGAGACATTTGCACGCGATAAAGGAGGGACGGGGCGCGAAACGAGTGTGGAACGGTATTCGAGACACTGGGGCGCCGTGGTTGAGTTACCGCTAGTTGTGGATTTTCTTGTTTATTTTTATAATTCGACGGCCTCAAACATTCCGCGTCGATCGGCGGGTCGATGCGCCGGCACATTGTCGTTTGAGGGCCGCGCATTGTCCGGTGGCTAATAATGACGTGTGTTTACTGCCAGCGTGAAAAACTTTTTTTTCCGCGCCGTGGCCCTCGGCTCTCCACCTGCACCCGTGCACCAGCAGCCGGAAAAAACTTCCCAATCCACTCCTATCTCTGATCAAGCCGTCTTTCCATCGCCTATGAGCGAGAGCCAGCGCAAGAAGAGACAGTACTCGCGCAATGGCTGCAAGGAGTGCAAGCGGCGCAAGCTCAAGTGCGACGAGGGCAAGCCCCAGTGCTGGAACTGCGCGCATCTCCACAAGGAGTGTGTCTACGAACGCACCATCAAGTTCACCAGCTCGCGCACTTTCACGATCGAGTCGCAGAATACCAGGCTGATCAACCTCGGCGAGACGTCTGGCGCCCCGTCTGCCCCGGTGGCGGCGCGCAGTGCGCGTGGTAGCAAGCCTGTGACGCCGGACGGAGAGATGGCTCCGCTCACGTTTGCGCAGCCGCCAGCAATGGTGCAGAACCCGCCGCTCGCGCCGGCGGTCGCCGAGGTAGACCGGCTCCCGTCCGTGGGGCCGCACTTGCAGGGGAAACCGCGAAGAGCGTTCGAGCAGGAGATGCGCCAGCAGCTCGCGTTCGAGCCGGCTACACCCTTACACCAGTCCAAGGAGCTGGACAACAATCTATTTACCGGGGCGAGCCACCTGATCTCGGACCTGAACGACCTGATCCAGAGCTTCCGGACGGACTTTGAGCAGCCGGATGTCGGCTCGTCGTACAACTTCTATATTCGGCAGCTCACCAACACGCTCGAGACAGACTTCGACCACGGCGAGCCGGCTGTGGAATCCGTTGTCTCAGGGTCCAAGCTGTCAGCGTTCCCGCCACCGAGCCCGGCCGTTCTGATGTCTGGAGTGCCCGAGCGGTTTGACTTTCTCGCGTCGTTGAATAATTCCATCAGCTCGCAGGACCTGAGCGATCTGGCTGCGTATTTCGGGTGGTCCTTCGAGTCGCCGCGTCTGAACTATCTCAACGTGCTGATCACCAAAATTCATCTCAACATTCTGCCGTTCACCACGAACCTGCTGCACAACTCGTTTATCAAGTGTTTTCTGCTTGAAGCGAAAAGCTCGCCGCACCTGCTGTATGCTCTGCTGGCCATCTCGGCCCGGTACGAGAGCTACCAGCTGAAACCCAGGGACGGCGACGAGGACTCGCGGGAAAAACAGGAGTCGCACCAGAAACTGCGCTCGTACTATCTCTCGTCGTGTCTGAAGTCGCTGGACGCGATTCTGCATTCGAAACCGAAAATCCTCAACAATATCCAGTCGCTGCTGCTCACGATTTTAATTCTGGCCTCGGACTACTCTGCGTCCACGGGGTCCCAATGGCGGGCCCATCTGCGCGGAGCCAAGGACTTGCTGATCAAATACTGCAAATACATGCCGATCTCGCTGGAGCTGGGCATTATTTGGACGTGGTTCTACTCCATGGAGACGCTGGCTGCGCTCACGTCGCCGAGCGGCGGGACGATTCACGATTTCAAGGAGCTGACGGAGTTTCTCGACGTGATGAAGAGCAGCGGCCCCGTGGGAGCCACGCTGGCGAAGTTCGGCTTCTACGCGGCAGGAAACTACCACGTCCCGGCCCCCGTGCACAACACGTTCAACTTGTACCACGGCTACAACGACGACGTGCAGGAGCTCTTTAAGGAGATCGTGCTGACGCTCGAGGCACGCCGCCTTTTTGCCAAGGACAACAAGCTGAACGAGGACATCGGCCGGTATCTGAACAAAGACGGCCAGGTGCTCAGCTCGCAGGTGCTCAAAATGATGGGGCTGGTGGAAAAAGCGCGGCTTTTCAAGTGCATCGCGACAGGGCCGCCGTACCGCATTCCGTTGGACTCGCCAAACCATCCTCTGAACCTCAGCGGCATCCACTACAACAACCCAGACGGAAAAGGCGTCGTCATGTGCGCGTACATGCACAACACCAACCCGCTCACCTCGGACCCGGACGACACGAAAAACTGGTACAGCTGGCTCGACCTGAGCCAGCAGCTGTACACGGACGCGTGCTACCTGAAGATCCTCACGATGAAGCACTGTATGGGCCGCAACGGACTGGCCATCACCAATGAGCTTGTCCAGGACGTGGTGAACCGCATGCTTTTGGGTCTGGACCCGCTGGTGCGGTTCAAGGATAACCTGAGAGACGAAGACATTGCCAGGCTGACAACGTACTATTCGGAGCTCTCGGAGCTGACCGAGGCGACCGCCAGCATGGATTTCGACCAGTATCTGTATTACCAGTTCGACCACCGGCTGATCATGGTCCAATGGCCGCTGTTTGTGTGTGGACTCTGCAGCGTGCTGCCGCAGCAAAAGTGCATTATAGAGTGCTGTTTCAAGGCCCTGATGGACCTCGGAGTCGGCTCGGGAGAGATCTCGCTCATGAAGCTGAAACGGCTGTGGAAGCTGGAAAAGGAGGGCTTCGACTACGAGAAGTGCGACATCTTTGGCGGCGACAACGACTCCGTTCCTTTCGTGTAATTAGTATACTATTATTCCACCTGTTCGCTCACTCTGGCCTGGTCCTTGGTGTTGAGCCAGTACCGCTTCGCGTCCAAATGCGCATCGTACTCAGACTCCCTATTGAGCCTGTCCAGTATCTCCTGCTCCTCGTCGGTGGTCATGTTCTGCAAGTCCGGGGGTATCTCCTGCATCTCCACAGACGGCGCTCCACGGAGATAGCGCAGGTGCTCGAGCAGCTGGTTGCGCAGGTTCTCGAGGTATTTTTTCGAGTTTTTGTTGTCGTAGCGGTCGCCCAGGTTCGGGTGCAGAGAGTAGTCTGGCTGGAAAAAATTGCGGAACGGTAGCACCTCGGGCAGCCGCGAGTTTAGTTTCACGTTGGTCATCACGCTTGTCTCATAGCACCACAGGCGACTCACGTTTCGCGGCGTGTAGCCGCCGCCGCCCAGAACGAGCATCGGAATGCCGAAACTCTTGACAAACTTGACACACTCGCCGTGCGCCCTGATGTTGAGATTGAAGCTTCCAAGACGGTCGCAGCCGAGCGAGTCGGCGCCGCACTGCTGCACGATGGCCGTCGGCCGGAAATTCGTGATCACCGGCTCCATGATCGACTTGAACAGCGAAATGTACGACTCGTCGTCGATTCCGTCGTGCAGCGGCACGTTGAGCGCAAAGTGCTTTCCCTTGCCGAGGCCGACCTCGTCGTGGTTGCCCGTGCCGGGGAAAAACTCGCCGTCGTACTTGTGGAAGGAAACCGTCATCACACGGTCCGTAAGGTAGAATGCTTCCTGAACACCGTCTCCGTGGTGCAAATCGATATCGATGTACAACACGCGCGGATGCACTCGAAGCAGGTTCAAGATCGACAGCACGATGTCGTTCACGTAGCAGAACCCGCTCGGCTCGTGTTTTTTCGCGTGGTGCAGCCCGCCCGACCAGTTGATGGCAATGTCGCTCATTCCGGCAATCAGCTTGCGCGACGCGTCGAGCGACGCACCGGCGTATATTTGCGAATACTCGTACATGCCGTCAAACACCGGACAGTCGTCTCCGATGTTGAACTGGCGCAGATGCTGGGCGTACTTCTTGGCGTTGTCTGGGGTCACCGACTCGAGAAACTTGACATAGTCCTCGGAATGGAACTCTAGAAGCTCCTCCTTGGTCGCCCGTCGCGGCTGGTAGATGTCCATCTGCTCGTACAGCTTGTACGCTATCACCAAATGGTCCGTGAGCATCAAACGAAACGGTTTCATGGGGTGTCTGACTCCGTAGTGGTATTTGGAAACGTCTGGGTTGTAGTGGTATGACACGTTAGGGTTGTAGCCTCCGTCTTTGAACGTGTTGACAATCGGCTCGTAGAACGGCGTCTTCTGATTGGCGCGCCGGTCCAGCGAGATCGTGCTCTCCTCGTCCAGCCAGCTGTACGACATGGTGAATAAAAATAAAATAAAATAATTTTTTGCGTCTATCGTCCTTTTTTTGTTTATCATGGCCTCTCCAGTAACGGTGTCGCTGAGCGACATCACGGCAGAAAAACTGGTCGACGCGTTTGGAAAGGACTCACTGGGGATTCTCGTGGTCAAGGATCTTCCAAAAGAATACCACGAACTGCGCAGAAAAGTGCTCACCCAGGCCTCTTATCTGACACGTCTAGACAAACAAAGCCTGCAAGATCTCGAGTGTCCAGAGGGTTACTACCTCACGGGGTGGTCGCTGGGCAAAGAGAAGCTGGCGAACGGCGTGGCCGACGAGCTCAAAGGCTCGTTCTATATCAACTGCTCTTTTTTCAAGGACCCTAGTCTAGAAGGCCCGCCGCCAGAAGAAAGCAGGGGCTACGAAAATTACAAGGCGTATACGACGTGGAACAAGTGGCCGAAAGAAAGCTTGGACGAGCTCAAAGGGTTCCAGCAGAACTGCAAGGCGCTCATCTCGCTGATGATCGAAATCAGCCTCCAGATCTGCGAAAAAATCGATATCTATTGCGAAAAACACCTCCGGAACTACCAGCCCGGCTACCTGGAGTCAATAATCCGAGAAAGCACCACGTCCAAGGCCAGACTGCTCCACTACCTCCCTAATACGTCCAGCTCCCAAGCCGACTGGTGCGGCGAACACTGCGACCACTCGTGCATCACCGCGCTTACGTCAGCGCTCTTCTTCGACGGCGACGCAGAGCTGGCCGCCAGTCCCGACCCGAGCGCCGGACTATACATCAGGGACCGCCGCGGCAGCGTCGTCAAGGTGAACATCCCGCCCGACTGTCTCGCGTTCCAGAGCGGCTCTGCGCTGGACGAGGTGTCTGGCCACCAGTTCAAGGCTGTGCCCCACTACGTGAAGGGCACGGCGATTCCTGGCATCAGCCGCAACACACTGGCCGTGTTTCTGCAGCCGTCGCTGCACGCGATGGTCAACGAGGACGAAACGTTCGCACAGTTTGCAGACCGTATTCTGCGGCACAACCACTAGCTGGTGCAAGGGTGTGTATGGGTCGAGCATATAGATATTTATTTCCATTTGATAGTGGCAAAAAAAGCTAAAAAAATAGATCCACCATGTCTGGTAAGTAGGCTCAATTCGCGCTCTCTAACCGCAGGCTCCGCGGGATTTGACCGTCACATCACTGTGTTTTCGCCTGAGGGCCGTCTGTACCAAGTTGAGTACGCGTTCAAGGCCGTGAACTCGTCCAACATCACTTGTCTGGGAGTTGTTGGCGAGGACTCGTCGGTCGTTGTTTCGCAGAAGAAGATTCCCGACAAGCTGCTGGACCCAAGCACGATCAGCTACATTTTCCAGGTGTCGGATTCGATCGGAATGCTGGCCACAGGGGCCATTGCCGACGCGCGGTCGCTGGCCATGAGGGCCCGGGCTGAGGCCGCAGAGTTCAAGTATAAATACGGCTACGAGATGCCGGTGGACGCGCTAGCCAAGAGGATGGCGAACCTGGCTCAGCTGTACACACAGAAAGCATACATGAGACCGATGGGAGTGGCGTTGACGTTTGTGTCTGTGGATGACGAACTGGGGCCGAGCGTGTTCAAGACGGACCCTGCCGGGTACTATTTCCGTGCCATTGCGACGTCGACGGGCCCTAAGCAGCAGGAGGTGACCACGGCTCTGGAGCGCGCGCACAAGAAGAAGAAGGACGGGGTTCTGGTGAAAGGCGACTGGACCAAGGTGGTGGAGTTTGCAATTATTACGCTGAGTAATGCGCTGAGCACAGATTTCAGGAAAAACGACCTGGAGGTCGGGGTTGCTACAAAGGACGGGTTCCGGAGCCTGACGCCGGACGAGATCGACGAGAGGCTGATTGCCATTGCTGAGCAGGATTGAGTCTAGAAAACATACGGAATGAACACGTACGGACACTCCTTGACGTACTTGTCCCAGTCGGCGCCGTACTTCTTTCTGCACTTTCTGATGTCTCTGTGGCATCTGTGGATAAGCACCACGAAGAAGAACACGGGGAAGAACCAGGGGAACACCGAGTTGAAGCCGCAGATCAGCCCCCACGACAGCGACTGGCACCAGTCGGCCGTATAGTGTAACTTTCTAGCATACTTGTACCATCCGTCGGTGAGCAGAACAGAGCCGTTGGCACACTTGATATATTTTGGGTTTTCGAGCACCTGGTATGGCAGATACGGGAATGACTTTCTGATCTTGGTGTCTCCGGCCATGATTTTGCGGAACGAGTTTTTCTGGCCGTTGCAAGTGTCGAAAAAGTAATATGCCGTCAGCAACAGGACAAAGCAGAAGGTGTTGTACGCCGCCGACCATTGGTATTCCTGCGGGTTGTGGTAGTACAGGTACAGTGTTCCGTGGCAGTACGTGTATGGCACGCCGGCGATGTTCCAGAAGATGAGCATGAAGCCAAATTTCTCGTACGCCATGTCCCAGGTCGGCACGATGAGCTCCTCGCCCTTGGAGCACGCGTTGGCGTACAGATAGTGGGCCAGCAGCATGAAGAGAGCTTGCGGAGAAACGGAGCCGTACTGCTCGTACTGTTTGAGACACATGCCATAGCTGAGGAAAAACAGCGTGTACCACGGCAGTCTGACCTCGAAGAACATTTTCAGGTCGATGATGCCGATTCTAGGGTTGAGAGAAGCACCCATGAAGATATCGTACAGGTGGTTGCTGGTCATTCTCAGATAGTCCTTGGTGACGAAGAGCGACCACAGATAAAGGCCGACGGAGAAGCCGAAGCCGGCAACGATGGCGCAGGTCATGATCTCGCCGAAATTGTCCAGGATGTAGTAGATTTTGAAGATGTCCAGATAGTGCAGCAGCGAGGCCAGCGCGAAGTTGACGTAGAACGTGGCGTACGCGTTGCAGAAGTAGGGCAGCTGCTCGCCGTTTCTATGCGCCAGCGGCTGGCCTTTTGTCCAGACTCCCGGCAAAGTGACGTAGAACACGGCCTGGACGAGAATGTATGTGGCAAAGATAAAGATGGACGTTGGGGACGGCGAGGCGTACGTTTTCACGTAATCTGCCATTTCGCCGAGGAACTGGGCCCACGACTGGCCGTCGACAGGCCAGGCGGGGCTGCCGTGGTAGAAACGGGCCGAGATCCACATATAGTACATCAACGACGGGAAGCCCAGCATCATGGCAACAACGCCCGCAGGCCCGCCAAACTCCCATTCGATGTCCTTCTTGGCGAGGTACTGCGGTTCCCTGACGACGGCGGCCGGCACGGCGGGCTGCGACGCGGCCTGGTAGTCTGGTTTCGACGAGACGGGTGTTTTTTTCGCCATACGAGCTGAACGAGAAAAGTAAATAAAATACAGAAAAATCGAAAATTATTCTCGTTCGGATTTATATAGTGTTCCGAGGCCTCGTTTGGCGTATGCACAAATTTGGGAGTCTCGTATAAATAAGCCTGTTTGATATGCTTCCATTCATGCTGTTATACATTTCTGGCTTTGCCCAGCTAAAATACAAAGAAAGATGCATCACAATGAGTAGCTGCTGCGATCGAACGGAGACACCTGGACCGTGGAGCCGCCCCTGGAAGCCAGCTTGGAAACGATGCGGCGGCCGTGCGGGGTGTTTCTGACGTCTCCCAGGTACGGTCTGAGCATCTCGCTCAGGTCCCGGAAGCTGGAGTCGTCGGCCACGTCCAGGGCCGTCTGCAGCACGTAGTTGCCGTACGCGTCGTGGAGCAGCAACCGCAGGTTCGAGTCCTCCTTGAGCAGCTGGCCGATTAGCAGCGGCGCGAGCGTCGGGATCCGCAGGCTCTTCTCGATCACGTTCGAGCCGAACTTGTGCGTCGAGAGCCGGATCAGGCTCGACTGCAGCGCGCCGACCACCAGCTCGATCGCCCGCACGGTGTTGGGCAGTCTGGCGCTCGCGTCCGGGTCGTTCTTCACACGCAGCCGGTTCTCCTCCATGCTCAGCACGTACTGCACCACGTAGTTGCCGTACGGGTCCGTGCTAAGCTCGACGCAGTTCTGGCCCACCTCCAGCGCCAGCCGCTCGCACTGCTGCGCAGACCCGTGGTCGAAGCACCGTTGCAGCACGCAGCAGCCGTGTCTGTGCTTGGCGATCTTCACGCAGTTCTCGCACGCGGCATCGAAGATGAAGTCGCACGCCGACGACGGCAGCTTCTGTAAACACTTCTGGACAACGTGGTTGCCGTTCAGGTCTCTGCTCAGAAGAACCACGTACGACGACAGCGACTGGACGATGATGTCGCTCTCGGCCTGCGTCCTGGTGCACTCGACGAGCTTCTGCAGCGCGCGGGTGCCGTGCGCGTCGAGCGCGATCCTCACAAACTGCGACGAGGCGTTCTGGACCAGGACGGTGCGCTGCTCGTCGTTCACCTTCTCGAGCAGCTTCTGGATCAGGTAGTTGCCGAACGGATCGACCATCAGCTCAATCACGTTGAGCTGGACCTCGTTGAAGATCTTGGTGGCCGCCTCGGGACCGCCGATCTCCAGCTGCCGCTGCAAAAACCGACACCCGTGCTGGTCCTTGCACAGGAAATAGATGTCGTTGACAAAGTCGTTGAGCGTGGCGTTGAGGAACTTGGACGCGTCCTCGCCGCGCCGCTTGTTCGACGAGTGCTTTCTGTGCACGTTGGCCGTCGACATCGACATTTGCGTCCGCTGAGCGTCTGGCTGCGGCTGCTTGGTGTAGCCGTTGTAGTTCGACTTGTAGCCGCCTCTGCCGTTGAAAGGCAGCGAGATCTGCTGGTTGAAGTTGGAGACGAGGTTCGAGCCCGGGAAAGCCCCGTTCGAGCCGCTGTGGGAGATACCCATGCCAATGGAGCCGCCCGCAACGGTGCCGGCTAGCATCTCGTTGGTCAGTGCCGGATGCAGAGCCGAGATCGAGGCTTCGGAGCCAGGAGACGTGACCGGGTAGGTGACGCGCCGACCGGCGTCGCCCATGCCAATGGGCGGGCCAAACGAGGAGGCAGACGACGTCGACAGGGGGTCGAATAGCTCGTCATTCTCCTGGGGCCGCGGTGCAGGGGTGTTGTCGGGCAGCACAAACTGGCCAACATTGGAGGAGCCAAAGCCGATGGCGGCAGAGCCGGCCGAGGAGAACGGCGTGGCGTGGGCGCCGCTGAAGCTGGAGATCGGCGAGTGCATTTTCTGAGGGGTCATCGCCAGGAACTGGTGGCCGAACTGCGACGATGCCTGGGTGTTAGGTGTGGACGCTAGGTCGGGTAACACGTGAGACTGGAACGAGGTGAGGTTGGCAGAGTTGGACCAGTTGGGGGTCCTTGGCTGGGTGGCCGCGAAGGAGTGCTGGTTGGGCAGGAGCAGCGTCGAATTGGACGAATTGGCAGACGATGCCGGGTCTGGCGGCGTCGAAGGGACATGTGTCTTGACCTGCTGGGCCAGCGGCGAGAACTGCGTGGAGAAGATGGACGAGTTGGTGCCGCGGGTGTCCAGGCTGTCCAGCCTATCGAGGTGGTCCATGTGGTCCATGCGCTCCGGCGTCTCCTCCAAATCCAGGTTCAGACGGTTGAGGACCTGGCTGATGTCGTCGAACTCTGTGGTCTGCGATGGGGCCTTTTTCGCAAACGAAACCTCGCAGATCGGCGGCGTCGTGGTGGCCGTCACGTCCTGCGCCGTCGTCTCTTCGAGCGACGAGAGTGTGGTCTGGTCTGCCATTATAGTAGAAGCAGCACAAGAGTAAAAAATTTCGCCACTAGGATCAGAACACAACAAATCCCAATACAGTGCACAATTGCGCCAGGTAGAGTACTGGCAAGCTTAAGGAGTAGTGCAGAAAAGCGGTCTTGTGCAAGACGTGGTGAAGAAGCGAGATCTGACCAAAACGAGAGCACGGGGAAAACGAACAGTCCGTGCTACCTGATGGCAGATATACGACGTGCAAATGCTGGTGAAAACCTGATAATGTGCCAAGGCTATGCTGTTGGCAGGAATTGTGTTTTGGTGAAAGTTGCAAACAAGTATGCTGTACTCTTTTGTCTCTGACGCTTTGGCAGAGTGGAAAAAAAAAGAAACCCGACAGGCCGGGTCAAAAAAATTTTCGCAGGGGGACCTTCGCGGCCACCGGGCGGTGGCACGGCAGGGACTGCGCGGGAGGCCGGCGCCGATGTGACGAGTAACATCAGGGGGAGAGCATGGCTGGGAGAAGGAAGGTGGCCTTGAATGGCCTGCTACAGTGCTTGGGAGAGATCAGCAGCGCTACGCTGCGGCTAGGGAGCGCCCAAACGGGGCCGTCTTCAGGGTGCTCACCGGCGTGAACCTTTTCGTGCCTGATGATTTGGTATGCATTACGTAAGCGGTGATATAACCGAATCAAAGAAAAAAAATTCCAAAAAAAAAAATATTTACTTTTCGTCCCGGAAAAAATTAAACCAGATCAATTTCGTAATCCGTCAATTTACCCTTTTCGGAATAGTGGTGGAAACCTAAAATGGAAAATATCGGGTGCGAGGGTGTCACTGCTAGTGCGGAAACTGGGGGCTCTAGAGGCGTGCGTTTAGGCGGCCGGCTGCCAGCACACGCACGGCATGGACGATGGCGCCGAGGGCGTCGATGTCGTGGAAGCCAAAGCCGAGCGTGTGGACGACTGTGCGGCCGTCGGCGGCGGTGGACGCGTATATTTTCCCGTGTTGATCATCGAAGCAGGGTTTGAAGATCACCTCGGAGTTGAGAATCTGGGCCTGCGCCACTACGTGGGGGTATAGCTTTCTAGACCTCCACAGCAGCGTTTGCTCGTCGGAGTCGCGCGGGAGGGGATAGGCGTCATTGTGCTGGTGGGGTCCTGTGAGGACCACGACATGGGGATCTTGGACAAGTGGGGTCAGTCTGGTGTACTGGTGTTGCGCCGATGTGTGTGTATATGCCGTGTCGAGCTCTTTGGGACAGTACAAGAGCACAGATTGTAGTCTGATGACGTCTGCTGTGGGTTCCATGTGACAGTTTATGATTGTGTGGACGGTGGGGAACAGCCTGCAGCAACTGTCCACAGAGTAAACTTGTGGGGGCACAATGTGGTGGGCAAACAATTGCGTACAACTTGCCAGCCGGCGGTATGTGTCGAGTAGCAACTGGCGCGGGTTAACGAGCAGCGCCGGCCGAAATGTCGGCGTGTCCTCCCCCAGCTGCACAGCCGTGATGAATCTGGCCGCATGCTGACTGTGCAAATACGTCGCCGTCAGCTCGTCCCCCCAGTCCCGGCGCACCACATGGGCGAGCTGCTCGCCCCTGGCGGCGTGCTCGACCGTCTCCAGCGACACCACGATTACCCCTCGTCCCTGCCTCTCCACAATGTCGCTCGCCACACACACCGAAACGGCACTTAGCCCCCGGATCACTACGCTTGCCTGCATTGGACACGCTAGCCGGCAAACCTAAATTCCTTGTGCTCCTTTTCCCGGCAACACCCGTGCACCGCCGCCCACTCTCCTCACCTCTGCGGGGATCTGTCAACAATGTGCGAGCGACGGGGTCTGACCGGGCGGTCACTGCACCCCCGCAAAATGTTACTCCTGCGTTTGCGAAGCATGGAGGGGTCCAGGAGCATAAAAACACACGAGTGTCTGGACACTGCGCGCCCATGAGCTCGAAAAAGGACATCCTCAGCTCGCCGAAACTGTTGTCGGACATCAACCCGATCATCTTCCGCGGCCGCAACCACATTGCCTGTGTGCGCTGCAAGAACCAGAAGATCAAGTGTTCTGGGGCCAAGCCGACGTGCGACAATTGCAAGCTCACGGGCAACGAGTGCGTGTATCCGTTCAAAGACCGCAAGATCATCATTCTGGAGTCGCAATTGCAGCTGTTGCAGGCGCGCATCAAGGAGCTGGAGGACTACATCAACGGCGAGACCGCCGACAACGGCAAGGCCAGCTCGCAGACCGACCACCGCGCGTTCCTGCCGCTCCAGTTCCACACCAACAACGAGCGCCTCGACAACGTGATCAACGTGTCCTTTGGCGACTCCGAGCAGCAGGAGCGCAACGTCCAGCCGCCACACCCGTCCAGCATCAACTACCACGTGTCGGACCTCTACTTTGCCGCCACCGACGACTGCGTGCTCTCGCTGCCGGCGCGCGACTACGCCGAGCCGCTCGTGAGCCTGTGTCTGGCGCACTTCCGCGACTCGCACTATCTGTACGAGGAGTCCGAGTTCGCGGCCGAGTTCGGCAGGGTCTACGACACCGGCGTGTGCTGCTCGCCGCAGCTGCTGTCCAAGATCTTCATCACGCTCGCGATCGGCGAGCAGATCCTGTACTCGATCAAGTCGCACCAGCTGTCGCTCGCCGAGCTCGACCGCGAGCTCTCGTCGAAACGGCACTTTGTCAACAAGACGCCCGGCCTCAAGTACTTCCTGGCCGGCGCGCGCATCTTCCCCGTCCACGTCGAGATGCCGACGCTGCCGGCGATCCAGACCGCGCTGCTGATCGGGTACTATCTGCAGTCGCTCAACCGCATCACCGGCTCGTACGTGTGGTTCGGCGTCGCCACGCGCTGGGCGCTCTCGCTCAACCTGCACCTGCGCCAGCCGTACCTGACGCCGCAGGAGATCTCGCGCCGCAAGCGCGTGTGGTGGACCGTCTTCACGCTCGACTCGCTCGCAACGTCGCGCATCCGGCTGCCCCAGAGCGTCAAGTTCAACGAGACGCAGATCGAGCTCATCAGCGAGCGCGACTGCGCCGAGTGGGGCGGCGCGCGGTTCCTGTACCTGCAGGTCTCGCTCATCAAGTTCACAGACGACATCCTCAACTCCGTGTACAACATGACGTCGCGCAGCGTGTACACGGGCGAGAAGACCCGGCTCGGCACAGACCTCGTGGCAAACACGGTCAAGATGGTGCGGGTGCTCGAGGACAACTTCGAGAAGGACGTGGCGCGCGACTTTGAGCAGCTGCGCAAGGAGATGTACGACAACAAGCTGTGCGAGCTGCACCAGCCGCTCATCCACGTCTACCTCAAGTCGAACCAGTACTTCATCACCGCGTGCCGGCCGCTCGCGCTCGCCGTGTTCAAGAAGTTCATCGCCACAGAGGACGCCCGCATCACGCAGGTGCTGCGCAAGTGCATCAACGCCGCCAAGGAAACCATCTCCGTGCTGCGCCACCTCAAGCTGCTCAAACTGCTCATCACCTTCGACTACTGGCACACACACTTCCTCTTCAACTCGATCCTCATCCTGCTCATCACCATCAACCTCGAAAACAACCACACAGCGCTCGCGCGCGGCATCGACCTGCTCAAGTTCATGGCCCTCGCAGGCAACCACGTCTCCAAAGACTCGCTCAACAAACTGATCCAGCTCGTGCGCATCTTCAACGACCTCGGCTTCAACCTCGACTTCGACCTCACGCTGCCCACGTTCGACACCCCCTACGCCCCCCAGTCGGTCGACAGCCCAGAGGACGGCGTCGACATCCAGCTGATCCACCCTGACACCAACCCCATGGACCAGAACATCCAGGACCAGATCGACCAGACAAACTTCCAGCTGCAGCAGCAGCAGCAGCAGCTGCACCACCACACAGAGCAGCTGCCCTTCATGTTCCCCAACCCCGAGGACTTTGCAGGCAAGCAGCCGCCGAGCAGCTATCCGCAGGACGAGCTCTTCAACTCCAACTCGAGCTTTTTCGACAACCTGCTCAACAACATGCAGACGTGGGACCTCGTGCCCAGCTCGACCGGCCTCGACACCAGAACGGAGGCGACTCCCTCTCTGCAGGACCCCGTGTTCTCCACGCCTCCCTTCGCGCCGCCCACCCAGACTCGTGCAGAACGCTATCCGCTCAAGTCTAGACCGCTTACGTAACACACCTCGCTGCTCGCCGGGCGCCCCTACATACGAGAAACGAAATATCTTTGTCGGTGGAAAAAAGCAATCTGCAGCACGGGGGGCAAAATCTAGTATTCTCTTGGCAGCGGCAGATGGCGAGGCCCTGCGCCAGGGACGGTAATCAATAGATGGCGAGGAGCCAGCGTAGACGGAGACATGCCAGCAGAGAGCTGTTCGTGCTGCCTTGCCCGTGACCCGCCGCCGACGCCGGCTCGCCGATCTCAGCGTGCCCTTCACCGTGCCCGCTTCACTCGCATTTCTCCGATCTGTCCTCGATTACATTGCCTATTTAGGAGCGGTAATTGGTTTTTTCTTTTCCTGCAGGGTGGATACGTACGATGAAAAAATAAACGATCAACGGGCCTATATAAGCTTCCCAAGCGACATTCATCTCACCCAAGTCTTTCATTCTTTACAGCTACAGACTCCACTCATTCGTTATGTTAGCCAACTTGTCGATCTTTATCACTCTTGCTGTGCTTGCCACCTCTGCTCCCGTCGAGCACGTCCACCACGCGCACCAGAAAAGAGCAGCACAGTGTTCGTTCCCTACCGACAAGGGTCTCGTCAAAATCACCAACGTCAACGGTGACGGCTGGGCCCAAGACAAGTCCTGCACCCCAGGCAACTACTGTCCTTACGCCTGTCCTCCAGGAAAGCTGATGGCACAGTGGAACCCAAAAGTCACGTCCTACAGCTACCCTGGCTCCCAGGACGGAGGACTATATTGCAACGACAACGGCGAGCTCGAGACGCCGATCTCTGACCACGACTACTGTGTCGACGGCAAGGGCACTGCCTCGGTCAAGAACTCTGCCTCCAAAAATGTCGCCTTCTGCCAGACCGTCCTGCCTGGCAACGAGGAGATGCTGATTCCAACCAACGTCGACTCGTCCTCGTCGCAGACGCTCGCCGTGCCAGGCACAGACTACTGGGCCAGCACCGCCTCGCATTTCTACATCAATCCTCCAGGAGTTTCCACCGACGAGGGATGTCAATGGGGCTCCACCAGCAACCCGTACGGCAACTGGTCACCTTACGTGGCCGGCTTCAACATGGACGACAGCGGAAACACGTTTGCTAAAATCGGCTGGAACCCCGTCTACTTTGAGGACTCGTCGCCGTTCAAGAACGACAAGCCATCGTTCGGTGTTCGTTTGTCCTGCAACAACGGCGACAAGTGCAACGGTAACGCCTGCGAGATCAACCCGCAGAAGTACGGCCTGAACAAGGTCAGCGGCAGCGACAACGTGAGCGACGGCGCCGCCTGGTGTGTTCTGACGGCCACGGACTACAGCGACGTGACCGTTGAGGTTTTTGATCTGTGATTTTATTTTTCGTTTATTTATTTGGGATTTACTAGGGATGGTTTTAGGAAATTTAAATATACGTGCTTTTTATTATTACAAATAAATTACTACTGTGGTGGACGCTAATTGTTTTTTTTCGCTTTTTAATTAACCCAATAATTAGGCTAACGAGATTGAAAGACAGCCCCTATTTTTCACTCTCGAGCCATGTATTCCAAGAAAGAAATCAAGATCCTCACTCTGCTGGGGATCGACACCATCTTCTTCCTTCTGGAGATCATCGTCGGATACGCTGTCAACTCGCTGGCCCTGATTGCAGACTCTTTCCACATGCTGAACGATATCATCTCGCTGCTGGTGGCGCTTTGGGCCGTTAACGTTGCCAAGACCAAGGAGGCCGACGCCAAGTTCACGTACGGCTGGCAGCGTGCCGAGATCCTGGGTGCGCTCATCAACGCCGTGTTCTTGCTTGCCCTGTGCTTCACCATCTTCATCGAGGCCATCCAGAGATTTATTGCACCGCAGGACATCACCAACGCAAAGCTCATTCTAATAGTCGGCACCTGTGGCCTGGTGTCCAACATCGTGGGGCTGTTCCTGTTCCACGAACACGGACACTCTCACGGAGACGTCGGCGGACACTCACACTCGCACCACGAGGAGGAGCAGGCGGACGACTCCGACATTGAGCACATGCTACCGCAGGTCGTGGTCAACAACTGGGAGTACGACAGCCCAGACGGCCACAAGACACACAACCATGTGACCAACAGAGGTTCCAAGAAAACCTCCAAGTCGCTCAACATGCAGGGCGTGTTTTTGCACGTTATGGGGGATGCTCTTGGAAACATTGGCGTCATGGCCACCGCCTTATTCATCTGGTTCACGGACTATTCCTGGAGATTCTACGCCGATCCGCTTGTTTCTCTGGTAATCACATGCATCATCTTCTCCTCTGCGCTGCCGTTGTGCAAGTCGTCGTCCAGAATCCTGCTGCAGGGCACTCCGCTGTCTATCGACTCCGAGCTCGTCATGGACGACATTCTGAAAGTCCACGGTGTGATTTCCGTCCACGACTTCCACATCTGGAACCTGACCGAGAGACTGCTCATTTGCTCGCTCCACGTCGACCTCAGCGTCTCGCCGGAAGAGTTCTTGGATGTGGCGGCCACCATCAAGCAGTGTCTCCATGCGTACGGCATTCACAGCGCGACGATCCAGCCGGAGTTCTCGCAGTACTACGCCAAGATCAACAAGCTGCCTAAACGGTTCTCGTCCGAGGCAGACCTGCACAACCTTGCAGACTCCGAGACCGCGGGACTGCTGACCCACGAGCACCGCTCGTACGGCTCTGCCGTGCCGGCTCCGAACGGCCAGATCGGCTGTATAGTGGACGCTGCTGTGAACTGCACAGCCGAGAACTGTGTGAAGCACTAAAAAATAAAATAAAATTCCACATCGTCAAAGTAATAAATGCCATATGGCCAAGTTCACGAGGCCGATCGCCATCCTCAGCATAGTTTTGGCCCTAGCGTATGTGTTTCAGGGCCAGCTTCTGGCCAAATACGCGTCGCCGCCGGCTGTGGAGCCCGCTGCGCGCGAAAACGCCACCTTTTTCAGTCTCGTGCGCAACTCTGAGCTCCCCGGCATGTTGCAGAGCATCAAGAGCGTAGAGCAGCGATTCAACAACAGGCACCACTACCACTGGATTTTCGCCAACAACGAGCCGTTCACCGACGACTTCAAGACGGCTGTCGCGGCGATGTGCTCGGGAACGGTCGAGTTCAGCCTCATTCCGCCAGAGCACTGGGACTATCCAGAATGGATCGACCAGACACACGCGGCCGAGGTGCGGCGCCAGATGAGGCGCAAGGGCGTCAAGTACGGCGACAACGAGTCGTATCGCCACATGTGCCGCTTTTTCTCGGGACTGTTCTACAGGCTGGACGCGCTCAGGCCGTTCCGATATTACTGGCGAGTCGAGCCGAACGTCGAGTTCCGCTGCAACATCGCGTACGATCCGTTTGAGGTGATGCGCACACAGGAAAAAGTGTACGGGTTCACGCTCACGCCGCTGGAGCTGCACACCACGGTGGCCACGCTGTGGAATGCCACGCAGGAGTACATGCACCAGTACCCGGACCGCGTGGCTGCGAACAACAACATGGCGTTTCTGACGGACGACGACGGCGAGAGCTTCAACATGTGCCATTTCTGGTCGAACTTTGAGATCGGCGACCTCGACTTTTTCCGCAGCGAGACGTATACGCATTTCTTCGACTATATGGACCGCAAGGGCGGCATTTTTTATGAACGGTGGGGAGACGCGCCGCTGCACACCATAGCGGTGTCGATGCTGCTTCCGTACACCAAGCTGCAGTACTTTGCGGGCACCGGGTATTATCATGCGCCGAATCTGCAATGCGACGGGCCAAACTGGCTTCAGGAGCAGAATGAGTGCATTTGTTTTGCGGACGACGATTTCGCGTGGTCGGGCGGAAGCTGTTTGACGAAGTTCTTCGACGTCCACCAGCTGGAGCGTCCAGAGGCGGCTCCCACGACCCCGTACACGCCCATCCATAAGCCTAGCAAATTATAGACCTATGCTACCATTCCAGCGAGCTCGCCCACGAGACGCGCTTGCGGTTGCGGTCCGAGTACGAGAACGTCTTGGGCCCCTGCTTGGCGCCGCCAGGGCTTACGTTCTCCTGGTTTTCGTGTAGTTCCTGTAGCTCCTCCTTGAGCTTGTCGAGTGTTCGCTGGTGGCTGAGCGAGCCGGGCTTGTGCTGGCGTCTGTGGCTGTGCTTGAGTTGCAGAAAGCTCTGTCTCTCGGACTCTGTGTAGAAGCCGACCTTTTTAAGCGTCTTTTCCGGTCGCCGCAGCGCGGTGGTTCTGGCGAGCACCGCGCGCACGATCGCGGCCTTGCGCACGCCGTCCACGGCGGGTCCCGCCGTCGGAATCGTCACCAGCTCTGTTGTTTTCTCTGGGATCGGGATCCCCAGACAGTTCTGCGAGTTGATCTCGGTCGCGTACTTGGTAGCATCCTCTATGCTACCGTCGGAGCTCTCCACTATGAGGTTCAGCAAATTGTGGCACGGCTTGATGATGGGTCTCTGGATAGGCTGTTTTGTAGGGGTGCAGATGCGTAGCGGCGAGCTGTGCTTGTCGCGGGCGGCGGGCTGTGGCTCGTTCTCGTCGAACTCAAGCTGGAAATCGTCCTGGTGGATGTCCACGGCAAGATGGTTGTTGCTGGCGCGCAGGAACTTGCTGAGCTCTGCTCCAAAGTCCATGTCGCCAATGTCCTCGTGCTCGTCGACGTCCGGCGCAGAGCGCACCCGCGCGTCGATCTCGTCGATCGAGAGGTTGCCGATCATGCCGTCGATGTCGCTGATGGTGGTCTTTTCGACGCTGGAGAAGTCGAGGTCGGTCGTGCTCGGGCTGAACAGCTGGCCGTCGAGATCAACCGACCGGAGGTAGCTGTCGAAGTCGAACAGCTGGGCGGAGCTGGCAAAAAGATGGTCTGCGGGGGCCGCCGCGGGCTTGGGCAGCTCGATGATGTCGTCGAGCGTGGTGTTGCCGGAGGCGAAGTCGTCCAGCAAAGACGGTCTGTTCTTCTTCTCTGGCGAGCCCGGCGGGCTGGAGATCGGGCTGCTATGGGCGGGAACGCTGGCCTCGAACGGGTTCGAAAAAATCGAGTGCAGCATGGGAAAGCAAAGACAGCGGTGCTGGGCTAGCGACGGCAAGGAAGAATAATAAGACACAAATTTAAATGTCTGGCTCTCGCTGATATTTATGATTTCCCGCATTGGGAAGGCGCATCGAGTTTTTTTATGTCTGGGTCTTGCACCGCCACAAACGCTTCCTCGCGTTAAGCTGCTACCATTTATCCTTCCTCCCATGAGCCAGCCTGCCGCTCCCCAAACAACCAAAACCTACGCCCGAGTCCAGACGTACCCGATCGCCGCCTCGTGGATCCGCATCGGCGGCCACTTCCCGCTGCCCCACGTGCTGCGGCCGCGCCTGTACGCCCTGGCGTATTCGCCAGCGTTCAAGGACTACACAGAGGTCCTGGACTCGTACTTTGACCACTGGCTCGAGGACGTCGAGCACACCGTCCCGGAGATCAAGACGCTGAGAATGCGCGACATCAGAGACTCGCTGACCCGGCCCGTCGTGGACGCCTCGCTGCTTGTCGACAGAAACATGCACGCTCTCTCGGTTGCAATGAACCAGCGCGTTCTCGAGCCCGCCAGAAAAACCGCGGGAGACATCAGAAAGGCGTACGCCCCGCTGTACGACACACAGGGCCGTGCGCTGCTGCGGTCGCAGCTGGACCCGGTGTTCAGGCCGCTGAACGAGCGACTGGCGCGGCTGGTTGGCGACGACGCGGACACAGACTACTCGAGCGAGCTCTCGCACAGCCTCAGACTGCTGAACGGTGTGGCTGAGCAGACGAGGCCGCGGATTGCCACCAGCGTCGCGAGAAGCAGGCAGCTGCCCAGCCAGGTCACCAGCCACCTCAGCGAGGTGTACCAGGCCAACAAGTCGAAGCGCGGCGAGGGCAGGCTGATCGTGATGATCGCGTCGATGGACACGGTGCGCGACCTGCTCAACGAGGGCTACAACGTGGTCAGTCCGGGGCAGGGCCAGGAGCAGGAGCAGAAACAGCCAGAGCAGCCAGAGCGGCCAGAGCAACCAGCTTTGTCATCTTAGTTTAGGTACGAATGGAGTGAAAGGATTAACTGATAAGGATTAGGCTAAAAACACTAGGAGTATGTGAAACCGAGTGAAGAACACTAAACTGTCTTCTCGCTACATATCGTCTCGGCAGCATCTCGTCGATCACCTCTCGTCGATCGTCTTGATCTCGTCCTGCAAAACAACCAGCCGCTTGTGGATCTGCTCGATGTCCTTGTTGAACTTGTCCTGTCTCTCGAACAGAGCACGCTTCCAGTCCTTGAACTTCTGGTTCTGCGCCTGCACAATCTCCGTGAACCGCTTCTTCATCGTCTTCTCGCTGTCCAGGTATGCAGGGTTCATCTCCACCAGCTCCCGCTCGGTCTCGCGCAGGTTCAGCGTGTTGAGCATCTTGAGCACGCCCACGCTCGGCTTCGACTCGATCACCTGCTGGATGTTCGGGTGTGTCTGGCCGTCTTCCATCTGCACGGTCTTCCAGCTGCCCTTGTTGTCCGGCACAATCGTCTCGCCGTCCTCGTTTTCGACGTCCAGAGCAGCCAGCTCCTCGTGGCTGATGGTCATCTCCATCGCCTTGCCCAGCCGGTACCGCATAAAGTCGCGCCGGTAGTTTTCGTAGTAGCTCTCCGTGGACGAGATCAGGTCTGCCATGTTGGTGCCCATCAGAAACTCGCGCAGCTTCACAAAGTCGCAGTGTGCCGGGTTGTCCACCTCGGCCAGCCCCCATTTGTACTGCCGGCCGCGGACAAGCTGGCCCTTGGCGTTCGGAAACGAGCCCTGCGAGTTCAGCACGCAGAACGGCATCTCGCCAATCAGGTTTGCCGCGCCAGTCTTGTCGAACAGCTCGCAGATCGAGATCTCGTGCTCCTTGAGAGACTTCTTGACTCTCTGCTTGAAAGCGTTGATCTCGTCGACCGTGAACGCATCGGCCTTGGAAATAACAGGCACCAGGTTGACCCTGGTCGACAGGTTCTTCATGGCCTCGATGTCAATCTGGGTCAGCCCCGTTGCAGACGGAACAATGAAATACAGACACACGTGGACCTCTGAGTGCGACGTTTTGGTTCTGTCTGGCTGGTTCTCCTGGTAAACGGCCCGTCTATACTGCTCGTCAATGTATCTGACTATCGGGTACCAGCAGTACCTGTTGTCGATGTAGTCGCCGAATCCAGGAGTGTCGATCACGTTCAGTCTGAGCAGAAAGCTGTCTTCCACGAGCTCGATCTTGTGCGAGACTATCTCGGTGGTCTTATTAGGGCTACCGCCCAGACGAGTGCTCGGCTCTGTGACCACGGTGTCGAATAAGGTGTTGATAAAGGAGGTTTTGCCCACGCCCGACTCGCCCACCATCATGACGGTGAAATGGGCCCCCTTCTTGAGCGCATGGAGACGCTTCAGAACAGGCAGACACGCCAGACCAACGTCGCCAGGATACATGTTGGCGATGGCGGACTCCATGTTGTAATGAGTGGGGCACTCCTCGTCCCTGAGGAGCGTGCTGGTGCTGGAGGTGCTGGGCGCGTTTCTGGGCTCCAGCGGAGCGCTGATATCGCCGTTGGTGGCAGCCACGTCAATGTCGATGTTTTCGCCCGTCAGAGGGGCGCTGGGCGCAGAAAAAAGGTCGATCGAGCTGATCACACGCTTGTCGGTCAGTTGGTCGACTTGGGCAGCCATTATTGGAATGAGAAAGAGGAAAAGATGGTGTGCGTTTTCTCAAATACATGTCTCAGCGTCTACCGCGCGGGTGGTGCCCTAAAAAATGCAGCGTGCGGCGGCGCGGCAAAAAATTAGTACTCAGCTGGTGGCATTCCTCAGGGACAGAAAACAGTTCCACAGCACGCCGATGCCGCTGCTGAACGGCACCTGGAAGCTTTTCGGCATCACCAGGAAGTTCACAAACTGCACGGGAAACCACAGACAGAAGTTGCACGCCAGCGTCGACAGATACACCCTGTACAGCTTCTCCCTCACGTCGTCTGCACTGCCCTGCTCAATCACCAGCGTGCCGTAGGTGAAGAAGCAGGCAAGCGAGACGGGCGAGAAACACAGCTGGTCGGTCAGCACGCGTTCCAGCACGCTCACAAACGTCGGCACGTCCTTGTACATGGCGTTCAGAAACGAGTACCACACCACCTGGACAAACGACATCAGGAAGCCCCAGAAGACGAAGCCGGCGAATCGGCGCACCTGGAACGTTGGTGGGGCGGCTTCTGTTGTCTCGCCAATCTGCTGGACGGAGATCTCGCCGTCCTCGCCGTAGTCGACAAAGTAGTCCTCCGGTCTTCTCGGAACTAGTGTCTCCAAATAGGTGGCGATGTTGTACGGCAAATTGCGCTCCTGGAACGACGCCTGCTGGCAGTAGGCGGTGATAGATTGCGCCAGCGTGTCCGCAATGCCGTACAGAACGATGTTGGTGGCCATGGTGGCCACAAGAGACGATTTGGTGTACAGCTGGTGGTATCTGGTGGTGAGCTTGGCGAGGAAGTAGGCGAATAGCACGAGGATCAGCAGGTTCGGCACGGGGACATTGCGTACTCGGGCGGTGAATAGTTTCCGGAGTGCGCCGGGGAGTTGCAGAGACGTCCTGGACGCCGATGGACGCTCGTCTGTGGGCAGGCTGATAGGCATGAGAGCAGATATTAATCTAGAAAAGAATCTCCACGTGACATAAAATAGGGCAGACACACGCGCACCGGACAAAACTTTTCTCTCTGCCAAAATTCGGGTCAGCATAGGTAACAAAATATTAGTGAAAAATTAAACTCACCTTCATCAGTACAGCATGTTAATTCCAAAGGAAGACAGAAAGAAGATCCACCAATACCTCTTCAAGGGTAAGTACCAGACGGGCTGCGGCCGATGGGAGATGAATTTCTAACCGTACCAGAGGGCGTCTTGGTCGCTAAAAAAGACTTCGAAATCCAGCACGATGACATCGACACCAAGAACTTGTACGTCATTAAGGCCATGCAATCGTTGACCTCCAAGGGATACGTCAAGACCCAATTCTCGTGGCAATACTACTACTACACTCTGACCGACGAGGGTATCAACTACCTGAGAGAGTACCTTGCTTTGCCAGAGACCATTGTTCCAAACACCTTGGTTGCTGAGCCAATCCAGGAGAGACCACAAGCCAGACGTGGCCCAAGAAGAGACGATGGTGAGGGGTACAGAAGAAGATTCAGAGATTAGGTGTAATGAATATACGGGCGAGAGCCAAGAAGAATGGAAATTAGAATAACTATTGCGGCAGAGACACGCACAGCTGCCGGCGTGAGCGTAGCGCGATCCAGCACCTTCTTGGGCCATGTTGGTCCATACTGGTCCATCTTCTGTACTTACTTTTCGTAGCTACCGATCTTTCAAATGCTTGGAATATTTTTTTCCCCTGCTTACCTCATCACTTAATTGTCCATGGTTTTTGGTAGACACAAGAACAGATCCGTGGATCTGTCGTTGCAGGACAGCAACTACCAGCCCGTAAGTGCCACCCAAGCCCCGTCTAACGCCAGTTCCCGAATCCCAACTCGCTGAAGCCGCAGCCGTCGACTGGAGGGAAAAACACGCCAAACAAAACCCCCCCTGCCCTCCCGCCTCAACCCCGGCCACGGCCTATTCCTCCCCCACCGGCAGCGCAGAAACCTACAATCATCAACAACTACTACTACGTATCGCCGCCGCCGCAACCAGGCAACGTTGCTCCTCCACAGCCCCAGCAGATCCCGCATCCCTATCTGAGTCCTGGTTCCTCATTCACGAGGGCGTCCCTGGAAAACAGACCATCGTCGCTTTCGTCTCGCCCGCAACGGCCACAGCTGCTGGCAAAGGTGCCCAGCACGTCATCTGAGGAGTCTGAGATCTATTCTTCGCCGTCGCTGGCCCGTCTCGAACTACACCCACGGCTGCCCCAAATCGACCTTGACGACCCGGTCCCTGATCCACAAGTACCTAATCTGCTGAGTCTGCTCTCGCGCATGGGTCCCGACTCGATTTCCGTTCACAACCAGCAACTCTACGACGCATTCTCACGGTTTGGCAAGGACTCCATAGATTACGAAGATTTACGACAGCTGCTGGTCAATCCGGAAGGAACGTATTTCAAATCTGACAGCGCCAGACGCCTCTGCAACACTTTCGTGTCCACCACGTCTGAGTTGGAGTTTCGCGATTTCATCAGATTGTGCAAGTTCCTCAAAGGATGCTACGACTCGTTCAAGTATCACGACTCAGATAAATCATGCTACTTAGAGCCCGCAGAGTTCTCCAAGTCGCTCAGATACAACCAGATCACGTGCCCGGACAGACTGCTGCAACAGATATACAGGAATTCGCCAAACTTGAACCTCGAAGCCTACGTTCTCGCGGTGATCCTGATCCGCAAACACGAGCGCGAACACCTTTACACCGGCTAGCATAAAAAGTTTTCATCAGCGAGAAAAAAACTTGCACCTTTTCCAATGAGTGTAAGTACTTTTTGAAAGCAGCATATGATGAATACTTGTTATTATTACTTTTCTTTCTGGCATCTCTAATGTTAGAGCTTCCGGCTCGATGAATATAACCCTTGACACTTATCTGAAGCTGTGTTTTCCAAAATTCACTAACATGTTAGAGCTATGGTTTCCACAACTTGCCCGATCCTCTGGGAGCAAATGTGATTTTTCTGTAATCCTGTGTTTTCACCACTCCCGGCTCCCCGTTCTCCACTTGCGGTGAATCGATGGAGTCTGGCCGTTCCAGAAACGCTTGCATCTGGTTCATGCTCAGCACTTTAAACCCAAAACACCGGAGCCATGTAGTTGTGACGGGGTCCTCGCAAACGACCACCCAATCAATTCTCGACTTGGGTTTTCGCTTTTTATTTTCGACGAACTGTTTCTGAATGCACGAGCGGATAAGGTACCTCAGTCGAGGCGGGACCTTGGCCTTTTCGTGCTGATCCGTGTTTTTCGTTTTTTCCTCCTGCTCTTCGAAACCGGAAGTCACCAAGCGCATAGCCTTGTTCCGAGGCTCCTGGTACAGTCCGTAGCCGCTAGCCATTGCTGGGATCTCGTTTACCAGGGGCGTCCGTTGTCTGTAGCTTGAAGCTTTTTTCCAGTCTGGGCCTGCTTCCTCGGGAGATTCCAGAAGAAACTGCGCTATACGAGGATTCTGGGCGTCGGCAGGGTCTTCAGATATCGCCGCGTCAATTATACGAATGCTCTCCCGCGCGTTTCGGGCGACAACAGGGTTGATGGAGCGTTTGAGGAAGTCCAGTTCTCGCAGTGTGTAGTTCGGAACAAAGACCGTCAGAGGGTACTCTGTTTGCCATTTCTTGAGTCTGGAAATTCCTCCATACACCAGAGAGCTCGGATCCACAATCATATGGTACCGTTTTTGGTTGGCTAGCTTGTCATTGCTTGACATTCCACATTAAGTCGAGCAACCGATGCAAAACCGTTGAAAATTTTGTATATGCACAGCCGTGAGATTTATTACATAGTCTATAGTCAGTTAATTGTGATCTTTGTCTGCCTCCAGGTAAATTTCGAGGTCGGTGATGGGCTTGAACGGCCAGCGGAAGTACAAATCGGAAATGTTGACAAGTTCCTCTATCGGGAGATCGCAAATTCTGCATTCAAGAACCGACGCCGGAAGTAGCTGTTTGAAGTATTCATCTGCTCCGGGCCCGAGAAAATGCAGGTTCTGGATCACCTTGTAACTTGGTATCATGAATAGCTTGTGCAAAACCAGCGTGAACTCGGACATGTGCTCAATTGAGTATTTTTCGTGATTCGATTGGAACTCAACCAGCATCAAGTCTTCGTTCATAGGCACCTTAGGCAGCTTGATCGCGTCCGGGAATTGCCCCATACATCTGGTCACGCTTCTCTGCTTTTCGTGGTTGCTGTATGCAATGACATTCACGTCGTTGAAAGCGGTTGCAACCACAGAGTTGGTTTGTCTGAACCTCGTGCCCATGAGTCCGAGGTATTTCAGAGCATCTGCTGGACGCAGCCAGAAAAGCGACTTCACTTTTTGGTACTTATACCAAGCGAGACGCATTTGGTTGAAATAGAGCATGCTTCTCACTTTTGACTTGTCAGACGTGGCGATGTAGGAGCCGGTGATGAGCAGTGTTTGGTTCACTTTCTCGGCTGGCTGTTTATCAAGCACAATTTTCCCATTACTGATGAGCTCTTCGGAGTTATAGTGTCTAAGGGATCGTGGGTCCTCTTCAAATAGGTAGAAATTCCGGCACAGAGGATCCATGTCCTGGAGCCTTTTCCAAAACTTGTGGGTTGTCGCGCTGTTAGGGATAAGAAGATGAAAGCGGGGGCGGAGATAATGGTTTAGGTCGTAGACAAAGCTATTGAACCCAGTGTTGTAATCGATTATGTGCAGTTTTTCTGATGGGTTTTTGTACTGGTTTTTCAGATCAAGCTTCTCGAAAATCTGGCGGTTGATCTCCTGCGAAAAGGGGATTTTCGCGCTATTTCGGCCAAAGTAGGGGCTCTCATACGCCTGCTTAAATGTCTCGACCGAGTTCACAAACTGTGCTCTGGTTATCACTTTGGACATGGAGCTGGATCTGAATATATTCAAGTATTTTTTTTTATTTTTTTTTTGTTTTCCCTGTATTTTACACCATGCCTAAACTAAAAATAAAACTGAGCAACAAGGACGAGGAAAAGCCCAAGATCAAGCTCAAGGCGTCTTCGGGCCCTGACGACCTGCTTCCCACGCTCAAGCTGAGCACGACGAAGAAAGTGCCCACAATTCGGGTCAAGCCCACGAGAATGCCTGGTGACGGGTACGACTCGGAAGACCCCGACAGAGAGGATGATCCGTTGATCGAAGAGGGTATCATATTGAGAATGATACCAGACGAGTCGCTGGACTATTTGCGCAGATGTGTCGAGGACGGAGATATGAGCGGGATTACAATCAAGTGGAAGGACAAGAGACGGGCAATTCTACGAATAAATGGGATGTTGTACGGGGGCAAGCTTGTTGAGTTGCCGACTGTGGTGGAAGTCCATAAGTCTGTGGACAAGAAGAACATATTCAAGACAATCGACGTTTGCCAGATGCTGCTGATCGTGAAACGCCTCGAGTCTGAAAAAGATATCAAGGATATAGACGTTGACATGGAGCATGGCGAGTCGTATCCGGACGGGATCACGCCGCCGCTGGAGAACGCAAAGCAACGATTCAAGAAGCGCTATCAGCAGAAAATCATGCAGAGTGTCGAAGACAGGGTCCAGGAGCTTCTGGACCTGGACGACGAAGCCGAGTCCAGCACGTATACGTTTATCGATCCATCGGAGGAGGCCAGCAACTACACCACCCCCGAGCCTATTGCGTTCAAGAAGAAGAAGCAGAAGGCACCGGAAGCCAAGGCAGTGGATGAGGTGGACAAACTGATGGAGGCGAGCGACAACGACGACGAGCTGGACTTGGAGCTGGAGGCCGCATTTGAGGACGCACCACGGGACGAAGAGGAAGAAGAGATCATCGAGGGCGCGTCTGCGGACGAAGAACACGAGTCTTCCGACGATGACGACGACGACGACGATGACGAAGAGGAGGATGAGGAAGACCAGACACGTCCTGTTGGAGAAGAGATGAACGAGACGCAGCAGCACAACGCCATTTTACGCGAGGAGATCAGCGAACTGGAAAGCACCATCGAGCAGAAATCCCGGGATCTGGCGAAGGCCAATAACCCGATCATGCGGAACCGTATTACTGACGTTATCGGGCGACTCAAGCAGGAACTTGAGCTCAAACGCATGCAGATACAGGAGCAAGAGAGTACGAACGATCAAAATAAGGACGAAGACGACGAGGACGATCAGGAAGACCAGGAGGACCAGGAGGATAACGAGGAGGCGGAAGAGAACGACGACGACCTAGCAGATTTATTCTGAGGCTGTTTCACAGCTGTGTCGAAAATAATTCTGTCTCTGAAATAGTGTAATTAGCAAATTAATTAAATTATCTGACTCACACTCGAATAAACAATCATGATGGTACAGTCCCAAAATATAGACCTGGGAGGCCCAGGCCTGGCCAAAATGAGAAAAGGCTCCCGCAAGAAACAAGCAGATGCGCTCATTCCGCCACGGGGAGTGCTTCCTGACGGTACTGCTGTGGATTTTGGCCACTCAGATAAAAGCAAGTCCAAACAACAAACAGCACAGAAAAAGTCTCCGTCAGACAAGGCATCCAAGGGACCCAAACAGACCGCAGTCGTGGAATCGACCACAAACGATCTCAAGAACCTGTTGCTGGACTCATCGCAATCGCTGCCCGACGGCCAGAAACCAGATTTCGGCGGGCGTACGAAGAAGAAGCCCCGCGATAACCACAAACAGCAGTCCAGCGCACCCAATAGAAACTCAGCTGCTACGAATCTGCCATCCAGTGCCGACTCGTACCTGAAAAAATCCCCCCTTTCTCAATCTTCGACGTCGATGTCCTCCCTTTCCTCCTCCACTCCAGTCTACGCAGGCTCCTCCTTCCACAGTGCGCCTTCCACTCTCTCTCTTCCCAAACCCTCTTTCCTCAAGAAATGATCTCTACGCATGTACGCTAATCATGAAAAGGACTTATTCAGTAGCCATCCATCCTGGATGTTTCCTATCTGCGCTGACGTAAGCACACACAGTTTTCTTATATCTATTTTGTCGCTAGGGATTAAAAATCTTTATGCCTTCGCACAAAGACTCCTTTTCCTCGCTCTCGACCAGGCGGCGCGAGGCCTCGCGAAATCGCGAATCCGTGTCTCTCGCGTCCCGCCAGTTCCATGTGGACGAAAACGAGACCGAGATGTTCTCTGGAGCAGCGTCGCACGTGATTCCGTCATCGATCTCTTCGTTCCATCATAATCTCCCGCAGCCGTTTCCATCACCGGCCATTTCCAGTGTCGCCATACAAGACGACTATGGCGAGCTGGAAAATTTCTCCCTGCACCGTGTCGACTCGAATGCAAGCACTGCCGAGTTCCAGGAGCGGGCCAAGTTCAAGTTCTTCACTACACAGCAGATCGAAGAAGCCAAGGGAGCTTCGTCCCAGCTACACAACCCAGAGGGAATGCTGGTTGACTACGATACCAATTGGAACACCTACGACGACGAGCTGCATCACAGAAGTATGTCGGTGCAGTATCCGGCTGCCTCCATCCATAGCAATGCCGAGCTGGCCTCTATTCCTGTGACCAGCTACGGATCGATGCACACGAGCGAAGAGGAGCTTTTTCCGGAGGAGTATCCGGACGAGGACGGCGATCTCTCATCAGAGCACGACGAGTGGGATACCAAGTCTGGAGTCTGGGCGGATGTCAAACACCATGATAAGCTGTTTGGGGCCAAATTTCCAGCTAGAAACACGAGCCAACGGTTCTATCTTGCGGAAGAGGACCTTGTGATTGGAATCGCAGGCTACTCCAACTCGTACCTGAAACTAGCAGCATATTATTCATTCATTATTCTGACTCTAGGACTCGGGTATCTAGGTCTTCGCTGGTTCCCAAGATACCGTATCCAATTGATGGGAAACGCCACGCCGCTCGGCAAGGCGCAGTGGGTCGTTGTGGAGGACGAGTTTGGTGTGCTGGACATTATCAACGTGAATAGACACTGGTACAATCGCTCGCTGTCATCATTTCTCACAAAGTCCAGGTTTGACGACAAAGACGACTACGACCTGGATGACACTGACCCTCTGGTTCCGATTCTGATCTCGTTTGAGTACAGATATATGAAGTTTTTCTACGACCCGCTAGAAGACATCTACAAACTGGCAACTAGCTGGATCGATCCAAAATGGTGCCATTTTCCAGAGAGCAAGACAGGTCTGTCCGAAGACCTCTACCAGAGCAGGTCTCTCATTTTTGGCGAAAATCTCATTGACATCAAGGACAAGTCAGTGATCCAGCTGCTGACTGACGAGATCCTTCATCCGTTCTATGTTTTTCAGGCCTTTTCAATTTTGCTATGGCTTGCTGACAGTTACTACTACTACGCATTCTGTATTTTCATCATATCTGTCTTTTCTATCGCCGAGTCGCTCATTGAAACAAAGACAACCATCACACGCATGCGTGCTATTTCAAGATTCGAGTGCGACGTGAGAGTCTGGAGAAGCGGTTTCTGGAAGGAGATCAACTCCAAGGAACTTGTTCCAGGAGACGTTTACGAGGTGTCAGATGCATCTCTTCATTATTTCCCGTGTGACGCAATCTTACTCTCGGGAGACTGCATTGTGAACGAGTCCATGTTGACAGGCGAGTCCGTTCCTGTGTCCAAGCTGCCAATCTCGCCAGAGATCGCTGCAGATCTGAGAAGTGAATTTGCCAGCACCAAGTTTTCTCCCCAGTTGGCCAAGTCGTTCCTGTATTCCGGTACAAAAATCGTTAGATGTCGTTACGCCAACAACGGAGACGAGCCAGCAATGGCCCTTGTGGTGAGGACCGGTTTCAACACCACCAAGGGCTCGTTGGTTAGATCAATGCTATTTCCCAAACCAAGCAGCTTCAAGTTCTACCGGGACTCCTTCAAGTATATTGGTGTGATGACGGTAATTGCATTGGTTGGTTTCGTTGTTTCTGCTATCAACTTCATCAAGCTTGGGCTTGGATGGAAAACAATCACTTTGCGTGCGTTGGACCTCATCACCATCGTTGTTCCGCCTGCATTACCTGCAACACTGACAATCGGCACCAGCTTTGCGCTCTCGCGATTACGACACAAGAACGTGTTTTGCATTGCGCCTACGCGTATAAACGTTGGAGGAAAGCTGGATGTCATGTGTTTTGACAAGACCGGAACGCTGACCGAGGAGGGTTTGGATCTGATGGGTGTTCGCGTTTCAGAGCCGATCCGCGACCGCAAAGAGCGTCATTTCACCGATCTCTATGCGCATGTTGATCAGCTATTTGGCACAGCAGCCAGTCCGCAGGCCTACGAGCTCTTCTTGACAATGCTTACTTGCCAGTCTTTGAAAAAGGTGGAAGACGAGATTGTGGGAGATCCTTTGGACGCAAAGACATTTGAGTTCACGAACTGGGACATGATTGAGAATCCCGTGGACGACGAAGCTCTAAATGACTTCGTTACCAGGCACACTTTTAGCCGCAACGTTTCGCCTGTTCTTTTCCGCCCCAAGAACAAGCTCCAAAATAATACACTGTTTGTGAAATTGCGCGAATTCGAGTTTGTGTCGCAACTGAGACGTATGTCCTCAATATGCCAGTCTCTGAACAATCCAGCTCTGTACAACGTCTTTGTGAAGGGCGCACCGGAAGTGATCGAGGACTTGTGTTTTCCAGAGACAGTTCCAGCTAATTATCGGGAACTTCTCCACGAATACACGCACAATGGCTATCGTGTGATTGCCTGTGCTACCAAAACGATGAAAAAGCCGAACGCAGCCGACTTGACCGATCTGGAATTCCTGAATGAGCTTCCACGTGAAAAGTGCGAGTCCGAGCTAGAATTCATTGGGTTCTTGATCTTCGAAAACCGTCTAAAGAGCTCCACCAAGAGGTCTCTAAAACATTTAAAAGACGCCGAGCTTCGCACCATCATGTGCACGGGGGACAACGTTCTCACTGCCGTCAGCGTCTCGCGAGAATGCGGCCTGGTGGACCCGGGTTGCAAAGTTTACGTTCCTTCATTTGAAGAGTACGAGGAAAATCAGAGGATACCGATTGTTTGGACTGAGGTCGACGACCCAGAGTCTCAACTGGACCCCGTCAGTCTGATACCGCTGGACATCAACCGCACAGACGATTACTGCATCGCGGTCACAGGCGACGTGTTCAAGTACATTTTGACTGAATTGAGCGACCATGAACAGCTGATTGAGAAGATGTTGATGAAGGGAGCCGTATTTGCAAGAATGTCTCCTGACGAAAAACACGAGCTTGTTGACCGGCTTAAGGCGCTGGATTATACCGTGGGCTTCTGTGGAGACGGGGCCAATGATTGCGGAGCACTCAAGGCGGCGGATGTTGGAATCTCGTTGAGCGAGGCAGAAGCGTCTGTGGCGGCTCCGTTCACGTCGAGGGTGTTTGAGATCTCGTGTGTTTTGGACGTCATCAAAGAAGGCCGGGCTTCTTTGGTGACGAGTTTCTCGTGTTTCCAATTCATGTCACTGTACTCCGCCATCCAGTTCATCACGGTCACCATATTGTACAAGGAGGGCACCAACCTTGGCGATTTCCAGTTCTTGTATATCGACATGTTCCTGATCATCCCCCTTGCTGTGTTCATGGCCTGGAGCAAGCCTTTCGAAGAGCTGTGTGCCAAAAGACCTACTGCAAACCTCATGTCGCCGAAAATACTGATTCCCTTGCTGGGAAACATCTGCGTTTTGCTCAGTTTCCAGTTCTCTATTTGGAGATCGCTCAAAAAAGCCGACGACAGCTGGTATATACCTCCTGTTCCTGGTGACGACGATCAGGTCCAATGCTCCGACAACACAGTACTGTTCCTCTTTGCTAATTTCCAGTACATCATGGTTGCAATGCTGCTGACAGTCGGTCCTCCGTACAGAGAGTCTGCTGCCAAAAATCTCCCATTCGTGACCACCGTTTTCACCACTTCGATCCTGTCTGCTGCCCTGATGTATCTTGACAATACCAGCTGGTTTGGAGATTTGATGGACATCACGTGGACACCCGAAATCCTCAAGATGAGTCTGTTAGTGGCTGCGTGTGCCAACTACCTAGTATTACTCGGTGCCAACAAATATTTATTCGGCCGCCTGTCAAAGCTCTACAAGCACGTGTTTGGCCGTCGTACAAGCAAGAAACGGTTTAAAAACCTTCGAAAGGAGTTCAAAGTGCTATGTTGATTCAGCTGAATAAATAATCAAATAAATAAGTCTCACTCACCATTTCCGTCCCAGGTGTTTCTGAACACAGTTCTTGTACATCTCGAATTCCTTCAAACAAACGTCTTTGTTGATATTCTCGTAATTACGGAGCACACACTGGCCATATTGCGCGGACTCGGCCGAGCATTGTACCGTGGCGGCCATAAGTTTAGTCAGCTGGGACGTTGGTTTCTTTGACATGCGGAGTGAATTTTAAAAATATAAAATCAATTTAATTTTTAGCATGAAGAAACTGAACTATCTCCCTGCCCTCGGGGATTTGAATACGCCGTTGCCAGAAGAACAACTGGCTGTGCTTGAACGCGAGGTTGAAGATCAGAAACCGGAGCCAACTGCTCAATCATTATTCAACCTGGGCTGGGCCCTCGTGAAATCCAATAGCAAGCAAGATAACAGGGAAGGCGTGAATATACTCACAGAACTGTTCAAGACTGTGCCCGCAAGACGTCGTGAGTGTCTATACTACCTGGCAGCAGGCTGCTACAAGATTGGAGAGCTCAAAGAAAGCAAAAGATACATTGATGCGCTTATTCTCCACGAGCCAGACAACCTGCAAGCTGTGAATCTGAAAAAGGAGATCGAGAGTGAAATTTCCAAAGACGGCCTGATTGGGTTTGCCGTTCTGGGCGGTCTGACCGCTCTCGGAGTGGGCATAGCCAGTGCCCTGATCAAAACACAATCCAGGAAGAAATAACCGCGTTATTCTGAGCCTATATATATCTATAAGAATTCTCTCCCCAATCATTCCACCAGACCACCTTCTTTGCAAAGCGAGTAGAACAAGCTGTCCTTTTTCTTGAGCAAATTCTGAGGCGTGTCAAACTCCGCCACCTCGCCCTTTTCCAGGACAATGATCCGGTCGCTGTCAATGATGGTGTTCAGACGGTGCGCAATGGTCAAAATGGTGCGTTCTTTGAATGCCGAGCGGATGGTTTCCTGAACAATGGCATCGGTCTGGTAATCCACGTTGGCAGTGGCCTCGTCCAAAATCAAAACTTTGGACTCCTTTTTAACTAGAGCTCTGGCAAGACACATCAATTGCCTTTGACCGGCAGACAAATTAGATCCGCCCTCATTGATTCGAACCAGCAGCGGGTCCATCTTGATATCCTCCTTATTAGCCGACTCCTCATACATCACCATCACATGGTCCTTGAGATGAGAAAGCTCCAAGGCCTGCCAGATCTCGTCGTCTGAGTACTGTTCGATAGGGTCGATATTGGCTCTTAGAGTACCCTCGAAAATCTGGGAGTCCTGCGGAATGATTGACAGCTTGGAACGGAGATCAAACAGACCAATCTCACTTGTGTTCAGGTCGTCAATTTCAATGTGTCCATCGAACGCCTCGATGATCCGGAAAATAGCCAGCGTCAGCGACGATTTACCGGCTCCTGTGCGGCCAACAATACCTATTTTCTCCTTTTCGTTGATGGCAAGGTTGATGTTCTTGAGCACAAGGTCCAGGTCCGGTCTGTATCTGGTGCTGTAGTTTTTGAAGTTGATGGTGCCCTTAGATGGCCAACTACTAGGCGGCCTCTTGTTTTCTATGATAGCAGGAGCTTCTGGCTCTAGAGCAGCGTATTCGAGCACTCTTTCGACGGAAACAATGTTAGTTTCGATCTCCACTGTCATTCTAACAATCCAGTTGAGCGACTGCGTGGTCTGCAAGGCATAAGAAATTGAGAGACCCACGAGACCAGGAGTCACGCGGCCAGACTTGAGAGTCGCGACTAGCAAACTCGAGGCACCAAGAATAATCAAAGAACCCAGAAATTCCAGTCTGACGGCAAGCCATCGGTTGGCGCTGACAGAAGGATGGTATGCGCTCATGTTCACATCCATCTTCTGCTGGTTCATGTACATAAACCGTTCCAGCTGGTCATAAGCTCTAATGGTAGCAACTCCGCTTAGCGTCTCCTGGAAGTGAGCAAAGATTGGAGATTTCGAGACCGAATCCAGTCTACGCAGCTCTCTGGACGTGGCCAAGTAGTAGAGCTGGTAGAATCTGTACAGAACGGCCAAAGGAACCACCAAAAACACAAACTGCCAGGTGGAGTATATGATCACAAGCATTGTGAATGTGACCTTGATAGTGTTGGTGAAGAACATGCCAAACACTCTTGCAAGCTGCTCGTCGATCTTGTAGATATCTGGAGAGAACCTGTTCAGAATTCTTCCGATTGGAGTGGTTTCGAAAAACTGCATAGGAGCCCTAAGCACTCCGTCCAGCATGATCTGGTGCAAATACTTGGAACCCTGGATAGACACGGCAAGCCACTGCACCAGTGTCTGGCATAGAAGGAAGAAAGTGCTGGCAACACAGAGTCCAAAATACGTTCCCAAATACTTCCAAGGCTGCGGATTGTAGCCCAGTCTGGTATTGATGTCAGACCAGTGTTTCAGCCAGATATTAGCAAGAACAGAGGCACCCATCGAAAGAATCACCGTCGCCAAGAAGAAAATGACGTTCCGCACACCACACGCTTTGGCATAAGCACGGTAGATTGCTGTCTTGACTTTACCCTGTTCATGCTTCTCCTCTCTGCCAGTCAGGGCCACGTTTTTACGAGACACCACTGCTTTGAAGTCCTCGAGCTCTGCTTTCGGAAGGTCTTTCGACGAAATCTTCTTGATGTCCTCATCTGGATCGCTGGAAACAGACTGAGTATCCTCTGAGCTCTCTTTATCGATCACGGTCTCAGAAACGTCTTCAGAATTTTCGTCGTCCTTCTTTTTTGCACCCGAGTCGTTGATCACATTGTAAAGCTCAGACTTTTGAGCAGAAACAATATCGTCGTAATTCCCACTTTCCGTGATTTTTCCATTTTGAAGCAAGCAGATGTGGTCAGAGAATTTGAGCACATTCAAGTTGTTGGTAGCAAGGATACGACATTTGGTGCTTAAGAGACCGTCGGGACCAAGAACGTTGTTGATCAGGTGTTTTCCAACATGCTCGTCAACGGCACTAAGAATATCGTCCAACAAATACAAGTCCGCTCTGGCATAGACGGCTCTAGCCAGCGAAAGTCTGGCTTTTTGTCCTCCAGACAGGCTGATTCCCTTTTCACCTACCTGAGTTGCATCACCGTCCGTGAGAACGTTCAAATCGTGTGTCAGAGCACAGGCCTTGATTGTTTTATCATAGAAGTCTGGGTCGAACTTGCAACCAAACAAAATGTTTTCCTTGATGGTTCCATTCATAATCCATGCGGTTTGTGGAACGTATGCCACCGATCCGCGAACAATAACGGAACCCTTTGGTTTGTGCAAGTCTCCCAACAACGACTGCAACAACGCTGTCTTACCTGCGCCAACACGGCCAATAATACAATTGAGCTGACCTTTCTTTGCCGTGAAATTAATGTTTTCCAGAGCAACCTTGTAGGGGTCTTTGCACCACAGGAAGTCTGCGTTTACAATGTTCACGACATCCTGGCCAGTTTCTGTGGGTGCTGGCAATCTGGTCACCGTAGAAGTGTCGAGCTCGTCACTCTCGAGGAAGCCAGTGATTCTGGAAATGGCCACTTGGGCCTCAATGATGTTACCAATAGTCCATGGTAGCACGGCAAGAGGGAAGCCAAGCAAGTTGAACAGAGAAAGAGCAGTGAAAACAATGTCTGTGCTCAGTGGAACTCCTTTGTAGGCAACAATGAATAGGGCAAAAGTGGAAGTGCTCACCAAATACGGCGTCGTGTTGAAGATGAACTGACTGCATGCCTGGAAAACACCAATTTTTTTCAAATTGGACAATTCCTTGTTGTTTCTAACATACATCAGCTTCTTCTTGTATGGGATTTCCCAGGCGTAAAGCTTGAGCGACTTGATGTTGTTGAGCATCTCGGAAATAAGCCCGGTTCTCTCGTCTTTCACTTTCATCTGAGTCTTTTGCAGTTTCTTCTGTTGTCTAAAGACCCAGGTGTTCATAGGAACAGAAATACAGAGAAACAACACTCCCAGCCACATGGCATTTCCAAGCAAGTTGTAGAGCGAAACCAAACACAATATGATCTGGAAAGGTCCAGACCAGATAACGTTCAAGTTTTGACACAGATCCTGCAATCTTTGGGTATCCACAGACATCAGATTGACAATGTCACCTGAAGACTTCTTCTGTTTGGCTTCAATGGAAAGCACAAGCGACTTCTTGTAGATCAGAGAGGTGAGCGAGGATTTGACCTTGATACCGGTGTCGAAAACACGGGTAAAGTACTGGTGCAACGAGGCGGTTTGCAGAACCGAGAGAATGAACATAGAGGCCACAATCATGAACCCCTTGGTCATAGGGATTGTAGGGTCTTCGTGGTACTCGTTCACAAAGCGAATCAGTTGTTTAAGCAACTGAGGCTGAATAAAGGCACAGCAGTCCTGGACGACTTTGAACAGCGCAGCCACCAAAAATGGACCACCAAACGATTTTGCCAGCGCACTCGCCAGACTTGGCTTTTTGGACTGGAGTTGCTTTGTCCAATGAGATTCAAGGACCCCAGAAAGGTGGTCGCTTCTCAAAAAGGATGGCAGAGCAGGCAGGTCGAATTGCGTCAGATACTTGATCGAACCTTTTTGCATCAACGGAGTCAGCCAGGTGAACGTCACCTTGCCGAAGATATTGGCGGAATCGTAGAGGTTCTCAGTCTGGGTTGGGTCAACTGGGGCTTTTGGAGCAAAGTAAATCTCCATCACCAGAATGATCAAGTCGTTGACTGTGCTGAGAACTGTGATTGGAAGTCTCGAAGATTTGTCATTCCTCAGGCTAAGATTGATAATTTTCAGAAAGCCGATGAACAGGTACAACAGCCAGTACACTATGAGTACGGCCTCCGACACAAATGTCTTGAAATTCTCAATGTATGAAAGGGCGAATGCAACACCCAGAGCGATCAGATTCAAGCCCGAGGACAAAACTAGCACGTCGGACAAAGGCGAAGGAGACGTTCTAACTGCTAAAATTGCCAGCGTCAGCTGAAACACTATCTGAGCGGCAATCAGAGACAGTTTGAGCACAAACCACCATTCTGCTTTGGAATTGACATTTCTACTTTTCCTGAGCTTCTGCACTTGAACAAGTCCTCCGATGACCAAAAAAAGCGAAATCAACGACGCAAAAACTCCGCTCACCAAGCACGGCGATGGATCTTGTAAGTCCGAAGAAAACTTGTAGCCTTCGCCATCGTAACAACCGCAGACAGATCCAGTTGAGTTGTTGGGCCCAATATACGTATTAGAGCTAGAGCTGGTTAAGTCCATGACCAATTGCTCCCAGAAAGTAGAGACCCTCTGAAGATCATATATGGCCGACGGTTCATAAAAATGGCCGTTGATATGGTATTCAGACATGTTGAAACGTCGTTATCCAGAGTCTCAACAGTAAGGACGCTAATTCTATCAATTCTAAAATTATCTGACTAAGCTTTTTTTTTTTCATCGATAACAAGTAAATTCGTATTTCCGAGAGCGCCACGGCTACTATGGCTGATGAATTAATCAAATTTGGAAATAGATAAAAAAAAAAATAATAGGAACAAGACATCATGACTATTCTTACAACGGATAGTTTGTATGTCCAAAAGAAAGAGCCAGACTGTCCACTGGATGAGATATGTGTTAAGGAGGAAGAAAAGTTTGCTGATTTAAGTCGAAAAACATTGCCAGCTCAAAAGGTCACGAAAAGAAGAAGGTCCAAGTATAGGCCCTTGAATGGTACCATTCTCGACATTTCCAGCATGCCTTTACAGCCAAAAACCCTAAATGATTATCTCCAGCTTGAGGACGTTGGGTTTCTATGTCAGAGCCTTGAAACATCGAAGAAAATTGTCGCTATTACCGGGGCAGGCGTCTCTGTGGGGTCTGGTATTCCCGATTTTCGATCCGCAAACGGCCTGTTCCAAGGATTCGCCTCTAAGACGAATGGTTCGGGAAAAAATCTTTTTGACTACAACGTTTTCCGCTCGCCAGATTCGCTCAAAGAATTCGAAAAGATGATTCGTAAATTATACACATTGTCTGTTGAATGTGAACCTTCGCCTTTCCATCGATTGCTCGACAAAATTTCGCAAGAGGGTCGTCTTCTAAGACTCTACACACAAAACATAGATTGCCTAGACACACAGCTTCCCCATCTCGAGACGAGGGTCCCGTTGAATTTTGAGAAACCGTATCCAAAGACAATACAACTACACGGGAATATAAAGCTTTTGAATTGCTCTAAATGTCATCACGTGAAAGAATTAGATGAGTCTTATTTTAATGAAAACAGCATGCTGATCCGTAACTGTCCGGAGTGTGAGGAGCTAAACTCTGTGCGCGCAATTGCTGGACGCAGGGTTCAGTCAGGTGGGGTCCTAAGACCCCGGATTGTGTTGTATAATGAGTTCCATCCCGACGGAGAGATAATTGGCAACATCACCGAGTCAGACTTGAAAACCCGTCCCGACTGCCTTCTCGTTGTGGGGACAACGCTGAAGATCCCAGGAGTGAGAAGACTGGTGAAAGAAATGGCCAAAGTGGTGCATTCGAAAAACGGAAGCGTCATATGGATCAATATAGAGGAGCCCACACAATCGATCGTGGACTACATCGAGCATTTCGACCTCATAGTGACTGGCAGTTGTCAGGACATCCCTGTTCTTTTGAATGCGTTCCAGGAGTTGAAACCCAAAAAGAAGCAGAGTAAGAGGGTTTAGGTTATTCCCACTCGGCGTCTTCCTCCGGGACCTCAATTTCGTCGTTGGGCTCCTTTGGCTCCTGGGCCTCGCTCCATTGTGTCACATCATCAATATAGCTCAAAATCGATTTGACCGTCTCGTTCTTATCCTTGTCGGAGCAATCAAGGGGTAGGAATTGCACCATTCCAAAGTCGTCAACCAGTTGAGCAATAGCTTTATTCAGCCGAGCATATTTTGGGTTTGTCGCGATGTAACCTTCCTCCTGCTCGCTTGCCTGTTCCAATAGCAAAGGGTCTGGATTCAGAAACTTTTTCAATTGCGCTTTTGATACAGTGTCTCTGATCAAATCGGTCTTGGAGAGAATATTTATGTGTGGCAATTCCAGGAAAATCATCGCAGCCATAGCCGTCAGTGCCCCCGAAAAAAACTTCGAGCTATCTATCACAAATGGTGCCTCTAATAGATATGTGCAACAAAGGCTGAATCCCAGTTGTTGTTGCAGATGCTTCACTATCACCGGTAGAACAGGAACATGGCTGTAGAGTTCGATCTGTCCGGGACAGTCGAAAATGAGGTAATCGTCGTTGTAGTCCCCAATTTGCTCGTCCAGCCAGTCAAGGTTGTCCAAGAGAAACTCAAAACAGTACAAAAGCGAACCATTTGGCCCCAGATGGAGTTCTTCCTGGACATCCTGTAGCGAAATCAGGTCTCTGATATCTATGCTGAACTCAAATTCGGTTGGGTCTGCGGCCGGATCCAGATTCACTAAATGGGCTGTTCGCCCGATAGTTTGCATATGAGCAACCAGAGAGTTGCAAAACGTACTCTTGCCAACGCCTGCTGGCCCCAAAGCAAGAACACCCACCTTAGACATAATGGAGAAAATGAGATGAAAATAAAAAATAAATTTATTAGACTCTGTGTCGCGCACGATAGATCTATGCCGGTATATAAAGGAGCGACGGTAGTGTTACAGAGACATGGTCAGCCAATCCCAATTGTTGTTGCCACTTTGACCAGCAGTAGTGCCTGAACTTTGGGAGGAGGGTTCTTCATTAGCGGGCTCGGTTTGTGGAGGCCTAGTTTGCGGCTGTTGACCAAGATTCAGGATGGAGTCGAAATCCAAAGACTTCAGGTCGTTCGACGACTGCGATCCCTGATACAGGCTCCCGCCCAATTCTGCATCTTCATTAGCGGAGCCCTCTGCTTCCTGGTGGCTGCGCGCCGAGTTTTCACTTTTGGAAGGACTGCTTTCAGTCTTCACCTTATTTAATACGATCGGAGTTGGGTTTAGGTCATCTCCGTCCGTTTTCTTCTTGGGTTTCTTCGTAGTGGTGCCCCGCTGGCGTTTTTTTATAACATCGGTCTTGAGCGAGAGAGGCCGGACAACACCATGAAGTTTGAGGAACAGACCGCACGCGTTGCAAAGAGGCTGTCCTTCAGGGTTCCGACGCCACAACGGCGTGGTCTTTGTGTGACAGTTTGTGCACGCGATACTGCCCTGCTCCGTGCCAGCCATTCCCATTGCTGCGTTGGCGCTGCTGCTGCTGCTCGAAGGAGGGGTGCCTGTAGGGGTGTTGGTGAAAGAGCCGTTTTTCGGCAGCGAGCCCGGCGTGGGCGTGAGAGAGCCCATGTCAGTGACGCTCCTTGGGGTGCGTTTGACCGGAGCCTTGCGCTTCGCAGCCGCCGACGACCGTCTCGCCGACTTGGGAGCAGAGTTGCTGAACTTGGTGCCAAGCGGCACGCCTGGTGTAGAGATGTTTGTAGGGGTGGTGGCCGCAGGCACCTGCGGCGAGTGGTCGAACATGTTCATGTCGCCGTCGACGTCGAAGCTGAAGTCGTCCCTTGCGAACTGGCCCGGCGCCTTGTCGAACGAGAACGACTGGAACCGTGTTCGCGAGGTGATGGACGACTGCGAGGGCGAGTAGAGAGGATTGGCACTGGGGAGCGACTGGCCTAGGAAGTCGTTGGTGACGTGATCGGTGTGTATGTTGACCATGCTCGGATGGTGTTTCAGCGACGTGGGCACGCTTGTGGACACGGCGTCGAAGTTGACCGGCGACGGCGACCCCCCGTTGTCAAACGACACGGTCTGCGGAAATGGCGCCTGGCTCAAGTCCAGCGGGTTGGCGTTCATGTATGGCTGTGTGGTGGAGTCGACGTGCAATTCCGGCAACGGAGAAGAGTTCATTTGGGGCAGCGGCGCGTTGGAGTGGCCGCCGATGGACTTGATATGCTCTAGGTAGTTGAAGTCGTTGGAATTTGGGTCGATCGGCTGCTGGTGGCTCGTTTCCAGAAAATCGAGGTCGGGAAACTGAGGCCAGTTGCCATAGCTGTTGCTGGTCTCGGAACTGGGAGGCGCCGACGGCCGTGCCGTTTGTGTAGCGTTTGTAGACGGCGGAACGTGATCGGCAGTCTTTTCTGGGGCGGAGGACAGCGACTTGGTACGATTCTTGTGGAGATTGATGTACATAAGACGCCATGTCAAGTTCTCCATCCGCGACCGGTACGGCAGGCTCGCCTTGGCCTTGGAGTACATCTTCCAAAGGGCTGTTGCTGAACCTTCGTCCGCAGCCTTGGCCGGATGTGCAGCGTCCATATCCAGTACATGATCGGGCCTGGAGTCAAATCCAAGGCCAGCATGGGGAGACTGGCTGCTCGAATACATGGTTCATAACAAGACGCACGGAGAAAAGAGGATGGCTATCAAAAAGTCTCGTCCAAGTGCTCGAATCTCCTTGACACGGTGCTTTGCTCTGATTGGTTGGATAACGCCGCCTGCACATCTCTTGCAGGGACGCTATCGGAAACAATGCTCGGCCATATTCATTTTTTTGGTTCCCGGTGCACGACAAGCCTCTTGCAGCCCGAAGCGCGAAGTACACATCAGGAAAACGATTTACTTGCTTATATAAGCGCTATAGCTACTTGGAAGGGCATATGCTGCCTGCCAGACTCCCGCTGCTGGCAACGCTGCCGTTCGACGCGTTCACACGGCTGAACGAGTCCACGTCGCCGTACCTGCTGGTGGTGTTGCTGAACATGTTTTTCACGTTGGCGTGCTCAATCACCGAACGCTGACTTCTCGAGAGCTCTTCTCCCGATTGGATCGTCGAGGTGGATGATTTTCTGTACATCGAGTTCTTGATTGCGGACACCGTGTGCTGTCCCGACGTGTTCCCGCTGCTGTCTGGCCGGAACCTCGGGTGAATTGGCACAAGACCTGGGTTCGCTCCGCCAAAGCTGGCTGGCCCAGCCACCATGGCGTAGCCTGCATATTGTTGCGCATACATCATCTGAGGCATGAACTGGGGCATTCCGGGCATGGTCGGCATCTGTCCCGATCCGTTTTGCATTCCCGCAGGATTAGGGCTCATCGGCACCGGTCCTGTTTGCATTGGATATTGCTGATATTGTACCTGTTGCTGGGGCGGGGCGACCCCAAAACCATTGGATTCTCGAACAGCCAATGTCCTTCTGTTTGCCCAGTCAAATATATTTTGTTCTTTCAGCTTTTGTATCTCCGCAAAGAAGCTGAAGAGCATTTCCACGTATGGCATTTTGAGATCGTGCTTTGTCGCCAGACCCAACGTTTGTTTCAATGACAAGTTCACGCATGTCTCGTGCCCGTAATTGAAGTTATGAACACATGTGGCGAGATCCAGCATCGGATCCTTCGACACTCCGTCAGTGTAGTTCGAAGAATTCGGTGTCTTGATCGCGCTGGAAGGGTACGACTGGTTAAAATCTCTGATCATCACGTCGAGCAGACTCTTTGTCTTGGAAGAGTCTGAGGGATTTGGGAGGTCGGGGGCTCCGTATTTGCGGCCCAGCGTGAGTAAATCGGAGAAAACACCCTTGAGAATTCCAAACTGAATGGGATCCAACGTGCTCAGTTTTGAGTAAACGAGGCTCATGACTTCTAGACTGATAAACGGAATGATTCTTTTCCATCCATAACTGTTGAAAGTTGGATTTATGCCCTTGGGAATCAAATAGCAGGGGTAAACCTCTGTTTTCTTGAGCATTTCGGTTAGTTGTGTCAGTTTGGCCCCGAGATCTCCTTCTCCCTTAAGTAATCGCACAGTATTTGGGTCCTCGGTAATTGACGACCCGATAACTGCTGCTGCGCTATGATTTTTATGATAGTATTGGTATCCGCTTTGCGTCTTTATGACTCTAACGTCTGCATCACAGATCATCCCTAAGACCTTACTTTTGGGGAGCACCTTCTTCACCGCCTCTTCTAATCCCAGACAGTACCTTGACTCCACTAGTATTATTGTCTGTGGGCCCACCAGGGATTTAATTTGCGTCGTTGTGTCTATTATGTTTTCGTGGCTGTTTGCTCCCAGTAAAACAAAATCTAACGGTTTGAGGGATTCCAAATCTAATCCGGCGAGATCTTTTGCCGACCCAGTTGGGGTGAAGGTTGTCTCTCCGTACTTGACTGACCTCCAGGTTATTACCTGATCGTCCTCGAGAGCACAGCTGGACCCGATCACAAAAGTTCGGCAATCGACCAAGGACAGCCGCCATACCAAGAAAGAACAAGATGGTGTATCTCCAACTGGTCAGTTAGTATATTGAGACTCAGGCGCTCACACTTACAACTCAGCACGTTCAGTGATTCCATTTTCCTGATTCCTAGCTGTTTGGCATCCAAGAGAGAAAAAAGGGATCAGTTTTTTTTCTACGCCCATAAGACTCCCAATCATGTAATGAAGGGTGCATGAAGCACTGCCCAAATATATGTATAAAAAAAATATGTACATGATCAACCCAGCTGGTCGCGGTCGATGTCAGCCTGAAGCCGGTCTTTTTCTTTCTTCGAGTTGAGCATTCTAAATGAGTCGAGCTGTGCTGCCATTCTCAAGCTCTCACCAAATGTTTTCGGCTCAGAATAAATAGCTTTTCGGTACTCCTCTTTCATCTTCTTTTTGCGCAGCTTGGCATCGCGTTTGCGTTGCTTTCGTATCTCTTCCTCTCTCTTCTTCAGCTTCTGGAAGTAGAACTCGTTCTCTTTCGTCGACTGGACTCTCGATTTCGCTCCCAGAGCCCACAAGTCACCCATTCCCAATTTTCGAGCATCGTGGTAAGTCTGCTCCCCAACACTCTTTGAAATATACCATTTCTCAACGTGGCCTGACGGTGCACACATGTCTGCAACGACCAGTCCCCGGCGCTTGGTTGGCGGCGATAGCACACGAGGCAGCTCCTCAGTAGTCTGGGGAACGTATCCAACGGATCTGCCACCAACATCCTGCTGTCGTAGTGCCTCCAGTTCTTCGTTTGACTCCGCAGAACGTTGCACAATCAGATACGAGTAGCTTGCTGTTTCGTAATCCTTGCCGTTTGGACGCCCGCTTCCAGCATACGACATGAACTTTTTGGTAGGGTTGTTCTGCCACGCCGTGGCAAGTTTGGCCCCCCTTTTCAGCTCCATCACGTACTTCGGCCGTTCGACGTCAATCGTGTAGTTACAGAACTTGAGCCGTCTTCCTATCTTGCCGTATTTGTAGAATTCGGGTTTGAAGTACTGCAACGGACATTTGCCGTGGTGAGAGCATGGCGCGACGATTTTCAGATTTATCGGGTCGACCGACGCGGCTTCCTGGATGTCGTAATGCTGTAACAGTTCCGGTTCAACCGGCTCGTCGTCCTCCAAAGACAGCTCAGAAGCTTCCGCAGCAAGCACGTCGCTGTTCTTGTACAGTCTTGGGATCTTGGAAGTGCGGTCCTCGTGGTTTTCAGGCCGCAACATCACCTGCCGTGCACGAGCAATCACCTCTGCTCCCAAAGGGTTTCCTCGCTCCAGAAGCACAAGATGGCCGCCTGGCGCCAAGCGCTTGATCAGGGGGTCCAGCAATTCATCCACCTCCAGCGGGAATTTTTTCTCGTCTCTCAAAAGCTGGTTTTGAGCAATAATCAGATCGTATTTCACGTTGTCCGGACGCAATTTCTCCAATACGACAGACTTGATCTTCAGAAGCTTAGTTTTCACCCTGCCGATCACCGGCTGGTCAAAATTTTCGTCCTCTTGGAAATCAGAGTCCTCCTCCTGCTCCTCTTGCGCCTCTTGTTGTTCCTGTTCCTGTGTTGCTTCCTCAGTTTGGCTGGCTCCTCGTTCGTGCTGTTCGTTGGCTTGCCGACTCAGCAAAACCTTGGCTCTTCTCTCCATGTGGAAAGATCCGTTGACCACCACATCCTTGACTTCTGGGCTGAAATCATCGCCCATCACCTCGTTCAGAGCCACCATTCCTATACCTGGCCCATACCCGTAATCCAGCACCCGTTTTGGACTCCAATCTTTGCCGACACGACGTTTGAGCTCGTCCAAGACTTGATAACATGTAGCGTAATTCTGCAAAAACGAGCTGGCTATGTAAATGTCCGCCTCCTCCTCAGTGTTCGTTTTCGCATGCAGACTCGTATCCTCAAGTTTTTTATAGTACTCTGCAACTTTATCCTTGAGCAGTTTTGGTTCGTGCAAAAGCATCATGTTGTAATTTATCGCATCGGCAATAAGTCTAGGCAACTGGACACGTCTTCTGTTAACCCGGCCGGCCAAAGTTTGCGGATGAAGCCTTGCATCCCTGCTAGTGGCAGCAGCAAGGAGTTCGCCCGTTTCTGTGTTTCTGTACTTTGGATCAACACCCTCGATCGCCTCCTCTGGAGTCACGACACGGTGGTTGTGAAGAGGGTTTCTGTCATGAAGCACCTCGTTGACCAGCTGGCCAAACGTCTCTCCGTCTGCTCTGTACGAAAAGAACAGACTCGATTTCTCCGTACCCACGGTGCTTGATCGCGGGATATTCTCGTATGTCTTGTCGTCATCGTGCTCGATCGTAATCTTGCACCGCGGCAGGCAACAGCTGAACTTCCGGATCAAAGCTAGCTGTCTCGTTCGCAGCATCAAGAATAATTTATAAGGAAAATTTTTAACGGCTGTGCTAACAAATAGAAAGATAAAAAACTGTAATGAGGCAGGAGCCCCGAGCGGAAAAGGGTGTGCGCGCCACGCGGCTGAAATTCAAGCGACAGTCGAAACGAAGGCATATAGAGCACGAGGACTTTACTGATCCTTCGAGACCTGCACCAGAATCACCCCCGCCTCCCAAAAAACAGGTGGACCCTGACCCTCGGCCGCATTACGAGTACGGGCCTTCGATAAATGGGTACCGTTTTGTCACGCCAAACCCGGATCAACGGCCGTTCCCAAATCTGAACTACCACCGTCATATCAACGGATACGCCGCGGAGCTACCAGAGCTGCCGCAGAAAGAAGACCCATACAGAGTCCGCAGAAATGATTACGAAGAGTACGTCAAACGGTGGCAGACCGTTGATCTGGAACACGAGTTGCCGCCTATGCCAGTTTTTGGCGGAGAGGTGAGTCTTCAGAGCGTGAGCCAGTTTATCCCCCAAAACCAGCTTCGAATAGAAAGGATCCGATGGCACCCTGATAAAATCCTCCGTCGTGTCAGCGAGAGCAGACGACCTGTTCTGGCCGAGATGGTGACCCGCACATTCCAAGTTATCAACGAGTTGTACGAGAACGCATCCAAATAACGCCCTGCATATTTAATACTATAGCATAATTAATTTCATGAAATAAAACTAGTATTTAGCGAGTCACTCTTTTTTTTCTGGCTCCTCGTCAGCCTCGTCCACCTCTTCGACTTCTTCCACCTCCTCGACCTCTTCGGCTTCTTCAGCCTCCTCCTCGGCCTCCTCTTCTTCCTCATCCTCCTCCACTTCTTCGTCCTCGTCCTCCTCTTCTTCGTCTCCGACTGTCTCTTTGTCGTCCTCTTCCTCTTCGTCTAGCTCTTCCGGAGGATACTCCTCCTCCTCCTCGTTGTCCCACACAATGTTGAACCTCGTCACTCGCGGCTTCTCGGCCAGGATGTTGCGCACAATATGCTCGACTTGGACTTTGGACGGAGGATTTTCCCGGAGCTCTTCAGAGTCGTACTCGTTATTCACATAATAGCCAACTCTCACAAACTCGCGTTCTCGGTACGAGCAGCTGAGCAAAATCACGGTCACCGACACGAGCTCGCTGGCGGGAATCAGCTCCGGCGAAGGCGCGTCTGCGGTGAGAATGAATTTGTTCACGCCCACCGGCACAGGACCGACCAGAATCGAGTCCAGCTCCTGGTCGTGTTCGAGCGATCGCGACGACCCCACGTAGGTCAGTTTCCACTCGAGGTCCTCCTTCAGCGGCTCAAGACACTCGAAAGTGATCTCAAACTGGTACGGATCAGTGAACCTGGCCGGGTTGTTCAGAACGTTGATTCCAAGCAGTGACACTATAGACATACGCGTTGTTCTAAGAAATTACACCGCCACAGAATATTTCTCAAATTTTAGCTCTTGGTGTGTACACAGCCACGTATTTACTATTCTGCAGTGAAAAAAATGTTTTGATCATGTCTGTCTCGTTCATGAACACACTCTTTGGGTGCAACTCGGACAAATGGCCTCACAACGAGGAGTCGCTTGTTCTGGCCCTTCAGACACGGATCCAGCAGGAGCGCACCAAACAGGAGTACTACAAGGTTGAGCAGCTGAATAAAACGTTGGAGCTCGTGAAACTGGCTGCACAGATCAACGTCCCGCCCGAACTCATCCCCGTTCTCGTTCCCGAAAGGTCGGGAACACTGCCCGCTCCAAACAAGGCGGACTCTAACCCCATGGCCAGTTTCAAGTTTGGTGCCGGCTCGGCTCAACGCAAAACCACTCTGAACCCCAGACACCAGCTGTCTCCGTCGAAAATCGGCGCCCATGCAGTCTCTTCGTTGCTTAATGGCAAGCAGCCAATCGATGTCAACGACGTGCGACGCGGCAGACACCACCGAACCATCTCGCTGCCACCAGAAGTGTCGATTCCTGAAGATTCAGAACACAGCTCGCGGAAAAGACGTCTTTCTCCTGCGCCAGAGATCGTCATTCCCGCGCTGGACACCACGCCAGATAAAAAGCACAGCAGACAGCTCTCAGCAGACGTTTCGCTAGTGTCGCCCGTTAACTAGAAGCCGCGTTCGACTCGCGGTACGAGATCTCGGCCAGCTCCTCGATATCGGTGAGATTCACAAATTCAAGCTCCTCTGAGTCCTCGGCCAGAATTTTCTCAAAGACAATCTCCTGCTTCTTTATCTCGGCGACCGTTTTGCGCAGCTCGTGGCCCAGGTTTCTCAGCACCGTGTCGCTGGCATTGTTCAGGGTCCAGGAACACAGGTCGTCTAGCCAGATTTTGCAGTATATGTAATAGATATCGTGAAATCTGAACAGTTCCCGACACGCAAGCAGCGTTTTCAGCACCGCTTTGGTGCCGCATCTTAGTGTACAGTAAACATCTTCCCAAACAGTCGTCACCATCTCATAATTGCGAATTAACGGGTAGCACAGACTGCGTCTGGCCATTGTGAGAGCAATCACACGAAGCATGTTTGTTTCTGTCTTGTTATTCGACTGGATCAATTGCGAGTCCAAGCTGCTTAGCTGCGGTACAAGCTTCCCCACGGTCCACCCACTTTCCACCGTCAGCTCGCCTTCATTTTGCCTGAGTTCGTACAAATACCCATACAACAAACAGACAATGGTGTAGTAAAGAGGCCGCACATTATCCACCAAATACGACTTTCGGGGAAGACCCATCATCCGTTCATGTTCTTCTGTAGTCAGCTCCGTCTCACTGTGATTTTTGTGCTGTATGCGGATTGGGTTTTCCCAGCAGAGAATCTGCTTGATGTTGGAGTCTTGTGGAAAATACTTTTGGGTCAGGTACTCATTCGCATAGTACTCTGGATCAAACTTTAGGTTCTCTTTAATCAGCCGTTCATTAATGCGTTCATCAGGGTCCATTTTGTCAGGACTCGAAAGCTCGTTGATGTCATTGCCGTTGGAAAGAGACACTTCCATCATATTCGAGTATTGGTTATTAAAACCATAAAAAAATTGCGGGACAAGAGGGGCCGGCGGCTGCTCGACCTGCTCAACCTCCCAGTCAAAATCCTGTGCCTCCTGGGCCAGCGACTCCAGATTATTTGTCTCGCCTACTTCCTCTATCAAAGGAGGTTTCTTTTCAGCGTTCTCAATTCGTCCAAGAAGTTTAGCAGGCAGATCAAGGTCCGAAAACACCTCTCCCTTGGTCAGTTTTGGCATTCGGATCAGGATACTTTCTTCATTTGGGACAAATTCTGCTTTAGCACGCTCATCGTCAACTATGCTACCAGAAAAACGGAGGCGAAGATAGTATGGAGGGAGCGAGAATATAAACTTGTCGTCATCGGCGACCATCTCCACAGCCTTTGCAGAGAACCGGATGTTGGAGATTCGCACTTTAATGACTACGAATTCATCGTTTTGTGACACCTCAAATCGTGGTGTAATCATCTGCGGCTCTAAAAAATATTTGGATTTTTTTTTATTTTTGCAAAAAAAAATATTCCTCTATATCATGTCGCCAGCAGTGGACACCACCCAAAGACGGCGAAGGTTTGTTGGATCACGTGAGCAAGACGAAAAGGGCGGTCGGTCAGCAGTGATTATACGTGCAAAGAAAGGAGCATCCAGGCTTATTAATCAGATTCCGCAGGAAATATTGGACGATGAAGAGCTCAAGGAAGCAGCACGTCTTTTGCCTTCCAATTATAACTTTGAAATTCACAAGACTGTCTGGAACGTGCGAAAGAACAACGCCAAACGGGTATGTCTACAGATGCCAGAAGGACTCCTGATTTATTCCATGGTGATAGCCGACATTATCGAGCAATTTTGCAATGCTGAGGTGGTGGTCATGGGAGACGTTTCCTATGGAGCCTGCTGCATAGACGATTATACCGCCAGAGCCCTGGATTGCGACATGATTGTGCATTATGCTCATTCGTGCCTGGTTCCCATTGATGTGACTAAAATCAAGGTTCTTTATGTGTTTGTGACCATCGTCATTGACGAAGGGCATTTGATGAGAACCCTGACCAGAAACTTTGAGCACGGTACCCGCCTGGCTGTATTCGGTACAATACAATTCAATCCCACAATACATTCGATAAAAAGCAAACTGGAAGGTCCAGAGTCGGACAAGCTTCTCTATATCACACCTCCTCAAATTTCTCCATTATCCAAGGGAGAGGTACTTGGGTGCACTTCTGCACACTTAGATCCGAACCAGTTTGATGCTATGGTTTACATTGGCGACGGAAGGTTCCATTTGGAAAGTGCCATGATCCACAACCCTTCGGTTCCTGCTTATAGATATGACCCGTACTCTCGTAAGTTCACCAGGGAGTACTACGCTCAGGAGGAAATGGTGCAAGTGAGGTCAGATGCCGTGCGGCGCGCGTCAGAGGCTAAGAAAATAGGATTAATTCTGGGTGCTCTGGGACGACAAGGAAATCCAGTGACAGTGGAAAGATTAGAGAAACAGCTTACTCACGCAGGGAAAACGGTTATCAAGATTATATTATCAGAGATTTTTCCCGGAAAGCTTGCAATGTTTGACGATATCGACGCGTTCGTCCAAGTTGCCTGTCCTAGATTATCGATCGACTGGGGTTACGCGTTCCATAAGCCGTTACTTACGCCATACGAGGCTATGGTGATGCTTGGAGAGGAACAGAAGTTTGAGAAAGACTTTTATCCCATGGATTACTACGCCAAAGACGGTTATGGGAGAGGAAAAAAGCCGGAGAGGGGCGATTAATTTATTTATTATGCATTGTCTAGTCAAATATGTCTTGTTCACGCTCGTATGGTTCTTCAACACCCAGTAGTGTAGCGACATGAACATCATCCCAGCGGAACACGTTGATAGGTTGATCATTCTCATCCTTCAGATACTCACCCACGATGAGTAGGAGTTTGCGATAAAATTTGACGAACTTGAGGGTCGAGTTGATGAATATGGTATTGAGGATTGTTGGGGAGATCAATTTGTTCAGCTCGTTCGAAACAAGATATCCAATCAAAAACTCTTGAAGCTTCAGATCTGCTTGCTGGAATGTGGCAACATTGAAAAGCTTGTTTTCCGTGATTGGCTCGTACAATGAGACGTCGAAGAAATCATCCTCAAGCTTGTAGATCATGTTCACAAGATTGTAGATATCGAAGAGTCCCGAATTATGGAGCAGCTGGTTGAACTCGTCGATTATGAGTGATTGAACTGTCTGCTCAAGCATTTCCTGGATGAATGCAGCCTTGGAAGATAGCAGCGAGATCAACTCGATTTTGGAGAGCATGAAATCTAGACAATTGATGATGAAGATTTTCTTGGACTTTTTGGAGAATTTCAGCTTTCTTGATATTGTATTAAGCAACTCGAGCGGCTCATCTACCAAAAGTCTGAACAGTTCGTTCTCCTCTGATTTATCAACGTTCAAAAATGTTTTGTCTGTATTGCTGTGGTAATCAAATATGCCCAGGAATTCTGAGTAAAAGTCCATTAGCCAGTCCGGCAGACCAAGGACTTCCTCGTCAATTTCTTCCACTTCTGACTCAACCTTGATTTCTTTCATTTTTAAGGATAGGAGTATTAACAGCTTCTTGAATGAATCTTTCTGCAATTGTGTCAAGCTTTCAATCAGACTGTTGTCTCGAGTCAACTTCTCAAACATATGCTTGTAAAGACCTAGAAGCTGATAGAGCTCAACAACAACTCTTGGCTTTGTTTCTTGTCTCAGGATAGTTTCGTAACTGCTTTTGAATGGCCGACTCAAAGAGCCGAGCACCTTATTAACCACCGTGCGAATCACTGGTAACAGGTCTGCTGACACCTCTTGATCAAATGTAAACAAGCTTTCAACCATTTCTAGTTCATTTGCAATGACACTGTGCAGATAAGCCAGCACATCGCTCAGATATCTTTTCGAGTCATACGATGACATTAAAAATGATTTTTTAGGTTTCGAGCGGATTTCGTCCGAGTAGCCGTTCAATTGCGACATGAACTCCTCGCTAACAATCCGCGACCTGTTTTCGATAATGTCACTCACAATGGAGTCAAACTCGTCTTTATTTCTCGAAAGAACAGACACAAGTGCACGCTGGAAATTTGCAATGGAATCTGGGTTTTTTGCGAAATCGTTTTGAACATAAATCGAATTGAGATTCTTGCGCAGAAAATTAGATATTCTTTCATTGGCGTGTTGAAGATGACTCGACATTTGGTTCATAATGCTGATCCCCAGCTTGTCATTATTCATACTGAGCAGGATGTCGCAATTCGCGTATATTCTCTCAACTTTCTGAACAACGTTGAAAAACTCTTGGTCAACATCCCCATTGTGTAGAACGTGTTCCTCATATGCACTCAAAGAGAAGTTGGAGCGAAATGCTGCCAACAAACTCTTTTTAATTTTCACCAAGTCGCGTTTTTGAATTAATTCTTTAACTTCTTTTTTGTAATCAGCCGTATCCTGCAGACTCTCGCTCAATTTACCGTCGATTTCCTCATAACAGGAATTCAAATCATCCAGGTCCTGCTTAATCACGTTCAGTTTCTTGACCACCAGATGGAACTTTTTCAGCGACTGAAAGTGCTGACGCAGAAGCTCGCTTTCCACGTCGCCTCGTAATTTCCGTCGAGCAATGGATCCCAGCATATTCGGGCTGGTTAGGTGTTTGTAATCAATATCTCCATCGGCTGATGCATCACGCTCTTCGGTTCGCGATTGTAACAATACAAGCGACTGACGGATAGTTGAATCAAAGTTGGACTGATTTAGAACTCGACTCAAGCGCCCCGCAAGCACATTAGAATCTGTAGTTTCCGCCGTAGGCTCCAAAGGAACCAAAGACGCATTGTTTGCGTTGAGCAGGTCTAGGGAAGTTTTGGCATAACGGAACGCGGCTGTGTCCTCGTTTTGATGCTTGTCTTTATTTTTTGGCTTAATGTGATTTAAAATGCTCAAATTCGAGAATTTGCGGGTTAAGTCTCCTTGAAGCGGGATATTGGGTATTTTGAGAGGCGCAGACGGCACAGGCAGCGAGCCGGTCGGGGAGTCGCCGCTGTAATCCTCATAGGTGTCAAAGACAAAATCCATCGTGGAAAGGACACTAAAACAAAAATATTTGGCTTTAATATACAACACCCGTACACAAGGTGGATCGTAATTCATTTGAAGTATCTATCTAAGACACTGAGCATCTTGCCATCTTCTTGCAGGCGGCCACTATACCGGAATTGTGTTTTCTGCTGGTCAGTGCTGGAGCGTGGAACCCTGTCCGTGCTGGCGACAATGTTGGTTGACGAGAAGGTGGGTCCCATGTCGACATTATTAATTGGTGGCAGATGGGCCGGAGCTACCAAAGTTTTCTGTTTGTCGTATGTGGTGTCGGAGGCCCTCCTGAGCAAAGATGCCTTTTCCTGCTTTTTGTCGGACTCGTCTACCAGAAGGTTGTCCGGATACAAGCTCCGATCTATCTGTATATGCCTGAGTCTGGGGTCTTGCGTCGGTCTCATTAGATATCTATTAGCTTCGTGGTCGCTATTCATGTAGCTTATTAGATGCACTTTTCCTCCGCTCTTCATGGTCACCGAAAAGGACTGTTTGACGAGACCGTTGCGCTTGTATGCGTATGATGTGCTGGTGGTCTGGGAAGAGTCGAGCTCCCTGTATATTAGAAATGCTGCATTAACTCTGGAAGCGCTCCAGTTTCTGCTATCGGTCCATCTTTTCATGTTGGACTCGGATTCGTTCCATATGAACACGGCTCCCGGTTTAATTAGTATCATGCGCTCGTAGTCCGAGAGCCGTCTGTTCATTTTGGGAATAACGCTCTGTCTCGCGGCCTCCAAAAGCAGAATCGCATCTGACGGAGTAACTATGAGGCCATGGTAGGATTCCATATTTCGAAAACGAGCCAAAAAGTTTCAAGTCTCGTGCTAAGACATGGTGTTTTATTATAAGGTGTCAAAAAGTCTACACGGTGAAAAGAGAATGGGGCAGTGCGGCGAATTAGGACTTAGGATACATAGGCGCTGGTCGACGCAGTAGGCACTTACATTCTGCGCCCAGTTAGGAAAGTGCCCTCTCTGTTGCACTGCAAAGTCTATTTAACTTAAAAAATAGAAGAGAAGTTTCATATTGCTTTTTAGCTCAATAGGGACAATGTGCTTTAGCGTTCCTCAAGATGCGAAAGTACAAGGTAACTTCCAAAAGTAAGCCTGCAACGAATTTCCTCTGGCCCAATGAAACATGCCTATTTCTTTTATTTCGTCTATACATGCATAAGGCCCAATTAAATTTGCTGTTCATATTGTTGGCTACCAGCGTTGCAGATTCTTCGCCAGAAAAAAACAAACCTGCAGAAGATTTTATTAATCGATCTCATGCGCATATCATGCACAGATATCGTTGGCAAATTACAGTCTGGATTTCATTTACATGGTATGAAATTCACACCTAAAACACCAGGCCTCTTCGTAATTTGTGGATCTCTCCTAGTTCGCGAACTTTGCGAGCATTGCGTCATTGTAACGCAGATATCTTCCATTCAGGTCCGCCGGAACTCCTTTTAGGGCGAGATTTGCATAGAAAGCTGCAGGAACTTCAGGAGCCAGTAGCTCATTTTGGAAATAAAGATCCGTAAATCGCTTTAATGCCTCTGATTTCATGTTTTGGCCAAACCTTTCTCGGATATCCCTCTGCATCTCGGTATCCACGACGCCGGGGGCAATTGAAATAGTGCGGATCTTCGGCTCTTCTGCGCTGACGCTGAGACAAAAATGATTAATCACCGCCTTCGATGACCCGTACGCACTCCATGCATCTGTAGCCTTCGTTGACGCACCAGATGACACAAAAAGATAGCTACCCCCGGTTTCCCGCACATACGGTATAGTCTGTTTCACCAAGTCCATCACAGAAAACACATTGACCTCGTACAACCGTTTCACTCTATCGATATCCAGCTCGCTGACGTGCTGGACTGGCTCCAACACCCCCGCATTTAAAACAACAGAGTCAATCTTGCCGAAAGTGGAGACAGTTTTTTGCACCGCCGTTGCCACTAAATTTGTGTCGGTGACGTCTCCCGCTATGCTCAGAACCCTTGAGCCGTACTTGTCAGCCAGTTCCTGCAGTTTATCTTTCGAGCGCGCAATTGCAACAACTTTTGCGTCCTTGTCCTTTTGTAGTATCAGGTTGCAGATGGCAGCTCCTAGACCCCTCGAGGCACCTGTGACTATTGTAACCGACATGGCTCGATAAGCAGTAGAATATAATGGAAAATTATCTGAGAGGCCACAAAAGGCTTTTATGTAGTTCGCTGCATGACTAAAATCTTACATAAAATTAGTCTTACGCCTTGCTGCCGGAAAATGTGCTATTTCGAACTGTGGATGTTAGGTCAAATCTGTGGTTGGGCTAATTCCAGCTTTTTCTAACAGTATTCTGTGCTCCAGTGGTAACTTGATATAGGCTGTATTTGACGTACCCCGCTTCCCCGGCTCAGCTGCTACTCGGGTGTGAGGTCTTTCGGACCGGCATTGACGGTGAGCATCGAGAATCACTCACAAAAGCCCTGTAACAGCCGAAAAGCCAGTGTAGGAAGACAATTTGATCTGGACGTAGCTGAGTGTATGCTGACATTTTAGCAGGGGTATGTGACCCTCGCCGGTTACTTTGGAGTTTGATTATCACCCGAATCCAGTTCTCCCTGAAATGCCTTATCAAAAGACAATTGGAATTTCTCAGTGCAATCGTGTTGCTTGGCAAAATTCAGGCTGTTCCAATCAGCTAGATTCGATTAAGCTGCAGCTGAAAAACTCCTGAAAACTCCTGAAAAGTAAAATATGCTATGTATCTCGTATTTCCTGACTCAAAGCCTCTCCTTGAGGCGTCTCCAATGAAAACAGTGTCCAAATAGCGAAGCTTTGAGCTCTGCATTCGATTTCGCCAAGCCAGATTGTATCTACTTTGATTCTTCTCAAGGATCAATATACAGACGACATACAACTTTGCGTATGAGTATTCCACCACTGCAAAAGCACAGAGGTGGCAATCTTCTTCTTAACTAACCACTAATAGCTCCTTTTGCTTGAGGCTGCAACAAATTTATTTAAACAATTAGCTATGTATCCGTTGTAGACGGATGCTACCAAACACTAAATCTAGTAGGCTTCGAGAAAGCGTAACACAGAAAAACGCTGATCGCAGGACAGATCATGATATACTCCGATAAACTTAATGTTGTGCTCCTGTGTAGCTGCTCTATATGACTGCTGCAAAATCACTACAGACCCCTTGTTTATCGTGTTAGATCAGCAGCAAAATAATGGAGGATGTTACGAGGGATACTATATGTGCAATAACTTGAAGTTCCAGCCGTCTCTCCATGCGCTAGCTCCTTGAAGTTGGTTGGTACGTTTCGAGGGTGCTGTTGGTCACGTGACGATATGGCAATCAATTACCTAATCTTTCGAACAAAAAACTTATCAAGTAATAAAAACAACAGCCAACGGAATATCTGAGCAATTTACGGATAAGTCTTCTCCCCGAGATGAACAACGGTGGCACTCAATATGAATGGGCCAAAACCATTCCGTGCAGAAACATAAAAATACACGGCTTTTGCAAATGGGAGAAAAAAGGCTGTTCGTTCAACCACGACGATCCCTCCAAGAAAAACGGAAGCGAGGTCAAATCTACTCCGCAGGCCCCGAAACCAATATCAGAGCCTATGTCAGCATCCACCACACTATCCTCAGACAGTTTGTCGGGAAGCAAGGGCGGCACCGCGCCGTTCAAGCCAAGTATCCTTGGTTCGTCACCTCTGGCAGTGCAATCTGATACTGCGGATTCCGGGGCTCGCAAGAAGTTCAACATTGATACTCCTTCGTTCACACCCACGGGTTCGCTGGTGAACAAGTTCGCCGACCTTTCTTCCAAGCTGGACGACATACCCAGCTTTTCTCCATCGGCCAATGTCGTCGCCCCGGCTTCGGCTGGTGTTCCATTCGACCCGCAGTCTGCCCCAATTTTCACACCCGGGATGCCAATTGGGGATCCAGCCCACTCAACTCCCGAGCAAGAACCATTTTACCAGCAAACAAATCCGTTTCCGATCAACTACCATCTATACGCTGGTCAGCCACCTCCCCACATTCAGCACCATCTCAAGCCCCACGAAAGAACCGTTGCCGATCTCTTTATTCCGAACGACTTGAGGGAAGAGATACAAAAAAAGAACGAGGAGTCGCTAAGAACCATTTCTGCTACGCAGTCTGGCCTTCCGATTCACATTAATCAGTACCACAGTCTGTGTCCCATAGACCAGAAATTCGAAACCAGCGCGAAGTCGTTCGGATACATGTCCTCGGTTTATAAAGTCATGTCCAATCTCGACGGCAAACTGTACACTATGAGACGATTGGAGAACGTACCTATTTCCTCGGAATCGTGCTTCCGTTCTGTGAACAAATGGCGATCTTTGAATTGCGCCAACGTGGTGAAATTGTACGAAGTGATGACCACGCGGGCATTTGGCGACAACTCTTTGATACTCATATACGACTACTATCCGATGTCGCGAAATTTGTTGGAGGCTCACTTTTTCAAAATAGGAGACAAGGATCCCGAACTGATAACAGAGCCATTACTATGGAACTACCTGGTGCAACTCACAAACGCGGTGAGCGAAATCCATAAAGCAGGCCTTGCTGTGAGGGTTTTCGATCCAACAAAAATCATAGTGACAAACAAGGGCCGCATAAGGCTGTCTGCTTGCGGGGCCTATGATATATTAGAAGCAGCATCAAAAGAAGGCTCAACAGAAAGTATTGAAGAACTCCAAGCGCGTGATATACAGGGAATGGGTATACTGCTTTACGATTTGGCAAAGTCTCTTGTTTTCGCAAAAGTGCAGAACCTCAGTATGGAAGAAGGTATTCCTAAGTTGACGGTCTCTGACAAATTGAAGGATGTTCTCAAGAAACTCACTGCAAACGAGGTCTCGCTTGGCCAACTACAACAGCTGATTGCTCCAGAAATACTCTCTGTTATGAACGGTGTGCAAGATTCTGCGGATTACATGGAGGCGTGTCTATCGCGTGAAGTTGAAAATGCTCGTCTCGTTCGTCTTTTCGCAAAATTAGATTTTATTTGCGACCGTCCAGAGTTTGTTAAAGACGGGTCGTGGTCTGAGACTGGCGAGCGCTACCCAATCAAGCTCTTCCGCGACTACGTGTTCCATCAGGTGGACGAAAACGGGAAGCCTGTGCTAGATCTGACCCATGCAATCAATTGCCTCAATAAGCTCGATGCCGGGAGCAAAGAGACTATTCTGCTGGTGTCACCAGACGAAATGAGTTGTCTCATTGTGAGCTACGAGACACTGAAGGAACTGGTCGAAAAAAGTTTTCGTCAGCTACGCTCCTAAAGCTAATTTTAACCGCCAAATTTTTCTTTTCTCTCATGTCCACTCACTATCATCTATCACAGCTTCAGTGTAAGCTGTTAGAGCTGAGGGTGCACTTCCACCATTGGTGGAATAGTGGTGGTGGAAGGAGAGATCCCGAGAAACATCCGAATATTCTTACCAGGCGGCTGAAAAACATGCCTTTGATATCTCTTCGAAATGCCGAGTTTGCCGCGTATCTGGTCTCACTAGGTATTGACAAGGATACTGGCCTACATCTCGGGGTCCCCATCAGCGAACTAGCCAAACGGCACGAACGATTAAGGCAAACAATCAAGCTCTTGGGATTAGGTCAGAGGGAGCCGCAGCAGCAACATGGTGAGACCAACGAAAAATCCAACTCATGGCGTCTGGACAACAGATATCATCTACGTGTTGTCGAGCAGCTTGATGCTCCGCCAGAGGACGAGGTGAATAAGAAAACCGGTGCCGAAGCTGACGAAGAAGAACATGAAGGTGTGGAAGAGCATGCAACAGAAATGCCTCAAAACCCTGAGAACACGCCAATTGACGAAGCTCAGCAAATGCAGGACCAGGAAGAACGCGTGGTGCAGCAGCAGCAGCTAGCTCCACAAGGACATAGCAATGCCAGAAGAGATCGATCGCTCGCCAGATTTTTACCGTTCAAAGCCAAACGAAAGAAATTCATCAAGACTCCCCCACTTGAACAGGAAAACGAACTACCACCGCCACCGCCACCAACGAAACCTCACAGAAAGGTCTCAATCTCGCTGCCGACGGAGTATCTGCAGTACGACGAGCCCGACTCTGACTCTGTATTTGGAGAATCGCTTTTGCGCGATATTGATAGACCGAGCATTGGCAGGCGGGCAGTTTCAGACATAACCAATGCTTCGACAACAGTTTTCCGGCCTTTGAAAGCGATATTGAAACGGGAGCTTATAGAGAACCCAAAGCCCTCATCCAGGTCGCTGCGCCCAACGTCAGAAATATCTCCCAATTCGGCGCCAGGTAAAAAAACCACGCTTCCTGGGTCGCATCTTTTTTCCACCATCATCAACGACATATCGCTTAACGCTGCACTTCAGGCTAATGGTCTGGCCCCTAAGCGTAGGATTCCGCGCGAAGTGAAACCGGATTTCACGAATTTGAACGATTACTCGTCGATAATGAACAACGAGAATAAAGCTCAGAAACTAAACAGACAAGAGCGGCCGATGTCTTTGGATTCATGTTTGAATCAGACAATCATAATAGAGGCAAAGCCGGAACTGATTGAGGAGTCGTCTCCCCTAGCCTTGGTTTTGGAAAGTTCTGAGAACCATCCATATTCGACTTTAGGGTACGGGATGGATATTATTACCAACTACCAGTATGCAGACGATACGCTTTCGAGACAGGACGAAAACCAGCTCCGCCAGAAGACGGTGCTAGATAAGGTGGACGTGGTGAAACTGAACGATCCCGCAATTTTCTTACCGCACCTAGAACATTTGGAGTAATACCGAGACTAAGTAATGCTCAATAAAAAAAGTTAGGAATAAAAAAAAAATAAAGTACGCTGGCTCTGCGGCTGACGCACAAGATTGTTTCAAAAACCAGGCTGCTTATTGTCAATGTTTCAGAGAGTAGTGATTCGAAAAACAGATTCAGGCAGAAAGTTGTCTGTCTGATATTTGCCAATGGGTTGCAATGCCAGCTCCTCCATCAACGAGAGCGATCCAGAGTATCTGGAAAAGCTCCAGAATTCCAAAGTCGAGCAGATGCTGATGCAGAGCCAGCAGACAGAGAAAAATCAGGTCAAGCTTTTATTGCTTGGAGCAGGCGAGAGCGGCAAGAGTACTGTTCTCAAACAAATGAAATTGTTGCACAAAGGAGGGTTTACGAGCCAAGAACGTCTGCTTTACTCAAACGTGATCTGGGCCGACACTGTGGGGTCTATGCAGACGCTTATTATCCAAGCCAGAAAACTAGGCATTCCTTTGAAATGCGACCTTCCGGGCAGCGAGCTCTATCAGTTCAAAAAGAAAGTGCTAGCGTATAAAGCTCTGGACAGCATTGACGCCTCGAAGGCTGGTGGAGTCTCATTTTTGAAGAACTACGTGCTGAAGTACAGCGAAAACGGAGCAGCCAAGCGCAAGATGATGAGCACCGGTAAAGCCAACGCTGGATGGGAAGGGACAGTTGAGATGGAAGGAAATCAGGAGGAGTCCGAAGAGGTGATACCAGGACTCTATGAGCTGTCGGGGAGAAGCGACATTGGTTTTTCCAAAGCGCAGATTGCTGAGGCTATCCAGAAGCTGTGGCAGAATGACGACGGCATTCAGACGTGTTTCCAGAAAAACCACCTGTTCCAGCTCGAAGGGTCTGCGGCCTACTACTTCGAGCACGCCCACTTGTACGCGCAAGACGAGTATCTGTGCACGGATGAGGATATTCTGAAAGGGAGAATTAAAACGACAGGAATTACAGAGACGAACTTCCTCCTGAACGATACCAAGTTCAAGATTCTGGACGCGGGCGGTCAGCGATCCGAGCGGAAAAAGTGGATCCATTGTTTCCAGGATATCACGTGCGCACTTTTCGTACTTGCCGTTAGCGAGTACGACCAGATGCTTTTTGAGGACGAGCGGGTGAACAGAATGCACGAGGCCATCATGCTTTTTGAGAGTCTGTGCAACAGTAAGTGGTTTGCCAACACTCCGTTCATTCTTTTCCTGAACAAGGTCGACTTGCTCGAAGACAAGCTGCGGCGCTCGCCTCTTCGCAAATACTTCCCGGATTATAAGGGGAAAACCAACGATTTGGAGGATACCTTACAGTACTTCGAAAAGCTTTTTCTGAGTTTGAACCGGGCAAACAAGCCAATTTATGTCCATCGCACTTGCGCCACAGACACAGAGTCGATGAAGTTTGTGCTGACTGCAATCACGGACATGATTATTCAGCAGAATTTAAAGAAGAGCGGATTGATGTAAAAAAATACTGGAAGCGGAAAAATTGGGTAAAATGTTTACTAATATTTTGATCGCATTATTTGCCATCTATTCTTTCAAGTTGCTGTTTCGCAGATTTTTTTCTACTCCAATGTCCAAAGAAGCTATCGACAAAGTTCAGAAGCTCATTGCTTCGCACAAGGTGTTTGTGGCCTCCAAGACATACTGTCCATACTGTTCGGCCACTAAGAAGACCCTGAGCTCGATCGTCAAAAACGACCTATTTGTCCTGGAACTCAACACCATTGACGATGGCGACGAGATTCAGGATGCTCTTCAGGAAATCACGGGACAAAGAACTGTGCCAAACATCTTCATTGGCGGCGAACACATTGGAGGCAACTCTGACCTGCAATCTTTGGGCGAGTCCAAGTTGAAGGAGAAGTTGAAGAAGGTTGGTGCTATCTAAGTTGCCGTAGACTTCTACATCATTCACAGTAAATAGCTATTTTAAATTCCTGCTCTATTTTTGTGTAATTGTGGTGTCTTATTAATTTCAATTTTTCCTTATCTGCACATGGGATTCCTGGATACTCATTCGTACACTGCCGTCACCACTTTGGCAAACAGAACCATTGAATCGTCCCCAATTGACTCGGATGATGCGTGCATGGAAATGGATCTTCCTGAACTACTGGAAGCTATCCGTTTGCAGCGCAATTCCTTGGAACCTGGTCCGGTAGAGGTGGCCAGGGCAATTCGCAAAAAGTTGAAATACGGCTCATTCAAGGAACAGTTCAATGCTTTGAAGCTTTTAGAGCTTCTGGTCGCAAATGGTGGCCCAGAGTTGAACCAGTTATACAATGACTCCAAGCTGCTTGACCGCCTGAAGTACACCATTGTGACTCGTCCAGAAGTTTCTGGAGTCGATCCACGTATCCGCAAACGTGCCACACAGCTGGCTGTAGGGTGGCGAAACGAACATGCCAGGACAGGGAACGCAGGAGGCCTATTTTCACTTGCCTCCTCTGCATCAGTGGCACGAGCTGTGAGACCGAAGCGGAAAGTGCCAGACTTCATGAACGACGAGGCCGATGAGACTCCCTTTGAGGAAGTCTATGAGACGCCGGACGAGGAGTCCGATGATAGCTCTCAAAACAGGCGCCATGGCTCTTCCAGGACTGCTTCGCGGCTAGTGGCTTCAATGACAAATAGGGAGCTTGATAAGAAGTACAGGATTCCGCAAATTAACTACGAAAAAGAGACACCCAAGATATACCAGACAATTGCCGAGGCAAATGTGTTGTCAACTACGCTAACAAACACGCTCAAAACGCTGGAACCCGATGAGCTCTCTATTCATTCGGCAAAGGCCAACAGGGATTTCGACAACTGCAGAGCCATTAGAAGGAAGATCTTGAGATATCTGCAGCTAGTCAACAAAGAAGAGCTCCTGGGGGCTTTACTCAAATGCAACGATGACTTGGTGCGGTCTCTACAGCTGTATGAAGAGATGGCTGAGCCGCGAGATGGGGGAGAGACCGACTCGCTAGCAGATTATGAGACGATCAACAGCGAGAGAAGAGAGTCGAGCGTTGCGCCCGCCACAGACACTTCTCAGACATACCGGTCTGAGATTAACGAGTTTGACCCTTTCAGCGACCATAACGAGGTTGCTGTGCCGGCGGAATGGAAATAATTTTAGGGTAAGAATCACTGACTGACCGTCTTCATGTATTCCAAATCCTAGCACTGTAATTAGCTAGATTTTTTTTTTTTTTTGTGCCAGTTTATATATCATGGTGCTTCGATTCAACCCGCAATTTTCTCGCCCGCTCTCGTTCAAACTTCCAAGACTCCCGCGTGTGAAGCTTGATGATCTCAAGCTGAGACCTCAGCCACCAGGAAACATTGTCGGAACCGTCAACGACGCTTACGTGCCACCTGCTCCCAATGAATACCACGGCTCGTACCATTGGGCATACGATAGAATCGTGACACTGGGAATGGCTCCGTTGATCCTAGCCCCTTTTGTTGGCGGCGTGGAGTATCCACTTCTTGATGCAGGTATGGGGATGCTGCTTCTTTGGCATTGCAAAACCGGATTCGAAAGCTGTATTATCGACTACATTCCACTGAGAGTGTACGGTATATGGCACAAGGTAGCGATGGGACTGCTAAGTGCAGGTACCTGGCTGGCCCTCTACGGACTGTACGTGGTGGAGACGGAACAGAATGGATTGTGTAGCATTATTTATAGCCTTTGGCAGGCCTGAAAATTCATTAATAAATATCATACCGACTAGAGCCAGTTTTCTCTAATTAGCCCATTCCAGCGATCTTTCTCTTTCTGTGTATCTATGTGGGTAGTCATGATAGTCATAGTCCCTTCTGTATGGAGCGTATCTGTAGTCGTAGTCTCTATAGCCGCTATAGCCACCTCTTCCTCTACCTCTGTAACCTCCCCTGCCTCTATGTCTGGTTGAAGATTTGTATCCAAAAGTTTTGTTGGGGTAGTTGAGCATCTTATGAGTGGCAACGAGAAACTCTTGGCCTTCCTGCTGTTTGGAAGGCTGTCTCACGTATGAGACCTTCCAAACAGCATCTTTAGGTCCTTTATTTTCCTGGTCAATCCAGTGCTCTGTAGCCTTGACGGGAATAAATTCAATGTACAAGGGGTGTCTAGTAACTCCGTCTTCTTGGTTTGTATCGTCTTTTGGGAATTTGGTGCCGTTTAGGTTCTTCTGAATCGAGACTGCACCAGCAACGTCCGATACTATGACGATGCAATGGCTTCTGCGGTTATTGAGCCATGCGCGCTCTATTGTCGAGTTGGTCTTCGCTGCTTGTTCATTCAGTAAGTCCTGGAACTCCTGGTTATCAAAAGGCTGCCTAAGGTTGGCGACTATCAGGGCTCGTGTCTCGTTGAATTCTGGTGTTTCACGGATCTCATAAATAACGTCGTCTTTGATCGAGCGATCGTAATCCCTGTCCTCTTGAGGCTCACTCATGATTTTTCAAGGGAAAAAAACAAGTGAAAAATTGAAAAAATGTATTTCTAGGCAGTGCAGAGGCGAAAAATCCACACCCTTGGTTTCTATATACAATCACAGCTTCAGGTAAGATCTAACGGAAATGGCTTGTTTATGCAAAGAGGTCTTCTTCTCAAGCAGTTTCGAGTTTCCTCTGTAAACGTTCAATATCTCTTCGGCGAGACGCACAGGGAAGTCGTTCGAAGCACGGCTATCACTGGCCTCCAAAATCCATTTGAAGCCAGTACGCATCCGCTGTCTAGGAGTCAAGGGAGCAGGAATCGAGTAGTTTTTGGCAAATCCGGTTTTCACAACGCGTGTCACCACCAAAGGAGCCACAGTATCTAGAACCTGCTTCAAAATGTCCACAGGGTTCTCCCTCGTTTCAAGGTAAACGAGATACAGAGCTTGATTGATGTATCTTCTTGCCCTCTGTCTTTTACCTCCGTGCATAATCATGTGAGCACAGAAACGGAGGGTGTCATCTTCAGCCTCGTATCTCCTTGAACGGTCTATTTTTTGAACCTCAGCGAGCTGCTGGGGAGTCGGTTCATGGTCAAGAAGGTTTGGTGCCTCAAGGTGAACTTTTGAGGAAATCGGCTCGTACTCTCCGTTCTTCAGCTCCTGTTCCAGTTCATGCATCGTTTGGATAAAGAGGTCGTAGTACTTATTGATCTGAGCCACCTCGGGACTCAGATTAGACTGGTCTTCTTTGGCTAGTTTCTTGATTTCTTTGGTTAGCGGGTTCAAGACCACCTCCTTCTGGTATTTAATCCTCGCTCTGTTGACCTTGGCCTGCAGCTTCTGGTATTGTTCGCTCTTAGTGTCTTCCAAAAACTCCTTCAATGGTCCCTCAGCGGTCAGTAGTTCGTGCACTTGAGCAACAACTCTTTCGTCGTTCTCGTTGTCGCGAGCTTTTTGCAAGAAAACACTTAGAGATTCGTCAATGGAATCAAAAATCTCCAAATTCTCATCTTTCTCAGCAATACGCGCATATGAAACCAGACTCTCTGCACCCAACGGCTCAAATTTTGCACGTTCGTCCTCCAAGACACTTTTAACGGCTTTAAATTCACGGCTGTCCAAGTCATTCAAGACTTTCCAGATTCCAGTACTCTCGTCAGCAAGTAGTCTGTTCAGTTGTATGTGACGCAATTTTCGCTCCTCTCCTTCCGCAAGAGTCCGAACCTCTGCATAAAGTGTTCCAAATCTAGGATCAATTTCACGCAGGATCTCGTAGAGATCGCTTTGCTCAAAGGAAGGGTACTTATCCATGAGGTCATATATTTCGTTGATCGAGATAGGCTCGGTATCCTTTTTTTGTTTGTAGTTCACAAACTCGACGTATCTTTTCTTAATTAGCTCTTGCAATTGTCGTCTCTTGCTCTCTGACCAAACTCTCTGACTTAGCTTGAGTTCCAGCTGCGTTTTCTGCTCTGCAGAAATATCATGCAATAGCAGAGAGCGGAGCTCTTGTGCCAAGGAAGCATCGGTTTTCACCAAATATTGATACACGGGGGAGCTCTCCAGATCATCGGACTCGAACTTCAAGATTTTGAGCAAATCACCAACAAGGTCCACTTTGAAGGGCAAGCTCATTTCTCTCTCAAAAGATGCAATGTTGTCATTTATTGCTTGGTGAGTTTTATGAGCCTGACCGACCTGTGCATCAACTCTCTGCTTTAGCTGTTTACGTAGCTCCTTGACGTCGACTTCGTTCTGTTGCGCAAGAAATCTCAATTTCAGGTCAATCAGACGTTCCTGCTCGGCGCGGACCTTCTGCATGTGCTGATAGAACTTTGAGTTTTGGAACGTTTTTTCAGTATAGAAGCTATCCTTGAGTAGAAATCCGTCATCATCAATCCCTATTTCACCGACAGTCATTCCAAGTTCTTCCGCAACATCGGGAGGCAAATCACTGTACCAACGGAGTTGTTTTCTGGGCAGACTCCTAGTCCGCACTATCAATCTCAATGCTCTTGTCAACATGCTTGACCAGAAATACCACTAGTAAGTCGAAAATTTTTCCGACATATACCTAATCATACATCTTTACACCAACACGTATCTGTCAAACAGACGTCCTATAGACTGGTCTTAGACCTGATGCTCTCCACCTCCTGTTCGAGATCAGGGAACTCGGATTTGATTTTGGCGCTCAATATGTCTCGAAACTGCTGGAAGGCAATCGATTTTCCGTATAGATATTGGTTGATCTTTCGCACAACATCAACGAACTCCCGCGTGTATATGTCAGGATTGCGTCCGTCCTCAATGTAATTGACAATCTCCAATGGGATGGCAATGTCCTGCAGATCTTTTTTCGACGAAATCGACTGCAGATGACTTATGAGCTTGTTGATATTGTTCGAAAGCCCTGTTTTGGCTTCTTCTGTGCCTTGGAAATCGTGCACCTGAACACCAAGATGTATTAGCGTTTCAATTATTGAAGCAAGCTCTGTTTCTACAGCCGCCAATGGCGACTCTCTGTTTGGATTCGAAAGTTCGGTGGTCATTAGCTAAATCAAATCAATTGTTCAAGAAAATATGTCGATCGACGCGTCGCATCACATGATATGACAAAAAGAATATTATAAATCAAAAAAAAATATCTATATCGATTGGAAAATTAAGCTCGGCAGTACTATTGTTAATGACAGAAGACATCGTTATCACGGACTTTCAGTTGCAGCATCTGAATAAGATGCTTGCAAAGCTCACACCACAGGAAGTTTTGCAATGGTCCCTTGTGTCGTTCCCCAATCTATTCCAGACTACAGCCTTTGGTTTGACAGGGCTTTGTATCCTTGACATGTTGGACAAGTTAGACTTGGACCCTGTGGATCTGGTATTTATTGATACTCTGTACCACTTTCCCCAAACCCACGATCTTATAACAAAGGTCAGAGCCAAATACCCAAGATTCAAGCTCCATATTTATAAACCCAAGGACTGTGATACCGCTGAGGAGTTCCAGCAGAAATACGGCGACGAGCTTTGGTCCAAGGACGAACTCAAGTACGATTTTTTAGCAAAAGTGGAACCTCTCCAGAGAGCCTATAAAGAGTTGAAGATCAAGGCCGTGTTCACCGGTAGGAGAAGATCGCAAGGAGGGGCACGCTCGCAATTACCCATTATCGAGATCGATACCAATCTGAATGTGATCAAGATCAGCCCTCTCGCTAGCTGGGATTTCAAGATGGTTGAAAACTACATCAAGGAACATAATGTGCCGTATAACGAGCTGCTGGATCTCGGGTACAAGTCAATTGGAGATTGGCACTCGACAGAGCCAGTTGCCGACGGAGAAGACGAGCGTGCTGGAAGATGGAAGGGAAAGGCCAAAACAGAATGCGGAATCCACCAGACGTCAAAGTACCAGCAGTTTCTGAACGAGGTTAAATAGGTGCTACCAACATCCTTGCACGGAGTTGCACGGGGTTGGAGTTTTTGGCACACGCCCTCCTATGTAAAAAAAGATCTCGCGCAAACCATTTTCAGACTTTGTTTGCTTTAATTGTGAGTAAAAGGTGAGTAGCAGCGAGTGGGAGATCTACAAACACACCCTGGTGTGAAGAGTATGAGAAGACAAAAGTATTGCTCAATGGTGGCGGAGTCGTATGTCGCGAAAACCGAGATTGTGACAGGGGTTGATTTCAGCAGATCTGTGTTTTTTCCGGGTGTTGTACAAAACCTAGCGGCCCAGAGATCAAGACGCGCATAGCTGCGGACTAGATCAAGCAGCGTATCTCCTGAACGGATAGATCCAAAGACGGTTTTAGCTGAGAATTTCTAACGTGCACCACCCATTTCATAACAAGCCCTGCCGTGTTATAAAATGACAGCGTCATATGGAAAGTTGGAAATACAAACAAAAATCAACAGCCACCAAAAAGAGTCTTTCCCTTTTGTGTTCATAATACACTTGCCCGCAAGAGAATTCATATACTAACGCGCACAAGATGGCCGGATTAGCAGAGATCAGGAAAAAGTTGGTGATCGTCGGTGACGGTGCCTGCGGTAAAACATGTTTGTTGATTGTTTTTTCTAAAGGTGCTTTTCCAGAAGTTTACGTCCCAACGGTGTTTGAGAACTACGTTGCGGACGTCGAGGTTGATGGCAGAAGAGTTGAACTGGCTCTTTGGGATACCGCCGGCCAAGAAGACTACGATCGTCTCAGACCACTCTCCTACCCAGATTCCAACGTCATTCTGATATGTTTCTCCGTTGATTCTCCAGACACTTTGGACAACGTCCAGGAGAAGTGGATTAGCGAGGTTCTGCATTTCTGCCAAGATGTTCCAATGATTCTTGTTGGATGCAAGATCGATTTGAGAAACGATCCAAGAACAATCGAGAGATTGGCACAGTTGAACCAGGCGCCTGTCTCCACCAGTGAGGGACAAGCCGTTGCAGAGAAGATCAAGGCCTTGACATACCTTGAGTGTTCCGCCAAGCTGAATCAAGGTGTGAGAGAAGTTTTCGAAACCGCCACCAGAGCCGCTCTGGAGACTAAAGAGAAAAGAGAGAGAAAAAAGAAGTGTGTTATTCTGTGAGTACGCTCCATGGCCTTTGTGGGTTCTTCCGAGTCCACATGGTTCTCTGCTTTATATGTTTTGATCCATATTTTTTATAAGCTAATAGGGTCTACGAGCACAGCCAAATTAGATCTAAAAAAATAATATTCCATATAGCATAGGCCATGGTAAAACCAGTTCCAGTTCCCTTGGTAGATCTCAACTTTGGCACTGATCCTCTTTTTAGTTTTAGTGCACATCCAAGCGAGAACGCTCTTGTTGTTGGCTCGGGCACTGGACAGGTCAAGTTGCTAAAGTATGACGTTGAAAAATTGGAAAGCCATATATTTCACTCCACCGATAACGAGTGTGCCCAGATCGATGTCAAAGCCAAGGAACTCCAAGGTTCTGACTGTGTCACTATTGGATGGCGCACAAAACGTCACCAGGGTAGTTGCAGATCCATTATTTTTGATCCAAAGGGGGAGTATGTGTACTCCGCTGGTCTCGACAAGCAAATAAAAAAAGCCAAAGCAGAAACAGGCGTGGTGGTTGCAAAATCAGACGTCCTTGCTTCCAATATCACCAAAATCTTAACTGTTCCCAACAAAAACTTCTTGATAGTGGGAACGGAGGATGGTGACGTTCTCTGTCTTGACTCCAACACCCTGAAGCAAACGTACCAGATAAAAAAAGTTCACGAGGATGCAGTCAATTCTATAAACCACTACGTTCCAAAATCCGATTATCAGTTTGTTACCACTGGGTCCACGACTCTATCACATATAGATATCAGAAAAGAACGACCTTTGCACCAAAGTGAGGACCAAGAAGACGAGCTGCTATGTTCTTCCTGGTTAGATCCTACGAACCCCAATACTATGCTCTGTGGAATGGGAGAGGGTGTGGTGACTGTTTGGAGGCCTGAAATGAACGATTTTGCGGACCAAATATCCAGAGTTCGCATCAGCAAGGAGCCTGTGGAGTCTCTGATTTCTGCGCTGGATAGCGAGGGTGATCATTTTTGGGCAGGTTCTTTTGATGGAACCGTCTCGAAAGTTAACACCAGATCGGGAAAGGTTGTCGAAAAGAGAGTGCACAGCGAGACTGACGAGGTGTCGTTCTTGGACCTGGACCATGAGTACAGAATGATAAGTGCCGGGATGGATAGATTAACTATATGGAAGGAAGCTGGGGACGCCGAGTCTAGCGGCGACGAAGAGGATGAGAACGATTCTGTGTCCGCCACAAGTGGAGATGTCAGCTCAGAGGAGGAGGAGGAGGAATGGACAGGCTTTGGCGATGATGAAGAGTCTGGCAACGAGCCGGACGTTTCGTCTGCGTCGTTTGAAGAAGGAACTGACTCTGACCCTGAATCTGCTTCAGAGAACTCTGATTCTGACGATGACCAGCCCGCCGTGCCTTTGATCGAAATCAAAGAGAAGCTTCTTGCCCAGCTGGAAGATTCTGACGAGGAGCCACCAAAAAAGCGAAAGAAACCGTTGAAAAAAGAGACCAAGAAGCAAAAAGCACACACGCAGGAGCATGGAATCAGGAAATTCGAGGGTCTGTGATCATTGACGTGGTACTCCCAGCTCAAAGTATGCCTGTCTGCAGTCACAGGCCAGCCGGCGAATTGATCGCTTAGGGTCATCCAGGACTTTGGCAAGTCGCGTGATGATGTCCTGTTTATAAGGCACTAATAGATGTAAATCAAACTTTGTCAGTGAAAGCAGGCATTCCAGTGCGTTACGCTTCACCGCTTCGTTCTTATGCGTGTTGACAATTTCCAGAAGATTTGGTATGACAGTCGATAAGTGGCGGGAAACCAACTCGTCCGATTCGTTAACAGCTATTGTCAGGATAGATAACGATGAAGTGACAATGACATTGGACTCGGTGCCCAGCGACCTCAAAACAAGCGGCAGTAGCGTTGCAACATGCGGAACAATGATTGACTTGTCGACATATTTAAGCATGAGTGATAATGCCAATAGATATGTCTGGTTCTTTGAGGACTCAAACTTGGAGACCAACAAGGGCAGCACTGTATTGAACAGCTTCTGTTTGTACAATAAGCGCACATTCACATTAAAAACAACCGGTCTTTTGAAAGGGCCAGGTTTCTTGAACTGCTGGTAGCATTCCACATCTGCAACCAATATTTCGAGAATTTTTGGCGTGAACACGTGAAGCTCTTCACTGTCAAACAAGGAGAGAAGGTACTCTTCGTAGTCTTGAGCACATGTGTGTTGTTTCATAATCAATGCTTTTCCAATCCAAATGAGCACTTCCAAAGTGTTGGCTCGTTCCTTGACGGGGATGGAGGAGTCGTTCAAAGCTTTTTTGAAGTCTTCCAAAATTGCTACCAGGTATTCGGAGTCGTCAATCCATTTATTGACAACCAACGAGATGCACTGCACCACCGATAATCTCGAGAATTGTACTGTCGACTGGCTGGCTTTGAACAAAAGGTTGAGAAAAGATGAGCTTTCAATGGGAAATTTCACACTTTTATCGACTGCTGAGATAATCTTTGTGAAAATAATGAAAGGCAGCTGGTTCTCGTTGATGATATCCAACTGTTTCGATAACGGCTTGGCCACAAGAGATGTGGGTTTGCCGTTAATGAACAAACCGATCGATTCCCGCAAAATCTCTTTATGCTGAGAGGTATCTGTTTGCAGCACTATCTTTTTAGCAACACGCCCTGTATACTCTAGAACCACCTCGTCGTGAATGGTTTTGTCGTTATCCAGAACGACATAAAACAGCCGTGGCACTAGGCGTTTCATGTTGTCGTTGGTAGAATCCTTTGCATCCAATTTATCTGCGGTTTTCGACAGGGTCAAGAACACTGACCGGACATAGCTTTGAGACGCAGACTCTATTAGAATTTCGATCTTTCCAACTAGTCGCAACATAACAGAGTCAATCACCAGCTTGGACTCTGAAATGGAGACAAGGATGTCGAGCACACGGGACTTGGTGTTTAATTGATCTAGATCTGTGTCGTTGTCTGGAAGAAAAGAAAACAGCCTTGGAACAGTTATCTCAAGCACAGCAGAGGGGTAGCTTGAAGATAACGACTTGAAACACTGCAAGATCTGCTTTTCTGTCACGCCGTTGTCATCTTCTAGGAGAACATCTGTTACTAGTTGAGTAATCAGCTGAGCTTCCTGATCGGCCAGAAAGTAATTCAGTGAGACGACCTTGGCCACAAGCCTCACAGCTAAACATCTGAGTGACACTTCGACCTTGGATGTAGACAGTAAAGCTTTGTTAAACAGCATCAACAGGTCATCCTTGAATTCATACATTGGATTGTTTGGGTGAATGGATTCTTCTTTCTCATTGAATAGAATGTAATAACTGTCAATCATGAAAGAGACGTTTGTCAGTATTTGTCTTTGGGTTTTGACAGTTAAGTCATCCGACGCCAGTAAAAGGGGCATTACGCGGGGAATTATCAGATTGTAGACATTGATGTTAGCCGCGCATATAGCAGCTAAAATTACGGTAGACTGCTTTGATCTCTTATCGTCGTGATTCTTGATATTCTTGGCCAGCTCGTCCATTATCACATAAAGATAATCCTTGATGTTGAGATCCTCATTCACATTTTTCAGTTTGTCACTTAACGACTGGAAGATCTTCAAGACAGCAGGGATGATCCGTTCGTCCTCATTTTCAGAATTCTCATAGTACGTAAACAACTGTGTCAATGTCTCAACAGATGCAAGCTCGTTATGCAAAATTTCGTATTTGAGCGAGTTCCACAATGTGATCCAGTATTCTTCCACCGTTGCTGTGGAGTATTTCTCGACACATTGGTTGAGCGTTGTGAGGACGTCGAGTTTGACTGTTGGAGAGGTAGCCGATAATTTCTCGAGAAGATTGGGGAAGGCGTCTTTAGCGTACAAATTGCTGGCACTCAAACAGTCGCGGAGAGTCTGTTTTAGCTGGTCTCCTGTGATTTTGTATGGGTCGTTCGCTGGGGCCCTGAATGAGATAGGGAAATAACAGAACACCGCATCAAACATATCCTCGGAATATTTGCTGATGTCAAAGTTCTGGGCTATTAGTGCTGACAGCTTGAACGACAGAAGCAGATTTTTGGGGTCCTTTTCATTCTTGGAAACGTGAAGATAGGTTTTTATGATTTCATCATTGTACTGTTTTGCTGGTTCCAAATGAACAGATAGCACAGAGTCCAAAACCTCAAATCCGTAGTACCTAACGCTAGCCAGCTTGCCCAAAGGGGAGTATTTTTCCACCAGGAAGTTTAGCACGTGAGGAATTAAGCTAGGATCAAATTGGCTCATCAGAACAAGCGAGCTCAGACCCTTGAGCACTTCTCTCAAGCAAGGCTCGTCGTCGAGTTTTGACAAATAAAAGTCCACCAGCACCTGGACGTCTTTGGCGTACATCTTTTTTCTGTTCACATTGCCCAGAACAGAGCTCAGAAGGGTGATTGCTCTGGTTCTAATGGAGTTCGAGTCATCTGTGAGGTGTGTACCTAGACCACGAATGAACTCTAGAAGCGTGACTTGGTTGCTCTCTATAAGCCCACAGATAGTCCTCACTGCCTCTTGACAACCTGCTGTTTCGGCATTGTCCGCAACCATGAACTGGTTGACGGGTGTTTGAAAAGACATGATTACTAAAAATCGAATTTAAAGGAAAAATTTACTCCGACATTTTGTCATCTCATCTACCATGTTCACAAACCACACCTGTTTGCACGTTTCAAACCTGGCCAAGTCTGTTGGCTGGTACACCAGCACGTTTGCCATGAAGGCAATCAAGCAATTGGAGACAGCAAAGTACACTTCGGTTTTTGTTGCGTTCGATAGCAATGGCCACCCACATGCCGGCAAACCACTGGCCCAGAGAGACGGAGTGGTCGAGCTGCGTGAGCTCAAAAACTCCAATGCCAAGGTTTACGACGGAAACTCGGAGCCTTACAAAGGGTTCGGCCATTTGTGTGTTTCGGTCAACAATATTGCCAAGGCCCAGGAAGATTTCCTTGCTAAGGGTGTGAACTTCAAGAAGAGGCTCGAGGATGGAAGACAAAAGAACATTGCTTTTATTCTGGACCCCGATGGATACTGGGTTGAGCTAATTGAGAACTCTTTGGACGAGCCTACCACCATCAACCCTGTTGCCTACAGAATGAACCATTCTATGATCAGAGTCAAGGACCCTAAGGTTTCTCTCAAATTCTACCGCGACTTGCTGGGAATGAAGCTTTTTAGCACCAGAGACTTCCCAGAGGCTCAGTTCACGTTGTACTTCCTTGGCTTCGAGGACGACTCGTATGTTGAGAACAAGGAGCAACCCAAGCCACAAGCTGCCAGACAGTCCATTATTGAACTCACTCACAACTACGGAACCGAGTCCGACGACTCGTTTGCCGGCTACTATGTCTTTGACAAGGACACAGACAAAGTTGTTGGCTTTGATCATATTGCTGTGTCGTACAAAAATGTCAAGCCTGTCATTGACAGAATTGGTGACAACGCCAAGTGGATCACAAAGTTTGGCGAGAACCCGGATCTGAAGGAGACTGCTCTGTTGACAGATCCAGATGGATACAAAATCCAGCTACAATCCTTTGACGCGTTGTCGTAAGTGTGATTTTTTTCGCCGAACTAATGATAGGCCTGATTCCAAGCTATGATAAGACCTTATTTAGTATGAATATCATGACCTTATTTATTATCGTCCTTAGGGCTGAATTTCAAACTGATGGAATTGACACAGTGTCTCTCATCCGTGGGAGTGTTGTAGCCTTCTCCTTTAAATATGTGTCCTAGGTGGCCACCGCACGAAGCGCACATGATCTCGATCCTTTGCATACCATGGGAATTGTCCTCCTCCGTTATAAGCGCGCCTGGAAGAGCCTGGTAAAAAGCTGGCCATCCACAATGGCTGTCGAATTTTGTGCTTGATTCGTACAGTGGCGCATCGCAGCCTGCGCAAGTGTAGATGCCTTTGCCCTTGAAGTCTGTGTACTTGCCCACATATGGTCTTTCTGTTCCCTTTTGGCGCAGCACGGCAAACTGCTCAGGGTCAAGGATTGCGCGCCATTCCTGTTCAGACTTTTGTATTTTTGGCATGGCAGATATAGTCCTGATTGCTCTTCTGAACATAAATATGAAAAAAAAAACCGATTAATTTATTTCAATGGAGCCCCTGCATCTAGCACCAGGTACGTGTTGCCGATAAAACTGCTGACCAATAGAACCGCTTCAAAATGCCCTGCAGCATATCCTACAAGATCAAGACTACAAGCCTGAAAATCACAGTGTACCCTGGCCAGAAGTGGTCCCCCTGATTGGAGCTCTTATAAAAGCCGTGGTAGTCGAGATATACCATGCAGATATCTCCTATGTGGCGCGCAATCCCTTCGACTCTGTTGGTGAACCGATTGAGAAGTTTGTTGCTCGCTTGAAGTTTAGACTAGAGACAGACTTTCCTAATTCTCCGCCTTTCACGATCTACCATCTCACAGAGACATTACTTCTCAAAACACCTGGATTCGAGCCAACGCGAGGCCTGAAGACGCGTCTTCATGAGTTCAAAACAACAATTCGTAACACAGTGACCAATAAAGAGACCGTCATTGAAGCAGACAACAACTACTATCAATCCGGTAACGGGTCGACCGAAACACACGAGAACGAGGTGAGCGCACTGAAATATTTGCGCGCTTTGGAGCGTAGCATATTTGTGCAAACATCCATCGAGGAGATCAATCAGCATCTAGCCGAGTACGGTTCGAGGAACACTACGGACTTGAGGGGCGAAAGGCCACCTGAGGATTCGAGTTCTATACAGATGAGTCGAATCGGCTGGGTCGATGAAATGCGCGCTTTGGCAGCACAAGACGCGACTACGGAGGCATCTCCAAAACGGTTAGTTTCTGAGCCAGAAGAGGGCAGACATGTCAAACGGACCAAAAACGAGCGCGAGCAGGAAGACGAGAAAACTAGTGCAGAGAGCGGAAAGCAAAATGACTCGGAGGATGGGGATGGGTCTGACATCTCGACTGGAGATATGAGTGTGGATTAGATAGGAAAAAAATTTCTTTGATTTTTTCGCGTGCATGGTGGAGGTGGTGATCCATGAGCGACGATTTAATCACCCGTATACACCTTATGATGTCCAGGTGAAGCTCATGGAGGCGATCTACGACACTCTTACGGGGAACTATAAGGTTGGCATATTCGAGAGTCCCACGGGAACCGGCAAGACGCTGTCCATCATCTGTTCGACAATGACGTGGTTACGCGAGCTAAAACAGCGACAGAATGCCATTATTGACGACGATGACGATGACGAGCCTGAATGGGTTCGCCAGGCGTACCGTGAAAAGATCGTTGGACGGATGGTTGCTGAGGCTCGCGAATACGAACGACATCTCGACGAGCTCGCCAAGACCCAGGGCAAAGCGATTGAAAACAAAATCAAAGAGAAAACGCATACCCGCAAGCAGAGAAAGGTGATCAAAGACGAAGATATTGTTCCCGAGGATTATTTTGAGGACGAGACTTTAGAGGATAGAAACACAAAAATAGCTAACGAAATTAAGCAGCTCCTGGCTCAGGTAGAAGGCAGGTCAGATGCAAAGGACAAGGCGACAAAGATCAATCAATGTGACAGCAAGATATTCTTCTCTTCCCGGACGCATTCTCAGTTGAGTCAGTTTGGACAGCAATTGAGACTCACCCACTTTCCATCCTCTTTGGAGAGTGTCGAGGAGAAAACAAAGTATCTGGCATTAGGATCCAGAAAACAACTTTGCATCAATGAAAAAGTGAGCTCCCTAAAAGACGTCCAGCAGATCAATGAAGCGTGTCTCGAGCTGCAAAGGAAGAAAGACGGAGAGAAGGGGTGCAGCTATATGCCAAGGCCGGAAACCGACGATCTGACCACGCAGTTTCGCGACCTCACGTTCTCTGAAATCCGAGATATTGAGGAGTTGCACGAGATAGGCTCTCACTACAGAGTTTGTCCGTATTACAGTTTGCGTCGTGGCCTGGAAATTGCCGAGATTGTGTCTATGCCGTATCAGCTGCTGCTTCAAAAATCTAACAGACAGGTTCTGGGACTGGATTTAAAGAATTGTATTGTCGTGATAGACGAAGCCCATAACTTGCTGGATACAATTTCTTCGCTGAACTCTGCCACTATTTCCCTCAACGAGCTGTTAAAAGTTCGAAAGGCGCTCAAGAGCTATACCACAAAGTTTGCTTCCCGGCTGAATGCAGGTAACAGAATCAATCTCGCTAAGCTCAGTAAAATGATTACTATTTTGGCCAGATATCTGATGAAGGATAGCGACAAGATATCAGCAGGAACAGAAATCAATGTGACTTCCATCTTTGACGACACCACCGGCGATCTGCTCAATTTTCACTCTTTGGAGACGTATCTGACCAAGTCCAAAATTGCATATAAAATAGAGAGCTACATGGAAAAGATTGACGAAAACCACAAAGCTGGAACACCAATACTTTTCAAGATTAGATCCTTTCTAGAGTGTCTCTCCAATCCCTCGAAGAGTGGAAAACTGTTCTACGAAAGAGATTCCACTAATGGCATTGCCATGAAGTATCTTCTTTTGGATCCCAGCGAAGCCTTTAGGGATGTTGTTGAAGAGTGCAAGTGTGTGATACTTGCTGGTGGAACGATGGAACCAATTTCCGACTTTACCAAGTTCCTCGTCCCTTACATTGATGCCGCAAAGATCAAGCATTTTAGCTGCGACCATATTATTCCAGCCTCAAATTTGGATGTCTATCCGGTAAAGAGCCGCCAGGGAGTGGAGTTTGAGTTCTCGTTTGATAAGAGAAACGATAAAAAAATGATTAGGGCACTTGGCGATACCATTTTGGATATGGTTGCAGCCGTGCCTGATGGAATGGTTGTGTTTTTTCCCAGCTACAAGTATTTGGACCAGCTAATAGAGTTGTGGAAAAATAGCGGGCATTACCACCGAATCAACCAGGTGAAAACTATTTATACAGAATCAAGAGAGAACGCGGTGGATAATGTTTTGCAAAACTATTCCCAGCGCATACTTGAGCGCAGCGGAGCTGTCCTGTTTGCAGTTGTGGGCGGAAAGATGTCGGAGGGAATTAATTTTTCCGACGAGCTTGCGCGTGCAGTAGCTATGGTGGGCCTTCCTTTTCCTAATTTAATGAGCGGTGATCTAATAGCCAAGAGAAAATACGTGGAGTCGAAAACGATCGAAATGGGAGGCTCTCACGAAGACGCAATGGCAAATGCGCGCGATTTCTACGAAAATATATGCATGAAGGCGGTCAACCAAAGTGTCGGGCGTGCTATCAGAAATATCAGAGATTACTCCGTGATTTACTTGATAGACGCCCGGTACGAACGACCACATATCCAGAAGAAGCTGTCTGGCTGGATCCAAAAACGCATTGAGCGTGGCGGGGAAGTGAGCGAAGTCATCAGGCAAACGAAACGATTTTTCATGAACAAGTAATATATGCATAATAAATACCCTTGAGCTAGTAAATTAAATTAAAGCTGAAAAATACTGTAATTTTTATTTATTCTTTGAATTTCCATCCATGTCTGATTTTGAAGTCGAACCAAGCCTTAAAGATATAGTGACTCACGAAAGTCTGAAATGGATATTTGTTGGTGGAAAGGGAGGTGTCGGAAAAACGACAACGTCCTCGTCCATTGCCATCCAGCTTGCCCTCCATAACCCAGCCAAGAACTACTTGCTTATCTCGACCGATCCTGCCCACAATCTGTCTGACGCGTTCGATCAGAAATTCGGCAAAGATGCCAGGATTGTGGACGGTATCTCGAATCTGTCGTGCATGGAGATCGACCCATCCTCCTCATTGGAGGAATTCATTGCCAACAACGGTTCTGGTATGGACCAGAACGATCCACTGAATGGCATGATGAGCGAAGTCACAGGCTCGATTCCAGGTATCGACGAGGCATTTTCATTCATGGAGGTCCTGAAGCATATTAAGAACCAGAAAAACGAAGATTCGTCGGTGATCAAATACGACACTATTGTTTTTGACACTGCTCCTACTGGACACACACTGAGATTCCTTCAATTGCCATCCACATTGGAAAAATTACTGGGTAAATTCAACGAAATCAGTGGCAGATTAGGACCGCTGCTCAACATGATGGGCGGAGACCAAAAGACCGAAATGTTCAACAAGCTAGCCGAGATCAAGACGCAGGTTACCGAGGTGAACAAGCAGTTCCAGGATCCTGACCTCACGACATTTGTTTGTGTGTGTATTTCGGAGTTCTTGTCTTTATATGAGACCGAAAGGCTCATCCAAGACTTGACCAAATACCATATGGATGTCAACTCGATAGTGGTGAACCAGCTGCTCTTTGCAGATGACGACCAATGCAAGCGTTGTGAGTCTAGATGGAAGATGCAACGCAAGTATCTTGACCAGATGGACGAGCTTTATGAGGACTACCATTTAGTCAAAATGCCTCTGCTGGGTAATGAGATCCGTGGGGTTCATAACTTGAAGCTGTTCTCCAAATTTCTAATTGAACCATACGATCCTAAGGCCCACAAGGATGTAGTCTTCTCGTTGGAGGAGAGATAGAGGTGAGTATATAGACTGCTAATGAGTGTGCTACCGATTATCAGTCGAGCATAGAAACGGCTGTGCTACTATTTTTTTTATTTATTATGGCTCAATATACATGTCAACGGTGCAAGCTCCCGTTGGTCATTGACGAGTCTCTGCAGGGCTTGAGCAATGCCCAGAAGCATCTACTCACACTCAGCTATGGCCAACGGCCTAACGAGGACCATCCAAAGGATTTGGATGAGTATCCTGTTCTTCCTCCAGAACGGGTCACGTTGTTTGAAGAGGCTTCGAAAACCAGCGGCACCAAGCCACTCGTTTCCAGCAAGGGATCCGACGCGTTGCACATTGACGATGGGTCATTTGTGATTTTGGAAGACAAAAAACAGCCCTCGATGGATAAAGTATCGGTCAGCGAGCGAGTGGCGTCCTTAGACAATATCTTCAGCATTCTCTCCTCCAAATATGAGATTGACTATCCGGTCTGTACAGACTGTGCATCCACACTAATTGACGAGCTGAAGCAGCAGTTTGAGCAAATGACAAAGGAAAAAGACACATACGTGCAATTTCTCAAGAAACTAACAGCACAGAGCGGCCCAAATAGAAAAAAGGCACAGGACTCGTTGAACGAGCTTGCAGTCCTAAAAGAGGAGGAGACAAAGCTTCTTGGAGAGTTGGAAAAGGCAGAGAAGGAACAGGAGCAATTAACACAGGAATTGGTAGAAGTCGAGCAAGAATTAGAGCATTTAGACAACCAGGAAAAGGAATTCTGTCTACAAAAGAACGTGTACGATCTTGAGCTGATTGAATTTGTGAACGAGCGAGAACGCATCAAAGCGTCGTACGAATACAATCTAAACCGATTAGACTCTTTGCGCAAAACCAACGTATTCAACGACGTCTTCATGATTTCGCATGACGATCAGTTTGGCACCATAAATGGCCTCCGACTCGGAAACCTCGATAACGTCAAGGTATCGTGGCACGAGATTAACGCGGCTCTGGGTCAACTTGCGCTTTTGTTGGCCACTGTTGTGCGCATTCTGGATTTCCAGCTGGACGGATACCGTATTATTCCTATGGGGTCGACGTCGCGGATCGAAAAATACAGAAAAGATCGAAACGGAACAATATCCAAGCAAACACTGGACTTGTTTAGCAATGGAGAGTTCTCCATAGGGAAGATTTTCACCCACAACCAGCTGGATGCAGGAATGGTTGCCCTGGTTGACATAGTCTCACAAATTGGACGCAAGCTTAAACAGCTAGACGAGTCAAATGACTTGCCGTACAAAATGACGGAAGACAAGGTTGCTGGGTATCCCATCAGACCTTCTGCGCGCAGTTCCAATGAGGAGTGGACCTCTGCGTGTCGCTATCTCCTCACCAACGCCAAGTGGATACTCACTTATTGCATAGCTCGTACCTAATCTGATATGGTGTACGGATGTAGTTTTCTTTTCTTCCACACGTATATGCTTAAACAAGAAATCATATTAGGTGCATATTTTTTCCGTTAGAAAACAGTTAAAGGGCAAAGGGCATTGTATTTACCTGCACATGGGACGAACGTTATGACAGCAGACACAAAAACCATCGTTAAAGACTCAAGGAGTGGGAAGGAGTCTGTTTTCAGCAGAGATATATTGCGAAATCATCTGCTGTCCCTTACACAGGGACTAAATACGGAGTTTGTCAGCATTGATGTGATTCTCGATAAGGTCGTCAGTGGTCTTCCTGAAAGCCTCACTATTCAAGAGCTGCTCGAACTGACAGCAGAAGTGGGTGCTTCTCTGACCACGGTCCACTATGATCATTCCTACCTGGCAGCAAGAGTACTAGTTCGTCATTTGCAAAAGCAAGTATGTGGTAGTTTTTCAGAAAATGTCAACCGAATGAGAAAGTATCGTCCCTCGCAGTACCGCAGTTTCAAATCTCTCATTGCTGCAGATGTCTATGATGTTGTGAACAAACACGCTGATGTACTGAATAATGCCATCGAATTTGATAGAGACTTGGAGCTGGACTACTTTGGCTTCAAAACTATGGAAAGATCCTATTTGCTCAAGATGGATGGGAGGCCGTGCGAAACTCCTCAATATTTGTTTATGAGAGTCGCTGTGGGAATACACAAAGGCAACATAGAACGAGTTCTTGAAACATACAGACTTATGTCTCAAAAATACTTCATCCATGCTTCACCTACTCTGTTCAACGCCGGTACAGAAACTCCTAATCTGTCCTCCTGCTTTCTCCTCGCAATGTATGGGGACTCTATAAATGGCATTTTTAGAACGATTCACAGGTCTGCCCTCATTTCGAAAGCAGCCGGTGGAATTGGAATACACGTTTCCAACATTCGTGCTGCCGGCTCTTACATTTCTGGAACCAATGGTACATCTAATGGGCTTGTCCCTATGGTCCAAGTCTTCAATAGCACAGCAAAGTATGTGGACCAAGGGGGCAATAAAAGACCCGGCGCGTTCTGCATGTATTTGGAGCCGTGGCATGCAGACGTGTTTGAGTTTTTGGATTTGAGGAAAAATCATGGAAAGGAAGAAACTCGCGCAAGAGATCTCTTTTATGCTTTGTGGATACCAGACCTATTCATGGAGAAAGTGGAGAAGGACCAAGAGTGGTGTCTTTTCTCTGAGGATCAGTCACCTGGGCTCAGCGACACTTATGGAGATGATTTCGTCAAGCTTTATAACAGGTATGAAAGTGAGGGTCGTTATATCCGCAAAGTGAGAGCCCAGAAATTGTGGCATGCAATATTGGTCGCTCAAACAGAGACGGGGAATCCTTTCCTGCTATACAAGGACGCCTGCAATAAAAAGTCTAACCAGCAAAACCTGGGTACCATTAAGTCCTCCAATCTCTGTTGTGAAATCGTTGAATATTCCTCCAGTGAAGAGACGGCAGTTTGCAATTTGGGTTCTTTGGCTCTTCCTTCTTTTGTCCAAGATAACAAGGGAGAGCGAAAGTTCAATTTTCAACTGCTTCACGATGTTTGTAAAACCTTGGCTCGAAATTTGGATACTGTGATTGATGTGGGGTCTTATCCTTTGCCAGAAGCTAAGGTTTCAAACAAAAGACACAGACCAATTGCTATTGGTGTGCAGGGCCTGGCTGATGTGTTTTTCAAGCTGCGAATGCCATTTGGTTCTCCAGAGAGCAGGAAATTGAACACTCTCATATTTGAAACAATTTACCATGCAGCCTTAGAAACCTCAGCAGAGCTAGCCGAGATTCATGGGCCGTACGATTCCTATGCTGGCTCTCCAATCTCCAAAGGGGTCTTGCAGTACGATTTCTGGAATGCTAAACCAAGTGATTTGTGGGACTGGAAAGGTCTGAAAGCTAAGATACATCGAACTGGTGTCAGAAATTCTCTATTGGTTGCGCTAATGCCTACCGCTTCGACGTCGCAGATCTTCGGATTTACAGAATGTTTTGAGCCGATCACCTCAAACATGTATTCAAGAAGGGTGTTATCGGGAGAGTTCCAGGTTGTGAACAGGTACCTGGTCGACGATCTCGTGGAGCTGGGGCTGTGGGGCCCAGAAATGAAAAACGAAATCCTTCGACTGGAAGGATCCATCCAAGACATCGAGAGCATTCCTGCCGAGATCAAGGAGATTTATAAAACGGTCTGGGAAATTCAGCAACGAGCACTAATAGATATGGCTGCAGACCGTGCTCCGTTTATTGACCAGTCCCAGAGCATGAACTTGTTCATGCGGAATCCAACTATGTCCAAGCTTACAAGCATGCACTTCTATGCATGGAAGAAAGGACTGAAAACCGGCATATATTATTTGCGAACCCAAGCTGCTGCATCTGCTATCAAGTTCACAGTCACGCCCTCTGGGTTCAAAAGGAGTATTTCTGAGTCTACGGACGTGACAAAAAGACGCAAGTCAAATGGGAATGAAGTAGCCGAAGGTTACAACATTTATGACCAAGATAATGTTCTTTCTTGCAAGGTTGGAGATCCAGAGACCTGCGACGCTTGCTCCAGTTAATCGTGTAAATAGTTATCAATTAGATGCCAAAATGGCTCACATAAGCAGCGAATTTCCGGGTAGTGGAGCCCGAAGGTGGATCGATCTTGGAAATGCTTAGCACACTGAGGGCCGCCAGGGTCGTGTTGAAAAATATGATGCTGTACGCATTCTTGCGAGCTCTTCGGCTAAACCACCGCAGATAATGCAGTGCTCCAGCGAGAATATGGTAGGATGTTACTCCCACCAAAGCTATAAGGCCAGTAGCTCTGATAAATGGGCTTTGTGCGACAGCCCAAGCGATGTAGGACAAGTCCACCATGGACGAGTCTCCCTCCACTGCCAGGGGCCCAATTCGTTGGTGCAAAACGTGCAACGTGAGCAATGGAAGTAATATATAGCCAGAAAACCGCAGAGGTGTCAGTCCGAGCATTCTGAAGCTCAACGAAGGTCTAGGCCCGAGACCCAATAAATATGTGAGGCCTCCGAGCCCGCTGCTCTTATCGATCTCTGCTTCTTTCGCGGACGATATTGCCGGTGAGGTTTTCTTTCGCAATCCCCCGTACTTGACATAGTTGTCCCATTTTTTGGCAAATTGCAGAGCTATGCCACTCAAGACATGAACGCAAGCTGACGCAAGCAGAAGAGTCTCTGAAGAACCCGCTTGATATAGTTCACGGCCCATGGATATCACCTGCTCGGCAATATCAATTCCAGCAATAGGTGGAGCGAGAACGACGCCTGATAAATGGATCGCTGTAAAGAGGCCCATTGGAATGGTAGAGTATTTTTGGAGGACGGCTAAAGTTCGCACGACCTTGAGACTGAGTCTGTTGGATGATGGGGTAGCAGGAATCCCTATCGGGATTTCGTCCCCGGAGATCGGCTCTGGAGACACCGGACGTAGCGAAGACATGTCAAATTTGCAAAACAATAAATCAAGGTTATCTATTTTGCTTACTATGTATAAAATCTATTGGATAATTTTTTTATTTCGTCTCGAAGATCAAGCTAAAGTTGACATCTAGACCATAGCCAGGCACAATAGGGACTTGCGCGTTCCGTGAAGGCACTCTATCGGCAGACCATCCTGATTGGCCTCCATAGGTGACGTGGCCCGAGGACGAGTTGTAGTCGAATTGGGCAGCAGTGACTCCGCTACCACAGGCAAAATAACCGTCGGTATCAATACCGCAGTCTCCCTTCGACGAAGTGAGCTGATAGCCACCAAAACTTGCCTCGGACAGCTTATAAGTGGCGCATGTACCCGAGACAAACCATTTGCCGTTGCTAATGAGACAACCAGCCTGGTTCTCGAGCTTGAGGTAGCCTCCATTGCCAGTAGGTGTGGCCGTGCTTGTGGCTGAGGTCTGGGTTTTTGTGGCGGTGCCGGTCGACGTAGACGAGGCCTTCTTCAAAGGGAACTTGATTCCGAAAGACGGACAGTTTGAGGAGATAAGGGCGTCGATTGGAACGTAGTTGCCGTGCGGAATGGAGCCACGTAAGTGATGGAAATACCAGATTTCATTCAGGGCGTGGTTCCTGTCACACTTGAAGTAGACCTCCTTGCCGAACCTGGACTTGAGGGCCTCATCAATCTGCTGTTTTGAGTAGGTCTGGGAGTCCGAAGGCGTAATTCCAGCAGCTTCAAGCCATCTGTAGGTGGGTAGACCTTCAAATAGCTCGACTGACTTTCGGAAATAATCAACCACTTCTCTGTTGGTCTCGAAGTTCTGGTAGCAAGAGGGTTTGATAGTGCTCAAACAGGTGCCGTGTTTATTGAATTCGTGGACCCATAGATTGTTGTCATCGCCCTGGTAGTCTTTCCAGACCTCGTGCATCCTTTTCAATAGCTGTTCCTCGCCAAACGAGGTCAGCACTTCCTCGGCATTGGAGATCTGCAGCGAGCTGTCGCAGAACTGATTGTATGTGCCGTCACAGTTGTCAGGCCACAAACCGTGCAATGTGAACATATCGTCTGGTCCGGTGGGGTAATCGTAGTCCCAGAACTGTGTTTGCAGCAAAACTCCCCCGGGATATTCAAAACAACAAGTATCTGGAATTTGCGAGGAATTTGTGCACGATAACGGGATATCAGAAGGACACGAATGCCCGTCTGCGCTGAACACTGAGGTGTAATGCGCGGCGGTGGTGGATACAATGGCCACCATATGCTTCAAAATCAAATGAGACACCATGCCCGTAATTATTATTTTCCCTATTGGGTTTATCTGTTTTTTGACTGTTATCTAATTAGGCATCATTTTTATGTCTATCATTCTCACCAAAATCTTACAAACGTGACCGACAGCCAGTATACAAAAAAATTTATTCTTCCTCTTCAGAGTCTACATCGACCTCTTCAGCGTCGCTCACGTCGCTTCCACCGCTTCCGCCGTCAACATCGCTCTCAAGAGATTCGCGCAGAGCCTTTTCACGAGTCTCTTTCACCTCACGCTGCACTGCAACGTATGCTCCCAATGGTGTCTTTTGCCAATCGACTTCGTGTAAGAACATACCAACTTCAACTCTATTGTTAGGTCCAAACTCAACACTGGATCTCTCTTTCTCAATGTACTTGGCGTTTGCGTTGAGTTTCTCCACCAGGGTGCCCAGCTGTTTCACAAGCTTGATGTTGGTGGATTTCTTCATGTAGCGTCTCAAATAAATCACAGCCGGGGTGATCAGCTCTGGGAAAGCGATGCTTTTGCAGTGCAGAACAAAGAACTCGGCCGCCAATTCAACAACCTGCTCAATGAGTCCCTCCTGGTATACTCTGCTCCCGAGGTACTGCTTAGGAACCTTGATGACGTAATCGAACGAAACGGCCTGGAGATTAGCGTGCTTTGGTTTTTTGGTGACAGCCGAGGAGTTGAGCACTTCGACAACTAGTGGAAAGAGTGGGATGTACACACCTGTGTTTTGGGATAGTCTAATGAGGGATCTAATGAGATAGAAGCGTAGGGGGAAAAACTGGGCTGTTGGTAGCAGTCTAATAGCTCCCAAAGTGACCTGGACCAGAGGATAGATTAGCTGCCGCAGGGGACTCTCTTTCTTGTTGGCCTTTTCCGTCTCTGGGTGGCAGTGAACGGAAATCATTCTAGACCAAAAATCTAGCGAGTGGCAATATTGCCAGTTGTAAATTGCTTTGTAGCTGTCCTTGGTGGTGTTGTTGACGCTGTTTCTCAAATGAATAGCCAGCTGACGAATGTATTCAAATCCGACCTGGAAGCTGAGAGTCTTGTCAATCCCAAAAAGCTCCACGGCCGAGTTCTTTTGGAAATTGATCATAGGCATTGTGTGGACATTGGTCTTTCTGCACTTTTTGATGAAACTGGAATAGGTGGTTTTCAGAACTAGCTCGAGAATGGCTTTTGGAAATTCTCTGCTGGAGTTATTGAGAAACGCAAATGCCGCTATTTGCGTTTCCACGTCTTGAGAAGAGCTCCAAACGTTCACCACGGCGTTCATCATCTCTTTGATGAGCTTTCTGTGAGAAACATAGTATGGAAGCAGTTCTTGAACGGACTTCAGCACCAACGTGGCTGTCTCGGTGTTGGTGATATCGTTGAGGAGCAAAATCAACGATCCTGCATGCGACTTGAGAAGGGTGCTGATTTGGGCGACTTTCTTGTTCGAAGGTAAATTTCTTGTACCGTGAGACGAAATTTTGTAGGGCACCAATTTCTGAACACTTAAAGCTAGTTGTTGCAATGCGAGGAACATCAACTTGTGAAAAGCTTTTTCGTCTGTAACGCTATATTTGTAAGTTCCTGAGGATCCTGTGTGGACTGCAGCCTTAAAAGCAATGACGACTGTTTTCAAGGTTTTGATGGTAGGCTGGTCAGACCTTAAATTGGCCTCCCACTGTTTAATCATATCTAGTGTCACTTCAATGGCGTCTCCCTCTCTGGTCTCTTCTTCCTCCGCTCTTTCCTCTTCTACCACATCTTCATCATCCTCATCATCGCTCATTGCTTCGAGTGGATTGACAGGCTTGAAATCTAACAGATCCTTGTCATTTTCCTGCAAGTACTTATAAAACTCTGGATCGTCTTTTTCCAAGTCCTTTAGATCTTGCGCGTCGAGCTCTGCTTCGCTGCCGCTAGAACTGCTATCATCTTCGCTATCTTCATCCTTTTGGCTCTTTGAAGCTGCTTTTTTAGGGACATCTATGTCGGCATCGAAAAACTCTTCGACATCCATATCCTCAAAAATTTCTTTATCTCTTTTGTCCTCAGGTTGAGGAGCAGAACCAGAGGAGCCCTTCTTTTTGTGAAGTTTGTTGTACTTTTGTACCTTCTTCCGTTGCTCAATTGTGCTCTTCAGGTTCTTCGCCTGGAATTTTTTGGTGGACTTCTTCGCTTTAGCCATAGTGTAGATAAAGTTTTTAAATTTTTTCAGAAAAATTCAAAAAAAATTTTAGATCAGATAATTTTTCAAATTATTTACTCCGTCTAGAAAACGTCAGCCATTTTCAGTCTTGGTGCGATATTCATCGAAATCAGCTCTTGGAACAGCAATTTTGCAGCATATGGAATCGTCATTTTGACCACTCCCTCGCTTGTCTTACATGATGGACACCAACTGTTGTAACCCATCAGTCCACAAGAGTTGCAGACGTCGACGTCAAACGCATCCGAACTCAACATCAAACGCTCCAGTAACAGCTGCGACGCACCATACGCGATCACGCAATCTCTTTCCATCTCTCCCAAACGTAATCCACCATCTCTGGAACGACCTTCTGTAGGCTGTCTTGTCAGCACAGCACGAGGACCTCTGGCTCTGGCATGCATTTTATCCAGCACCATATGCTTCAGTTTCTGATAATAGATCGGACCAAAAAAGATGTACGCTTGCAACGCTTCTCCCGTGATTCCGCTGTAGAGCATGTCTTTCCCGCTGTAGTTAAATCCTTTGTCGATGAGGATCTGCGACATATCTTCCAGCTTCGAACCGCCAAAGCAAGTTCCGTATTGTAAGGACCCATCCAGAACTCCTGCTTTGCCAGAAACTAGCTCCAGCATTTTGCCAACCGTCATTCTAGATGGAAAACCGTGTGGATTCATGATTATATCTGGACTGATTCCGTCGTCGTTAAAAGGCATGTCTTCCTGCTGAACGATGATACCACACACACCTTTTTGTCCGTGACGAGACGAAAATTTGTCGCCGAGCTCGGGACGTCTGGTCTGTCTCAGTAACACCTTGATCAGTGCCTGGTCATTGTCGCTCACAGACATCATCACTTGATCAACAACACTAGAGACGGGGGCACGGTAGTTGACGGGAGTTTCTCTATGCTGTTGCTGTTGGTTGATGGTAGGTTGTCCTCCAACAACGCTCTCGGTTGCATTTGTTGGAACACATTTATTGATGTATGTTTGTCCGCTCTGCACTTCAACGCCGACTTCGGCCAATCCGTCTGGGCCTAAAGCTTCATGTTGGAATATTGGCTTTCCGTCCTCTTTCACTCTCATTCCCGCCAGAATATCCTTTGAGTGGTTGGGGTATCGCTTTAGCACAGCAGTCGTCTTCCGCAGCACTTGACAGCGACCAAATCCCCTATCGATCGAAGCTTTATTGAGCACCAATGCGTCCTCAATATCGTAACCCGAGTACGACATAACGGCAACGGTAGCATTCTGACCGGCCGGCAGCTTGTCGTAGTCGATCAGTTCGATCGTCTTGGTTTTCACCATTGGCTGTTGGGGGTAACACATCAAATACAATAAGGTATCAATCCGACGGAACTGGTTATAGGCGATCGCTCCAATTGCCTGCTTACCCATCGCACATTGATATGTGTTTCTTGGCGATTGATTATGGTGAGGATATGGAATTAAACCGGCCACAGCACCAAGAACAGTGAAAGGCTCGATCTCCAAATGTGTAGTGCTGCCCGTGATGTCTCTTTCGTATAGCGCAATAAGAGAGTCGTTTTCCTCGTTAACGTCCAGATATTCAACAAGCCCGTTGGTGAGGAAATCGTCAAAGGACCACTCTCCATCGCGGAGACGTTTGAGATGCTCTGCGGTGACTTTTGCTTTGCCATTTTCCACAATGATGAGCGGTCTGCAAATTCTGCCACCATCAGCAGCAATGTGGACCGCCGACTGATGGACGTTGGTAAAGATAGAAACAAAAGCAGAGAGCTTGCCAGTTCTTCTCAGATGTCTAAATTTGGACACAAACACGTTGGGGAATCTGGTAGTACCGATGAGAGTACCGTTCAAGTGCACACCAAAAGTCCCGTTGTTATGCAGAGTAGAGCTATCTATAACTGAAATGTCTTCTGCACCAAGAATGTAGCAAAGTTTCTTGATAGGGTCTTCTTCGTCGTCAGTAGTGATGTGAGTCATCAATGCTAGGTTCTTCACCAGTCCACAAGCTTCTCCTTCAGGAGTGTCAGAGGTACAGAGCATACCAAACTGAGATGGCTGCAAAGCACGGGGTCCAGACACTTTTCTGGATTTTTCGAACTGGGACGAAATTCGTGTCATCATACCCAGGGCTGAAATGTACGACAACCGACTCAAAACATGGGTAACACCGGCCCTTTCCATCTTGAATCTCTTGAGCGACCAGTTACCTGTAGAGATTGCCCTATTCAGCCCCGTGGTAATGTTGCTGGAGTGGATATTGATGTGGAGCAAAGCGTCAAATTCAGAAACACGGCTTGGTTTCTTGAGGATTTTATCCAGATTGGCCTTGAAGTCATTATTGAATTTTTTGAATAGATCCTCAAACAACAGAGACATCAGTTGTCCTGCCAACTCCAACCGCTTGTTACCCACATAATCTCTATCGTCAACTAGTTTTGGATTGTGCATTGCCATAATCACTCTGCGCGTCATTATGGCTATATACAGGGCTTTTTCTTTGAAATCGAGATTCTCAACAGTGATGTGCGCGATGACGGTGGTAGCAATAGCCTCGATACCTTCTTGAAGAATGCTGAGCTTAGGAGCATTGAGTCTTCTGATGGTTTTCACTTTACGTCCAATGTACTCAAGAGCCTCTTTCTGAGAATATATTCCCAACTTGGCTGCTTCTTCGAAGTTCACAGCGAAGAGATCTTGGTACACCGAATCGTTACCGCACACCAGTTGCAAAATCTCCAGGTCCGAGACAAGACCAGCCGCCTTCAAGACAATCACGATCGGTATTTCCTCGCTAATGGAGTTGTGTTTGAGGTATATTTTATCGTTTTTCGTCACCACATAGGTTTTGGATTTTCTCTCGTGCGTAGAGGAAGTGACGGAAGCCTGCACAATGTTCTTCTTTTCGTCGGCTTCAACAATGATTCTGTTCTTGCTTAATTGCTCCTGGACCAAAATGACCTTCTCTGTACCGTTGACAATGAAATATCCTCCAGGATCCAAAGGGCATTCGTTGAGGTACGCCATTTGGGCCTCATTTTTGCCGTTCAATATGCACTTATTTGACCGCAACATGATGGGCATGCGCCCAATCTCAAGATCTCTGTGGATGATGATTTTCCGCCCTCTGGTGTACTCGACATCCACGTAGATGGGGGCACTATAAGTCAGATCACGGAGTCTACATTCGTGAGGTGGAAGGAGAACCTCAGTCTCATTCGGGTTCCCTCCGCTCTTGTAGCCAACTCGAATATCTAGATATTTCAGATAGAACTCCGGATCAACATCACTCAGCACCTTTTCGTTGGCTTGAATGATCTTCTTCAGATCTGTGTCCACAAAGAAATTGAACGAGTCAAGATGCTGTTTCACCAATCCTTTCACCTGAAGAAAAGCTGGAAGCAAGTTCCACTTATCCTCGGCGGTGTTTATGGGATCCGTCAGAGATTTCCCCTTGTAGGACGGCTGCAGCAGATCCTCGAAGGACATGTATTATCAATAGAAAAAATTTGAATTATTTTTTTGGGCTATATATTTGTATTTAAAAGTGATTTTTTTTTTGGTCCATCTTCAACATGTCTGAGCCGTCAGCATCGTCGGGCCAGTCAGAACTCTTCAAATCGACAATTAATGAGTATCTCGATAACTTACCAGAGACTGTTCATTTGCAGCTTTACAGGTCGCCCGAGACTTGTCTGGCAGTGTTTCGCTTATTGCCATCGCTCGCAAAGTTTTACATTATGACCATGTTGTTCCAAGACACGGCAATTCCCTCTACTGATTTGAATAGGTGGATCAAATCCAGTTCTTTCAACGGGTCGCGCAATCTGAGCAAAATCTATCAAAACGACTCGCTAAAGCGACTTAAGGCATTGAACTTGCTCAAAGAAACAAGACGTATATTCACTCATCCCCAAACTGGCCAGACGACGCAATTGCCCTTTGTTTCGCTCAATCCAACGTTTAGACAAAGTTTCAGAAACGCATTGACAGGTAGTCGAGACGCAAACGAGGTTGTGGAGGACAACAACTTGGAGAGTATAGAAACCATAAGCGTTGAGTTTCTGGATACGTATTGTCTGCACAGGTGGGAGAGCATATTGCATTTCATGGTTGGCTCAGAAACTAAAGAGCTGCCCAGTGTGGGAGTTTTAACTCTGCTTAGATACAGCGGCTTGATGGAGCTTCCATCGGACAGAGAACAAAGAGAGCATTTAGGCGATGACTACGAGTTTCATCCGAAACTGCAACAATCGTCCTCCATACAAATGCTGAAAAACTTACTCATTACACAAAACGGGTTCCAGTTTCTTCTGCAGGACATCAACTCTCAAATTTGGACACTGTTACTGCAATACTTGAAAATGTCTGAAAAACTCATGATGAACCCAGTCGAGGTGCTGAATTTCATCTTCATGCTGGGATCCCTGGAACTCGGACAAGGGTACCCGGTGGAGCCCTTGAGTGACACTCAGAAGATAATGCTGGACGACCTTATTGATTACGGACTCATCTACACTCCTTCGAAGACAAACAAGAAGATATTCTATCCCACACGATTGGCAACGACACTCACATCTGAGCACACGAATTTCAAGACTTCAGCGGCTGCAATTGATCAAGAAATCACCAACTCGAAAAATAGCAACAATCAGGGCACCATCGTGGTGGAAACAAACTTCAAGATATACTGCTATACTTCTTCGCCATTGCAGATTGCCATCTTGAACCTGTTTGTGCATCTCAAAGCCCGGTTCGCAAACATGGTTACTGGGGTCATCACCAGAGAATCAGTTCGTCGCGCTTTGATTAACGGAATCACCGCAGACCAGATGATCAACTATTTGGGCTCTCATGCTCATCCTTGGATGGTGAAGCAAGCGGAAGACAAACTGGCACGCAAATTGGAACTCGAAAGCTCTATCGGTAACGCTGCGGGTCAAAGACAAATAGAGCTCGAAATATTACCGCCGACAGTGGTGGATCAAATCAAACTTTGGCAATTGGAGCTTGACCGTATCCAAACATTCAAGGGTTATCTTTACAAAGACTTCTCTACAGACCTGGAGTTTGAAAAGCTGCTTACTTATGGTGAGGAAATTGGCGTGATTGTTTGGAAAGACCGCGCTAGAAAGCGTTTCTTCGTTACCCAGGAAGGTAACGGACAACTACTCGATTATGCAAATAGAATCATACGGGGTAATAGCTAATGACATTCGACCACATCTATTTCTTCTTTTCTTCCTCCTCCACATCGGTATCTGTATCTATATCTGTCCAGTCGACTTCTTCCTCCTCTTCTTCATCAGACTCGTCGTCAGAGCTGCTGTAGTCGTCCTCGATCTTACGCACGCTCTCGCCGCGCATCTGGGCCAAGGCTCCAGCAAGAGAGTCTTCTTCTGGATCCTCAATTTCGTACAGATCTTTGTTAGCCGTCTCGATTGGCTTATTCTCGACTTCCATTACCAAAGGAATGTCCACATCTGAGCCAAAGTAGACCAAATGCCTCAAGGCAAGACGGAATTGGAACTTTCCTTCCTCATTAGGTGTAGGAGCAGTAAGGGGGAATTTGAATGTGGACACGACGGCCTTGGACTCCAAAAATTCTTCCTGAGTCAGCTGGAGATTGGAAAGGTCAACCTTGGAAACGTACTGTGGACTCTCTCCGAGCTTTCCATCTCTCTGGATGATTAAAAAGGCAATCCATCCGTTGTTTTCTTTCAAATATTCTGGATCAGGGAAATAAACAGGGGCCGTAGAAAGCTTGATTGCCGGTTGGTCCTCCACAATCTTCATTGGGTTTCTCAATGTCTCCAGTGTTTCCTGCTCTTTGAGTTGCGTCTCCCGCACCTCTTCGGTCAGCTTAGAAATTTCTGGTTTGGATTTATGAGCTGGAGACTTGACCAAAAATTTCAAGCTGATGTGCACAGTAGAATTAGGAGGAACATAAGGTTCGCCGGTGACTTTAAATTTGCACTCGAGAGGCTCAATTAGTGGGACTTGAGAGGCGATTTTGAGGACCTCATCTGTGTTTGCACAGTTCAGGAATTTTTCCGGCTCTACACTTGGATTTTTTAGCAACTTGCCCAAAGTGTAGATTGGCTGTTTGGTATTCAGATTTTCCAGCTCGACGCCAGGAAGCTGCAGAATCTGTCTGTATTTGTAAGCCGTGGCGTTGTTCTCAATATTGAGAGCTTGAATAATGCATCTGTGTGCCTCCACTAGTTTCAAACAGATATCAGTATTTCTGAAATTTGATGCAATGTCGATAAACCCGATAATCAATTTCGGAGTCATGGCCACGACTTCCAGTTTCAACTGTTCGTCCTTGGATTCGAGAGTCTTCCTGTCCAAATGAGAGAGCAACAGCTCCAAAACTTTTTCGGGAGTGAGAGACTTGTCAATGGATTGGTATTCGGTAGCGGAACTAAGGTACTCCAGCACCGTCTCAATCTGATATAGTTTGGCAGGATTATAGTTGATCAGAATATCTAGGAAGTGGGCAGCAGTGTCAACGTGAAGTCCTTGTTTAGTGTACGATCTGACACCGTTCCACCACGAGCCAACAACGCTAGGCAAAATAATCGCAATAAGAAGAACGTAAGCTATCACAAGTAGAGGCGAAATCTTGCCCTCAATGAGGAATTTCGGTAACGCAATCCCGTGCTTCACGTCTCCCGGTCCATCAGGATTGCCGTATTTGAGGAAATTCTCCCGAACGGCGTCGTCCGTCAAGGCCTTGTATGCCTTATTAATCAGCACGTAGGCAGAATCGACGGCCTCAATTTCCTTCGGGGTCATCTTGGACGTGTCGACCTTATCTGGATGGAACTTCAGAGACAGTTTCCTGTAAGCAGCCTTAATGACCTTCTCAGAAGCCGATTCGTCGATTTGAAGGATTTTCCATGGATCAAAGTTTGTTTCTCCGACGACCACTTCCTGTACCATGATCTGGTACAGTATTCCAGCGACAAGCAGCCAGCCCAACGCAACAAGAACAAATTTGCGCGAAAAGATGCTTTTGGTGCGCTTTTTGCTCTTGTAGTGTTTTTGCGCCGATTCGTTGTATGGTCTAAACCATGACACGGGGCGTAATTCGTCCGCGTCTTGCGAGCCACGACTGAGGTTTTCCCTCACCAATGACCAAGTGGCCGGCACAAGAGGCACAAGCACACTAGTCAGTGCGAAATACGGCCACGTTTCCGAATTTTCGTCGTAGTCGTATCTGGATTGCGACATGGAAAAATAGGAAGTTGAAATAAAATATATTACGAATTTTTGTGATTTAGGGGTACACGAGTTTGGTATCAAAAGAGTAAATTGAATTAATATGCTCGCAAGAATTGAGGCCCAAATCGGTCGCGGGAGGTCTCGCTACAGCTCTCAACATTGGTAAGGGGTGTGAGGTTCAGAGGTGAGAACGGTGACATGACATTGAGTTGATACAATTGACGATCAGGTGCTATATAGTGTGAATATGTGACGTCTTCAGCCAAACAAATCTGCAATGAAATGGCCAGATCCGAACATCTTGCTTCCAGTGTCACGAATTTCAGATACACTTCGGTGAAACAATTTTATCTTATAAGGTATTCTGCTCCCCCCGTGTTAACATCCTCAATCTCTATCTCATCTAATGGACTGTATCTGAAACGAGAGGACAGAAAGTTTCTGCTCTCAAACGGAACTGGTCCAACATTTGAGGTACTCTGAGCGCTGGAAGCGGTGGATGATCCTGCTTTTGTTGGCATCAGCTGGTTTGGAGCACAAGGGTGTGGGCTTGGAGAACCGGTTTTTTCTGACGTTAGGATTCATAGAGTAAATACTTACTGGTTATCACATGGGGCCCTCCCACAAACTTGATACTAGGGACGTATTTGGCTAGCGTTGGAACTGACACTCTCATGATGAATGATGTAAATTATTTATTCTTTGTGCGGATTTCGAGCCCGAGTCGATCATACCCAATCTTGCGTCGGTCGACCCAGATATCGACCTTTTCAAAAAAATCCATCGAGAATTATTTTGCCACTCAATCATGAATCACGATCCTTTCCATTGGGGAAAACCATTGGACTCTGTCTATGGCCCATACAATACACAAATTGCGCAGGCAAGCAATCAGCGCCCGGAAAACGTTCGCACCAATGCCGACTTCCCCTCGATGCACACCCAACAACCAATGATCACAGGTACCTCGGTTATTGCTGTCCGTTATAAAGACGGTGTCGTCATGGCGGCAGACAATATGGGTGCTTATGGATCTCTTATGAAACTGGATGATGTGGAGAGAATTATCAGGGTTGGTTCGGAGACAATTGTTGGGATTTCTGGAGATATCAGTGATTTGCAATATTTGGAAAGAATTCTAGACGACCTCGCAGTGGAGGACTCCTACGACATGGAACAGGATAATTTGAAAGCTAGTTACGTTCACGAATATCTCACCAGAGTGCTATACAACCGCCGGTCTAAGATGGATCCATTGTGGAACGCGTGTATCGTTGCTGGTTTCGACGAAGAAGGCGAGCCATTCATGAAATATGTCGATCTTTTGGGCGTGGCTTACGCTTCTCCGTCTCTAGCAACAGGGTTTGGGGCACACTTGGCAATCCCCTTGCTTAGGAAAAAGGCAGATACCATGAAAGATGTTGAGAAGCTGACGAAAGAAGACGCCGTCAACTTGGTGAAAGACTGTATGAAGATCTTATTTTATAGAGACGCAAGGTCCTTGGACAAGTACACCTTGTGCGTGGTGGACAAGACGACGAAGAATATCGAGTTCCACAAAGACGTCAGGTGCGAGGATATGAAGTGGGACTTTGCCAAGCATATCACGGGCTACGGGTTACCACAATTATAGGTCGTCTTGTCGTTTATATGATATAGCTAATCCCGGGCATACAAATAGTGAAATTTATCCGCAAATCGTGTTTCTGATTCCATCTTCTCAGGCTCTCAAGTACCTGCTTTCGAGGGTCGCCGAGATGGTCGAAAGTTTCCTTAACGTGTATTATAAGCACATTGAGGCCGGCTAAGGGGTGTCTGGTGGCTTTTTTCTTCTCGAGACAAATATTTTGTAAATTCAGCAGTTCACTGATCAGGTTGGTGGGCGTCATGTGGCCAAAGAGAGGCTGTCCCGGTTTCTTGTCCACGGACGAGCATTCTATCACAATCGCTTTGAGTTTATTTGTGAGTATGTGATCGGCCACTTTTAGCCATATGTGTTGATTGTATTTGGTATTTGAAGATAAGTCACTCTCGACGTCACCGAAAAACAGCAGTTTCCCCTTATCATTTGTTTCTGTGAACAAAAACGCTGAGCTCTTATACAACTCTGTGGATGACGTTATTCCATGGCTCACATGGAAAGTCTCCACTGCGATTGACTCTGTGACACTGAAATTTTCAGTGCAAGGCTGTAGATAGTTGAAGGACAAATACGACAATGTTGGCCAAACTTTGCCGTTGAAAATATGGTTCTTCAAGTTGTCTATCGTCTGCTGAGTTCCATAAATTGGTGTTTGTCGCGTGAAACAGGGTGAGTTTATCACGAGTCCCAACACGTGATCAAGGTGGGGATGCGTTATAATATAGGCAGACATGCAATTGAGTATGCCTTTTGCAAGTTGTAAACTGGATTTGGCAGAGATCTTTGAGACAGCCTCAAAAGGGTGAGGGTTCATCAATCCGATGTTGTCGCTATAGTAGTTCAGATCCTCGGTATTGTTGTACAGTTGACTAAAGTAAGATGAAACCGAAGCCGTGTTTTTTCGGCAATCTGTAATCATTTCGGCAATTGTCTCGACACCTGCGCCCGCGTCAAGTGCCAGAATGCAATCCACTTCATTTTCAAGAGCTTGCTCGAATGATATTGACGAAGGCTTCAGGAGAAAAGCGCAGGTTTTCCCTGCTACAGGGCCTCCTGAACACCCAAGCACAGTGAATTCGAACGTGCTAGCATTCACGGACATTGCTGGGTTATCCGTGAGCTGTAGGTCAACAAAGCCGTGTATTCTGGCTTTCAATGGCCTCCTGTATGAGGTAACGTAATTGTAAGATTGATGTTTTTTTTGTGTTACACCAATTTTTCCAAGCAGCACAACGTCACTTGCTGCATGGAAGTTTTAAATGATAGCAATCACAACCGTAGAAGCCCGGAAAAATTAATGAAATAGTTTTCAAGAAACTTGTTCTTATTGGCGGCAGTGTAGTGAGTTTACAGCAGAGACTATTTTATCGAGGAGACGAACTCCACTATCAATTCCAGTCCCAATTCTGCGGCTCCCGCAGAGCTTTCAGAGCCTAAATTATGAGATGCCCCAGGCACCACAGTGCTCAAAGGGGACCACCATTTGGGGTCAGTCGCGGCCTTGAACTTTTCCATAACCGCTTCTTTATTCACGTGCGTTGGAACTGTCTCGTCTTTCCCGCTATAGAGAACCAGCAGCGGCCGATTGACCTTACCAAACGTGAGTTTATGGTCCTCTGGCCCCAGATAGCTAGAGAAAAAGTCGTCGTCACCGCGCTCCGAGGCCAATGAGTACCACCTGTAAGCATTGATAGGAGACTCAAATACATCTGGACATAGATCGTACGGCATGAACTGCTTCCCCTTCTCCTTATCAATTAGATTTTTGGCCACTTTGATGCTGTTTTCCAACACAACCGGATCCATGAATTGCAATAGCGCCTCTCTGTCAGAAGTGCAAGCTTGCAGGATTCCAAAGTCAATGCTCGTTTCTGCGCTTCGTTCAAGTTTAGAAAGGTAGTAGAGGGTGTCTTGGCTTCCTGTAGAATGGCCCAGAATACCTACTTTTCTCCTGTTTCCAATCTCGGAATCAGAGCTTCTGAGCACGGTCACCAGTCTTGAGATCTCCTTAGCATCCTGCGCCAGCGAACTGGCTCCATATCCAGTATACGAGCTTGAAAGCTGGATCTGTATGACCGACCAATTGTGAATAGCGAGCTTTTCAGCAAGAGTCGGAACGTAGGGAACTGTTAGGAATCCATCGGTCAGGCCGCCTACGAATATTAACACGTTGGGATGTCGCACGTTTCCAAACTCAAAAGCAGTAAGGCGCGAGTCGTACTCGAATAAACGGCCGTTAACGGAAATCATTAAGATTTAATTTTCCAGGATATTTATTTCTAGACTTCTATTTAGTTGCCGTACAGTCTGCCTTGAGCCACCTCAAATGCACGTTTTTCAAATGACCGGAACATCAAATTTGCAACCTTGGTGGCAAAGAAGGAACTCAACTGATTGTAGAGCTCGTTCTTGAACTTGTAGCGCAAATTCAGCACAGCCTTGCAGTGCTCGTCGTCCAAAGTATGCACTGTCCATCTAGTTTCCAGAAAGTTGAACAACGAATGTGTGATGGAACGAGCCACAATCAATTCAGGCTGCTTGCACTGTAGGTCACACGTAAACTCTTCGTCGAATTGCTGAAATCCCACACGTAGCCCTGCCACCAACGGCTGTCCATGGTTGTCGCGCGCTCGCACGAACGACTCTGTGCAATAGGGAATAAATTCGTGGTACTTGTCGACCTGTGATATCAGTTCGTACATAAGAGACTGAGGATGATTGAATTTCTTGGTGAGAGTGTACGACTGCTCCGATGGCCTCAATAGGCTCGAGAGATGGAGCGCACGCGCTCTTCCAGCAGTTTTGAGCATTAACGAAAAATTGGACGATCGACGTTTTATAAAATAAAAAAAGGCACTAAAATTGGATATCGTCTAATCTGGTCCAATGTACAATCCTTTCCAATTGGCAATTGCCAAGTTTTCTGGTTTGTCTGGCCTTGACGAGGGGTCTTGCAAAATTCTGACATGCCTATTTTTGTCATTTCCGCTGAGTGCGATCTTCAAACGGATTCCAGATCAGAAAGTACACTTCAAGAATTACTACATTATAGCGGTCAGTGCCGTGTACATCTTTTTGATTCTTGAGATTTGGTCTGGGTTTTTTGTGCTGCTGTTCAATGCGTTGTTCACGTTCGTCCTGGTGAAGTATTACAAATCAAGGCTTATGCCGTGGGTTAATTTGATCGCGCTAATGCTCTTTCTCTGCGTGAACCATCTGAAAGCTCAATTTTTTGCTCCTGATTATGATCCGTCAGCGATCGACATTACTGGAGCACAGATGGTTTTGGTCATGAAGCTTAGCTCCTTTGGATGGTCTATCAGCGACGGTCAACTCTATCACGAAGACATCGACAAATTCAATCAACTAAACACATACCAGAAATCCAGAGCAATCCTGAATTATCCACCAATTCTTTACTATCTCGGATACGTGTTTTTCTATGGGTCTCTGGTTACCGGTCCTTCTTTTGACTATAGCGACTACGAAAAATTCATTCTGACCGATATTTTCAATGATGTCCCTCTTGAAAAAAGACCAGGACGTTACTCCAAACGCAAGATCCCGCGCAGTGGACGTGTTGCCTTGAAACGAGTGGCACAGGGCGCTTTCTGGGCCGTTTTATGGATCTACATCAAACCGATAATAACTCTGGATTATGCCTTGTCGTTTGAATTCACCCAGCAATCCTTTTTCTATAAAATCATCTTCTTGTGGATCTTGGGAATTGTCCACAGGATGAAATACTATTCTGTCTGGTCCATTAGCGAGGCTGGCTGCATCGTTGCAGGTTTGGGCTATAATGGATATGACCCCAAGACTGGCAAGATGTACTGGAACAGAGTTCAAAACATTGACCCCTACGCTTTTGAAACGGGTCAAAATGTTCACGACTGTCTCGAGGCATGGAACATGAATACTAACAAATGGTTAAAGAACTATATCTATTTGAGAACATGCAAACGAGACCCTAAAACCGGTCAAATGAAGCCAGGAATGCTACCAACCTTCCTTACATTCTTTACATCTGCTTTCTGGCACGGTACCATGCCTGGATACTATATGACGTTCATTATTGGCGCCTTCATGCAAACAGTCGGCAAAATTTTCCGCCGAAACCTGCGTCCTATTTTCTGTTCGAAGGATGGCTCTAATATGTCAAAGTACAAGTTCCTGTATGATATAATCGGCTGGTTTGTTACTCAATCGGCGTTCGGATACATTGTGCAACCGTTCATGATTTTGAGATTTGTTCCCTCTTTCAACCTGTGGAAAACATGCTATTTCTGGGTCCACATATGTTGTGTTGCTACCATTGGTTTCTTTGATAGTCCTTTAGGGAAGCAAGCTTCCAAGAAGTTGCAAAGCTACCATTTGCAACCAATCAAGGCTACAAAGGTCCAGGACAAAGAAGTCTCGCTGGCTCAGCTTAGAGAACATTACAATTCGGCCACCGATCTCCACGACATTGTGCGTAAGTTACCAGAATTTGACAACCAAGAAGAGCTTCAAGTGGAAAATGTCGTTGTTCCTGATATTCAAGAGATCAAAGACAATTATGACAAATTGACCAAAGAGGTTGATGAATGGGTCAAAGCCAACGAAAATGCCGCGGTTGATAAAGCGGAGATTGACGCCGTTCACTCAGCGTTGGCAAACATTGAAAAGGATGTGCGCTCTTATTTGGAGAGTAAGAAAGAAGACTGAACGCTCAATCATCGTCGCTTTCATCAAAAAGGTCAATGCCAGCCATAATCTCGGCTGCGTCCTTCTTCTCAGGGCTAGCAGAGGTTTTGAAGCTATTGCGACGTTCAGGAACAAATTCATCATCATCCTCAACTTCTGGTTTTTGTGTTTCCTCAGTGTCTTTCATTTGAATATCCTCTTGTTCATCCGGTTCACCATTTTCGTACCGTACGATTTTTTCTGGCATCAGAGACGCTGTCGCGAGCATTCCTCGTCTCATATTATCATCACCGGGCCAGATAAAATTATTTGGCAATAGGAAGCCATCAAATGTGCGCGGAATTTTGGAGAATTTGGCAAGTTTCATGGCATATGCCACAAGTTCTTTCACGGCATCCAGCTTCGGTTTCCTGGCCTCGTCAGAATTCTCCAACTGCAATTGCTCATGAGTGCTTAACTTGGGTAAATCATTTAATTCTTTTCGACATTCTATCAGTGATGTAAGCATATTCCTCATTCCGTCGTTTAATCGTAGATTCTCTTTGCTCTGTTCAAATACCTGGTTTCGTTTCAATTCATGTAATCTTTCAAGCTGCGTCAATTCATCGTTGATCGTGTCCATAGTTGCCACCAGTTTGGCCGCAACCTCAACGCTTGGCTCATACTGCTGAATTGAATTTGTAAATTCCCTGAGCTGCCCTTCAAAAGCATCCACCTGCTGGTATATAAAAGTATTCTTGTTGGAGGCTGAAGTCATAAACAAGTGAATTTATTTTTGTGCAAGAGTTGACATATCGCATATAAAAATATTCCTACAACAGCGAACAGATTAATTAAAGCCTTGTTTTCATTTGATGTCAGAAAACAGTTTTGGAGCGTCAGATTTACTTATGGACAAAGACCCGTGGGCATTGCCTGCCACACACGGCATACAGAATCTTCAGTCCTCTATTTTGGAGGATAATAACTGGAGCTCTTACAACTCCAACGACATCCTTGCCAATAACTTCGCTGCGATGAATATTGATCGTGGCCAAGCAAATGGCAGTGAGCTGTCTCACGACCACCCTGTGGCTTCATCAGATCCATTGGCTAATTCAGAGTCATCGGACATGGAAAACCAGGAGGAAGTGGACTTGAAACAAGACTCTGTTTGGTCGGATGAGCTAGTTGCATCATTCAATCCCCTGGGATATCATAACACAGAAGAAAAAACCATAATCAGAGTCAAAGAAATTCCTGAAAAGGAGGGCCTCGTCTTCAAGCACATCAATTACCTCATTAGCCATAACCTTCGTTTTCCTCCCGAGTTTTATCAAAATGACAAGCCGGCCGGATCAGAAACAAAAATTATCAGAAGATACAGTGATTTTGCCTGGCTTCTAGAAGTGTTGTGGCGCAAGTACCCTTACAGACTGATCCCAGAGTTGCCACCCAAAAAATTGTGTAAGTATTTTGCAACCTGCTTTCCCTGCTGGACAATACTAACGATACGATCTAGTAGCATCTTCCACTGATTCTATTTTTCTCCAGAAACGAAGACGCAGTCTACAGCGATTCCTATACCAATTAAGCAAACACCCTATACTTTCCAAAGAGAATTTGGTGATCATGTTCTTGACAGTTCCTAACGATTTTTCCAATTGGAAGAAATTTGCAAATATCGAGCTCACTGACGAGTTCGAATCGATCAAGGTCAGCATTCCCAAGCGGTTCAGGATGAACTTTGACCAGGTACTGAGAGGCCTGGACGACCAGGACCCTGAACTTGAGGAACATTCACAAGTGCCTGAGCAAACGGTCAACAACGATAGCATTGTCAATAATATCACGCAAATATGGAACGAAAACCCTGTTGATCATACGAAACTTGACTTTATGGAGAACCTACACACGATCAACTCGAGTTTGAGCACGTTTGCGGACATTTGGTCTAAATTGTGCATTTTGGTGGAACGGATGGAAAAGAGAGAGCTGGCTTTGTCTCAAGATCACCAGCGCTTTTCATACTACTTGGGACAGTTCACTTCGAACAGTGGGAATCTATATGGTGTTGAAAACATGGCAATCTCCGAAGTGCAGCCAGAAGAAAGCCAGAATTTGTCTATTATCAACACCATTTTGAAGCAAGTCATGAAATATTTCAGCACAACAAAGCAGCTTAAAGATGATGAATTGACAACCCTAAGTTCGGATACAGTAGAAAATTTCAGAAAGTTGCAAGACTATCTGGCCTCGCTGCACTTCCTCATTGAAAGGCTTGGTAACTTCAAAAACGCTTCTGAAAAACAAATTCACGTTCTTTTGAACCGCATAATGAAAACGAACGAGCGACTCTTCCAAATAAAAATCAAGTCAGACATTAGAGGGTCCGAGGTGGACAAACTCGTTAAGCTCTTGACCGAATCAGTGGAAGAATTGAACAAGCTTCTGTCCTACATCATTCTTGTAAAATCCACATTCTTTACCGAGTTCAAACTGTTTCAAAGAACGAAATATCTCGTCTCTGAAACGTTCCAGGACTGGTTCCTTGAAAAAGTCAAATACGGGGAACTACAGCAAGATTCATTACAGAGGGTGTTTAATGATCTTCAGGATATGCCATTAAAGTAATGCCATGCGTTTATGCGATCTTCTTGGATGCGTTTGTGAAACCGGTACCTTTGACAGTTGCATACATGGAGTTTTGGAACTCGTCGCTTTGCTTGAAATAAAACTGTGTACCGAAAACCGCTTTGATGTCTCTCAAGAAAAGGACCAGTTGCTCGTCGAATTGAGCTTTATTTATGAGTAAGCGTCCGATATCCTCCTTTCCAATGACCATGTAAAGAAAGGCCAACTCAAGCTGATTCCGTCCTAGACAGCCGCTGGTATCAATTTGTTCTAATAAGTTCAATGCGACGCGTTCTCCAACATCCTCTGGTGTCTCGCCTCCAGTGCCTATATCCTCCACCACATATCTGAACGGTATCTTTTTGGACTCGGTGAACAAAGTGAGTCCAAATCCTGGCGATTTTCCTGCGATCTCACCACGACAAACATCTGTGGTGATGTTCACCTCGCAACCTGTTGCCTTGAGCACACTTCGAGCGGAATCAACCAATCTATTAGCCACAGATGGCGAGACCCTCGTGCAATAAGCAACCCCTCTAATCGCTGATATTTTCTGATAATCAAGGACGTGAATTGTGACTGGTTGCGGAATAAGCGAATTGACAATTAGATGCACTTCACCACCTCCAAGTGGAGGGGACCCTCTTTTGAGAGTGTGTAATTCGACTTCACGAACCCCAAATTTTTCCATTACCGGAAGCAGTCCCCATTTGATGAAATCGACGCCAACATGCTCCTTGGAAGCAGTAAGTCCCTTAAATAAAATGGAGAATTTGTTCTTGGAAAATGGTGCAAGACATAACATTGGCTCGATAAAATATCCACAGGCTACCCCATCCGGACACTGGTGTACAAAGTCACCTCCTATTATGAGGCCGGGCCTGTAGACGACTGTGGTACCAGTGTATGAAATTTCTATCACAGATCCATTGGTGACATTTTCGATTAATCTAAGAAGCGAGATTTCGTAGTCTTTAAGACCAGGGTTGAGGTCATCGGACCTAATTTTTTCAATTTTTATCGTTTTTCCACTAAGAGTAGCCAGCACTAAGCGGTTACGGAAGTTCTGGTGTCCTTGGAACGTGATGATCTTGGATCGAGAGGACATGGATAGAGTTCGAAATATTCAATATTTTTTTTTTCTAACACAGCCAGTCTTTTAGTTATGTTTTAGGGTTACCCGGTGTGATATTGTAATAGTAATTGCCACAAATATTTGGTATAATCAACTCATTATGGAAGAAGGCGGATCCACTTCTGGAAGCAGGATCAGCACGCCCCAAATCGCTACTCCGGGAGGCGGAGCCGATGACGGTGCTGGGGTGGCAATTTCTACAGTCGGATCTCCTAATATGGACTACATCAACGATATAATGGAACAAACTGGTGATAGTCAACGAAACAGACCAAAACAGGAACCAACACAGCAAGTGCGTCGCGCACCAGGAAGACAGAAAGGATCAGGACGATTTGGTGAGCAAAATCCTGAGGAACTTGCAGATGCAGTGGCGGCAGCAGGAGTCAATCTTCGTGCCGAAGAAGAAGCTATGATGGGCGGATTGCAGGTTTCGAGGCGTCAGCTCAGTCCCAATGACTTTCTTCGTCCAGGACAGGTTGCCTGGTTTATGAACAAAACAATGGAAGAGCAAGGGATGAGACGAATGGAATTTGATGAGGAGTTGATAAATCTCATGTCGAGTGCCTGTGAGGAATATATGTCTAGTCTGGTGACGGACCTGCTTGTGGTTTCGAGGCATAGAAGGCGCGGACTACGGACAAAACAGAAACAATCATCGGGAGGTACAAAGTCAGAAATATCCAGAGCACTTAGAGACATTGCCACGAAACAGAAAGAAAGAGAAGAAAAACGGTTAAAACGAAGAATGGCTCTGGGTCTTGATGAGGACAAAAAGGAGGGGGATCTAATTGCAGAGCACAAACAGACCAATATTACAGCCTCTCTGATGATGAGCGGCTCCAAGAAGAAGTATTCTTGGATGCAATCCTCAGCCAAATCGGATTCTGTGACCGTTCGTGGAGACAATGGTATACGGTACAGAGAAGCCCGCGAGGAGCAATCTGTGGTTCTCAGAGACTTACTGTTGGCTTTGGAAAGACGTCGCGTGGGTGTCAGTAATGCCATGGTTAAGGGCTACGCCAAATTGAAAGATTAAGCCCGTGTATATTAGTGTACAAAAATTAGCGAATCAGCTACACCTTGACTTTTTTCCGTATTCCCAAAGATGTTTTCTTGCGTTTTACCGTAACCACCTCGTCGTCCGACGATGAATATCCTGATAGCAGCGAAATCGGGTCGACCTCCAATGCGGGCTTTTCAGTCGGCGGGTTGGATGGGCACTTTGTTTTGAAGGCCAGCTGTGCCTCCTTTTCATCCAGCAGCTCCTGATCTTCCAGGATTTTAGGCTTAGCCTGTTCTAGGCGCCGGTGTCTCTCCTGAAGCTCCTGAATCTCTTCTGTCGCCTCCTGCTCTTTCTGTTGTTCATTAAGTCGTCTCTCAAGTTGTTCCATAGCCGTTTCTTCGTTTTCTTTTTTCCCCTCCTTTGCCAGCATTTCTCTGTGCTCTTCTTCTTCTAGTCGCTTCAATATATCGTCCATGGTCTCTTCTGCTGCGATTTTGCCTTCTTTTCGCTCGTAATTTCGTCTACAACCTGAAACACACTCAAAATCTCCATTCTTCGGGTCGGTTCGAAACACAAGATCAGAAAAGCATTGCGGACATCGGAAGTGGAAATTGAAAATGCGTATCCCTAGATAGTCTTCCCTCGTGCTCTCTTTCTTAGCATTGAACTTTTTTGATTTTCCAATATATTCACCACAGTTCAGACATTTCATGGAAAAAGGTATCATTAATCGCACCGTTGGCCATCCTGCAGGACCAGGCTTTCGCACCTTTCTCACTTTCTCTTCCTTCAAGGGATCATAGTCTGGAGGGTAGTACTTGTTGATCACCTTTCTTTCAGACATACGGACTGATTTATTTTTTTTTCTGTCAAAAATTTTTGGTGTACTCTGCCTGATCTAAAACAAAAATATAAACAACGCGATTTTATCTTACTGTAAATATATCATGGAAGTTGATTTTAATCTGTCACAAACGCTGACGTCGTTTGCTGACAACATCGATACCTTTGAGATCGATGGGAATAGGAACCCAGAAGCTTTTTTGGAAGCTGTCACACAAGAACTCGCCGTTAGAAGCAATGCCATCTTGTACGAGGAATTCTGGGATCCTCTGATGAACCTGACGCATTGCTATCCACAACTCGGAAATCGCCTTCAATACAAGCTAGCCTACCTGATATCCAGTACCTTGTCGCACCATACTAACCAGACATACCAGGTAGTCAACTCTGGAGACATTGACATGTTCGCTACACATCGCAAAATTCTGGAATTGTACGGGTACTTGATCCACGTTCTTCTTGTCTATCTAGGAAGAGAAGAGACAAGTTTGAAGACTTCCGAGGGGAAGTATCATTGGAATAAAACAAATAGCGTGATTGAGCACATTCTCGTGTCCATTATCGATGTATTTAAACTCAAACTCAATCTGTTGTTCGAAACAACCCCCGAGCGCAATCTATTCGTTGGTACTCTATTTTTGAATCCGGTGAATGCCTTACTGGAGAGTCCGGAAAGAGCCAAAATTGTCACCGTCAAGATGCACGCTTTCAAAGCTATCTGCATGGCCATCAAATTCCATGGTCAAGCATCGCACGTCCAAAATGCTATTCTGCAACATTTGACCTACTTCCAACATTCCAGTACAGTCATGGCCGAACTTCTTGATACCTTGAGTAAACATTACGACCACCATCAATTGACAGACGAAATATTAAAAGAAGTCAGCGGACGTCAATTCAACGAAAATGACACAAGCGGTCCTAAAGCTATCAGCACATTCATTGTCAAACTTTCAGAACTCAGTCCAAAAGTTGTTATGCGACAAATATCTTTAGTGGCTCAGCTGCTTGATAATAACTCGTTCACTCTGAGATGCGCAGTTGTCGAAGCAGTGGGAAACATAATAACTGCTTTGTCAAAGTCTCAGGAGGAGTATGATGAGCACAAAACACAAGCAGATAGTTTTCTGGAACTTTTGGAAGATCGCTTTTTGGACATCAACCCATACGTTCGCTCAAGGGCAATACAGGCAATCACAAAGTTGACTGAGATGACGGTTAAGTTTGTCGATCGTAGACTAAGATGGACTAAGCTGGCGGTGAGGCATTTAGAGGACCGGTCAGGAATTGTGCGCAAAAACTGTATCAAACTATTAACTTCATTGATACTTACCCATCCCTATAATGTCATGCATGGTGATAGGCTCGAGCTAACTGTCTGGGAAAAGCGATTGGAAGAAACCAAGGAAAAGCTCAAAGAGTTACAGCCTGACTTATTCGAAGGCGAAGAAAACCAAAAGGAAACAGGAGAGCAGAATGACAGCGATGCAGAGCATAGCGACGACGACCAAATGGATGTCGACGAAGAAGACAGCGAGAAGGAGGAAGATGAAAAAGTTGAAAAGATTTCTGACATGTCTGAATCACAAACCAACGAGGAGTCCGATTCAGAGAAAAAAGCAGAATCTTCAATCATTACCTCGCTGGCCAACGTCGACCCTGCTGTTGTGAACAAGGTTTCTCTTACCTATCAATATTATACTGATGCTGTTGAATTCATCAAGCTGATTCATAAAGCTACAACACTGTGTTGCGAGTTATTGTATTCTAGATCCAAAAATGAGGTTATTGAATCCATGGGATTCTTCGTTCTTGCAGACGCGTACGGAATTGAGAATTGCCAAATAGGCATCAAGAGGATGCTGCATCTGGTTTGGATGAAAGGAAGCAACGAGGATGGTAACATGGTCGTCGACAAATTGATAGATTGCTATAAGAATCTCTATTTGACTGCCCCCGACAAGTCATCAATGGTACAAAGATCATCATACCTCGCATCAAATCTCATCAGGCTCACGTTTAGCTCCTCCGTTGCCGATCTGGCGTCTCTTGAAAAGCTACTAGGCGAATTGTATACCAAAAACTACATTGACCATAATGTTGTTCAGGTGCTTTGGCAATTTTTTAGCAGCAATACTGCTACCAAGCGGCAGAAGAGAGGCGCAATCATAATTCTGGGCATGCTTTCTGTTACGGACCACGAGATCGCACTGAAAGGACTTGATTTGATTCTGAATGTTGGTCTCAACTATGAAAACACGGATTGGATTCTTTGTCGATTTTCATGCATAGCGCTGAGAAGAATTGTGCCATCTAAGGCCTCTATCAACGGCTACAGAATGACGAAAGAGGACGAGGCCACTCAAAAACTTTCAGCTGTTTTATTGCAGTATACAGAAGACGGAAACTGGTTTGGAATGGCAGAAGAGGCCCTCAACTCCATGTATGTCATATCATCATGTCCCGATGTGGTATGCTCTAATATCTTGAAGTCTAAGGCCAGCGATGTGTTTTCGTCCGAGTCTGATGAGTCCCAAGACAAGGTGGCGTCTCTTTCGCAGCTCTTATTTCTTATTGGACACGTTGGATTGAAAACCATCATTCATCTCGAGAAATGTGAGACTGAGTTTAAAAATAGAAAGATAGCATCCGAAAACAAGAAGACCGAGCAGCAAAATGAGCTGGACATGATCGGAGGTACCACCGAAGATGATTTTACAGACGCAGTGCAAGTGGTGAAGGAAAAGGAGCTGCTTTACAGTGAGAACGGTCTGTTGACTCAATTCGTTCCTCTCCTTAAAGAGATTGTCACACATCCAAAAGACTACAACGACAAGAGGTTACAGAGACAAGCAATCCTTTGTTTGTCCAAATTGATGTGCATTTCTCCGAGGTTCTGTGAAGAGAATCTTAGTCTATTCCTCAAGATAATGGAAACATCTGAAGATCCTGTTGTTCGGAGTAACGCAGTCCTTGGACTGGGTGACATGGCCGTGTGTTTCAACAATGTCATTGACACGAGCAAAGACTTCTTGTATGGCCGCCTCCAAGATAAGGATCTTATGGTTCAAAGAACTTGTTTGATGACGGTGACTTTCCTAATTCTTGCTGGTCAAGTTAAGGTCAAGGGTCAACTGGCACAAATGGCAAAGCTGTATGTGAATGAAGACCCTGGAATTGCGGATATGTGCAAATTGTTTTTCACTGAGCTTGCTACAAAAGACAATGCGATTTACAACGGATTCATTGACATGTTCAGCGGACTTGCGGCCGATTCCGAACTGTCAAGAAAATCGTTCAAGGAGATTATCAAGTTCGTTGTTCCGTTTTTGGACAAAGATAAACACAAGCAGCAGTTGGTGAGCAAACTGTATCAACGGTTGGTCAAAGTTGACGACGAAGAGGAATGGAACGACCTTGTTTTCGTGATCAAAGAAATAATACCGAAACAGGAGTCCATTAGAAGGGAGAGAGACGCGCCGAAAACCAAAGTCTACGACGAGGTGTTAACTTTTATGGAACAAGGTTTCAAGAGGCCGGGCCAGAGAGAATAGCTTCATATAATTTCAGCTCATGATATTTACAGTAGCATTACTTTTTTTCGCCAAACAGTTCGGATGGGTGCTCAAAAACATTCTTGGCGCCGACGCTTCCGAGGATATAATCCAGAGGCAGCTGTTTAGAGTAGCGCTCATTCTTTTGCAAGTGGTCTTTCACCAACTCGACCAACCCGTCAATGAACACAGGGTCTCCGTTCAGCGACTCACATCTGATCATCTTGTGAGGAGCGTCGAGTTCTTCCTTCAGCTCAAGATCAATCTCGTGCAGAGTCTCGATATGGTCGGAAGTGAAGGCAACTGGGATAATGACCACACCTGGAGCTTGCGAGTCGTCGACCTCATCCACCAATTTCTTGGTGATTTTTGCAGTCTGAGCTCCAAGCCAAGGTTTAGGTCCAACTTGGGACTGCCAAACAAGCCTGTAAGGGTTGGAGAAGTTCAGCTTTTCCATCACCGAGTACACAGTGGCTGCCACCTCGGCTGGATAGGAGTCTCCTCTATTGACAATTTCCATCGGCAAGGAGTGTGCGCTGAAAAGAAGAACCACCTTGTCTCTGACCTCTGCAGGAAACTCGTTCAACGAATCTTTGATGTGGTTAGCAAAAGCCGTGGTCAAGCCGTCGTTCTTTGGCCATCTGTCAATCACAGACCACTCAATCTGTCTTTCTGGGTCGACTCTCTGGGACACGCGGTAAAGGTCGTTGAGCGAGGAACCAGAGGTCGAGTAACTGAATTGAGGGTACTGAGAAAAAGCCACAGCTCTCGTAACCCCATCTTTGAGCATTTGCTTATAGGTTTCCTCGGTTAGAGGGTTGGCATATCTGAAGGCAACATACGGCTTGTGCGGTGCGGTCTCAGGCGACTCAACATCCAGCTTCTCGCAAACTTTTTGAGCCTGATATTCCGACCATTTCCTGATAGGCGATCCGCCTCCAATTTCCCTGTAATGGGACTCAATTTTCGGAGTTCTGCGCTTTGCAATGATTTTAGCAATAAAGTTTTGGAATCTTCCAAACGGAATTAAGTCCCCGTCAGAAAACAATCTATAAAGGAAGTCGTAAGTCTCTGGGATAGTCGATGGACCTCCCATGTTCATAAACATGACAGCGACACCTTTGCCTTGCTTTCCAGTGGACTGGAACCGGACAAATTGTCTCACTAATGAAGATCTCAGCATTGCAGATGTACGAGAAAAAGTAACAGAGAAAATAATTATTTATTACCATGTCATTCGATATTGATTGGGAGAGCATCTCGAATGACGCCAACATAAATTCCCAATTATTGCACTTCCTGAATGAGAAGCTTTCGTCAATTGCACTTCCTGACTATTTAAATGGCCTGAAAGTGGTGAGGTTCTCTTTAGGACACAAATCTCCGGAGCTCACGATTAGAGATATAGATCAACCGTTTGAGGATTTTTACTCCGAAATGGAGCCAGTCGCGCCACCCAAGCCCAAACCGGTTCCAGTTACACCCCTTAGCGCATCCTCCAAAGCTCAAATTGACGTTTCTCGAAGCCCTTCTCCGGCGAGTGTTTTGGTCGGAGGTCTCTCGAGCCCTGTGGGAACTCCTCACGGATCTCTTTTGCTCCCTCGAACAAACTCCTATGGCCTGGGACTGGGAGCATTTGGTTTGCGAGAAATCCACGAGGAGCCTGAATTGAGCCCTGTTCGAGAGCCAGAGAAAAAAGACACCCGAAGATCAGACAACGACATACAGTTCGATCTGGATTTCAAGTTTAATTCTAACATATACATCGAGGTGGTCTGTAACCTACTGATCAACTATCCCACCCACGAGTTTATCAAGCTGCCCGTTCGGCTGAAAATCACCGATCTCCAGATTCACTCCCTGGCAGTGGTGGCATACATACAGAAACATGTGTTTATCTCCTTTTTGTGCGACATCGACGACGAAGAGGTTGCCCATGAGTCGGCTGAAGAGGGTCGTCAGGACTCGCGCAAGTCATCGGTGTCAGAAATCCCGCCCACAGTCCTTTCATCGCGCGATAGGATCGACATAATTCGCAATCTAAAAATTGAAGGAGAACTCGGGAGCCACCAAGACACTCCTTCTCTGAATCAGGGCTCTGTTTTACGGAATATTGGCAAGATCGAAAAATTCCTGGTTGGCGCAATAAGACACATCCTCATAGAAGAGCTGGCCTGGCCAAGCTGGATCGAGCTGGACTTGACCGAAGACTCTTAAAAAAAGGCACTCTATTGTGCTACTATTGTTCAAAAGTCGCGACTAAATTATTTATTTATCGGAATTAGCAGCAAGAGGGGAAAAGAAGATATTTGTCCGTCTTTTGAAGATCAGTATAAGTTCCATGTGAAATCCTGATATGCAGCATATGATTCTAGACATCAGTCCTGGCATTATGTTGAAGCCTTTGGTACCTAACATGAGAGTTCGTGCGTTTGTTCGCCGTAACCACGTCAATCATTATAATAACCTTAACCTTAAATCAAGGAATGCCTCTGCGTCAGAAATCAAGTCAAACTTTCGCAAGTTGAGTTTGAAGTACCACCCAGACATGCTGAAGTCACAGAACTTGAGTCCTGAAGAGATCGAAACCAAGAATCAGAGATACTTGCAGATAAAAAAGTCTTATGAGATTCTCATAGATCCTAGCAAAAGAGCTTCTTATGACACATCCGTACCGTCAGAGTCTGCTTCTCCTAGACCTATGCATAACTTCAGGCCGTCACACAGACGAACACCTTTTACAGCACATGGTTACTCTTCGCGAAGCCCAAACTCTGATGATGTTCCTCACTTCGATTTTAATAAGCATCTTAAGCGCAACATCCGTAACGAGAAACGGATGCACGAAAATCGGATGATGCAATCTGGCCATCCTACGCCATACAACGTTCGCTACTCAAACTTTAGAGGAGGAGTCTACGACCCTGCACAGCATAGACACTACAGCACCACGATGCCAGCCCAGGGCCCTGTGATCGGGCTTGTTGGCCTATTGGTTGCTTTTTATGCGCTAGGGTCAATAATTGGGTCAGATGATATTGCACAGATTCCCCGCAGAAAACAGAGTAATGGTCGGTATGTCCCGGAGGCGTCTTCACGCGGACAGAGCGAGTACTCCTCACAGCTGGTCTCCAGCGCAATTACGCAGTCGAAATAGTTCGAAGCGAATTTAAATAATATTACTGTCTCAAATGATATCATTAATGTACTCATGTAACGACATTAAAAAAAGAAAATCGGATGGCATCACTTCTTGTCTTGCTCAACGACCGTCGAGGCCGCTTGGATGAGCTCGCTCAGACCCTCGGTTCCTGCCGATCCTGGTTTTGAAGCGGTCGTAGCACGAAAAGGATTTGGTAGCTGCCTCTTGTTCTGATTGATTGGGGGCAGTAAAATCCGATCGTCGTCTTTGTTCATCAATATTGGACTTGTGCCCGAAGGCGACAATGATCCTTGTAAATGCTGACCGACAAATGATGGAAGCTTTTGCTGACCATAGAGGTCTGAATATTGTTGATAATAACCGGTATCGTTGGAAGTTGACGGTGGGGCTCTTTGTCCAAAGGGAGTTACATGCGAGCCAAAGTAATGGGCTTCTGGGTTTGGTTGCGGATGACTTGAAATCAGGTTGAATACGTCCAAGTTATGAGGGCTGCCACCAGCCTTCTGATTGTGAAGTCTTAAGTAAATGTCATTTTCTAGCACCTTGCCGAGCACGTTGATGAACTGATCCAATTGAGTGAAGTCAGACCTGTAAAGTTTCAACCAGCAGAGAAAACTTGACTGAACGTTTTTCATGATATTTTGGAACTTGATGTCGTCGGTAATTTGCGCTTTTAAGGTATCTTCTAGTTTCTCAGAACCATGTTTGTTTTCTTTGGAGCTCATCATCTTTTGCAATTTCTTGTTGTTGTTGCTGAACTCACCAATGGATATGCTATTGGCTCGGCGCCGTTGGCCTGCAACAGGTGGGGTGTAACTGTATTTCCTGCCCAGTTCGTTGATCACGTAAAATATGACGGACAAAATAATGCTTTCGTCTTCCTCCTCATCTCCTTGCTCTTCATCTTCAGATGCGTTAGGATTGGTAGACGTATCCGGAGGATTGCTTGTGTTTCGTGAGGTCCAATTTTTCTCGAGAGGATTTGACAGATCAATGAGATATCTTTTTCGGTAGAAATTCAAGATCCTGGTGAGCATCAAAAAATTCCCGATAATAAATTCCACCATGATAAGATTGTTCACAGGTAGATTTAAAGATTTCCGATGATACATCAGGCTGTTCTCGTTAAGGATTAATGCTAAAAGAAGACACGGTAGCAAGGTGATCCCCAAGTTGTTGTTTATCAAGAAGTTGTAGTTGAATGGTGTGGATATGAAATTGTGAATGTTTTTGTATATTTCGTCATCAGTCAACTCGGTGACTGTGTTAGAGCCGCTAGCTTCAACACCTAGTAGGTTTATCATTTTTGACAGATCAAATTCGATGATGGGCTTGTCATTGTTGAGGAAATTCTTATCATTGATCAGTGACTCCGTCTCGAATATGAATTCTTTCAAGGTTAGAGCCAGAAGAGTCCAGTTGTAATCACTCTTGGGTATAATAAGATAATTTGAAAGTAAATCGGTGAATTTCAATGGGCAATTTATCAGTAGCTTTCTTTTCACTATGGAAAGAAGCCGAATAAATTCGTCATCACAGTTGGAAGCAAGCTTACCAGAGACATTGAAATTTTTATTTGCTAGTATGATAGCGTTGTGAAGAAAGTTCTTGTTGTCTTTGAATAGTCCTTGTTGTAATATGACATTTTTGCTCAGCTTGTTGGTCTCGTTAAATTTGACCATCTGCAGCTCATTCATCAACCCGCATATAATTGCTTTCTCCTTCAATGTTAGGTCGTCATGGTTCACAAAATTCTGGAACGAGCCTGAAATTACCGATAAATTAGTAATTAGCTGACCAAGAGTTTCGTCACTACCTGACTGATCTGTTAACTGCTCTTCTGGAAGATATTTGTTGAGAAGGTATAGATGGAGCGAGGATGGAGACTTGTTGAAAATAAACGAATAATGCGAGAGGAGCAAATATGCATTCCAATAGAATGGCTCTAGCCCACGTCTAGAACCGTGGTATGCATTGTCACTGGGATGTTTGCCTGGACCAGGATTTGCCTGCGGTTGGCCGTCTCTATTGGCCATGTGCGTGCTGATGATATTATTGAGATATTCGAATAGTACGTCAATTGGAATTGCAATTTTCTTGTATAGCTGCTCGTAGCTATACTTCGAGCTGTTGGAGAAGTTGATAAAGTAATTGAGGTAGATGTAACCAAGAATGATTAAGTTATCAACAAATCGGTTGAATATCTCGCCCGAGTTATAGTTTATTTTGGAGTTGGTGATCTTGTCGATGATGATCTCCCAACTTTTGTTGAACATTGTGATGGCATCCTCAAACTCGTTTATTTGGCATGCCCCTAGGCAGACCACCAAGTAGAGCATCTCGTCTAATTCGTTGATGGCTAATAGCTTGTTGATGTTGGTTGACGGAAGATCTTCCTGCCATTTTTTGCTGCTACCAAATACTATGATATAGTTGGTTATTGAGTTTTTGAGCTCCATATTGAGGTGCCTAAACCGGTTAGACAGGGTGAGCAGCGATACAACGGTCTTCTCTGCTAGGATGGCAGCATTGTCTTCTACCTGATCTAAGTCACTTGGCGACGTGGGCAAGGCTGAGAATTGTAGATTTGAGGGAACTATCTCAGCGGACCCTCCATTTGCAGCAGACGGCGACTTCAGCAAATCATCGTTGGTGGAAATGTTCCCGTCAATACTGTGTTTAAGCACCAAGCCGTGAACCGTCCGAAGGTGCCGCTGTAGCAGGTCCCGCCTCACAAACCCGTTTTTGCAGATTGAGCATTGGAACGGCTTTTCTTTGGTGTGGGATCGCTCGTGTCGAAGCTTGTGCTCCGACCTGGAAAACGAACGAGCACAGAATTGACATATGTATCGCTTGGTCATTTATTTCAGATAAGGAAATGGGGTACAAAATTCTACTTATATATCTAGATACCACTGGCTCGATAAAGGCTCCCCGCGATTTTTAGCCGGCAAATGTCACATACAAAAAGCAGGCGATACAAATCACGTTACCCCTCATGGACTAATGTTTTTATGTTCATGTTTTTATTGCCGTGCGGGGAGCAGGCTGGAAAAAATATTACGAGGAAAAGGGACCAATTTTTGGTAGCAAATCTCCAGTTTATATATCATTATATTCGGAGTCCGTTTTATAACTGTATACTTATTCTTTTTCGCTTAATGCGCACAATGCGGCTCCCACAGATGAGCCGTCTTTGGCAATGTTGATGTGCAGTCTTCTTTCTCCTTTGGCGCCTATTTGCGTCTGTGCAATGGCGTCTCTCATCATGGTTCTGAAACCAGGGTAGAACTCAACCACAGATCCGTCTGCTCCAACATCGACCTCGACATTATGGCCCTTGAAAGACTCGGTCATGTGCAGAATAGCGGCGATCGGAATGGCAGCAAGGTAGGCAGATCTCTTTGCCACGGCACGTGTGAGTTTCTGAATGGCAAGTCTCTCCTCAGTGGTAGTTGGCAGTCTCAATGCCTGTTTCAAAGACAGCTCTGTGGCCTGCAAATGGGTGGAGTCGTCAATCTCAATCAGCGAAAGAACCTCAGAGTCTAAGTCCCATGGCGTCCTCAGTCTGTGAGGCAAGGACTCGTAGTTAGCGTACTGAGTAAATAGCACTCCCTTGGCATGGAGGTCGACCAAGATATGTCTCAGAATTTCACCCAAGAACATTCCGGAAACACGCTTTTCAAACATGTGGAAGCCCTTGTTGCTGGTGAGCTCGTCGACTTGGACGTCATACTTCGTGTTTGGCAGAACCTTGAGCTGGTTGTCGAAGGAACCCCATTCGGTGTTGATGACCATGTGAGTGATACCTTGGGCCTTCAACTTCTCTCTCACCTCGGCAGGAATCTTCTTGATGTTTTCGAGCTTCTCGTTGTAGGCACCGTTGGTTCCTGTTCCAAAAATACATCCGAGCACGGTGGTGCCTTCCTTGTTGGAACCCGTGTACGATCTTGCGAGAAGGGTACCCACGGTGTCGTTTGACAAGGCAGAAACGGTAACAGGAATGTCCTGAGAGTCCAAATGCTTTTGGAACAGGGAAACAACGTCTTGGCCAACAGTGTCAGGAATATTGAATCCCTTGGTCCATCTCAGCAGAGTACCGGCGTTCAAAGCGGACTGCGAAACAGGGAAACTGAAAGTGAAACCCATCTTGAATTTCTGACTTCCAGTAGAGGCAACAGCTCCGTCATGATGGGTTTGTAAGAAAACCTTGACCTTGCTTGCAAGATACGAGAACAATTCGTCCGAAGTAGAGGTCATCAGTTCGGCAGGGATGTGCGACTTCTGCTGGATTAGCTTGAACGTGTGGTCTCCGTTTAGGGCCACAGAGCAAACACGGAAGTTGGTTCCTCCCAGGTCTGCGGCAAAAAGAATGCCTTTCTCCTTACCCGTTGGGATGGAGGTAACGTAGGTCGGGATCATGGGCAAACCATATTTGTCCTCATCGCTTTCTAGTCCGGCAGTCGCAAGCTCAATGAAACGCTCCACTCCCTTCTGGAGGGTCTCCTGAGTGACGGCAAACTCCGACACAATTTTATCGACTTCAGTCTCTAAGCTCATAATTAATATAACAGATTATGTATTTTCAGTTAACGGACTTTGGTGGTGTTAAATATCGCGGAGCGATGTCAAACGATTTGCTGGCGCACGACCAGAGATGGGATGATCTTTGAAATTATGGGGAGACCGGGGAAATGCGGAGCTGCATATGTGCGTAACATTTTTTCCTTCAATAGCTGTGTGAATAGTGCGTTCGGGAACGGCACATTCAGTTCGGAGGTACTCACGCGTCGGCCGTGCTTCGCCGCTTTTCCAGCCCTGCCTATTTTTCCGAGATCTTTCTCGGGAGACACCTCTGCACCACATAGGTATTTTTTTTTATTTTCTGACTTGAATAAATAAATAATTTAAGGGCTAATTAATTCTTCCTTATCTTCACATGTCACCAGGAAAAACCATTCTGGCGTCCAAGATCGCCAAGCGCTTCACCGACGAGATCCAAGCCAAGGCAGCCTTGCTAGCTAGACGTCCCAAGCTTGTAGGCTTGCTTGCCAACCCGGACCCTGCTGCCAAACAGTATGCTGAATGGACTGGTAAGACGAGCGAGTCGTTGGGATTCGATTACCAGTTGATCCAGGTCGAAAAGGAGCAGCTGGAGGACCAAATCTATAAATGCAACGATGACTCGTCGGTTAACGGTATCATGGTGTACTTTCCCGTCTATGGAGACGGTCAAGATCGCTATTTGCAACAGTGTGTTGCGATCGAGAAAGACGTCGAAGGTTTGAATTTCCGCTACGTGTCCAACATGTACCACAACATACGGTATCTGGATGAAAAGCAGGAGAAAAAGTCCATTCTGCCTTGCACCCCTCTTGCGATTGTGAAGATCTTGGAGCATTTGGGAGTCTATAACCCTCTGTTAAACTATGGTGACAGATTGTATGGAAAGACGATCACTGTTGTCAACCGTTCTGAAATTGTGGGAAGACCCCTAGCAGCCTTGCTTGCTAACGATGGTGCTACCGTTTATTCGGTTGATATCAATAGCATCCAAATCTACGAGCGTGGCGATGGTCTGAGATTCAAAAAGCACGTCGTCCTTGACTGCGATAAGAGCCTCAAAGAATGCGCGCTGTCATCTGATGTCATCATTACCGGGGTTCCTTCAGAGTCGTACAAGTTCCCTACCGAATACGTCAAACGCGGTGCTGTGGCCATCAACTTCTCAAGCCACAAAAACTTCAATGACGACGTAAAAGACGTCGCCTCCCTTTATGTTCCGTCCATCGGGAAAGTCACTATTGCCATGCTGTTGCGCAACTTGCTGAGATTAATAGAGAACAATGCTAAATAGATAGATACCTTATTATATATATCCGACGCGTCGATCGACGTACCCAAGAATAATTCGTATAAATTTATTTTGACTCTAAATTTTCTATATTTTTTTCAGATCCGTTTAAAAGGTTGACTCAGTCTGGGGAGCCTTTTTCCTAAATCTTCATATCGTACAATAATGACGGTGCCAAATATCCGTATATTCAAGCACGTTGCTGACCTCCGCAAATTCCGGAAAGATTGCTGGATTAAGGATTTGTCTGTTGGCTTTGTTCCTACAATGGGATACCTTCACGAGGGACATCTCTCCCTCGTCCGCCAATCGCTCGAGCAAAACGACGTTACACTGGTATCCATTTTCGTGAATCCGTCGCAATTTGCTCCACACGAAGATTTAGATGCCTATCCACGGAACATTGACCGCGACCTTCAACTTCTGGAGTCTGTCGTGTCCAAGGACAAGGCCCGACGGGTAGCCGGAGTTTTCACTCCGTCAGTGAGGGAGATGTATCCAAGCGGTATTCCACTTGAGACCAGCCAGCAGAAAGGAGCATTTGTGAGCGTGAGCGGAGTCTCCGAGCAACTCGAAGGCCGCGCTAGACCTCAGTTTTTCAGAGGTGTGGCTACCGTTGTGACTAAACTGTTCAATATCGTGGAGCCCACAAATGCGTACTTTGGACAAAAAGACATCCAGCAATCTATTGTTATCAAAAGGATGGTGTCAGACTTGCTGTTCAACGTCCAAATCCATGTCGTTGACACTGTGCGTGACAAGACGGGGTTGGCCCTCAGTTCAAGAAACTTCTATTTGAGTGATGAAGTGAGAAAACAGGCCAGTGTAATGTATCGCTCGATGATAGACGCTCGCTCAGAATACGCAAAGAACACCCACTTGACCACGGGGGAGCTGAAAACCAGCATCGAAAACACGATTGCTGGTGAAAACGCCAAGTTCGAAATCGACTACGTCGCATTCAACTACGCCGACACCCTTGAATATGTTCCTGACGATGCCACCATCGACAAGGGCCGCGAATGCGTTCTGAGTCTGGCAGTGAGAGTTCCGAACAGCAACACCGAAGACCGCGGAACAACTCGTCTCATCGACAACATTGTGTTCACGAAATGAGTTTGCGTTGCTCCTCGATAAGCCATTGGAAGTCACGCTCCTTGCGGGCCTGATTTTCTCTGGATGTGACGCCTTTCTCCTTAACTGCATAAAAAATCTCGCCGAATTCGCACAACCACTCTCCATCGACTGCCGTTACGTAGTTCATGTATTCGCGACCGGTTAGTAAGAGCTCATGGTAAATGACGTATTTGGGCAAATCGCCCATACCGTAGAGCGAAGCTGTTGGGTGCAGTTTCATCTGCAGTCCGGTCCGCAAATTGACGTACTCTCCGTGCTTCTTGAACTGAGCTGCTTGGTGAAAGAACGAAGCACACAAACATTTTCTGATCACATCCCAGTCGGGATTGCTGACGATGGCCAGTTTCTGTGATTTCATGATCTGGCTCAGCTGCGAATGAATCTCGACTGCGCGTCGGAGTGACCTGTACTGCAGAAAGTTTTTGGTACACCAGTTTTCTTTGCAACCATTTGACTTGAACAGATTGAAAATATTCACTAGCGTCAAATGGTCGCTTTCGGCGACCTGAAACTTCTCTCGGATGGAGTCTGAACGTCTCTGCAACTCTGCGTCGTGCATTGGCCTCACAAATATTGGCGGAATCGAGAGCATGGCCACTATGGTAATGACCTCTTTGGAGCACTGGAATTGCTTGAACGACGAGATAATCAGGAGTCGCGAGAGAGCGGGATCGATCGGAAAGTTTGACATCTTCTTACCTAATGCAGTCAGCCTTCCAAAGTTGTCTAAGGCTCCCAGACACCAAAGATCGTACTGGGCAGTGTTAATGGTCTCAATCGGAGGCCTATCCAGGAATGGGAATTTTGACAGATCTTCCACCTGCAAATATTTGAGAAGCAGGATGGTATTGCTCAGATTGGTACGCTGTATTTCGGGAATCGGCTCAGCAAACATCTCGTTTGTGGCCGCATACTGAGTGTAGAGCCGGTAGCACAGTCCCGGGCCCGTTCTACCGGCTCTTCCAGACCTCTGGTTCGCCTGGGCTAGTGATATTGGCGTGATTTGCAGCGTGTCCATGCCGAGCTTCGGATTGTACACCTTCAGTTTCATCAGCCCCGTGTCCACAACGAACCGTATACCGTCAACGGTCAACGAAGTCTCGGCAATGTTGGTTGCCACCACGCATTTCCTGAACTTTGATTTTCTGAAGATCTTAGCCTGTAAATCGGCTGGTAGAGTGGAGTATATGGGCAGGATCTCCAACGGCTCGATAGTGTCATCGGACTTTATGAGGCCTTCCAGCTCTTTTTCGAGCTCCTCGCAAGTGGTCTCGATGTCTTCCTGACCAGTCATGAAACATAAAATGTCACCTGGCTCGCTGCGGAGGTGAACTCTGATTATCTGTTTTACGGCACTGGCAACGTAGTCCTGTACCGCAATAGCCGAAAACATCACGTCAACAGGGTACGTTCTGCCTGGAATGGTGAACTGCTCTGCGTTACCGAAAAATTTGGAGAACTTGAAAGCATTCATGGTGGCCGAGGTAATGATTAATTTGAGATCTCTGCGGCGAGTGAGTATTCTCTTAAACAGACCAAGCAATATATCTGTGTTTAGTGACCTTTCGTGGGCTTCGTCCATCACAATGCAAGAATACTTGTCGAGTTCGGGGTCCATCAGTGCTTCACGAAGCAAAATACCGTCTGTCATGAATTTGATGCGTGTTTGAGAAGAGGTGCGGTCCTCGAACCGGATCGAGTATCCAACTTCCTTTCCTAATCTGACTCCCATCTCCTCGCTCACTCTTTTTGACACCGAAAGCGCAGCCACTCGTCGAGGCTGGGTGACGCCAATGAGTCCGCCATACTTACAGTAGCCTTCGTCGTACAGAAACTGCGGAATCTGTGTCGTTTTTCCAGACCCGGTTTCTCCAATCACCACTATAACCTGGTTCTCGGCAATCACCTTCATCAGCTCGGAACGGGCCTGATATGCTGGTAATCTTTTTCTCTGCTGCATTATTGCCTGACGGCCGTATGTGTGCTCGTCTAGTGATTTACCACCATCTTTGGACTCAGAGTCTTCCCTGGCGTTTTCCTTTCCGCCCAAAATCTTTCCCAAGCGAGAGTTGTTCACGTTTGCAGCATCTTTGGCACCCTTTTTCCTATCTTTGTTGGCTCGCCGCTCGTTCACCAGCGTAGACCCCAGTTTGCTGTACTTATACAGGTCTCCCGTTTTGTCTCGAACGGTCTCGATGACTTCCAATTTTTTGGTCATAATAGTTGCCGAATCCAAAAATGGAGGCGTCAGACGATGAACGACGAGATCAATGTCCGGGGCCCCTTCTTCGTCGAATCGAGAACGGCCTGCCGACGAATCAGTAGCTCTGCGCCTGAAAGTAGGCCTTACCTCGTGTTCCATCTCATCGTACTCCTCGTATTCCACAATAGGGTGCGAAACCGCCTCGTCTTGAGTGTACCACTCTCGGTCGTTCTCAACATCAGACCCTTCCTCCATCTCAGCTGCTGGAGACAAATCGGCCGCCTTTTCGCGCTCCTGAGCGGCCATACTGGCTAGGGATGGTACTTTAGGTGGCAAATTTTTTTTCATGGGCTCGTTTGGCAGCTCTGGCCCTCCAACAGGGTCCTCCTGCTGGTCCTGCCTGCTTTCTCTTTCCTTCAATCGAGTCGCATCTGCTTTGGATAGTTTCTTAAAGGTGACTTTCGGCTTCTTAGGTAGCTTCCGCTCCTCTACATCCTCCTCCTCGTCCGAAAAGTGCAGATCCAGCTGCGGCTTGCGTCGTTTTCCATCCATAAACACCGACTGCCTTGATTTTAGGTATTTTACAAAAGCGCACCCTTGCACTAACCGTTGCCACACCTCGCGCCACGCTGGCTTGATTTTTCGCAGAGACCTGATTTTTCATCGGCTTCAAGGAATTCAACTTCAGTACCGCTCGCTTCACATTTCCTGCCAGTGCAACTTGACCAAATCACTATCGCTATTCTTGTCAGCTGCTTACTGTTTTAGAGATTCAAAATTGGTCAAGGTTCCCTATTGCCCATTTTGGACTGACTGCCTCTGCATCTAATATGAGAGTGACAAAAAAGGGCAGAAAGGAAGAAGTGGTGGCTATCAAACCAGACCCAGAGCATGTCGATGGTCTTGGGCTGGCATGTCCAGCAGCTTCTTGCGGCAGATCATCATCTGCGTCATTTGACAAGCTCGGTAACTTGGAGCAACTAAATTCTGGGATCGGCTCTGATGAGACCCGCGACAGCAGCATCGAGCTGGAGTCTTCGCTTCTGGTGATGCCGGTGAATCGGAACCTGCAAATCACTTCAAAGGGCCAGCCTTCCTACACTAAAAAGATCTGGAAGATAAATAAGTTCAAGACGGATGATGCCGAAAAGCAGTCGAAGATAATACAGGATGCGCAGAATCTCGTATTGAACGATTCGTCCGCCAAGACGAACAAGCACGGGTTCAGGAAGACCAACGTCAAGCCGAAGGTCAACAAGGAGGGCACCCCGAAGGAGTTTCTATTCGTTAACTGCACACCGACTGCTGCTGCAGAATCTCCCGCAGATGAGCAGGAAAAAAAAGCTACAGCCGGGCCTCGCAAAGTTTCGCGGCTTTTTGGAAGCCGCTCACTGAAGAAGGACAAGGACAGCAAGGAACCCGAATACCAGCCCCAGGCAGTCAAGTCCGAAGTTCAAGAAGAGATTTCGAACGGGCGCATGCCGTTTTTGAACTCCTCTCCGTCGGTGTTTATGGGCCCAGAATCGTCAAAAAGATCGTCCCTGCGAAAATTTTGCAGCCGCAAACCAAAGGCCGAGGTCCACCACTCTGGCGACTCGTCGTCGGCAGCGACTCCCTCGGAGTACACTCTGACCCCCAAGAGCGGCACGGGCAATGCAAATGCGCCCTATACGCCAATAACGCCAATTCTGTCCACCAGCTCTTCTATGACCTCAATGGTATCCACTGCCACTCCGCAGCCGGAACACTTTACTGGTTATGGCCAATACCCGACACCGTTCACGATGTCGGCTACCGCGGGTGCCCGTGATCGTTCGGACTCAGGAAACTCCATATATCAGTCGCTGCAAAATAAACAGCTGCTGCAATCACCAATCGTGAACACGCCATCGCAGCACGGAGATGACGAGTCTGGAACTGCCTACGACGAACTGGTTGAGGTGTCTCCGGTTAGCACCTCGGTGACGAAGAAAATGAAGACTCTCAGACGGTCGAACTCCATAGTCTCTGTGACTTCTCTCTCATCGCAGTCCCAGTACCCGCCGTCGTCCCTATCGTCTGGTGGTTATTATGGCCTTGGAGCAGCCTTCTCGCCATCAAATCCCGGATCGGGCTTTTCGAGCGGCAGAGTCGCGCCCAGAACCCGCTCTGCAAGCAATACAGTGCCGAACACCGCCCAGAAATCTCCGCTGATCAAAACTTTGAGCCATCAGAACATGCAGTTTGCTTATCCCACAGTGCCGGAAAACGTCCATCCTGCCGGAAATCAGCCTCTCTTTGACTCGCAACTCATAAACTACACAGAGTACACCCCATTCACCCAACAGCAACAACTAGATACCTACTTTGAGGCCTCTCAATCCCCTCAACAGACGTCTTACCCGTATGCTTTGACTATGGAAGAGCTCAAAAAACAGCATGACGACCTTATACAGCAGCATCAATCGTTGTTCTATTCGTTCGGCCCCATAGAGCAGGAACAGATACCAGCAGCCAAATACGGCTCTCCGGTCACCAATCCGTATTTTTCTGCTCCGCTGGGCCACTCAAATAGCACTTTCACCACCAGTTCCGCCGAAGATTCGTCACGAACTCAAACTGGTCTGGATCAGGAGAGTTTCGACCTCTACCCCTTCATTGAGGGGGACGATCACCGCAATTGAAGAGACTGGATCTCTGATTGCAACCCCTCCTCACACCGAGTCCAAGAAAAATTCTTCCTCTAGATAGCTAGAAATTAACAAAAAAAATATTTTCCACTACTGTATGGGCAGTCGCTCAAGGTTGTTATCACTGTTCTCTCGCCGATTCCTTCACATGAACCCCCAGATAGACACTTCCAAGTACGAGATCCTCACTGAGGGCTCTGCGTCGGTTCTCTTCTCACCAGAACAGGTCTTTTACAACCCTGTCCAGCAGTATAACAGAGACCTGAGCTCGCTGGCTATTCGCGCATTCTCCGAGATTTACCACGAAGAGAAGCTGGCCAGAAAACGCAAGCATGACAAAGAGTCTCCTGATCCAGAAGATTCCGAGCCTCAACCGTATCTGAAAGTCTTGGAAGCGCTTTCTGCTACCGGTCTTCGTGCTATCCGCTATGGTAAAGAAATTCCACTCGTATCTAAGGTGGTAGCAAACGATCTTTCGAAAGACGCCGTCAATGCCATCAATCTCAACATCGAGTATAACAAAATACAGCACAAGGTGGAGGCCAATGAGGGAGATGCTATCCGGGTGATGGCTGATTCAAAGGGCCAATTCCATGTGGTTGATCTGGACCCCTATGGAACCGCAGCTCCTTTCGTCGACTCGGCCTTGAATTCGCTCAAGGACGGGGGCCTTTTGCTCGTGACTTGCACGGACCTCGGTGTGCTAGCTGGAGCTGGTTATCCAGAGAAGTGTTTTGCATTGTACGGAGGAAGTCCATTGCACGGAGACGCTACTCATGAATCTGCTCTTAGACTGGTTTTGCATATGATCTCGACGACTGCTGCCAAGTACAAAAAATGGATTGAGCCACAGCTCTGCTTGTCGATTGACTTTTACGTCCGTTTGTTCATACGGGTTAGAACGGCCCCTATCAAGGTCAAAGAGCTCGCGTCCAATCAAATGATATGCTACAAATGTTCAGGATGCTACGCTATTTACAATCAGCCGCTTGGGCGATGTACCGAGAACCCAAATGCAACAGCAAAGCAAAACAGTAAAAAGTTTGGTCTGAGCAAAGGGCCACCAGTTGGTCCGGAATGCACGTTCTGCGGTTTCACAAATCACCTCTGTGGTCCGATGTGGAGAGGACCTCTACACAATCCCGCCTTTATTGATCGCGTTCTCAGTCTTGAAGAAACAGCAGACGAGTCTATATTCAAGACGCGGCCTAGAATCAAGGGAATGCTGACCATGGCCAAAAGTGAGCTCGTGGACGTTCCTTTCCATATCAAGACAACGACGCTTTCTGCAGTTCTCAAAGGACCCAGTCCATCGATTGACATCTTTGCGGCTGCGTTGTCAAATCTGGGATACCGAGTCTCGCTCTGCCATTCTACCCCTGGTGCAATCAAAACGGACGCTCCGTACGAGGTCATCTGGTACGTCGGTAAGTTGTGGACGCAAAAGAATGGAGTGACCGCCGACAAACTGAACCCAAATACTGCAGGACACAAAATCATGACTGACAACTCGATTGGCAAGAACATTGATCTTGCCTCGCTAAACAAGGAGAAGAAAGTGGATGATATAACGTGGTTGTTCCAGCCTAACGAGGAAAGCAAGAAGTTGAAGGAATTGCGGAAGATAAAGATTGTCAGGTACCAGGAAAACCCGACGGCCAATTGGGGTCCCAAAGCTAGACCACATTAGTTCTGTATAATAAGTCAATATGAACGCACCAATCTAGCCTGAATTCTGAATCTTTGGTTGTGCATTACTTTGTAAACCTGTGTCCCTCTGAATGCTCGTGACATGGTTGCAAGTCAGAGCTGCAAGTTCGTGGACGATGATCGATGTCCAGTTGAGGTCTTTTCAACGCGTTTGTTAGCTCAGCTTCTTTTAGGCTTAATGATAAAAAAATTCATTTTTTAGTACACTTCCGTGGGTCCTCAAATCCCTTACCTTTACAATGCTGTTCCCATCAAATCAAAGTAGATGGACGAAAAAGCTTCAATTCTCAAGCTTTGAGAAGGGTAAAGTCGTAATCATAAACGCACTTTCTTTGCACGGGAAACGGCACGTGTGGCTTTCGCATACTCTCTGGTAGCTGTGAAAACTACAAAGTGAGTATCCTGACCTTGTCTTCAGTTGTAAATATTCCAATTTCTCCAATCGAAAACTCAAAGTCTAGATAATGAACAACTAGCATTGAATATCACGAGACGTTCTGCCTTCCGTTTTGTCCAAAACAGAGCCTAGAGAATACTAAGAATTAGCTGAAGCTCTATGACCACCGCGTAGTATGCACTTCTAAACCATCAACATGCTCAAGCTTGTGGCAAGCAAAATTGCCATTGACTAGCTGAGCAACTTCGCCGGAAAAAGTAGAAAAGAGATGGACGCTCTGTCTGCATTCCTACTTGCAATATTCTGCAAGCTATTCTTCTGTCCTCGACCCCTTCTTATTCCCCGATTTGGGCGGTGTACGGTGTGCTTAAAGATTTTCGAAAGGCACGATAATATCATGTCCCTGGCCACAGAAATCGCCGTGCTCAGCGAGCTGATCGACGTGCTGATCTCGCCGGAGCAGTTCAACATAAATGCCGAGGACTTGTTCGCTCACCTCAACTCGACCTCGCGACAGTCGGCCGGTTCCGACGTTACCATCCGTACCATCGATTTCCACAGCTTTCTCGAGCTTGGATACAAGCTCACAGACACAAACATGACCGTCGAGAGGCTCATCACTGTGCTGTCATCCAACGTCTACATCAACAACCTGGCCGAGTTTCAGACAAAAAGAACAGACGAGTATCTGCCGGACCTGAGATTTGTGATCAAGAACACATTCTTGCTGTTCATCACGTTCTTCAAACGCCTCAGCCAGCCTAATCCATCGGTTGCAGGCCTCCTCATGCTGCTGAACGTGTCCATTGTCAACAAACTAATGAAGATTCTGAAAACTCTCAACCCTGATATTCGGCTCAAGAGCGAAGGACTATTGCTCAAACTAATGCGGTATCAACGTTGATATGTACACACTCACGAATAAATACGACTAGCGATCTTCATCCACACGTAGTTGGCAAACCGTCGCCCCAGCACCTTGCCGATGACAGGCAACAGCACGAAGTTCACCAGAGTCTTCAGCTGCACAAGGTTCTCCTCCCACTCCTTCTGCGGGTCGTGGTACACCAGGTCCGTCTCATAAGTGTACTCCGAGTCGTCGTCGCTGGAGTCGAACCGCTGCTCGTTCCTGTCGTGCAAAGCAAGATTCTCTGCGCTCAGCTCCATATATATACCAAATATACGAAATATTTCAACTCTTTTACGGTTGCTTAGCTAAGCGTGGACGGGGACGGTAGCAGGTGGCTGGCGAGCGCTGGGTGGGGAGCTGCCATACGGGGATGTCAGAGACCTCAAGTGGCGTACTCGTCTTCTGCCCAATGAAAGCTTTTTCTGCTTTTACGAGTCTCTCTGGCCTGAATATTTTAATTCATGAAATTACTCGGTACCAACCCGTCGAGGACGAGTTTGTATGAGCATGCGACGAATTTCCGATGGGACAATTCGCTGCGCCGCGATGAGTTTGCGCCGACGTCGTTTGTGTCCTCACGGAACCAGCGTCTGAACTTTGACCGGCTCAACGACCGGTCGTCTATTCTCGACAACATAAAAGACTCTACCGACGAGCTCTATCTGGGCGACCAGCAGTTTGGCGCGATGAGCAATCTGCGGGTCAGCCTCGACGCTCTGCGGCTGAAGCTCCCGTTTTTGGGGCAACTGAAGCCCGCAACGCCGGCGAAAGTACAGCCAAGAGGACCTAGGAAAAGGCAGGTCCAGCTCAGTTACTACGGCGAAGAGACTGCCGACGACGCCGAGTCGCGTCCGCTGTTTATGAAGCAAACGAGTGTGAGATACAAAAAGAAAGCAAAGTCCATAAATGACAAGAAGGCAGCAGGTTCTGTTGTACAGTATGAAAGTGCAAAGTTTCTTGAGTATCCGCCAATTTCTATACCCCAAGCCCCAGCAGACTACGTCTCGGCCAACTTTGCCGATAGGTCTAGGCAGGAGGCTGCGAAAGGCCTTTTGGCGCACGATTACCAGCTGATTTTGGACAACTACAGCTACGTTCCGCTGGACGATGCAGAGCGCAAATTTGCGTTGTATTTGTACCTGCAAAGCCGGCTCCACGACGCGGAGACGCCAGTCGACACTGCCAACGAGCGGCTGCTGCAAGACTACCTCAACTCGCTAAAGAATAATAAATTCGTCGAGTCCACGGACAACACAGACGACGCAACCAGCGAGATGGCGCGCCGCAAAAACCAGCGCGTGCGACGCATGGAGCGGCGCATCGAGTTGGACGAGCGAGTCGCCCGCAGACTCGGACTCCATAAATAGAATACTTACTCCAGCGCAAGATCGCCTAGTTGTTCTCGCACTTTTCTTTCTCTCGCTTCCCTGATTTTTTGGTCCTTTTTAATACTGCTCAGACGTCCCGACTCTGATTTCCATGCTTTGTCGTGTTCCTGGTACTCGTCGTCGGTTGCCCTGTACTTGGCAGTCTCGTCGTCCGGCGGAGCCAGCAGGTTGCGCACTTCTCTGGAGGAAATATAGTGCAGATTCAGCTCGGAGCCAAAAATGTATCTGAGGTGCAACAGACGGATGTACTCGAACCAGCTGGTGATCGGAAGGGTTTTCGACCCGCTGAGCCGGAACCTCGACAGCACCTCCGTCTCCTCTTCTCCCTCGTGCTCCTCTTTCTCGATGCTCCGCAAAACCTCTCTGAATATCGACCGAGACTCTTTTTTGTCTTTTTTGCTCACTTTTTTCGACGAATACCTCACCAGCTGTGTCAGAATACTCTTCAGATCGTCTAGGTCGTGGTACGGTTCCTCCTCGTCGTCATAGTCGAACACCTCGTACATCAACGCGATCACAACGGCGGCCGTTTTCTGGACCTTCTTGGTGAACTCCTCGGCGAGGAAATTCATCAAGAGAGGAACGTTGTCTTGTATGACGGTGTTCACGTCGCGTCCGGCTTTGTAAAGCAGACTCACCACAACACCAACCGCATTGAGAGCATTCACAACAATGACCTCGTCGTTTTCCGTCAGACTGCCGGCGCTGAACCCTTCGGCCAGCTCCATTAGAGTTTCGACGCTATTTTCCAGACCGTAGCAATGCGACTCGTTGTAAATCACCAAAAGCAGGCTCGCATATGCAATCAAGCAGCTCGAACGAACGCCCTCGTAGCTCTCCTCAGAGCTGTAGATTTTATCGAGCAGAACAGGAAACAGACTCTCCACAGCTACTGTAGCCACCTCGTCCGAGTCGCTGGCTATATAGGCAACGGCGGAGCGCAGGGCCAACACAAACTCGAGTCCGGAACGCGCCGTCTTGACAAACGAGATCAACGACTCCAGATCCGTCTCGTTGACCACCTTCCCGTTGGAGCCCAGAGGTTTTTTCACAATCATACGATACAGTTCGCCAAGCAGAAATTCTCTCGACGACGAGCTGATTTTGCTTCGGGACTGTCCCAGCGCCGTTATCACGTCGGAGACCGTGTATATTTTCACCACGCCCCCGTCGTCGCCGGCCTCGCCCGCGCCTGTGTCCTCCTCGCTGTCGATGATGGACCCGATCAGAGAATTCGCCCTGCTCTCCTGCCGACTCACCGGCGACCCGGCAACCGCCACAGTGGACGACAGAGACTCCGTGCTCTGTATTTTCTGCCGCAGCAGGTCGTCCAGTTTCATGAAACTCATATCCATCAGGCTCTCGTCAAACTCGTTGTATTCGGCGTCCATATTGGGGCTCTTCAGACTAGGACTGTGTAGTCCAGACTTGGAAGACGCCCTGCCCTCCGAACGCGACACGTTGCGGTGAGACGACCGCATCTCGCGGTGTAGCTGAGACATGGCTTGATTACTAAATAAATGCAAATTATTTCTTGCTCTATCTGTGTGCGGCTTATATATTCTGTATTCTGAGCTACCTATTTTCATCTACTCGTGGCCCTCGTTCCCGTCGACACGGAACGGACTGATACTCTCCTGGCTGTGCGGCCCGCCTTTTAGTCTGTCAAGCTCCTGTTTCAACGCCGCCACCTGCTGCTGCAGACCCTTGTTCTCCTTCTGGAGCATCTGGATGTACTTGGACGACAGCTCCACGGTGGTGGCCTTGGACGGCACTGCGACCTCGTTCCTGAGCGTTTCCGGGATGATTTTCTCGAGGTCCTGGATGGCCACGTTCATCCTGTTCCGTCTGCCTTGCTCCGCGAGCTTGTGGGTCATTTTTCTGTCCGTCTGGGAAGATTTCGAGGACCCGCCTGAGTTGCTGCGGGCCTTGGTGTAGTACATGCCTTCGGGACTCTGGCTGGGCTGCATTTCGTCGTTGTTCTGGATGAGCGGTGACGTCTTGAGAGAGGACGATCGGGAGGACGATTTGGAGGCCCCGTTTATGTGCAAGGGAGGTATGATGGCTGCTGGCAGCTGCTGGTTGTCCTGGAGCAGAAACGAGTTGGACGACGGCAATATCACTGGCGACGACTGGGCGGACGTGGCGTTGTGGTTGGGGTTCTTCAGAACGTTATCTTTTGCAATCATTCTCGGCGAGTTCTTAGCAGACAGTTTGGCCAGGGCATACGACATCATGGCGGCCGGCGTGGCTGCAGACGGGTTGCCCGTGTCGATCTCGGCGGATCTGTTATTTGGCTCGTTTTCCTGTGAGTACGACCTGGACTGCAGTTCTGTTGAGCTGTAATCTTCCTCCTTTGCGGGCGGATTCGAAGGCGGCAGCATGAGATCGCTGGACGTGGCAGACTCGGGCAGCATGTCGAAATAGGTCTGAGACTGTCCGCTGTACGACTTGTTTCTGGATTTGTACGACCGGCGGGCGCCAGAAACGACGGGAGACGACGGCTTCACCGACGGCGACTGCTTCATACGCGCAGACGAACCTGGCTGCTGCTGCTGGAACCCGTTTGCATTCGCCGGCCCAAACAGCGGCGTCCCGTTGGGCGTTTTCGAGCGTTTGTACGAGGCTCTTCTTGCGCCGTCGTCGCTGGACACTGGCGGCGACATGTTGGACGGCTTTTCATCGCGTCTTTTTTGTCTCAGGCTGGCCGCGCTGCTGACCTGGCTGGGGAAACGAGAGCTCTGGAACTCCAGAGCCGGCGACGTGAGCGGGCTGAACCCAACCTTTTTGTGCACCTTTTCGTCTGGAACTCCCTGCTGGTAGCCGGTGCCGTATGGCGGGTTCACGGCGTGTTCCAGCGGCGTCACTGCGGGCGAGACAAGCGGCGTGAACACGTCGTTTGGGCGGATGGCAGTGGCTGGCGCGCTCTTGGTGCGCTGGTCCCCGGGGTAGTCGCATTGGAACATCTGCGGAGGCTGGTGGTAATTATTAGGTTCTGTACTTTGTTCGTGGGCAGCGTTGTCGGACACAAAAGACGAGTAGTCCTCGTGTCTATGCGGCGAGTCGTTGGCTGGGTTGACTTGGTCGGCATGCCGGTGGTGTATCATGTTGTCCAGGTGCTGGATCTCGTGGAGATTGGTGAACTCTGACCACTGCAAATCCATGCTTTCGAAGTTCATCTCCGACAAGTCTGTGTGGTTCAGCGATTCCTGATGGCCGTGGGTGCTCAGGCTATTCTCTGCGTTTGGAGGATGCGAACTAGACAGATGGGACTCGTCTGCTGGCGAGTCTGTATAGCTGCTCTGATTGGATATAGCCGATGCGGGCATCACGCTCGTCATTCCCTGCTGGAACACTGAAAGAAAGACGTTGGTGCTTAGGAGCTGACTCTTGAGACTCAACAAATATTTTACAGAAATTATTTTGCTCTGAGGAAGCCTCTACGAAATAAAACAATGCGGTGCTCGTAATCGGCAAACGAAACTGCAAGCACAGTTGTCCAAAGGGAAGCGCGACGTGCAGAAACGTTGTGTGCTGGGGGAAAACATCGCCCATTCTGCCGTCGGCCGATCATGGTCGCCGGGTAACAGCCACGTGGGGTGCGTTTCGCTCACACGAGCCGTCTAACGCAAATGACAATTTTGTCGATAAGTGAAGCGGTGCAAGGGTGCACACGGGTCTACGAGTAGTGCTTGGATAATAAATAAATAGCAGACACGTCTGGTACACACAGCGCGCTCAGCCGTGAGTGGCCTGGCGGTAGGCGCGCTCGCTCGCCGGGTGCGGCGACAGCGGCTCGTAGATCTGGTTGCCCGGCTTGAACACCTCTCGATTGCCGTCGTCCGGAATGCGTTTCTGCAGATTGAGGCTCTTGAACACGCAATTGTTGAGCAGCGACTCGGCCTTTCTGCAGTTCTTGAGCTCCATGTTGGAGTAGTTCAGGCACTGGAAGTGCAGCTCGAACTCCTTCTTGCAATGGGTGTTCAGATCGCGGATCACGCTGGCTGCGCATCTTGTCACTCTGCGGCCCTCAGTCAGGCAGTTGATGGTTCCGTTCTTGCCGTTTTCCTGGTGGCACTTCATGAAGTCGTCGTTGTAGTCTTTGCATCTATCTCCGATGAAAAACGAGGCACTGACCAGAGGTCCAGTGGTGGCTCCTATCTCCTTCACGTGGGGGATTTCCTTCGGGAGAGGTGCATTTTCGAGCACGTACTGGGTGTCTCTGAGCTTGTCTGTGACCCTGGACGTGGAAATGGAGTCGAAAGTGTTTGTTGACGACATGGCGAACAGGAGCTACTTGGCTTGAATATTACTCCTCAAATGGCTCCGGGTAAGTTATTTTTCGGATCCTTAAAAAAATATACACCTTAAAATTCCTGGTACACCATGTTTGAGTTTGTGTCATTGGCGCCGCCAAAACAAATCGCCGAGCCCGTGGAGGACCCCGACGAGGACTCGTACGACCCCTTTGAAGAACAAGGCGTGAAGGACGAGGACGAGGACGACAAGAAAGCCTTGCAGCTCGAACAGCTGAAAAACACTTCCAAGACACAAGCCAGGCTTCTCACGTTTGACGGCCAAATAAATATTCTGGCCGACCCTGGATGGGACGGGGTGAGCGACATATCGTATCTGGAGCCGCACGTCCCCAACATCCATCTAATCATCCTTTCGCAGACCACCACCGAGTACCTAGGTGCCTTTGCGTATCTTCTGTACAAATACCCGATTCTTCGCAAAGTGAAAACCTATGCGACGCTTCCTGTTTCGAAACTCGGACGATTGGCGACCATAGAGCTCTATAGATCGGCCGGGCTCGTTGGCCCGCTGAAAGGGGCCGTTCTGGACGTGGAAGACGTGGAAAACTACTTCAACTCCATCATCACAGTCAACTACTCGCAGTCCGTGTCTCTCACGGGAAACTTGTCGGGAATTACAATCACAGCGTACAATTCTGGTCACACACTAGGTGGATCGTTCTGGCTGCTCAACAAGGACGCCGAGAAGATCGTGTACGCCCCTACATGGAACCACTCCAAAGACTACTTCCTCAAGCCTGGCCGCTTGAACTTACCGAATCTCCTCCGTGCCACCACTCTGATCAGCGGGTCTGACTTGGGGTCCTCGTTGTCGCACAAGATGCGGATCAGCAAGTTCATGGAGCTCGTCAAGCTCACATTGATGAATGGAACGTCCATCTTGCTCCCGACCTCTGTCACCGGCAGACTGCTGGAGCTGCTTCCACTGCTGGACCAGAACGTGCCGGTGGATATCAACTTCTATCTCGTCTCGTTCACAGGCAAGAAGTCGCTGGAGTTTTCTGGCAACATGCTGGAGTGGATGTCGCCGGACATCACCAAGAACTGGGAGAACCAGAACCATACGCCGTTCGAGTCGAACAGACTAAAGCTCATCTCGTTGCGGGACCTTGCCTCTCTCGACCACAGGCCAAAGATCATCTTTGTGGACGGCACAGATCTCAACGAAGGGTCTCTTTCGAGAGACTGTTTTATAGAGCTTTGTTCGAAGCACAACACCGCGCTGATCATGACTGAGAGACCAGAGGTGAACACCACCGCATACGACGTGTACAAGGAATGGGAGAATAAGGTGAAGAGCGACAATAATCTGAAAGACGGCGCCCTGACCATTCTTGAGAAACAAATGTCTCTGTCGGCAACGAGGGAGGAAAAGCTGCGTGGTTCAGAGCTGAACGCGTACAAGAAGAGTGTTGAGGAGCGCAGGCAGCGCCGCAAGGAGCAGGAGGTGCAAGAAAGACTAAACAACGACCTGCTGGACACGCTGATCGGCGAGGACGACGACGATGACGACGACGATTCGGAGTTTTCAGACGCAGAAGAGGCTGGCGCGGACGCCGAAAATGGAGAAAACGGCGAAGTCAAGACCACAACGACCTCCACCGCGCTAACGCAGTCCACGCACTCGGCTAAGGACGAAGAGGACCATATCACTGTGGACCAGATCCTGCAGATGCCTATGGACTTTGACGTGCGGAACGCCAAGGGAAGAAATAGGATGTTTCCTTTCATTGTCAAGAAAGTCACCGTCGACGACTACGGCGAAGTGATCAGACACAGTGATTTCATGAGAGAGGAGGAAAAGTTCCCGCTCAACAAGCCAACCTACGAGGAAGAGGTGGAGGAAGTTGTGGAGGAGTATTTGGAGAACGGGAAGAAAAAAAGACGGACAGTGAAAAGGCCGGTCAAGAGAGTCAGAAAAGCCACGGTGGTTGAACAGGTGAAGGAGAAAGACACTGTCTACAACCTGGATGCACTGGCTGACCCAAAAGTGCGCAGTATCAAACCTATCTCTGTGGAAATCAGGTGCGGTCTTGCGTTTGTGGACCTGTCTGGACTGGCGGACCTGCGATCCATGAGAATCACCTTCAACTCGGTGAAGCCCCGCAAGGTTATCTTGCTTCCAAACACCACACAGGCCTATATGGGCGGCGCTTTGGACGTTATGGACGCCGTTATGGCTCAGCAGAAATCCAAGATGCTCGCTATTTACCAGGCCGACGACGCATCTGGCATCCTGGGCACAGACTACATTCTGTCCAAGTTCAACGAGAAAATTGACCTCGGCAATGTCGTCACCTCGTACGACCTTGTGATCTCCAACGAGCTCAACAGCACGCTCAACTGGCAGGCAATCACTGGCGGATACTCGATCGCACACGTTTACGGAGAGGTGGTGCCGGTGGCGCCTGGAGACAAGCATCTGAAGCTTGTTCCGCCTACAAGCACAAACGTGATGCCCGTGTCCAACTCGATCAGCATCGGAGACATTAGACTAGCAGAGCTGCGTCGCAAGCTGACGGAGCTGAACCACGCTGTCGAGTTCCGAGGCGACGGCACGCTCGTGGTGAACAACCAGCTCGCCGTAAGAAAAGTCACCGACGGCAACCTCGTGATCGACGGAGCGATAGGCCAGCTTTTCTACCAGGTCCGCAACCTCGTCCAGGATATGCTCGCGTACGTTTGATAGAACGATAGATATTTGTTGCTTACGTAATGTGTCTGATAGATAAGCCTCGATGATCAGTTTCTCAGATCTGGTAAATGGGTATATTTACACAGATAAGGGACACTTTACAATTCAAGCGCAGGTTTGAGCTGGGGGGTAAGCAGTTGTTATTTTGCACTAATTTTCAGATGTGCTGGGTGCTGGGTCGTTTGGGTACGTGAGACGGGCTGTTGATCAGCAGTCGGGGCAGGACGTGGCCATCAAGGTGATGAGCAAGAAGGCATTGGGAGAGCGCGTATCCCTGGTAGAGAACGAGGTTGCCTTGCTGAAACTGCTTGATCATCCAAACGTGGTGCGTTTTATTGACTATTACGAGTCCCCCAGCTCGTTTTATCTCGTGACAGAGCTTGCTACAGGAGGGGAGCTTTTTGACCGGATAGTCGAGAAGGTTGTTTTTACAGAAAAAGACGCCAAAGCCATTGTGTTGCAGCTTGTCAAGGCACTTCACTATCTCCACGAGAACAGCATTGTGCACCGCGACATCAAGCCAGAAAACATATTGTACAAGACCCAGGACCCTGACAGCGATGTTGTGTTGGCGGATTTCGGGATCGCCAAAAAACTCAGCCGTTCGGAGCCGTATATCCGCGATCACGCCGGCTCTTTCCTATACGCGGCGCCAGAAACCTATACGTACGAAACGTACGGCTACAAGGCAGATATATGGTCACTGGGAGTGGTATGCTATATATTGATGTGCGGCTACAGTCCGTACGATGCAAACACTGTTGACGAGTTTCTGCGGGTGGTGGAGGAGCCGTTGAGTTTCGACGACAGCAGCTGGGCCAATGTGAGCGAGGAAGCCAAGGAGTTTGTTCTCTGCTGTCTCGACACGCGCCAGGAAACGCGGTTTCCGGCTTGGCGACTGCTGCAGCATCCGTGGCTGACAAGCGACACGCAGAAAGAAGTCGACCTGATCTCCAACCTCCGGGACGGCTACTCTGCCAAGAAAAAGCTGAAGGCTGTGATCCACATGGTTCTGATCCGAAACAGGTTCCAACAGTTGCGAAGCTTGACCGGCGAGGAGGAATTCGAGCTGGCAGACCCGTATCTGTCAGACCCTGACAAGTCGCGATTGCTGGGCGATGCGTTCCGCAACCTTGTGTTTGCCGCCAAGGACAACAAGGAGAAGATCATGAGCTACCAAGTGGACGACGCGGGCCGATGACGTTCAAAATATAATTCTGTAGATAATGAAGAGAATGAAGAGCGAGATCAGCACCACCGGCGCATATTGCTTGAGCAAGAGCTGGAAGTTGATTTTTTCGGCGTACTTCTTGTATTTCTGAGACTGGTTTTTCAGATTGGCGGAAAGATCCTGGAGTTTGTCCAGCGAGTCGCCTCTGTAGAGCAGATCCTCGATGTTCTTGTTCATAATCATTTTCACATCAACCAGCTCCGTATTGAGCTTGTCCAGATTGGATTGGGCTCTGGAGTCGCCGTAGATCTTTTTCGTCTTGCTGATGAACGAGTCAAACTGAATAAACTGGTACGGCTTCAAATCGGGTCTGGACAGCTCGCTAGCGTAAATGTGACTGAACTCGTTAGAGATCTCAGCCAGATACGAAAACACAAGCTTTTTCGGGAAACTGCTGGTAGTAATACACACATAGATAATGGTGTCAACGATCAGATAATGTAGCGTGTGGCTTTCTGAGTCAATGGACGCTCTGGGCTCTGAAGTCTGCGGGTTGAGCTTCAATATGATCAATTTGCACTTCTTCTTGAGCTCTGCCAGGCTGGAGTTTTTCTCGTCATCTATCGAGCCTGAAAGTGGCAAACCTAGTTGTTAGATTGAGCTAGCTAGTTACGTACCATCCGAAAGCCGGTAAATTAGTGTAGACTCCATGTGTGTTTTGTTGCCAGTTTTCTTTTTTCCAAGAAATTATTTTATTCGACGCGTCGACTATATCGTCTATTTAGCCAGCTTGTTGACCACCTCCTTATCGTTCTCGATTAGGTCATACAGGTATTGTATGCCCTGCTGCTGCTTGGACAGAATGCTGACAAGCTTGTTGATCACCTGCTCGTCGTTCGAAACATGCGCCTTCGACACAGCACCATTGGCAGCAACGGCCATCGACGCATCCATGTTGTCCAGGCTGATGTTCAGGTTGATGAGTCTCTGCTTCAGATTGCTGAGTCTGGCCCACAGCTCGTTCGATCTGTTCAGGCCGATTGGGTCGTCCACTGACTTGACCAGCTCTTTGAACTGCGATATTAGTTTCTCCTCGTCGTTCGTCAGCTGGTAGCCTTTATATTTTAGCACCGTCAAATTGATGGCAATTCTCAGCAGTTTGAGATCCAGCTGTTTCTGTTTGATCTTGCACTGTGACAGTCTGTTCAATGAGTCCAAATCGTGTTTGTCGCCGAGATTCACGAGGTTCGAGTTGATGTTGTTGAGAAGAATTCTCGACTTGCGGATATGCTCTATTTGTAAATTGGATCTGTTCAGCAGATCCTCAAAGCCCTTGATTCTGACGGGCAGCGTGTTGTAGCCGCGCGGACGCAACTTCATCGCGTTCTCCCAGTCCTCTGCATACTCGTCGGCAGGCCGCTCGTAGTTGTTATACTCCTGCGGCACCTTGTTGTACACAAACGTTTTCATCAAGCATTGGTTGGAGTTTGCGTCCCATGAGTTTTTCACTTTGGTGAGCTGGTCCGCAATCGTCGGCGTGTACCCGTTCTGCTGTTGATTTTGCTGCTGGTTGACCTTCTGTGCCTCAACAACCATCGGATGCAAACTTTGCTGCTGCGATTGCTGAGTGGACCATGCAAACGACGGCTGAGAATTGAAGGCGGGCTGGCTCTGTGTGGGCTGCGTATTCTGCGTCTGTTGCGCTGGCTGAGAGTTACCACCAAACAAGGAAGTACCTCCAGTGGTGGCCGTATTGGACCCGGTGTTGGCTCCAAACGAAAACCCCCCGCCGCCCGTCGTTCCGCTCTGGTTGTTTGTGCTGAAAAGATTTGTTCCTGTGGTGGTCTGTGGTTTGCTGTTGTTGCCAAATAAGCTCTGGCCTGTGCCAGAGCTGTTGGTGTTGCCAAAAAGATTGCCTGACGTGCTTGGCGCCGCTGTGCCGGAGTTCGTGTTAGCAGTGTTCCCAAACGAAAAACCTGTCCCCCCCGTGGAGCCAGAGGCTCCCGGCGCAGCGTTCTGCGTGGGAGCGTTTTGCGTGGTGTTTCCACCCAGTGAAAATCCACCAGTGTTGCCAAGCCCGGTCGGCGCACTGTTCCCAAACGAAAACCCGCCTCCGGTGTTACCCGTGCTGCTGCTGGTGCCCGTGCTGCTGTTTCCAAACGAGAACCCGCCGCTCGGCGCCGAAGACTGTCCACCAAAACTGAATCCAGACATGGGTGTTTACAATATTTTGTCTACATTTTTTCCAGGTGCAAGGTGTCTTGAGAACTCGCCCGTACATTAATCTAGTTAGATCCTCCTCTCAGCGACAGCACCAGATGCAGGTCGGAGCCAGCACTTATGCCACACTCCTCGAGCGTTTTGTCGTCGTCCCTGGTTGTTAGAACAAAGGGTGAGATTTACTCACAGTTGCTTTCCAGAGAACAGGAACTTCTGCTGGTGCGGAGGAATCCCCTCCTTCACCTCGATGGTTTCTTTGAGGTCGCTCACCTGACGTGTTAGCATTCGCTCTGCAGCACACTTACTTTGTCGTGAAGATCAACGTCGATGCGGATCTGATGTTAGCAGGACTGTAGCCGCTGTACTCACCATTCTTCCTGTCAAACTCTAACGGTTAGCTGTGTCTGGGTGCTCTACTCACTCTCACTTTGATCTCGACGGTTTCGCCCATGGTGCTATATCTGTCGATGGATATACTAAATATATTTATTTATCGAATTAATTGAATAATTATTATTTATTTATGCTCTCTACACCGCTGATTGCGAAATCTGACTACGGTAAAATATACGAGCCGGCGGAGGACTCGTTCTTGCTCCTGGACCTGTTTGAAGAAATTGGAGCAAAGATCGCAGATAATAAGCCCCGATTCGTGGTTGAGCTCGGAACAGGGTCAGGGATCGTGTCTACTTTTCTGAACCAACATATATTGGAAAATGCATTTCTCATAGCGACAGATATAAATCCACATTGCTGCCAGACCGCAATGGCCACAAACGCGAAAAACGCAGCCACAGTGAACTTCGACTCCATCCAATGCGACCTCACGTCCAGTCTGAGACCAGAGTCTGTCGACCTGCTCGTGTTCAATCCGCCATACGTGCCGTCCCCGTCTGTTCCCGCTGTGCCCGAGTCCGCAGAGGACCAGACCTGGCTTGATCTCGCGCTGGACGGGGGAAACGACGGCATGGTGGTCACGAACAGACTTCTGCAGAGTCTCGAGAAAATCCTCGCTCCCAACGGCCAGGCATACATTCTTTTCTGTGCGCGCAACAACCCTTCGACGGTGGCAGAACAGTTTTTAAAAAACCACCCGTCGTTCCGTGTCGAGAAAATGATTGAGCGAAAGGCTGGATGGGAGGTCCTCAGTGTATACCTGTTCCACAAAGCAGCTAGCCAAAGAGATCGCTAAATATGTCTTTCTCGATAGCATCCGCATCAGCATCCGATAGAGCGTACTCGCTTTCATAGTTGTAAATAGAGAGCGTCTCAAAGAATTCGCGCAAGTCGTATATGGACTCTACCTTGCTGTGTCCCGCCAACAGCGGTCTTTTCAGTTTGTCCACGCGACCCTCAATCTTGTCGTGGAGCTCTTTGGTGCGCATCTGTCTCAGGTTACTGATTTTGTCAACCAGAGACAGCACCGGAACACTGGAATCGCGATAGACAGCGTCGATCGTGTCTGAGACAAACAGCCATTCCGTCAGCTGAAACTCTTCAGGCTTCAAAACCAACAGGACGTCCAGCAGTTTGCAAGCCTGCAACACCAGCTCGTTGTCCAGCTCTAGCTGAGCATCTGTGACTCTGTCCACCTCTGCTGGATTTTCAAGTCTCACCCATAACTGGTGTAGAACAAACTGCAGCTCTGTGTAAACTGTTGGCCAGAGCGTGCTCAGATGAGGATCGGAATATTTGAAGACAATCAGGCGAAGAAGGAGAAAAATGACAGGCTTCAGCGACTGGTTCGAGGAGTTCTTCAACATGTCGGACACTCTAAACTGCAAGTCGCTCACGTTGTTCAATAGGCTGTCCTTTGGAGAAATAAGCAGCAAATAGGCCATCCGTTTCAGGTTCAGCCGTTTGTTCGACATCTCAGAATCGTTCCAGTTGAAGAGGGTGGAAGAGCCATGGTACGGAACCAGCCTCGTGACCAGCTCGTCCAGCTTTTCCTTATCCTCTCTAATCCAACTGTAGAAAATACCGTTCCAGCGCGAGCTGATTGGAGTGTCGAAGAACTTGGCGTCCATAATAATGTCAGAACAAAGATTTTTCCACAGCTTTAGCTGCAGACATTGGTTCGTGTTGGATAGAGCTTCCATCAGATTCACCACATACTCGGGCACTTGACCTGCGTTTTTGTTTTTAAGCAGCGGAACCAGTGTGTTGTTGATTATCGTTGTATAGCAAGTCACGATCTTGTCGCTGTCTTGGACGATGACCGACACTTTTGGAACAACGAAAACCATAGAAGTGCACAGCTCTTCCTTGGCTGACTCCTTTTCCAACGGAAGAGTGTCTCTGATTGGCGACATCCCTTTCATAGATGGAACTGACGGACTCTTGAGATTTTCCACAGCCGATTCTATCTTGCCAGTTGACTCGGAGTTCAAAACTGATGAACTAGGCGAGTCGTAGTTATCTGTGCCAGGCAGAATGTTAATAGGGTTCAAAATTGAGGCAATCGACTGGTCCTCGGACGTTACGTTCTTGACATTGGTGGCCATCGTGAGAATCTTGATGAACGAGTCCGTCATGTCCTTGCGCACCTTCCTCTGCTCACCAAAACTGATCTGCGACAGCTTTACTCCAATGATGGTGCTGAACTTGAGGATGTCCGCTAAAAGTAGCCTATAGTGCGACATGTTCGTCTGGACATCCTTTAGGAAACTTATTAGTTGCGTCCATATTTCCTCCACCGAATCGCTGCTCAGGGAGTCCATATAGTCGGTCAAGAACGTAGAAACATCCTTATCATTTAGCTCATTTATCATGGACGACCGTTTAGAGTGCTCTAACGACGCCACGTTCACTCTCGACATCAGCGAGTTGAGTGCTAGCGGAATAACTTTTTCTGATTTGGCTCCATCTAAAAGATGGATCACCTTGAATGTGGAATATCTGTCGGCGCGGCTAGCCTGGGTCCTCTGCGAGCTCATCAGCGTCTCCAGCGTCTCCAACGGCTCCAACACGAAAATGCTTTCCAAAATCCTCTTGGTTCTGTATTTTAGACGCGAAGCATTGTAGTTGACGGTTTTTGTAAACGACAGAAACGACGGCTTTTCCTCGTCAATGAGTCTTGTGCTGGTCGTGTTAAGGCCTATTGTGGAACTCATTCTGGTCACCAGTGGCGACGATGGGGCCACGTTGATGGCATTGGCCTTAACTTTCGAGTTCTCGTCTGACCACAGCCAAATCCGGTAGCACGTCTCCACGGCCAGCTTGAAAGCCTTCAAACTTTCCATCCGTCTGAGATGATCCTCACCCTTTTCGTCGGGGGCCTCGACCTGGAAAACGCCCTGCATGACGGAGCCAAAGAAACTGGACTCCTTTCCTGAGGCTGACTCATTGGCAAGCAGTCCAGATTTCGAGGCCAACAGGTACTTGTGGCTAACATTAAGCAGTTCCTGCAGACCGTTAATCAGCTCCAAGATAGCCTCGTCAGAGTCGCCCTCGGACTCTGTTTGGCTGAAGCGGGTATTGATGGTGAAAAACTCGTCGAGCTTCTCACAGATGCAGGCAGTGACGTTGAAGGTGCTTCTGAAAACCAGCTCCGGGGCGTAAGTGGTGACGCTCAAAATGAGAGAGTTCCAGGACGCGAGCACCAGCGACGACCTCGAATTCAGAATTCCGTCTGAAACAACCTGTGCGAATTTTGGAGGCATGCCGTCATTCTCGTAGTCGAACAGCTCGAGCGCAATTTTCGAATCATGAGCAAGTCTCATGAATTTCGAAATGGTGGACAAGTAGAACGTGGTGATAGAGTCGTCGTACAAGCTTGCTTTCTTGCACAATTTGGTCAAAGACGTGATGATCTCTGTAAATTCGTGCTCTGTTCCGTCTATCAGCATTTCCAAAAGACTCAAACAGGCCCTGACGCAGCCGCAGTACTGACCAACCACTGTTTTATTAGACTTTGGAGCGTCCATAGACAAAAACCTCGAAATGACAGTGACGAGCAGAGATTTGTACGTGGTGACGTCCCAGCGGTGTCTGGACATTATGTTGATATCGGCCTCGTTGCTGAGTATGCAGGCCTCGCTCTTGAACAGCGAGACCAGATGCGAATCGATGCGCAAAAGATTGATGATGGTGGTCAGCTGGTAATGGAAAAGCGGGAAGTCCTCGTCTTCCTCGTTGCTGAATCTTCCCGTGTTGACGAAACTATTTTTGGAAAGCAGCCCAGAACACAGAATCTTGAACACCTTATTGATAGATCCGGTGCTGACGGTCGACCTGATCCACCGAGAGACTATCAGTTTATTGGTTTCGTTTTCGCTGCTGAGATCGTCCAGCAGCAGTTTCAGTGGACGAACGAGGATATTTTCCGTCTCATTCAACGCCAAAGTGTGCGTCCACAGAGCACTGAACGCTTTCATGCGCGTGAGTCTATCGGAGCCCAGAAACAGCGACGACAGCGCGGCCTCGATGTAGTGCGAGTCGACGCTGATTTCCAGCTGGCAGATCATCTTCACCGTCTCAACCTGGTACTTTCCGCTCGGATGGACCAGACAGCTCCAGAGCAAGTCCATGACTGTTTTCAGGATCTGCAACAGCTGGGCGCCAGAGGTCTGCTTAGCCAGCGTTTTGAACAGAAGCGAAATGCCAAACGCTATTGGAACGGAGTCCTCGCTGAACTCGCCCGATTGGTAGCCGTTGACAGCCTTCAATAACGTCAGGTCTTTCCATTGATTTGCCCCGTTTGGGATTTTCTCCAGCAATTCGTTGACAATCTCAGAGAACTCATAAAATAGTGCCGCCCGCCGCGACTTCAGCTGGACCGTGGTGATATGGGTCGTCAATGTGAGCAGGATGGCGCTCAGGTCGGCAGTGGTGTACGGTTTTTCCACCGGTGTGTCCAGCTGGGCCTCCTCGGAGGTCAGATTGTAGTACTGTTCCAGTTTGTCAATGATTTCGCTCTTGAATGTGTCGTTGTCCACGGTTTCTATGCGCGCGTATTTCGCGTCTGCGTGCTCGATTGGCAAGAACGCTCTCTGCGGTATCAGAGCCAGCAGGGCTCTCAGCAGCTCTATCCATTTTTTGCTGCCGTCAAATTTGGCCAGCGACGCCAGAAGCGCCAGCGGAAGGTGCAATACCACCATGTCTTCCTCTTCCACGCGGAAGTGTCTGAGTATGAATAGTACAAGGTCGATCTCCCCGTCCTTGATGAGCCGTAGCACGTCGGACCAGATATTGATGGTCTCGACGCTGTCGAAGAAAGCGTTTGCGTTTTTCACCAGCTCGTCAAAAACCTCGATCCGCTCCGTCTCGTGCGTCTCTTTGGTGCATCTGATAATTGGAATGAGAATCTTGGGGACAATATACTGGCCGATCTCCCATTTGTCCATGATAGCCACCGCAATCTTGCACGCCTCGATGCGCTGCTGGTACTTTGGCTGCGAGCTGGAGGACCCGTCGAGCAGCGCGAAAATCGCCTGTGTCAGATATTCGAGCCCGTACGAGCGGAAGTATTGCGACCTTGTTTCTGCCGTGGCGGGCTGCTCAGCCTTGCCGCCGGCGCGCGCTTGTTCCGTGTTGGACGGCCCAAGCAGCCAGTTCCAGAGCCTTCTGTTCAACGACATGTCTTTGCGCAGAACCGTCGCCGTAGCTCTCAGCACCAGCAGCTGTTTGTCTGCGCTGGAAACGAGAACCTGGAGAACGGGCGAGTGCAGCTGCAGCTTGCCGATCAACAGGTCAAAGAAACCTCTTTGCACCAGCAGGTTCTCGTCAACGAGGCCCTCTCCGAACGCCTTTATCAGCAGTCCCGGCTCTGGGGTGACACAGGCCCTGGTCTCGTCGTCAACGGCGCCCAACACGGCGTCTTTGCGCGGCTCCGGCTCGCCGTCGACCTTGAACGACGGCATCCGGCGCACAAGCCACTCCAGGGCCCCCAGCCTCTTGTCGGGAGACGTCACGACGCACAGGAAAAGACACTGCCAGAAATGCGGATTGTTGTTTAAATGCGTTTTGAAACTGTCAATGAGCTCGAGAACCGCGTCGAACGACTCGGACGTCGTGTCGTCCAATGCTGGCAAGAGACTCAGCAGAATGCCGCGGAAAATGACCCGCAGAATCGGCGGCTCGAGCGGCACAACGTACGTCCTGAACAGCTCTATCAATTGCGGCTTCACGCTGATGCTGGCGTACGACATCAGCGGAAGCAGCCCGGGCAGCCACGTGCTTATATGCAGCCCCAGCTCGTCCACGCCCAGAATCTCAAATATCTGCGTGTACACCTCCAGGGCCTTTCGATGCACTCCGCTGGGAAGCTTGGGCGACAGACATTTGGACAGTGTCTTGGAAATGTCAAACTCGCTCGGAATCCAATGGTTGACCTGCGGCTCCGGGTTCGTCTGCAACGCCCGCTGCAACTTGCTCAGGTACGAGATGTAGTCTGCCCACTCCTCGACGGAATCGAAGACCGTCAGGGCTTTGTCGATGTTGGACACGTATTTTCTCTCTTTGGAGCTCAATTGCCTGCTCCCGCTGTGCAGATCCGAGTTGCGGCCGTACAACAGCGGCAACGGCGACATCGAGCGCAAAAACCCGCCGCCTTTCGATTGCGAAGCAGACATGGTGTAGATTCTGTGTGGCTAAGTATTTTGTTTATCTTAAACGTGTGTCGCGGTGCAGAGGTGCAAATAATAGATCCCCAACGGGGCACAAATATCCCTTTATTTAAAGGGCTACCCATGTCTGTACTTAAAACCGTGTGCTATCCCTTCAGGGTACGTGAGGTTTGCTAGAAAACTAACTCCAGGGCATCTACTACTTTACCTTCCACCTCGAGTGCTGGAGATACCTCAAGATGAACATCGTCAGCCTCGTGCTCGTCAGCGTGCTGATCTACGGCGCAGCCTTGTGTTTTTACCTCACCTCCCTGTTTTTCACAGGAGGCATGTTCTCCTTCATCGGCCCAACAACGTTCCAGCTCATGACCTTCATCATCAACCTCATCAACGCACTCCTCCTGCTCCCAAAACCGCTCAAGTACACGTTTGATTACGTGATCAACACTGAGCTCGAGCTCGGGTACAACCACCTGTACCGCGGGCTTCTGGACAACAGGCTCGACGGGTACTATCGCGAGACGCTGTTTGGCAGGTGCTACCGCAACTGCAAGCAGCTACTTGGGCCTGCGCGCTTTGTTCTGAAGGAGCTGTTCTACCTGATGCTCAACATGATCCCGATTTTGGGACCTTTCATTGTGATTCTGCTGAAGGCGTCTCGGGCCGGGTATTCGCGACATATCCGCTACTTCCAGCTCAAGGGCTACACCAGGGCCCAGACGTATTTCTTGTGGCGCAAAAACAGACATCTCTACTTCACGTTCGGGCTTGTGTCGCTGTGCTTGGAGCAGCTGCCCATTATCAATATCTATTTTGCTTTCACAAACCACACGGGCGCGGCGCTGTGGGCGGTCGAGATCGAAAGAGCGTCGCGAGAGGCAGACGAAGCTCGCCAGATCACTGTGGAATCGTCTGGCCTAAAAACCGCATGAGGTCTGCCATCTCCTCCGGCGACGAAGAGTGCTCCATTCCTCTGTACTCTTTAAACTCAATGTTTTGCAAGCCTGCCTTTTTGTACACGTCCACAGCGTGACGGGCAGCCGCAATTGGTACCACCGGGTCTCTGTCTCCGTGTCCAAAGAAGACTGGAGTATTCTGGTTGGCGGTCTGGACTCTATCCTTGAGCGATTTCTCCACGGGACAGAATCCAGACAATGCCACAACGCCGGCGAGCGTACGGTTGCAAGTTGCGCCCACTGCGAGGCTCAATGCCGCGCCCTGTGAAAATCCGCCCACAACGATGCGGTTGGCAGGAATGCCATTTTTCACCTCTGTCTCAACCAATTGCTTAATCTCGTCAACACTTTTCCAGAACGTGGTCGGGTCCTCCTCTACCTTATGGTCGATCGGGAACCTCGTCAGATCGAACCAAGAGCTAGTTGGCATCCCGTTGCAGACAGTGACGGGGATAACAGGCGCATTAGGCAGGATCACGTTGACGTGTCTGAATTGCTCCTGTCTGTGCAAAAGATCTGCAAAGAACTTCCAGCCGTCGGACGAGTCGCCCAACCCGTGGATGATTATCATTGACGCCGACGGCTTCAAAGCGGAGACCCTTAAAACAGACATGATGCTAGAAATGCTAGAAATTAATTTCTGGGAAATATTAATTAAATGAAGCTGGGAGAATATTACAAAATACACTGACATCTCTTTTTACAATGCTTCCCAATGTTCCACCAAAACCATTGAAAGAGCAGGTGTTGGACCACGATAAGCTGGAATACCCGCTGGTGCCTGCCAATGTGACCCAGAAACTTAAGTTCCCGTCAGAACTTCCTCAGTACTTTAATGAGCTGAGCACGGCTAAACTCCAAGAACTGGCCAGATCCCCCGAATTGCTCCAGAGCTATCTATACAAGACATCCAACTTTGACCAACTAGGCACAGAGATTGTGGACTCGCTGGAAAAACAGATAGAATACGCCACCAAGCTGCTAAAAAATGTGAACGAGGATATTGTGCCACAGACAGACCAGATCAACAAGCAATTGGAGGAATTCCACAGAAAACTTAAGAGATTCGACCAGTTGCAGGTGCACATGTACGATCTACTAAACAAGTACTCGAGAGAATCCATAATTCGGGCCGTGGAGCGCAGCGTTAACGAGAAGGACAGAGATACTCGGTCCCTGATGGACCAGATCCGTTCGTCGCCGGCGGAAATTGATGAGGCGCAGCTGGCGTCCTTCATGAGCACATACACTACAGAGCGTCAAGAGTACTATCTTAAACTGGAAAAATTGCATAGACTATACGAAGAAAGAGTTGGCGGGCTTGACGCGCCTTAGGCCGAGTCCAGAAGGAAGTTTGTGGCAAGGTCCAACTGCCAACCGTTCTTCTGCAAAGCGTCTACTGCCATCTTCTCGTCAAATCCCATTCCCTTCAGCTCCTCAATGGCTAATTGCTGGCTCTGGCTATAGATGGAGTCGTTTGGCACAGGGTTTGCGCTGGACGGTTGTTCAGTGAAGCCTTCGCTAGGCTCGTATGGTGGCAGGCTTTCGAAATGTTCCGTGGCAGGCTGCAGACTTGGATCGTTTCCAAAACCGGCAAACACCTGCTCCCAGTCGTCGTTGACGGCTCCTGTTCCAGCGTCGGCCCCAGCAGCGTCCTGGGCGGATGGGCCCGAGAACGAGAACGCGTGGGCGCCCGCATCAAAGCTGTTGAACTCGTCGAACTGCGGAGCGTTGAAAGAGTCCTCTGGACGGGCCTCCTCAAGCCCCAGGTCGTCGAACATGGTGTCGCTCTTCTGTGCTGTGAATGGGTTGAACGACCTGTCGCCGGATTGCGGCCCGGCCTCGCCCTCATGCTGCTTCTCCGGGCTCGAAATACTATCGTGGAACTCCTCGTCGTCGCTGCTCTCCTCTGCCTTAGGTTTTTCGGGATTTGGAGTCTCCTGAGGAAGAGACGCCTCCTCGGAGCCCGTTTCTGTTGCAAGCTGCGCCGGCTTGGTAGCTGGTGAATACAAATCGTCCTCGTCTTCATCTTTCTGTTCCTCCTCGGTCTTTGTAGTTTCTGACGTTTCTGTGGTGGTGTTCGACTCTGGCTCTTTTTCTGCAATCTGTGCAAACTCGCCCGGCAAACTTCCCGGCATCGTGTAGTGAGGAGCGGGTTCTTGAGGTTCCTTAGGCTCCTGAGATTCCTGAGGAGCCGAGTCCTTGGCGTCGTCGTGGTTGACCATCTCGAACGACTCACCGTTTTCGTTCGACGAAATAGGTTCCGGAACGTCCTCTATTCCTTCAGGCAGGATCTGGGAGCTTAGCACAGGTGGAGCAGACTCCTCTTCGATGGTGGAAGTGGGCGAGTCCGGCAGGTCGAAGTCGCCTCTGACAGACTGCGACGGATTGTTCTGGATGGACGAAGTCTCTGAGTGAGGAATGCCAAATGGAAGCGAGAACTGCTGCTGGGTCTGGGACCCGTCGTCCAGCTCCGAGGTCTGCGAGGTGGCTGGCTCAGAACGGGACTTGGTCGACGAGTCGAAACCGGTGGTGTTGGAAACAGACTCGGTGGTCTCTCTTCTCAGGTCCTGTGCGCTCGGCACAGAGAATTCGGTCTCGTCGAAATTCTGCAGCGTAGACGTTGGCACCTCCTGCTCCTCCTCAGAGTCCTTGTTCTCCTGCTCGTCGTCAGAGTCCTCGTGGTGGTCAGCAAGATAACCAGCGCCAGAAGCAAGGGCAGTGCTGAAATTGAGGTTTTTCTCTGCAAACTGCGCACTGTAGTCGCCGTGCTTCTCGTGAAGGTCGTAAGTCTCGTCTTCCAGCTCTGCGGATCTCGTAAGCAGCTGCGAGTGTTTGAGCTCGATCTCGCTGATCGACTTGATCACAGAGTCGATTTTCGATCTCAGCTGGTTGTTTTCTTCTTCCTGCGAGGCCACCTGCTGTTTTGTCACGGCTAGCATTTTCTGCGACTGCGTCAGTTTCTGTGACAGCGACTCGATCTGCTGGTTCAGGTCGATCGACTCCGCATTCAGCACGCCGAGCCGCTCTTTCATCGTCTGATTACCCTTCTGGGTCTCCTCGACCTCCAGCTGCAGTTTCTGGAGCTTGGACTGTTCCGAGTGGTAGTTGGCCTCAGCCAGAGCCAGTTCCTGCTTCAAAGAGCCCGACTCGTTGCGGGACTTGATCAGCACCTCCTCCACCTCTTGCACCTGCTGCACCTCGCGCTCGTAGAGCGTCTTCAGCTGCGCCAGTTTGGACTCGATGCCCTCTTTCACCTTCATGATTCTCGCGAGTTCTTTCTGCGCCTTGTCTCTCTTGGCGTTCACGTTTGTGGTCTGTACGGTCAGAGAGTTGATCTGGTTGGAGAAATTGGCAATGTCCACAGACGCCTGCGAAAGCTGATTCGACACGTCTCTGTCGGTTGACGAGGTGCGTGCCGGTGGCTGGGGCTGGTTGGTGAACTCCAGACTGCTGGCCGGCTGCGCTGGCGACGGAGCTGGAGAAACGTCCTTTGACTCAGCGACGGGGCTGGCCACGCTTCGCAGAGCTTCGTAGTTAGCAGTAGACTGTCTTGGGACGGACGCCGGCTGGGTGTCTGTCTCGTCGAAATGAGGCTTTTGCGCACGGCCCGGGATGGCTGGCGGAACCGGTCTGGACGGCCGGTGATCCAGGTCCTCCGGCCCTTCGTCGTCGTCAGAGGACTCGTCTGCGGCCGTGTGCTGGCTCTGCAGCTGGCGGCCAAAGTCCGACGTCGGAACAAAGCCGCCGTGGCCCGTGCTGTTGGACTCGACATGGGCCGATCTGGAGGCCGGGACCGGAGGAACAGCCGGCTTCGAGGCCGTGCGTGGAGGCTGCACGAAGACGTCCATCAGGTCGTCCATGTGCGACTTGGAAGGGCTGACGGCCTGCTGTGGAGCAGACGGAGAGGCCGGCAGCGGAGGTGGCACCTGGGCAGCTGGCTGAGTCTGCGGACTGTCTGTGGATCTGCTGGTCTGGATCAGCGAGGCTGGCGTCTCTTCAGGGAGCTCGAACCCGGCCAGTTTCTTCTGCACCAAGTACATGGCAATGGAGAACTCCTGTTTGTTGAACGAGTCGGAGCCGTCCAGATTGGCCAGTTCCCAGATGGTGGCGAGCGTGTCGTTTGGCAGCTTCGACGTCATGAGGAACTTGGCCACCTCGTCGCCGGAAACCTTGCCCTGTCTGGATTTGTCGAGATTGTCAAAGACGGCGCCGTATTGCTGTTTCTGCTGCGGAGACATGGTCCAGGCGGAGAAGTTGGCGGAGCCCGAGCCAATAGAGCCGCCCGAAGCCTGCTGCAACAGAGGCGACTGCGGCCGGGACGGGTTGGTGGCCACGGCCCAGATCGGCTCTGGAATGACAGCAGGAAGGATAGTCATGGATTTGTTGAGGAAGCTCTGGATCAGGTGCATGGCCACAATGAACTGCGGTCTGCCAAGCTGGCCGGTCTGTTTCTGGTCGACAAGGTTCCATATTTTCTCCAGAATCGGTGTAGGCAGTCTGGCCTTGAGAAAGATGTCTCTGGCCTGCACTCCGGGCAGAACACCGCCGGGAGCCGACTTGTCGAACATGGCGCCGAAACTGGCCGCCTGGTGCGGCGTCAGCACGGGAACAACCACCTGCTGCGAGTCCACAGACGAGGCCGACGAGAGCCGCGACCCGGTGGTGTTCACGGGCAGACTTCCGCCCGTCGTGTTGACGGGGATGGAGTTGAACTTGGCCAGCTGAGGCGGGACGTTCTGTGCAAGCTCCGGACTGAGCACCGCGCCGTTCTGGACGTGTCCGATCAGTCTCATTGCCACACAGAACCCAAACTGGTCCAGCGACCCTTTGTTGTCCGGGTCTGCGACATTCCATATTTCTCCCAGCACTGGAGGGCTCAGGTTGGACGCCTCCAGAAGAGGCTTCACGGAAAGCCCGGAAAGCAGGCCCGTGTGCTTGAGATCGAGCGTTTTGAATATTTGGCTGTAGAACTTCTTCTCGTCAGCAGTGAGAGGCTGTTTGAGATTGCCACCGGTGACTGCGCCGTTAGCGGACTGTGAGGACGTGTACGTACCCGACATATTGATTGGAGCGGAAATAGGCAAAAAAAGGTTCGTTTACGGCCGTCGTGCTGGAACTGTTCTGATCGTAGTTGATAAACAAATTAATTCTGGGTGCCGTCCGGTTATGAGCGAGGGAAGAAGTGGGCGAGAGAAGGTGGGCGAGCGACGGGTGGACGAGAGAAAGGGGGCTACGGGAAGTAGACAGACCAGGGCTCCGGAACAGGACTAGGTTCTGCGCGTTCCCTGGGACTTAGCTGACCGTGAAACTGGAGACTTATGATGGTGGTGCCGTGGTGGCAAAAAAATAACTGCCCCCACTCAGATTTGAACTGAGGATCTCCACATTACTAGTGTGGCGCCTTACCAACTTGGCCATAAGGGCTATGTTTAATCTGGAATCCTAACGTCTGCCCATGCAGAGCCACACCATACCTGCCATGCTCGTCCAAAGCCGTGTAGCTCCTACTCCGCGTGTTGAACGTTTATATTATGCTACAAAGCATTCTTCCGCGTCAGATACTCGAACCGGCTGAAGGTGTACCCAATGAACGGAAGATCCTCCTTGGTGTCTGCGCCCCCAACAACACTGCCTTTCATCTGCTCCCTCTGCTTGGCAGCCTGGGCCAGAGCAGGCGAGTCCGGCACGTTTTCGAGCTCGTCGGTTGGGAAGAAGCGGGTGTCTGTGATGGACCTGAGTTTAGGAATGAACGGGGCCTCCACGTTGCGGATCTCGTCCCAGTTGACTCCACGGAAGAAAGGATGCGCCTTGATCTCGTTGGCGCCGCCGTTGCGGCCGAGTCGGTGGTCCGCGTCCGTCAGAAGCCTCAGGATCAGGTCCTCTGCCTCGGGGCTTAGGTGAATGTCCTCGGGGAATTGTAGTGTCTCTCTCCAGTTGAGAATCTTGCAGTATGTTTCTTTGGGAGTCTCGGAGCAGAACGGCGGCCAGCCCACCAGACACTCAAACATGATGGCACCGAGCGACCACCAGTCGCACGTCTGGCCGTATCCCTGGTTCAGGAAGATCTCCGGAGCAATGTAGTCGGGAGTTCCGACGGTGGAGTACGCCATGAGCCGTCTGGATTTGCGCCACGTCTGCATCTGCTGCCGATTCGACATGGTGAGGTTGATCGGGTCGACGAGCACGGAGTTGCGGCCCGTGTTGGCGCCGCCCGCGCCGTTGGCGTTGTCCTGGTCCAGCAGTTTTCTGTAGTAGTTGGAATCGTGTGTCTTGTGAAACCCGGTCGACAGGCCAAAGTCCGAGAGCTTGATGTGGCCGCGCATGTCGATGAGGATGTTGTCTGGCTTGATGTCTCTATGAATGAACCCCAGCTTGTGTATTGCCTCGATCGCCAGCACACACTCGGCAATGTAGAATCGGGTCACGTCCTCGGTGAATATCTGCCACTTGATCAGCATGGTCATCAGGTCGCCGCCGGGCAAGAACTCCATGATCAGGTACAGGTAGAGCGGGTCCTGGAACGAGTAGTACAGCGACACCACCCACGGCGAGTTTGCGTCTGCCAGCACGTCCCGCTCCGCCTTGACGTGCGCCAGCTGCTCCTTCTTGTACATCTCGCTCTTCAGCAGCGTCTTCATGGCGTAGATCTTGCCCGTGTCGCGCTTCTGGACGAGCCGGACCTCTCCGAAGGCGCCCTTGCCGATCACCTTGACCGTGTGGAAATCCTCGAGACTGAGTCTTGTTCTTCGCAGCCGCAGGAACTGCGACTCGTTGCGCCCAAACAGCTGCAGCTCTCTGTTTCGGCGCTCGCCCGAGCTCTCGGTGCCCAGTTTCTGCTCGAACGACACGCGTCTCTGATTGCGTTCGATGGCATGCTCGATGGCTGTTTTGTAGTAGTGCTCGAGTTTCAGCTTGATGGACGCCGCCTTGTCCTGCGACGACTTCGAAAACCACTCCGGGTGCCGGTCAAAGTACACGTAGTCGGCCGGCGGCTGCATGCTCTGCGTGCTCTGCCGGTACGACAGGTTCGAGTTGCTGTTGTTTGCGGCCGGGTTCGAGTACGGAAACTCGGGCTGTTTCAGCGCGGACTTCGACGGCGACACGAGCGACGAGTTCGACGAGATCGGCGCCAGGTTCGCCGACCGCACGCTGCGCGACGGACTCGAGGGCGGCTGGGGGTTGAACTCGTTGAACTGCAAAGACCGCGTCGGAGACGTTCCGTACATATTCTGGAAGCCCTGGGCCTGCTGCTGCGCCGGGTGCTGCATGTTGGGGATCTGCGCTCCAAACACAGGCGCCTGCTGGGGATGTGGCGACCCGTTGGGCACGCCAAACGGCTGGTTGTTGTACTGTCGATACTGCTGTTGCTGCTGCTGCTGGTACAAATTGTACATGTTCTGCTGGTAGTTTGTACCACTGTCCTGCTGCGGATACATGGCTGAGTGGCGAACTGGGCTGGAAAGGTGTCGATGGTTGCTCTCACAAAAGAAAACAAAACACGATCCGGTTTTTTTTTTGGGAGCGTAGCAGAATTTCAGACAGGCGGTGGGTGGTTGCGGTGCAAGGATGTACAATAGGAAGAACTACGAGACGGTACCAATAGGTGTTAACATTACACACTTAGAACTGCAAGGCCTGGCCCTTTTGCTTCTTGTCTCCACCAAGCTCAAAGTGCTTACATCTCTTGAGCGGAAGTTGCAACTTGGTCTTGCAGCTGACACATTCCAGTCTCAACACAACCTTCTTGGTGGTCTTGGCCTTCTTGTGGAAAACTTGCTTGGTCTGACCACCGTAACCGGACTGCTTGCGGTCGTATCTTCTCTTACCCTGGGCGTAAAGCGAGGCTTTTCCGGCCTTGTATTGGGTCACTCTGTGCTGGGTGTGTTTTCTGCAGTTCTTGCCCTTGCAGTAGGTCTTTCTGGTCTTTGGAACGTTAACTGAGGTTAGTGGGGAGGGGAGGAGGCTGTCGGCGACGCGCTGGGTAGACACGTTCGGTCCGACATCCGCTTTGAATAGTACATACCCATTGCGATATATGTGAAAGTCCTTGTAAAAATGTTTTAATATTTTTCACTGGCAAGATTCCCACTGCACACCACCGCCACGCGGGCTGGCCGAAAAAAATACGGCGCGGCGAGTTTTCGCGGGAAGCAAGAAGCGGGCGTTCCCGCGGTGCGGGGGTGGAATACCACATCACGTGACACAAGAACCCCCCTGGCATTTTTCTTTCGAACACCCCTTTAAAGTTATAACTTCATGAGTAAATTCATAAATACATGTATCACTACCACACTCATTCAGCCAGCTGCGAAACGTACTGCCTAAATCTCGCCAGCTCCTCCGGCAGCTGCACATAGTGGTTGGACGCGTCCTCGAACTCAAAGTTCAACACCTTGCCGTAGTACTTCATCTTGAGCTTGATTTGCTCCGTCATCTGCGACAGGCCGCTGACGTAATCAAAGATCTTGATCAGACCGTAGATGTTATCGTTGACCACTCTATACTGCTCCACAGCAGTCTTGAACAGTCCCGAGCCAAACAGGGACTGGTACTGGGACGGGGCGAGAAAGTCGACGAGCAGCGACAGGTAGTTGTTGAGGCTCGTGCCGTCTCTGGCCTTCTTGTAGCCCTGGTTGATGACGAGCGCAGTGGCGAGCTCTGTTTGTTTCTCGTTCGCGTTGAGGTAGGACACGAGGTTCAGGAGCGACTCGTTTGACAGCACGAGGCTGTCCTTGATGATGATTTCTCTGGTGAATCTGATGAGGTTCTGTCTATCCATTCTGTCGAGCGCGGCGCCGACAAGAGTGTCGACCGTCGACGCGAGGTACTCGTAGTCGTCGTGCTGGGCGAGCTGGCCGATCGCCTCGTCGAAATCCTTGCGCGGCACGATCATGTTCCAGACCTTTAGTGCCGAGCCGAAGTCGTTACAGTCGAGGAACTTTCTCATCAAGAGCGCGAGACTGGCCACAGACACCTCTGGGAGCCAGTCGACGGCGTTGAACTTGAGGTACGCGTCGTACGCCTTGGCGGGGTCCAGGGCGGCCTGGCCGGCAATGAAGCTCGAGAGAAGCTTGGAGAGCGTGTGCTTCTGCGACTTGTCGCAGTTGCCGACCACCTGGTCGAGGAAAGCGGCAGCCTCGGCGGACTGGCCGCACAGAAGCAGCGACTCGAGCATGACGGCGTAGATGTCGTATTGCTGCGCCTCCAGCACCTTGGCGTCGATGCTGTCGTTGATGTCGTGGTATAGGGTGTTGACCAGGCCGGTGTTTTCCGCGTAGCCGGCGTATTTGAGCAGCTGCAGCAACAGGCCCAAATTTTCGTTTTCGGTCAGATCGACGCGCGGCTTGAGCAGCTCGTACAGCTTGTCGGCCGCGACGACCTGCACGCGCCTGAATCTGTTTAGGCCCCGCACGAGGTCGTGGTAGACGGCCTGGTCGAAGCGGATGGCCGCGTTGGAGCTGTGGCTGATGAGAAACAGTTCGAGCGCGATGCGGAAGAAGTCGTTGCTGTTGCGGAACTCGCCCGTGCTGTAGCTGTTCTGCGCGCCCGTCAGCAGCTGGCCCACCACGAGCTCGTACGTCTCGTCGGACGGCTTGAGGTTGTTGGACAGCATGTCAGAGTACACGTTGAGCAGGTGCGTGAGCTTGTCCTCGGCGGACTCGCCGGTGTCGGTGCGCTGCGGAATCGAGCGCAGAACTTTGTTGTACAGGGCGGTCGTGGGAACAAGGCCCTTGCCCCTGAGGTTGAAGTAGACGGCCAGCACCTCGCTCGGCCGGTTGCTCGAGAGCAGCTCGTCTATCAGACGTTCGTGGACCACCAGCGGGCTGGCGGCGTCAATTTTCTCCGTCTGCACGGGCCTCTTGGCCGTTTCCTCCTTCTCCCCCACCTGGAGCTCGCGCAGCTGCTGCTCCAGTTCGCGCACCGTAGAGTAGTCTCTGCTGCCGGCCGGCTTTTCCAGCGCAAACGTGCGCACGGTGGTCGAGTTAGCCCGCCGGAACCGCAGCTGGCGGCGGCCGCTGGCGATCGCGCCCACGCGCACGCTCATGTGGCCGTTCTTGTTTGTTTTGCCGCCTGCCTTCTTGAGCAGGATCGGGGTTTGCCCCCGGGGCTCGTCGTCAGTGTTGTGCGACTGGTCGAACACAATATAGTTGCGCGTCACCATGGCCACGGGCGTGAGGATGTTGCAGTACCGGCTGTACCGTGTTTTGCGGCCTGATCCCTCGCGGGCCACGTCGTCCACTATGAGCAACTCCTGGGGCTTGGCGTAGGAGGGCTTGAAAAAGGGGTGCGAGTAGCGCTTGCTGCCCGACGACGACGACACGTTGGACGCCCGCCGCCGCGCAAACGACGCTCCCGTGCGCTCGGTGATGTTGACAAAGCTGCGAAGAACCATGTTTGAATTTAATGGAGGGCTGATGCACATTATATACATTCCTAAAAAATACGGGCTGGGACCCGCGCCGTGGTTGGCAGACCCCGCGACAGAGACGGCAGCGTTTTTTTTTTTCGCGAGCCCCTCATTGGACGGGTGGATTTTTTGACACGGGGTGCGAGGAGGGGAGGGGATCTTTCATGGCTGGGAGCCCTCGTTGATCCGTGGGATCAGACCGCACGGACTCACGACGTACTCCTGGAGCCGTCGCTCCAGACCCTGTGGCCGACGCGGGGCGGCCGCGACGCCGCCGCCGGCAAAGTAGCGCCCCACCTGCTGGTGCGGGATCGTGTAGTCTGGGGAGTAGAAACTGGCACCCCCCGACTTCAAAGCCACGTCCATCGACGCCGCGTCGCGCACGACGTACTTGCCTGACCAGCGCTCGTTCGCCGTCAGCGTCGTCATGCAGCGGATCGAGTCGCGCAGGACTTTGCGCCGCGAGGGCAGCCGCAGGTCGGTCCCCCACTTGTACTGCATGCGCAGCTCTTTCTCGGGCGGCGCAGAAAGGCTCGAGCTGGACACCGACGTCGACGGCGTGGCGCGCTGCTGCAACGTGGGGGAACTGCTCAGCCCGTTCGACAGCGACGACGGCGTCGACAGCACCGGTGTCGGCTCGGGCATCGCCTCGGCCTCGGCCTCGGCAGACGACGTCGACAGCAGCGTCACGAGCGTCGCGTCGGAGCCGTGGCGCGTGTGCCGGGCGTACTCGTACTCCTCCTCCTCCTCCTCCTCCTCGGCCGGCGCGTCGCCGTCGTCGCCGTCGTCGTCGAACGTCGCGTCCAGATGGTCGCTCTCGTCGTCCGGCTCGGCCTCGTCGGCACTCTCGTTCGCAGGCGACTCCAGCGACGGCGGCTCGTGGTCGGACACGTCCGAAAACACCACACACGGCTCGTCGTGCCGCATGTCGGCCAGCTTCGCGCCCGCGCTCGAAAACTTGCGTTTCCACCTCGACACCAGCGACGACAGGTCTGCCGAGCTCGCGCGCCGCCGGAACATCCCGAGCGACGGCCGCCGTCTGTACCCGACCATCAGCGACTCGCCGTGGTGTCTGTTGCGGCGCCGGCGGCGCGGCACCGTTCTATACTTCGGCATCTCGCGGCGGGTCAGGTCGAGCGAGTTGTCGATCCCGAGATTCAGACAACAGTACCACTCGATCATGCTCTCGACGGTCGGAAACTCCAGCAGAAACTGCTCTGTCTCGACGCGCAGCCGCAACGTGTGTTTTTTCTTCTTGTAGTCGGTCGCTATGCCGACCTTGGCGTACTGCAGCGAGTACGAGCGCACCAGGTTGTCGGGCGCGAGCAGGCCCTGCTGCGCGAAAAACGCCTTGTCGCGCAAGTCGCTCGACGTGGTGAGGCGCGACCTGTACAGTCTTTCGTCGTCTGACAAAACACAGCCCGCAGGCCGCGCCGCAGCGTCTCTATTGTAGAAGTTGAGCTGTGTCGAGTTGAGCTCGACGATCACCGGCCGCCACTGTCGCTGCGGCGCCAGCTCGTACGGCGAGATCCACTCCAGCTTGCGCGACAGCGTCGTGATCTTGTAAACGGTCGGCAGGTAGTCCGGCAGCGGCTCGCGCCCCTCATCTGGGTTCGAGTACACCGGTTTGGGTTTGCCCGGCGCCAGCGTGCTGTAGGGGGGCGGGAACACCGGCGTGGGCTCTAGAAACGTGAGCGCGTCCATAAGCTCGGTCAGATCGAAGTTTGGCACAGACTGCGATCGCTGTTTGCTGCCTGGCACCGTCTCGGCCCGGCGCGGAGGCTGAGTCGTCGACACGGTGCTGGCCCTGGTGCGCGGCCGCGCGGTCACGCCGGCCTTGCGCTGCGCTTCTGCGTGGGGCGGTGTGCCTGGGGCTGGCCTGGACGATATCCCGAAAATCGGTTTCCTGTTGAGTGTCATGTGCTGATGCTAGATGGGCAAGTGCGCGGACCTAGAGGTCGGGGTCATACAACGGATGCGTGGGGGAAAGGCTCGGTGTGCACTTGGGAGTTCGCTGGCGACGCAATCTGGGCTGCGACACAATGTCTCTGTGGTCTGCGGGAAGAAAACACCTGATCCTGTGCAAATCACTGGAGCTTTTGTTTCAGGAGCGATAAAAGGCGCATCCTTGCACCAGACGCCCACACGGGTGCGGGCCGATGTGTGGGGGAGGGGACGGGCGCGGAGCGGCAGGCCGACGGGACCACATGCACTAGATGTGTTCTGTGCATGCGGACGGGGCCCCCCACTATTCTCCACGCAGACCCCAGCTGCCCCCCCACATCGACCCGACCCAAAAATACGCACCAAATTATTCCATTTACATAAATTCCAACTCTCATTCGCTACCATGTCTGGCCCCGTGTCTGGCCTCGGTAGAGAAAAAGACTCGCGCGACGGCTCGCTCAGGCTGGGGCAGGGCCCCACATCCTCCACCGCTCTCGGCTCGCCCGCGCCGCTGTACGGGTCTGTCGGCGACAGCGACGGCTCGCGATCGATAGGCTCGCCGGGTGTGTCGCGGCACGTTGTGCGCGTGCGAGAGTCGCCCGTCCTGACGCTGTCGCAAAAGGCGGCGTACTACCTGCCCTGCTCGTCGTGGTTGCCCGCGTACGGCCTCGATCTGTTTGTGCACGACGTGGTGGCCGGCCTGTCGCTGGCGTCGTACCAGATCCCGCTGAGCATGTCTTTTGCCAACGCGGTGGCGCACGTGCCGCCCGTGTGCGGGCTGCTGGGGCTGTCGCTCGCGCCCGCCGTGTACGCGGTGCTGGGCACGGTGCCGCAGATGATTGTCGGGCCCGAGGCCGCCGTGTCGATGATTGTCGGGCAAGCGATCGAGAAAGTCGTCAAGCACAACGACGGGGTGAGCCCCGTGGACATTCTGGTGGTGATCACGTCGTTCTCGGGCGCGATCCTGCTCGTGTTCGGGCTGCTGCGCTTCGGCTTCATCGACAACGTGCTCTGCGGCACGCTGCTCCGCGGGTTTGTCGCTGCGATCGGGCTCACCATGATTGTCAACTCGACGATCGCGATTCTCGGGCTTGACACGGTGCTGCTGCTGCTGCCGCCCGACGAGCACGTGCACTCGGCCGTCGAGAAGGCGAGGTTCATCTGGCAGCACGGCCGCCAGTACCACGCGGCCACGCTCGCGGTCGGCTCCGCGGCGCTGCTCGTGCTGCTCGCCGCCGGCGCGCTCAAGAAGACGCTTGCCCGACGTCACGTGCGCGCGGTCTCCTTCCTGCCCGAGATTCTGCTCGTCGTGGTCGTCTCCACCGTGCTCTCTGCGCACTTCCGGTTCGACAAGAAGGGCATCAAGGTGCTCGGCAAGGTCGACGTCGACGAGTTCCGCCTCGCGGTGCCCTTCCGCGGCGAGCTGCGCCAGTGGTATCCGCAGCTGTTCTCGACCTCGTTCATGTGCGCCATACTGGGCTTCTTCGAGAGCTCTTCCGCGGGCAAGAGTCTCGGCTCCAGTCTCCCGATGCCCGTCTCGTCCAACAGAGAGCTCGTGGCGCTCGGCACGGCCGGGCTCGCGCTCAGCTTCGTCGGCAGTCTGCCGTCGTTCGGTGGCTACGGCCGGTCCAGGCTCAACTCGTTCATCGGCGCGAAAACCCCCGTGGCCGGCCTCGTGATGGGGCTCGCCACGTTGCTGGTCACCACCTGCCTGCTCAACTACGTCTACTACCTGCCGCTGTGCGTGCTGAACGCCATCATCGCCACGGTCGGCCTCGCGCTCGTCCAGGAGACGCCCCGAGACGTGCGCTTCCACCTGCGCACGCGCGGCTACAACGAGCTGGCCACGTTCGTCGTCACGCTCGTCGCGTCGCTCGTGTACTCGATCGAGCTCGGCGTCGCGCTCGGCTGCTTCTACTCGGTCGTCCGTGTGGTCAAGCACTCCACCAAGTCGCGGATCCAGATCCTGTCCAGGGTGCCCGGCACGGACGAGTTTGTGAGCTCGGACCTGGACGAGAACGCCGCGGGCGCGGGCAAGGAAATCATCCCGGGCTACTCAGAATACCGCCGCCTCAGCTCGGCCGGCCTCGAGGACAGAGAGGGGTGTCTGATCGTCAGGGTGCCGGAGCCGCTCACGTTCACCAACACCAACGACCTCAAGGCGCGGCTGCGGCGGCTGGAGCTGTGCGGCTCCGTCAGCGTGCACCCGGCCGCCCAGAAACACGACCGGCCAATAAGACACGTTGTATTTGACCTCGACGGCATGACGTCGGTGGACTCGTCCGCCGTGCAGATCCTCCGAGACGTGATAGTTGCATACCAGCGGCGCGGAATCAACGTGTTCTTCTGCAGGGTCTTCAAGAGCGCCAAACTGCTCGACCGGCTGCAGCTCTCGGGCATAGCAGCGCTGCTCAAGACGACCCAGGGCAGCGAGTTCGGCATTGCGCAAAACACGCCGCCGTACTACGACGAGATCCTCGACGCCCTGCGGGCCGTCGACACCGTCGAGGCCGCATGCACGCTCGCCGAGGAACAAAGCCTGGTTTCCTATTACTACGACGGACTATAGCCGTGGCGGATTTTTTTCTTGTGCACGGCGATTTCGGCACTACCATGCGAGATATATAAAGGGTCCTCTTTCTGGTTTCCGGGCGCAATGAAGATCCTGTACTGGATATTCGCGTGCATGCTCAGCGTCGCCGCCGCCGGTGGCACCACCGCGAGCGGCGGTCACGTGACAACGACGACACAGAGCCCCGGTTCGGGCGAGAACCCGGACGAGCGCGAGGGCGCGCCCGAGGACGCGCGCGACGGCTTCAACGACGGCAAGGTCCGCACCACCTACTTCACGTTCCAGGGAAAGGTCAAGAAGTACGTGTATCTGGACAAGCTGCCCGGCGACTCGGACGAGACCGTTCTGGTCCTGACCAACCAGAACGAGGTCTTTGTGAGCCACAACCAGGGCCAAGTCTGGGAAGAGGTGGCGCCCGACGAGGAGTTCCTGGACATCTACGTCGACCCGCACCGCTCCGCCAACGTTTATCTGCTGGCCGTCAACGACAAGATAGTTTACTCTTTGGACAGAGCAGACAACTGGAAATCGTTCCGGACGCCGAGCAAGGCCGTCGCGGGCATTGCGACGCTGTACTTCCACCCGTCCGACCCGAAACGGCTCATTTTCATGGGCCAGGAGGGCTGCAACGACCCGTACTCCAAGGCGTGCCGGCTGGCGGCGTACCACACGTACGCGTCGGGCAAGCGGTGGCTGAGGATCCAGGAGAACGTGCGGCGGTGCGAGTTTGCCGGCGGCGAGTGGATCCTGTGCGAGAAGGACGCCAACGAGGCCACGGAGTACCGCTCGAGCCTCGTGGCGTCGGCCGACCTGTTCAAGAGTCGATCGACGCTGCTCGACCGACTCGTCGGCGTCGGCCGCACCGGCGAGTATTGGGTCGCCGCAACAGAGACCGCCCACGACGCGCTGCAGCCGCACGTCTCGCTCGACGGCGTCTCGTGGGCTTCAGCTCGGTTCCCGCCAAACCTCCAGCTCAACAAGCACCAGGCCTACACCGTCCTCTCGGGCAACTCCAGGGCGGTCTTCATGCACGTGACCACAAACCCCGTGACCGGCACAGAGTACGGCACGATCCTCAAGTCCAACAGCAACGGCACGGAGTACGTGGCGATTCTGGACGGCGCGAACCGCGACGAGGGCGGGTACGTGGACTTCGAGCAGATCACGGGGCTCGAGGGCCTCATTGTGGCGAACGTGGTTGCCAACGCGGGCGACGCCCGAAAGGGAGCCAAGAAGCGCGTCAGGTCGGTGATCACGCACAACGACGGCGCGCAGTGGTCGCTGCTGCAGCCGCCCGTGGTCGACTCCGAAAACCAGCCGCTGTGCAGCGGCCAGAGTCTCGAGCAGTGCTCGTTGCACCTGCACGGGTTCACGGAGCGTGCCGACTACCGCGACACGTTTGCGTCGGCCAGCGCCGTCGGCATGATGATCGGCGTGGGCAACGTGGGCCCGCAGCTCGGCAGCTACTACGACGGGCACACGTTTCTGACCAAAGACGGCGGAGTCACGTGGAAAGAGGTGAGAAAGGGTGTTTATTTATGGGAGTACGGCGACCAGGGCTCGGTGATAGTTCTGGTGAACGGCAAGGACAACACCAACGTGCTGAGCTACTCTGTGGACGAGGGCGACACCTGGGTCGATTTCCAGTTCACCAAGGAGCAGGTCACCGTCGAGGACATCTCGACCGTGCCGGGCGACAACTCGCTGGTGTTCATGCTGTTCACGAGGGTTCCGCTGGCCAGGGGCGACAAGACCAGGGTGTTCCGGATCGACTTCAGCCAGCTGCTGGCGAGAAAGTGCTCTGCGGACGATTTCGAGACCTGGACGCCCAAACACCCGTTCCAGGCGGACAACTGTCTGTTTGGCCACGAGGTGGAGTACACGCGGAAAGTGCCCGGCAGGCTGTGCCAGATCGGCGGCCGCGCCATGACAGAGCCGAAAATCGTCCGCAATTGCAAGTGCACGCGCCAGGACTACGAGTGCGACTTCAACTACTACCTCACCCCCGACGGGCTCTGCCGTCTCGTGCCCGGCTACAGCCCGCCGAGCCACGAGGACATCTGTTTTGCCGACAACGCGCCCGTCGAGTACTACCCGGCCACGGGCTACCGCAAGATCCCGCTCTCGACGTGCGAGGGCGGCGCCGAGTTCGACAAGAGCGAGTCGCCGGTGCCGTGCAAGGGCCGCGAGGACGAGTTCAACAGGCTGCATCCGCGGCTCGGGCTCTTTGCGGCGCTGCTGCTGTGGGCCGTGGCCGCCGTGGTGGCCGGCTACAGCATGCGGTTCGCGTACAAGTGGTACACCTCGCGCCACGGCGAGATCCGGCTCGACGACGACGGCGGGTTCACGTTTGTGGACGTCAACGAGAGCGTGTGGGCGCAGTGGCGGCGGTTTGTGGTGGAGTCGGCGATCGGTTCATTGATGGCTGTTTCTAGACTGCTCAAGAGACGCACGCGACACCAGCCCCTGGCTCCGGAGCCCGTGCCCGAGCCGTCCGACGACGAGGACTTCACGGAGTAGCCTTTGCCCGTTTCGGGGCCGGCTCGTCGTCCAGGTCCAGCTCCTCGCTGCTCGAGACCACCTCCTCGTCGTCCGCGCCGTCTCCAAGGCCCGGAGCAGCCTCTGTATAATATTTGGTAGCATGAGGAAACAGGTCTTCCGCAATCAGCAATGCGAGGTCCTCGCCGTGTCTGTACTCCTTGCCGGGCTTCTTCCCCGTCCAGGCGAAGAAGGCGAAAAAGGACTTCATCCCAGCACGGTACTTCTTCTTGTCGGCGGGCGTCATTTCTCCCTTGGCCCTGATCAGGTGCGGGTTGACGCTGGCGAGCTCTGCTGGCCATTTGATGTCCACGGCCTCCGAAACCAGCTTCTCCTCGCCCGTCTCGACGTCGTGGATTTTCTCAAACCGTTTCGTGACCGTCTGCGTCTCGATCTTGCCCTCGGGAGCCTCGAATCCAAACGTGATGCTAAATTTCATAGGGTCGTCGTCTAGAAGGTACTCGACATAGATCTCCTTGATAAACTCCAGATACTTCATGTCGTCCGTCTGGACGTACTCCTGGAAGTCCTCGTGCTCTGCCAGAACAATGTACCAGAAGCTGGGGATGTGGACAAACAGGTCTCGTCTTTTTTCGTAGACAGGCTTGGTCTTGGTGAAGCGGAACCTCTCGACCTCCTTCTCGACCTCGTCCATCTCCAGCTCGCAGTCGGCCAATTGGCCCAGCACTTTATCCAGCGATCTGGGTTAGAGCATGCGATTGCCGTACTTACTGTTCGGACATGAAAAATATATACAAAATTATGAAATATTAAATTTTAATTAGGAGCCAAACATTAAATCTCATTATCTAAAATATACTCTGCCAGAATTTCCTCCTTCGACGGCCGCCTCACCGGCCACACGGCCCCGCCGCCAACACCCACGTCCACCAGACACCCGTAGCACAGCGACACGTCGCTCTGGGCCTGTTTGTTCGCGCTCTCGGACATCTGCTCAAGCCACGTCTTGGGGTCGCGATAAATGGCTTCGTGGCACAATATACACTGCTGCGCCGCGCCCTGCGGCGAGTCCAGCTTCGTGCCGATCTTGACCACCGTCGAGATGACTTCCGGGTACTCGCTCTCGACCGTCTCGAAGTACTCGCGCACCAGCTCGTTGACCGTCTTGTTTTTCGCAGACTTGTGCTTCACGGACGCTTCCGTTGCAACCATTTCTTGCAGCCCGCAAAATCGCACGTACGCTTTGATTTCCGACGCCAGGACGTCTCGCAGCGGGCGTATCACGTGCAACGCGCCTCCCACGTAGTCCATGTTTCCGTCTGTGAGACGGTGTGCCGTCTCCGAGCCGCGGCCCTTGACGGTGAGAGCCAGGGTTTCCTCTGCCAGTCGGCTCATGGAGTGGCCAAAAATCACCACCGAGCAGCTCTGCGCCACTGCACTGCGGAAAACCACTTCCTGGACAGCCTGCTGCCAGAAATCCTGCCGCGACGACCGGCTCTCGAACTGGAGCAACAGCTCCTGCAAACTTAGAGACTCGCTATTTTCTGTCCGGCGCACAGCGTACTCCTCTGTAACCGCCACTTTGGCTAGGTCGCGCACAAACACCGCCGGATCCACCGTCACAAACTCCACTTCCACTTTTTCCAGTACGTGCGAGTACTTCCTCCGAAGAAGCTCCATCCGGGCAGTGTCCTCACCCACGTGAAGCACCACTAAAACGTAGCCCTGGACAGCTCTTTCATTCTGGCACTGCTCTTCCAGATGCGAAATGACCATGTCAAACAGCGCCAGCGACGAACTGCCGTAGGAAAGCGGCAGAAGAACTCTGGGCCGCTCTGCTCTGGAGTTGCCAAACTTGACCTTGAACTTCTCGTCCTGCATCTGTTTCCGCTGCTTCGTACACAGAAACTTCTTGAAACACGCCGCGCAGAAATGGTCTTTGCGCGAAACAACCAGACATGGCTCTTTCTTGCACCGGTTGCAAACGTCGTCCAAAGAACACTCCATGATAAAGGTCTGAAAATTTATTTATTATCGGCTGTGCAGAAAAAATAATAAATTAAATACATTTTTCGCAATGCCGAACGAGAACCTCGACAACAAAACCCTGCGGCGGCTGGAAACACAGACAGACGACAAACCGAGCTTTGTGGAAAAAGTCGACAACGAGATTAAAGTCAAGTTCTACCCCGACTCGCCGACGCAGCGCGTGCACAAGGACGCTTTTCTCACCAAAACCGCGTCCAAATTCTACGACCCGTGCGCCAAGTCGTCGCAGATGGCAATCCGGTGCATGGAGAACCACGACGAGGACTACAAAGAGGTGTGCGGCGAGTATTTCCGCGCCTTCAGAGAGTGCAAGAAAGAATGGATGAAAGAGCGCAGAAAAGACGGAGGCATATGGTAACCCTGAAATTTCCTGTATATATCACGAGTAGCTAAACGAGTACAATGAACCAAACAGATTGAGCCGGTTGGCGTAGTTCGGGCTGAATTTCAGCACCTTGGTGTGGTCGTGCGAGAAGTTGACGTTTTCGTTCAGGTACTGGATCAAAGTGTCCTTCATCTGGGCCTCCTCCTCCTCGTGCTGCTTGTTTTTGCGCTTGCCGAACGGGGCCCCCATCGACGGCAAGATGTTCGGCGAAACAACAACAGGCAGTGGCGTCGACACGTCGTACGGAATGGGCTTGCTCTCTGGCTTGAACATGTACAGGTTCGGGTTGGTGATCAAGTTCAGAAGCAGCAGCTTCTGCACACGCTGCCGCTCGCACTGCTTGTTGGTTTGCAGGTACTCGTGGAACTCGCGGTACTGTTTGGAGCTCTCTTCGCGAGCACGCCCGCCGTCGTCGTCGTTGAAGAGCCGGTAGATCCTCAAAAACGTCTGGTAGTCCTCGAACAGCTCGCCGTCGTTTTCCTCAGAGCTCCAGTTGTTGCGGTCCAAGTTCCCGGGTATCATGAACAGCTCGCCCGTGAGTCGGTTGATCGACACGTATAAATGCAGTTTCAGCTTGCTGCTGTTGTTCTTGTAGAGTTTGCGCGCGAGAACATGGCCTCTTCGGTGGTTCTGCTGCTCTCTATTAATGTTGCGCTCGAATAGCAGGTTCTCGATGCGCCGCGACCGTCCGCTCGACAGCTCCACGTCGTACAGCTCCTCGATGTCCAGGTCGTCTTCGTTCTCCTCGTCGTCCTCGTCGTCCAATGCGTCCTCGTCGTCGTCCAGGTTCTCGACGATGAAACTGCGCTCTAGCTCGTCGTCGCTGAAGTCCGAGTCTGTCGAGTACCCTTCGCCGCCACTCGTCTGCTGCCGGAAATGGAACGGCGGCGGCAGGTCCGAGTCGTGGCGCCATTGCTGCCGCGAGACCAGGTAGTCCAGCAGCCGGATGCGGCGCGCGCGGTTCTCGTCTCGTTGTCGTAAATTCTCCATGAAATGCTGATGTCCTGTGCCAAATATGAATCCTCTAGTGTGCTCGCTGTTGTAGTACTGCGGCCGGCCGACGTGTGTGAGCGGGACCGAGATTGCGGAGGCGGCCGTGGCCTGCGACTCCGGCGACGAGTTCCCGACGCCGGCGTACGTTGTCAGCGGCTTGAGCCGCCTCCGCCGCTTGTACCGCATGTCGTTTCTGATCTTGAGGTCTGTGCCGGGCGAGCGCGAGTCGCGCAGCAGGTCCTCGATGTCCACCTCCAGCTTCATGAGGATGAAATTCTCCATGATCAGGTCCTGGCAGTGTGGACACACGAGCAGGTTTTCCGGGTTGTTCATTGTCTTTCGTCTGCCTCCGGGCGGCGTCGGCGGGGCCGGCGTGTTGACAAACTCGTTGAACGGCGGCAGGTCAAACCATTTGGCCAGACACTTGTAGGTGCAGCCCTTGTTGCCACACATGCTGGTGATCTTGTGGAATATCGAGCTGTTCGGGAACTTTGTGTCTTTCGGTTTTGGCAGCCCCGTGGTGCGCGACCCGTTGCTCTTCAAATACCCAAACTTGTCCAAGTAGAACGGTTTCCAGTTCGGGTCGTCGTCGTTCATGCGTTTGTGTCGGCCAATATACTTGCGGAAATCCTTGTCGAAACAGAGCGTGTTCCGCAGCAGGTTGCTGAACACAGAGCCCTCGATGCCCATCTTGGAGCCGTCGCCGCTGCGCAGGTCGTTGTCTATAAAATCGACAATCTTGCCCACAAACTCGATGCTTGCGTGGCCCGTCTGGATCGTTCCCTTGACCTTGAGCTCGTCCTGGAAAAGCTCTGTGAAACGCAGCTCCGAGCAGATGTCGTCGTCGTTGCGCAGGATGTACGTCATGCCCGGCTGCACAAAGCTGCTGCGCTGCACGCCGGCCGGCCTGGGATGCGCTCCAATCTGCGAAAACGTGCGCTTCCCGACAGCAGGCTTGGGAGCAGCGATCTCGGCCATTTTGTCGGCCATGTTCTTGTTCATGAACCCCATGAGCCCCAGTCCGCGGATACAGTCCGAAAGCTCGCCGCTCACGCAGTGCTCCGGGTGGTTTCTGAAAAACGTGCTCGACGCCGCGTTGAACGGATCCTTGGTCAGCACTCTGGGGATTATGCTGAGATCGTTGTCGTTCGACCATCTGATGTGGTCGTGCTGGTCCTCTGGCCCGGGTCCGTGGCTGCCGGCCCGGTCCTGTCGTGGAGACGCCATGGCCGCGCGGGCTCTGCGGTTGCCGGTCAGGGGAATGCGAACTCTGAATGAATTGAACTGATGGCTCAGCTGTTCCAAATCCTCGCCACTCGGAGGACTGTCGCTACTGGAATTCTCTCTTTGTTGCAATCCTTCACTAGAAGGCATACTAAAGGAGGCACTCTCCTTGCGGTCTGATCGGTGTGTATGAAACTCGCTTAGACAGTACTCCTTTTTTCTTGCCCTTGTTAAATATGTTATTCCTGATCGCCCGGACATAAATGACAGATAGGGCGTCGACGCAAACCACGTCGGCGACGCAGACGAGACGGTCGGCACATGCCAGGGCATGCCGCATACTGGCCCTGTCCAGTCCGGGGCTGCGCTACCGTGCTGGAGACGGTGCCGTGGTAGCCATGTCGACGCGTCGATGTGCAACCACCAGGGCCGGGTAAATGTGGGCGCTAGATATTGGATTCTCTCTGGCTTTTTTTTTTTCGTTGCAAAAATATATACATTTCTTCTCTGCTGCTATTGCAGTGTTTGGTTGTGCCGGTCCGAGTGCGCTATAGACGGCCGTTTTTGGCGGGACGCGTGTCCCGGTGTTCACGGCGCGTTCTGGCCCATTTGCCGCGAAAACCGGCTTCCGGTGGGCTTCAAGACACGGTAAGTATGATATCCACGAGGTCGCGGAGCTGGTGATGACTGTAGCGTGCAGGTTTACGCAAACGCGCGTTTTTCACGGCGCACCGGCTTTTGTGCCGGCTGTGAAGGGCTGAACATGGCTCAAACTTGGCCTGGAAGGAGAAAAATCGGCTTTTTGAGTTTGCGGAGCAACACGACGGTCTCCAGCTGAACAGAGTGTCTCACTTTCGTCCTTTGTGCATCGACACAGACCGCGCAAGGCCCAATTCTCTGAGCTCCCAATTGGGGCTTTATTTTGCCGTTTTTTCCTCCACTGTCTTTGGAGAACTGCTCTCATCTCATATGTGGCTCTTTCTCTGCAGTCCCTGCAAGTTTTGACTGCTCCATCTGGGCGCAGGACAGCGCCAGGACCCGTTGTGGCCCCCAAAATGCTGGTGTTCCTGCTCTTTGTACCCGAAATATACCAAAACACAGCCACTGCCTGCTCTTTGGCCGTCCTGCGCGCCGAAAGCCCCAGGTTTCGGCCCCTGGAGTGCGTAAAACACCTGTAGCACCCTGCGACGTGCGATCTGATTACCCTCCCTGTTGTTTTGCGGAATGAGAAGTAAATTTTTTTTCCACTAAGGCCAGGTTACTGCTGACTTTTACACCGGTTGCAAACTAATACTTCGGCTCGCACAAGTCTGCGCAAACGCAACAGGTCGCTAGCAGGGCTGTACATACACAAGGTTTGCAAAAAGAACGCCGATTTTGTCGCTATTAAATACGTTTTTACCAAACCGTTGGGAATCGCTTTGACAGGTAAACATTCGCTGCAAACAGGGATCTGCGCCGCTCAAACACACACACAACACGAGATGTCCGCTGATATACGGTCGGAGATAGAAAGCAACCCGGAACTGTACGGGCTGCGGCGGTCTGGACGGGCCAGATCCAAGCCGTTGGGCGTGGCAGAGTTTTCAGACGAGGACGACGAGGAGTACGCTGCAAAGAAGAAGACGCGCCAGAAACGCGCGTATTCGGACGACGAGGCCGCTGTGGACGACGAGATGCTGGACTCGGACGACTCGGAGTACCGCGGCAAGAAAAAGAGAGGCCGGCCCAGGAAGAAGAAGCAGTCTGCGTACAAGTCGTCGGAGCAGTTTCCAGGGTTCACGGAGCTGCGGCTGTCGAACAGAAGCAACCGGGCGGTGAACTATGCCATTGACGCCGACGACGACGAGTTTCTGGAGTCTGAGGACGAGGACGGCGAGGCCTATGGAGAGTACTATTCTGCGGAGCCGGAAGAGGTGGTTCCTGAGGAGGGAATCGACCAGGTTCTGGACCACCGTGTGATTGGCGAGGAGTCGGACGTGTCGGACGACGACGACGCGAAGTTCGAGGAGCACAAAAAGCGCGTCCAGGACGTGCTGGCCAACGGAGACCCCAAAACCGACTTTGAGTACATGATCAAGTGGACCAACACGTCGCACCTGCACAACACGTGGGAGACGTACGACGCGATCAAGAGCAGGCACCTCAAGGGCACGAAGAAGGTCGACAACTACATCAACCTGTACATTATCAACGACCGAGAGATCCGCAAAGACCCGTTTGTCACGAGAGAGGATATCGAGCAGATGGAGCTGGAAAACGAGACGAGACGCGAGAACCTGAAGGAGTACAAGAAGGTGGAGCGGATCGTCGACAGCGAGCGGGTCACGCTCGAAACAGGCGAGTCGGACCTGCGGTATCTGGTGAAATGGAAGCGGCTGAACTACGACGAGTGCACGTGGGAGTCGGGCAGCGAGATCGCGCCGCTGGCGCCGCAGGAGGTGACCAAGTTCCAGAACAGACAGAACTCCAAGATCCTGCCCGGGCTCTCTGCGTCGTACGGCTCCAACAGGCCGCGGTTCGAGAAACTGACGTCGCAGCCGCTGTTCATCAAGAACGGCGAGCTGCGCGACTTCCAGCTGACGGGACTCAACTGGATGGCGTTTCTGTGGTCGCGCAACGAGAACGGCATTCTTGCCGACGAGATGGGGCTCGGAAAGACCGTCCAGACGGTGGCTTTCCTGTCGTGGCTGATCTACGCCAGACGGCAGAACGGCCCGCATCTGGTGGTGGTGCCGCTGTCGACGGTGCCCGCGTGGCAGGAGACCTTCGACAAATGGGCCCCGGACGTCAACGTGATCTACTACATGGGCAACACCAAGTCCAGAAAGGCGATCCGCGACTACGAGTTCTACGTTGGCGGCAACCGCAAGAAGGTCAAGTTCAACGTTCTTCTGACGACGTACGAGTACATTCTGAAGGACCGTGCCGAGCTGGGCAGCTTCAAGTGGCAGTATCTGGCTGTCGACGAGGCACACCGGCTGAAAAACGCAGAGAGCTCGCTCTACGAGAGCCTGAGCGAGTTCAGGGTGGCCAACCGGCTGCTCATCACGGGAACGCCGCTGCAGAACAACCTCAAGGAGCTCGCGGCGCTGTGCAACTTCCTGATGCCGGGCAAGTTCCAGATCGACCAGGAGATCGACTTCGACACGCCCAACGCCGAGGCCGAGGGCTACATCAAGGCGCTGCAGGTGGAGATCAAGCCGTTCATCCTGCGCAGACTGAAGAAAGACGTCGAGACGTCGCTCCCCGGCAAGACCGAGCGGATCCTCCGAGTCGAGCTCTCCGATATCCAGACCGAGTACTACAAGAACATCCTCACCAAGAACTACGGCGCCCTGAACCAGGGTCCGCGCGGGTCGCAGATCTCGCTGCTCAACATCATGGCCGAGCTGAAAAAGGCCTCGAACCACCCGTACCTGTTTGACGGCGTCGAGGAGCACGTTCTGGCCAAAGTCGGCTCGCACTCCAGAGAAAACATCCTCAAAGGCCTGATCATGTCTTCTGGAAAAATGGTGCTGCTGGACCAGCTGCTCAACAAGCTCCACAGAGACGGCCACCGCGTGCTCATTTTCTCCCAGATGGTGCGCATCCTCGACATCATCGGCGACTATCTGCAGCTCAAGGGCCACGCGTTCCAGCGCCTCGACGGCACCATCAGCTCGCACAAGCGACGACTCGCGATCGACCATTTCAACGCCGAAGGGTCCAAGGACTTTGTGTTTCTGCTGTCCACCAGAGCGGGCGGCCTGGGCATCAATCTCATGACCGCCGACACGGTGATCATCTTCGACTCCGACTGGAACCCGCAGGCCGACCTGCAGGCCATGGCCAGAGCGCACCGGATCGGCCAGAAAAACCACGTGATGGTGTACAGGTTTGTTTCGAAAGACACGGTCGAGGAGCAGGTGCTGGAGCGGGCGCGGCGCAAGATGATCCTGGAGTACGCGATCATCTCTCTGGGCATCACGGACAACAACAAGTCGAAGACGAAGGCGGAGCCGACGTCGGGCGAGCTGAGCGAGATCCTCAAGTTTGGAGCCAGTAACATGTTCAAGTCGAACGACAACCAGAAGAAGCTCGAGAATCTGGACCTGGAGGACGTTTTGAACCACGCCGAGGACCACGTGACCACGCCAGACCTGGGCGAGTCGAACTTGGGCGGCGAGGAGTTTCTGAGGCAGTTCGAGGTGACGGACTACAAGGCCGACGTGGACTGGGACGACATTATTCCCGAAGACGAGCTGAAGAAAATCAAGGAGGAGGAAGAGAAGCGCAAGGAGGAGGCGTTCCTCCAGGAGCAGATCGAGATGGCTTCGAGACGGCGTCTGGCGGCGGTGAAAAAGCCCGAGTACGACGAGCAGGACGACGACGAGGGCCCGTCGCGGCGCCAGAAAAAGCTCGACATGAACAACCTGACCGAGTCGCAGATCAGAAACGTGTACAAGGCGATTTTGAGATACGGCGACATCAGCGGGCGGCTGGAGGAGCTTGTGGCCGACGGAACGCTGCCGAACAAGAACACCAGGATACTGGACCAGTGTCAGCGGGAAATCATGGAGACCAGCTCGCGGCTGGTGACAGAGTACGAGGCGAAGCGTGCCGAGGAGCTGAAGGAGCTGGAGGCCAAGGCGACGGAGGAAAAGGAGCAGCTGGCAAAGCTGCCTCCACGAGCGGACGGCCAGCCTCATCCGACGCCGGCGATGCAGCTGTTCAGCGCGAGAAAGCGCGACAAAAAGGCGATTTTGTTCGACTACAAGGGTGTCAAGAATATGAACGCCGAGGTGGTACTCAACAGGCCGCAGGAGCTGAAACTTCTCCAGAGCGTGATACCGGCGGATGACCCGATGAAGTTCAAGCTAGCCAAGGAGCCAAAGCCCGTGAACGGCTGGTCGTGCAAGTGGACGGCCAAGCAGGACACCATGTTGTTGATTGGCGTGTACAAGTTTGGCTACGGTGCGTGGACGCAGATTAGAGACGACCCGATATTAGGGTTGCAGAATATGATGTTTCTGGAGACGCCGCCGGCTGGCGCATCAAAGGAGGAAAAGGAGAAGATGAGCAAGCGGATCCCGGCGTCCATCCATTTGGTGCGCCGCACAGACTACCTGCTAGGATTTTTGAAAGAGATGCAGAGCAGTTCGGGCTCTCACGCGGAGTCAAAGGAGCCAAAGAAAAATAGCCGGCCCAAGAAGACCGCCAAGAAGTCGAGCACGCCGGACGTGGAATCCAAGAGCGGCACTCCAAAGCCCGCTGGGTCTGGCGCCTCGTCTCCAACGTCGTCGCAGCCTACACTGTACCAAGTGATGAAGAATAATAAAAGCTCGTCCCCGGAAGCACAGAAACAAAAAAAGCCGGCCTCCAGCGGGGCCAAGAACGAGCACGACCTGCTGAGGCCTGTGGAAAAGGACCTAAAAATCTGGGAGAGCAAGGGAAAGGGGCTGGACAAGGCGGAATGGGGGTCGAAGCTGAAAAGCTCGCTGATCAGCATCGGCAACCAGATCGAGAAGGTGTCGAAAAACGACGCCAAGCTGAACGGTAAATTGTGGGCTGTTGCACAAAAATCGTGGCCGAACGCGGGCGTGAGCTCAGAGCTGATTAAGAAGATGTACTTGAAGAAAGTGGGTCAACATAAATAGCCGAGAATACACTAGATGATTTATTAGCATGGCCCAAAAAATAGTCGCGTCCACCGACCACGGTCACTATTTCCCTTTTCAGTCATGGCGTTGAGAACAAAAAAAAAATTTTTCAGCAAAAAATACAATACTAGTAGAAATAAAAGTAGGTTTTTTTGGATCTTGTTCTTTCTAAACTACCAGTCTTTTGACCTTTAAACAAATAAATTATACATCCATCGCCAAGTTTGCTTTGACAAAAGTAAAACTAGGAGTATAATTTACGCTTTCCATCAAAAAAGTACAAAAAAAGTCAAAAAAAAACTTAAAAAACTCAAAATATCAAACCATCTTTTGAACCCTTTCACCAGCGTTCAAAGTTTGTCTGATTTATAACAGTTCGCATCATGTCATCGGCAGAAATCAACCAAATCACTGAACAGGCCGAAAAGCTGTCTGTTGCCGACCCAGCAGCTGCTGAAACCCCAGCCACCACCGCCGAGGAATCATCAACCGCTGAATCAACTCAGAACTCGGAGACCCTCGCTTCCCTCTACGTGGGAGAGTTGGACCCATCCGTCACCGAGTCCGACTTGTTCGAGGTCTTCTCGCCTATCGGACAGGTCTCCACCATCAGAGTCTGCAGAGATGCCGTCTCCAAGCAATCCCTCGGTTACGCTTATGTCAACTTCCAGAGCCACGCCGACGGTGAGAAGGCTTTGGAGGAGCTGAACTACACCCCAATCAAGGGCAAGGCCTGCAGAATCATGTGGTCCCAAAGAGATCCTTCTCTCAGAAGAAACGGTTCGGGAAACATCTTCATCAAGAACCTGCACCCTGCCATCGACAACAAGACCTTGCACGACACCTTCTCTGCCTTTGGTAAGATCTTGTCTTGTAAGATCGCCACCGACGAGAACGGAAACTCCAAGGGTTTTGGGTTCGTCCACTACGAGGAGTCGGAGTCTGCCAAGGCTGCCATTGAGAACGTCAACGGTATGCTTTTGAACGACCACGAAGTGTACGTCGGTCCTCATCTTGCCAAGAAGGACAGACAGTCGAAGATGCGCGAGCTAATCGCCAACTTCACCAACGTCTACGTCAAGAACATCAACCTGAACTGGGACGAGGACAAGCTGAGGGAGACTTTCAGCCCATTCGGTACCATCAGCTCGATTTTCCTGAGCAAGGACGAGTCTGGAAAGTCCAGAGGTTTCGGTTTCGTCAACTTCGAGAAGCACGAGGATGCTGTCAAGGCTGTTGAGGAGCTGAACAACAAGGAATATGACGGCCAAAAACTCTACGTTGGAAGAGCGCAGAAGAAGAGCGAGAGAATGGAGTCTCTGAAGCACCAGTACGAGGCTGCCAGACAGGAGCAACTGAACAAATACCAGGGCTACAACCTGTTTGTCAAGAACCTGGACGACTCCATTGACGACGCCAAACTGGAGGAGGAGTTCAAGCCATACGGTACCATCACTTCTGCCAAGGTGATGCTTGACGATGCCGGCAAGTCCAAGGGTTTCGGATTTGTCTGCTACAGCTCTCCAGAAGAGGCTACCAAGGCCATCACCGAGATGCACCAGAGAATGGTGGCCGGAAAGCCACTGTATGTTGCTCTTGCCCAGAGAAAGGAGGTGAGAAGATCCCAGCTTTCCCAGCAGATCCAGGCCAGAAACCAGATGAGAATGCAACAGGCTGCTGCCCAGGGCGGCATGGGTCAATTTGTTGCACCTATGTTCTACGGCCAGAACCCAGGCTTCCTTCCGCCGGGAGCCAGGGGCGCTCCGTTTGCTGCTCCAGGCCAGCAGATGATGATGCAACAGGGCATGCCAAGACCTGGCCAGGGTGTTCCAGTGAGTCCAGGTCAGTTCAGAGTGGGCCCTAACGGACAGCCTGTGCCAATGTACATGCAACCAGTCTTCAACGAGTACCCACAGAACGGCAGACTGCCTCAACAAAGATACTATCAAGGCGGAAGACCAGGCCAGCAGCCTCCTCAAGTGGGACCAAGAGGCAAGCGCGAGGACGGTGCTGCTCCATCGTTGGCCCAGGTTCTTCCCCAGTTCCCTCCCGAGCAGCAGAAGAGAATGCTTGGTGAGGAGCTCTACCCACTTATCGTCGCCACTGGTAAGGCTCAGGACCCAGAGGCTGCTGGTAAGATCACCGGTATGATGTTGGAGATGGACAACCAACAAATCCTGGCTCTGTTGGAGGACAGAGACTTGTTCAACAGCCAATTCGAGGAGGCGCTGTCTGCCTACGAGGAGTACAAGAACAAGGAAGCCAGTGCCTGAATTTGGCCGATGCAGGCGCTCTTTGCATTTGCTAGCAGAATGAATGTGTACCACGGTTTGTACTGCTTGAGTGTCCGTTTATTTAGTTCTATTGGTTTTGTTCCGCTTTATAGACTACAATGTAGTTACTATGGAAGTATTGAGTCTCGGAATATTAAAGTCTGCTTAGAATATTGAAGTCTGTTTCTGCGTCGCCCGCCAGCCAGACGGCCTGGTTCGTCACGTCTCTCCACAGCTGTATGTCTTCAGAGCCTGCCACCATGTCTGAGAGGTCCGGCACGTCGCTGAGCGGCGCCATCGACGGCAGCAGGGACGGCGAGAAGAACTGGCTCTGGCTCGGAGGTTCCGACACCATTGGCGATAGCGTGTCTCGAAACAGATGGTTTCGCAGACCCGTTTCGCTCAGGTGGAGACCCGAGTCCGGCCGGCTGAGCACGGGCGCCCTGCTGGACGGGTCGTGGTCGAAGTCGGGCGTTGGTGCGTCGACGTTGTCTGTGTGTTTTCTGACAAGCTCTGCGTTGCGGCCGTTGAAGTCCAGTAGCGTCATCAGTTTGAGGATCTGGTCGCGTCTGAGCGCGGCCGGGTGGTTGCCAAGGTTGCGCATCTTGGTGAACATGACGAGCGCGTGGTCCAGGTGCTCGAGCGTGGCGTCGTGCACGCCGAACGTGGCGTTGAACAGCACCAGCGTCGCCGTGGACGTGAACAGGTACTCTCTGTCCATGTAGCCAAACAGCGCGAGCATGTTCTCCGGGACGAGCGCCCAGAGCGAGCGGATGGTGTTGATGGAGGCCTGGAACGAGGCGTTGAGCAGAGTGAGCACGGTGGACGAGTACTTGGTGAGGTCGAGGAAGACGCCGTTTTTCGGGTTCTGCGCGCGCAAGTTCACCAGCACAAAGTGGAACAGCAGCGGCCGCACCGCCAGGTTGAGGCCCTGGAAGTACTCGGTCATCATGTTGACGACGAGCCGGCTGACGTTGATCTCCGGCTGCTGGAAGTCGCAGTTTACGTAATCGGGCAGTTTTTTCTTCCAGTTGAACAGGCTCACCACGAGCTCGTGCACGATGGGCAGGATGTTGCTGGACGGCTGGCGCGTGTACAGTCTGCGCAGGATGTTTGCGTTGATCTGGGTGATTTTCACGCAGTTGCGGATAAACTCTGCCTCGGGGAAGATGTAGTGTTCGCAGCCCGGCGGCGGACTCGACATGTCGAAATCGTCGGGCAGCTCTGTGGAGATGTCGTCGTCGGTGAGCGAGAGCGGCAGGCCTGCCTTGGACGCGAGCATGCGCTCGAAAATGTACACGGTCCACCAGAGCCGGCGTCTGTGCTCGAGCTCGTACCGGTTGATGGAGTCTTTTCCGACGTCGACGTGGAAGCCGAGGATCAGCGACGCGCGCAGCGCGATTCCAAAGTAGAAGTACGACGATATCGTGCAGTCGGCGACCTGCAGATAGAACGCGTACAGCAGCAGCACCTCGATGCCGCCCTTTTTCGCGCAGTTGTCGATGGCTCCGCTGGAGAAAAGCGCGGTGAAAAGCTCGCTTGCCTGCAGGAAAAAGCCCGACCCTGGCAGCCGCGGCGACTTGGCCAGCTTCTGTTTCTTGCGCTTGTCGCTGAGCTTGTATCCGTTGAGGTCGTTCACGGTCCCCAGATATATTTCCCCGACCGCGAAAATCAGCAGCACTTTGCAGAACCAGATGGTTTCCAGCACAGACTCGTCTCTGCCGTCTCCGCCGAAGTCCGGCTTGGGCCCGCTCCCGTCGTCGTTGTAGATCCGCCGCAGGTTCTCCTTCACGAGGCCCTCGTTGAAGAAGTAGAAACACCCGTCGTTGTACGAAATAAACGTGTCCACCAGCAGCATCGCGTAGCTGTAGCTGGGTAGCGCAAAGTTCACGTTCGTGCCCGACCGCGACGGGGTCTGTCCCAGCATGATTCTGTACGCGTTGCCCTCGCGCTCCAGCACGGTGTCGCCCCCCGTGCCCAGCTCCGGCGCGTCCAGCGACTGCGAGCCGCGGCTCTTCATCAGCGGGGCCATCAGCCGGTTGATCTCCAGCCCGAAAAGAGTCATGGACGAATTGCCGATGTAGAAGCCCTCGCCCGTGCGCGAATGCACCATGCTGCCGTACTTGTCCAGAAACGGCGGGATCACCTCGCTGCCCCTGTGCTCTGTCTTGTTTTCGTGGTTCAGCAGCTGGTTGATATTCATGTTGGTCGAGCTCGTGACCGGCTGCTTGAACAACGACTCTGGCTCTGTGCTTTTCTGCTTCGCCACGGGATCCGCAGTGCCCGCCTTTGTGGCGCTGCGCAGAACAGCGTTCTCGATCTTGAGCCGCGAGATCTCGTCGTGTAGCTTGCTTAGGTACTTCATCGATATCACAACCTTGGCCTCCCCCTCAGTGTACTCGCACGCGGAATTCGCCGCCGCACACCGCTTGCACGGCGGGCCCTCGCCGTCGCACTTGATGTGCCGCTTGCGACACCGCTCGCACGCGATGTTCGACCGCTTGGGCCGGCCCGTCGAGTCGTCTGCGGCCATAAATATGGAGATTGGGTAAATTTTTTATTATCTACACAGCCCTTAGATTCTACTGCAGAGCCGTCTGCTCGAGCTTCTGGGCCGTCTCGGCCACCTTCTCGTCGCTCTTCTCGTCGCTCTTGGCTCCAGGGTACTTGGAGCCCCTGTCCTTCACCTTCTTCGTTTTTTTCTTCTCCTGGACTGGAGCAGGATAGCCCTTCTGCTGGGCCTCCTGGAACTCTGACGACTCGCTGAAGTCCTTGATGATCGGGGCCAGCAGCTCGTTGATGGCGTCGGCAACACCCGCCTTGAGGTCGACGGGACTCAGCTGCTCGTCCTTGAATGCCTGCTTGAGCTCCTCAAACGTGTTGTAGGTGATATCTCCGCCATATTTTTCTGGTCTCTGGACGTGGAACCTGAATTTATCTTTGCCGTTTTTGAGCTCGTAAATCGGACCAAGCACGTACTCCACAAACGACAGCAGGCCGTTCTGCTCGACGTTGCCCGGCGCACAGAACGCGGCGCCGATCTTCTTCTTGACCACCTTCGGCTCGTCCAGAACGTCGATCTTCGAGTTGGGGTCCGACGCAGACATCTTGCCGCCCTGTCCAAGACCAGGCACCATAGGGTTCATCAAATGCGCTCTTTTCTTGTAGCCCAGCGACGTCAGGTTCTCCTCAGCCAGCGTGAAGATCTTTCTCTGGTCCACTCCGCCGAACTGGGCGTCGCAGCCCAAATGCTCCTCGTCCAACGCCTGCATCAACGGGTAGATCAGACCAGAGAGCAGCGGATTCTCGACCTGTTTGACGACCTCGGCGCCGGCTCTCTTGGCGTCGTGCGTCGTCACAAAGTTCGACAGCTTGAACAGGTCCATCGTGTACTCCGGCTTCAGCTGGTACTCCGAGCCGGTCACAAAACGCAGTTTTTCAATTGGCACATTAATGGATTTCAGGATGCTCTTCACCACATACTCGTAGTACTTGGCTCTGTAGCTGACCACCTCCAAAGGAGCCTTCATGTTGTCCAGGAAGGCGTGCAGGTCGGCCAGCAGCACGGTGACCTCGCAGCCGGCCTTGAGGAAATGGGCCAGCTTGGTCATAGGAACAAAGTAGCCACAGTGAGGTTTTCCTGTGGGAGCGGTTCCCCAGTAGACTTTCAGCGGCCGCTTCTCCTCTTCCAGGACCTGCTTGATGATCTGCGAATTGAGCACCTCCTGGAGGTTTTTAGTTATCCACTCAAACTGTTCTTGGGGATCGGTCACAACTTCGGACATGACTAAATGCTTGAAATTTTCGACAACTAATTTGGAATTAATTATATATCGACTCTCGCGAATTTTGGTCATGCGTCGATCGACCGCTTTAGAACAAACTCGTCTACAAACCACTTGTGGAACCGAGTGTCGTGCACCAGCTCGGGGTGGAACGACGTGCCGAGGACGTGGCCTTGTCGAACAGCAACAATCAGTGTCTTGCCGTTTTTTTCCACCTCCGAAAGGACCTCCACGGGGTGATTATTTGTCTGGTGCACTTCTGCCACCACAGAGCTTTCAGCGCCCAAGCGACGTTCTCCGCTCAGAATCTGAGACACAACCGGCGCTCTGATAAACACACATTCGAACGATTTGACCCCTGATCCCTTAAAGCTTAGATCTTGAGTGAACGAGTCGACCTGGCGTCCAAACGAGTTGCGCTCAATAGAGACGTCCAGGCCGCCGAGAACCCTGAATTTGTGTTTCCCCAGATTTGTCTTGGTGTTGGTGACCTCATTTGCTATTAAAATCAAGCCAGCACAGGTTCCCCACACACCGATCTTACCTGATTGGATTAGCCGAGCTAGAGGCTCAAACAGCCCGCTGTGTTGCAGCAGCAGCGACATGGTCGTGGACTCGCCGCCAACCAGGATTATGCCGCTCAGGCCGTCCAAATCCTCTGGCTGCTTGACTTTTCTTGCGGAAAACTCGTACTGGCCATATTCCAGAGCAGAATTTAGGTCCGCAAATAAAACATTCAGATGGTCCAAATGCTCCCTGAAAGAGCCCTGGACGGAGAGCACGCCGACAACTATGTGCGTCTTTGAGTCTGGTTGGGTCATTGGCGCACCTGGGCGGGGTTGTTGGTATTTATGGTGCTGCCCTCTCGCAAACCCGAATGCGGCAAATCGCGATATCGGAAACTCTCGAAATCCCCTCTCAAACTAAATATGCGCACTGCAGAGCACTGAATACACCAGACCTATAAAAGGGGGCCTGTTCCTCAGCTCCTCTCCACTCAACGAATGTGCCCTGCCAGTTTCCGAGAGAAGGCCGGCCTGGCCCAAATGCTGAAACACGGCGTCATCATGGACGTCACCAGCGTCAAGGAAGCCCTAATTGCAGAGGAGGCAGGAGCTGTAGCAGTGATGGCCCTCGAAAGAGTGCCTTCCGATATCAGGAAAGAGGGTGGTGTTGCCCGTATGTCTGACCCGCACATGATCAGGTCCATCATGGACGCTGTGTCGATCCCGGTCATGGCCAAGGTCAGAATTGGACACACGGTGGAGGCCGAGATGTTGGAATCTCTGGGCGTCGATTTCATTGACGAGTCGGAGGTTCTTACCGTCGCAGACAGACAGTACCACGTGAAAAAAGACGACTTCAGGGTGCCGTTCGTTTGCGGCGCAAAAGACCTCGGCGAGGCTCTCAGACGGATCGAAGAGGGAGCAGCCATGATCCGGACCAAAGGTGAGGCCGGAACAGGCGACGTCAGCGAGGCAGTCTGCCACCTTCGCAAGATCAGAAGCGAAGCAGACGAGCTGGTGGCCAACTGCGCTGTTCTGCTGGACGAGCCCAACAACGAGATAGCTCTTCAGCGCTTGAAAGCATATGCGGACAAGTTCAGAGTGAGTGAGATCACCGTTATGGAGCTGGTCAAAAGCTCGGGCCAGTTGCCCGTGGTGAATTTCGCCGCGGGCGGGATCGCCACGCCGGCCGACGCGGCTCTGTGCATGCGTCTGGGCTGCGACGGTGTTTTTGTTGGATCTGGAATTTTCAAGAGCTCCAACCCTGCCAAGCTGGCCAGGGCAATTGTCGAGGCGGTGCACTGCTACCTCGAGCCGGAAGAGATTCTGAAGGCGAGCTTTGATCTGGGCGAGCCGATGCGTGGCATCCAGGTAAGCGGGCTCAAGGATGAAGAAAAGCTGTCTGTGAGAGGCTGGTAGATCAAATTAATATTCTATGTATACTTTCTCAAGTTCTGGTCGAGCGATGCGGAGGCGTAGATGTTGCGTGGGGGAGCGCGGTCGGCAAGCAGGGAGCGCTCTATCGAGTTGTCACTCGGCTTCCGCGACGAGTAGGTGCTCGATTTGGAGACGTAGATGTCCTGTGTCTGGGACCCGAAGTCGGTCATGGTGGAATTACTGAGAGCCAGCTCTTGCGGGTACGGAATCTCAAGCTTCTCTGCCAGGGCCCGGTTCTGTTTGGTGTGCGAGACGTTGATCACGTCGTTGAACGGATCTTCAGGGAAGCTGGGGAGAGATTCGGACGAGTTGTTGGTGGACCTGAACGGATCTCTGGCGAAAACCGGTTTCTGCAGCGAGTCCTTGGAGAAATTGTCGTAGGTGTCTCTGGAGAGCAGGCACTCTTTGGTGAAAGATGCAGGCTTTTCTGCCGCGTCTGTCCTGTCCCTGTACTTGTGGTGGTGATTTTTTCTCAGCTCCTCCTCGTGCTTTTCGTACAGCTCAATCACGCTGTCGGCCACCAGACGGCGACAGTACTTTCTAAAAGTGGTTCTGTGTCTGGAGTGGATCTTGCTGACCACGAAGAACGAGCCGATAATCACGCAGATGTACTTGGCCGTGAAGATCACCCACACGATGAAGGAGAACGTCATGAACGACAGGAGCACGGCCTCGCGTTTGTTGGTCTGCGCGATGGCCACCACGACGTTGACGATCTCGCTGGACGTGAACGAGTTTGAGATCGAGTACGCCACCGTCGCGCCGTTCAGAACCTGTCTCGGGGTGTCTGCCAGAAGCCACAGATAAATGGAAAAATAGTAGGAGCGGTACGTGGTGAGAGAGAACCAGTCGAAGAACGACTTGGTGGTGGACCTCTCGTAAATGCAAAAACGTTCATAGGACTTCAAGGAGTTGATCTGGCGGGCCACGTCGTTCAGATGCGACCGCACAATGCTGTTGGTGCGATAGATGTGGATGCCGTACCACCAGTTGGCTATGAGCCACGTCATGGAGATGCCGATACACGTGGTGAATATTATCCGATACGCCAGCAGAGGCACGTAGCTGATGGCGTGGTAGCTGTCCCAGTCATTCAGAGCGTAGATCTGCACCAGAGTGTATATATCTGAGGCCAGGAACCCGAAACTCAGACAGATCTCGGTCAGCATGATCAGGTAGCTCACCAGAGTCCAGAAATTGAACACCCTGTAGTCGTGCTCCTCTGCCAGGTCTTCAAAGGTGATCTCCTCTGTCTTCACAGACCCGATCTTGAAAGAAGACATTTTAGGAACACGCTTTTCGCAGAAACCTTTCATTTACTCCTTTTTATAGCATTATCATTCTTGTTTGGGAATTGTCTCAAACGGTTTGCACCGCCAGTCTATTTATTATTTTTCGCGAACTAAAAATAAACCTAGAAAATATCGTCAAACACGCGGACTGCCTGGCTGTCGGCCAGCTCCACACATTTTGTAAGACACTTTTCCTGGTTCTCGCGGTCGCCTGTCAGCTCGTAGATGTGTGCCAGGTCGTAGTAGATGTCGCTGATCTGGAAATAGCTGTAGTTGGTCGTCAGCGACTCGAGATAGTTTTTGCATCTCGAAATCGCAGCCATGCGGTCCTCATCGCTAATAAACACCAAATTGTCGTTTGCGAAAAGAACGAGGTTCGAGAATCCTAGAATACCCTCCACATTGCCGTCCTCCTTCAGGTCGAGCGAAGTCTCCAGCTCCTGAAGGGCCCGCTTGTTATTTATCCCAATGTACAGCTGCCCCAGCCGAGCGTGTGTCAGATACGTCTCAGATAGCACAGAGACGGCCTCCGCCACGCTGCCCTCCGCGTCATCCACCATCTCCTGTTTTTCGAAGAGTTTGGACGTCCACAGCCAGATATCGTGCACCATTTTGGTCTCCTGCGAGCTCATATTGTTAGTCACGTGCACGGTAGCCGGTTTCTTGCTTCGACCCGACTTTATTTTGCGTAGGATGTTTTTCTTGCCGCTTTCAGACACTTTCTCGGAGACCTCCTCGACGGGCGCGGACTCACCCGAGCTGATCTCGGACCCAAACAGCTGGTGCACAACCTCAAAAAACATCGGCATGCATTCAACGGCCTCGAACGTGTCCTGGTCGGCTCCCACGAGCGCAATATAGGTCATGAACATTTGCAGAATGTCCCATTTGCGTGCGCTGTTGAGCTCGGCAGGGGGCATCTCGGCAAGCTGTGCTTTTAGGTTAAGTATCACCTCAGAGCTGATTTTCAGCGCTTTATCTAGGTTTTCCTCCGTGGTTGAATACACTAGAGTAATCATGTTGAGATACTGAATATTATCCGGGTCGTGCCTGATTGCAATCTTGAGGCTCCTGATGGCATCTTTCAGTCTGCCCATTTTGATCAGCGAGAAAGAGTAGTCGAAATACCAGCGGCCTATTTGCGTATCATTGGGCTGATGTGCCGGCAGACTCTGAACAAGCTCCACGGCGTGCTCGAAATATTTCAGTGTGTGGCTGAGTCGCGAGTCCAGTATTTCCTTGGTTACTGTGTGGATGTTGCACAGCTGCTGTGAGATTTTGCCGAGATTGTACCAGATTGACGCCAATTTGCGTGTCAGAAGCACTGTATATGGCCCCTCCCCTAACATCTCTATAAGGTCCTTTTCCACCATGTTTCGAAGATCGTTGTACCAGACGACCACCTGGTCGTACACGTTGCGCCGCAGCTTGGTTGAGACGAGGTATCCCAGCACACTGCTCGAGAGATCTATGGTTTCGAAGATGTCGACGTGGCCGCCGAAGTTCTGCACTTGCCGCTCGTGGTTGTAGCTAAGATACACCCTGTATGCTGGTACAAGCGTATCCATGTCGTTTTTCTGTATGGAGGCCAGACACCACAGCTTCATCAGGGGTATGTTCTGGTAAGATTTGTGCAGGCCCTGCTCGATAATGGTCTCCACAGGAAGGTCCAGGCGGTGGTGCTGGTAAACAAAGATGACGGTATCTATCAGCAGGTCAATTTCGTGATTCGATTCGGTGGCCTTGGGGAAATTCAGCTTGGACAACCGACTCAGGACGGTGTCTTCGAACGACGACTTGGCCTCGTTCGAGTCTCCCAGCACTCTGAAGGCGAGTAAGTGCTGGACCATGGCGCCAAACGTGGTCAGCGTGCTTTCTCCCGCGAGCTTTGCAAACTCCGCGTCGAATTCCTGTTTGGTGGTCACATTGGCAAACCTTTGGGCCGCCAGCCTGGCCAGAGTCTTGTGCAGACAATCCCATGCCACCAGGTTTGTGCTGCTTGGAAACCTGTCCACGTGATTGATCCAGACTCGGAAATACTCGTCCAGTTTTTCGGACACCAACATCTTCTGCAGAAATGCCATGACATGGATCTCTTCGACGGAGCTTTCTTTGAACAGCTGTATAAACCCTGCGCCGTCGTCGCTTAGGAGCAGCGACTCGGACATCTCGTCGCTCAGCTGGTCTACCGACGCCTGGTTCGACACTGCGCCGGCTATGCGCCGCGTCGCGTTGTACTGGTCTGTCTCAACCGTCATAAAATAATACTCAATGAAATAACAAAATACCCTATTTTGCACTTCCATACACCGATTTATTATTTTTTGCTGGGACAAAAAATAGCTTATTTGATGTATCACAAGTGATGTGTCAGAGCGTCGCAGTATAAGACAGAAAGCTTTGGACACCACAGACATAAACAATTGGTAGTATGCCGGATATCAACGACTTCAACATGAAAACACGCGGCGGACGGCTTACAAGCGACGAGAGTAACTTCCTATCTTCAGGCAGAGACTTCTCGATGTTCTCGCGTCTCCCGTCCTCTGCTCCGTCGTTCACCTACAGCAATCTGCCCAGCTTCCGCAACGCCAGCAGCCTCTACGAACCGCGCCAGCTTTCGGGCAACTCCAACACGGGCAGTCTTCCCTTTGTTCCTCGGGAGTCCATGTTGAACGACAACTTTGCCCCGTCGTCGCGCGTCTCGTCGTTCCCTCAGCGTCCAGCACATGAGAGCAGAACCATCAACCCACAAAAGCTGGCTAACCCGGTCAAGCGCGACCACAGTGTGCCGGAAACTGACATGATCGATTTTTTGAAGTGTCTGTTCATAATATTGTACGAGCTCGGCAAGAAGACCGCTCTTTGGGTCGTCTTCTTTCTCAGCATTGGCGGAAAGCACCTGATGAGGCTGATAGAGAAAATTCCCACGCCCGAACCCGCCAAAAAGGTGGAAACCACGCCGATCAAACGCGAGCTGGACGGAATAGCTGAACTATTCAACAAGCTGGTGCCTGCTAGCGTTTCCACCCCGTTGGAGGGGTCTGAGGCCAAGGAAATCGACAATAGCATAGTTGTTAGCAGGAAAAGCAAGATCGGCCAGCTGGCCAGCAAGCTGAACGAGTCCAAGGACGAATCTCCGGCCAGCGACTACGGGACGTTCTTCTACAAGCCAAGGAACGTGCGACCAAATCTGAACATCGAGGCCATGTTTCTCAAGTCGAACTTCGGCCGGCCAGAGACTTACAAAGAGCAGAAGCCGTACGATCCAGATTCCGAGCTAAAGAACAGGGCGTCTCAACTAACCAGCTCCATCAAAAAAATGTTCCCGCTTGAGGAGGACCGGAAGCGTGACAGAAGAGCGTCTCGTTTCAGAGACCTTGAATGGCTGAAAAAGGACAACGTCGACTACGTGGAGAACCTCGAGTCCACGGAGCTCTTCAAGGAGTACCAGAAGATCATGCAAGAGCGCACCAAGATGCAGGAACTCATCAAGCTCACCAAAATCAGAGACTACGCCAAAGTGAGGCCCTTGAGCTCAGACCAGCTGGCAGTGGTGGAGAAGTTCTGGAAAAGCAGCAACCCTCAGCTCCTGGTGTCCAGCGCGTTCAACATCGACATATACACCAGAGACCTGAAGACGCTGTGCGACCGGAAGTGGCTCAATGATAACGTGATTGATTTCTATATGGGGCTGATCAACGAGCGCGCAAAAAGCCATCCCACGACGTTGCCGCAGATCCACATTTTCTCGACCCATTTCTACTCGAATTTATCCACTAGAGGATACAACTCGGTGCGGAGATGGACTAAGCGTGCCAAAGTGGACGTCACGAAGCTGGACTACATTTTTGTGCCGATCAACCTGAACCAGTCGCACTGGGCGCTGGGCGTCATTAATAACAAGGAGAAAGCGTTTCAGTACTACGACTCGCTCTACGGAAACGGCGACGACATACTGTACAACTTGGAGGACTATATGGTGAACGAGACGAAGAAGCTGTATGGAGACTCGATGAACGGCGTCGACTATTCGCTGTACGACCATTTCGATTCCATGAAAACGCCCAAGCAGGAGAACGGCTTCGACTGTGGGGTGTTCATGTGCACGGTTGTCGATTACGTCTCCCGGGAGCGGCCGCTGCTGTTTTCGCAGTCGGACATGAAGAACCTGCGAAGACGAATGGCGTATGAGATATGTATGAAAAAGCTGATCGACCACTAGAGAGGCCGATAAATAGTGTAAATTAATTGTCCACCTTGACATTTTTCAGTGTGTCTGCCAGCTGGTCGATCTCTTCCTCCTCCTTTGCCTCTTCCTCTCTCTCCACCTTTGCAATGGCCTCAGCCTCCTCTAGAACCTTCTTTTCCAGTTCCTCCTCGGTCGCTGGAATGTGCAGCTTGTTGTCTTTCAAGGCCTTTCTTCCCTGCTCCACCAGCGCATCCAGCTCCTTTTCCCATCCCAGCAGCCTGGCCAGCTCCTCGACAACCTTGTCGCAGCTCTCAAGCAGCAATATGTCCGACTTGCGCGGATTGGCCTTGAAGTCGCCGCATTCCTCTCTGTTGATCAGCACTCTCGTGCAATCCTTGCTCACCTCAGCAGGAAGACCAGCAAACGGGTACACCGCCAACGACGTGCCAGCAACAACAGCCAGGTCCATCTTCGACGATGAGTCCTCGTCCCATGTGTCGAAAAACTTCGCAGGCAGCGCCTCGCCAAAAAACACAATATCCGGCTTCACGTAGCCTTTACATTTGGCACACGTCGGAATCTTGCTTTTCATCTGTTTCTTGAGCTCCTCGGTCTCCATTTCGGCATCACAGTCAATACAGTGGTTCTTGGCGAACGAGCCGTGTGCCTCGACGATAAACTCGTCCTTCACGCCCGCCAGACGCTCCAACGTGTCGATGTTCTGAGTGTAGCAACGCTTCAGCTTCCTCTTGTCCTGACACAGTCTGATGAAGTAGTGGAACTTGCTAGGCACAAACTTGCCTGGATACAGCTCCTCTGCCAGCGTGTAGAACGCCTTGGGGTTTCTGCGGAAATAGTCGATGTCAAACACCGCTTCTGGATAGGGCAGCTGGAGCCTCTTGAGATTCGAGTAGAGTCCTGTCTTTGGCGAGCGGAAGTCGGGGATCCCGCAGCTGGTCGAGATCCCGGCCCCTACAAAGAACGTGACCTTGGCGTCGTCCTTTTTGAGCAGGTCGGCCACCTTCTGGATCTTCTTTTCCATGGATGTGAAACAAGATCTGCAACAGATTTATTCGTGTTTGATTATGTCACAAAAATATTTATTTTCCATCAAGGCAAACTATGAAGCAAAGAGTCAGCGCATTTGATATCCGAGTCCTCGTCAAGGAGATAGAGCATGCCATCAAGGGCCATCGTCTTCAGAATGTGTACAACTTGGTGACCAATCCGCGCTCGTTTCTTCTCAAGTTCAGCGTTCCCGACTCGAAGGCCAATCTGGTCATAGAGAGCGGCTTCAAGGTGTACTTGACCGAGTTCCAGCGCCCAACCACTCCCGAACCTTCCAACTTTGTTGTCAAGCTTCGAAAACACTTAAAGTCTCGGCGATTGTCCAACATCAAGCAGGTCGGCAACGATAGAGTCGTGGTGCTGGAGTTTGGAGACGGCATGTACTACCTGGTTCTAGAGTTCTTCAGCGCGGGAAATATCATTCTGCTGGACTCTGACCGCAAAATCCTGTCTCTTTTCAGAATTGTTGAGGAGCACGAGAACAACGACAGATACGCCGTCGGCGTTACGTACGGGATGTTTGACCGGTCGCTTTTCGAGGAGCACGGGCAATTGGGCCCTCATATTTACACTTCGGCCGAGATATTTGACTGGGCCAAGGGTGCGTCTGCAAACACGTCCAAAGTGCCGTCGATCGCCAAGCTGGTGTTCCTGAACGCGGCGTATCTGTCGTCTGACCTGATCCAGATTCAACTCTCGAATAACGGGATAGACCCGGCCTCCAGCAGCGTCAAACTTGTGCAGGACGAGGACCTGCTTTCCAGAGTGGCTGCGGCTGTGAACTCGTGCGAGCAGGAGTTCCACAGATTGACTAACCTGCCGGCCGGAGAGCTTTCCGGCTACATCATCGGCAAACATAATCCGTTTTTCAAGCCGGAAGAGGACGCTTCGTACGAGAATCTCGAGTACGTTTATGACGAGTTCCATCCGTTCGAGCCTGTGCACAAGAAAAAGGAGAACACGAGGGTCGAGGAAGTGAAGGGCTACAACAGGACGCTGGACAAGTTTTTCAGCACTTTGGAGTCGTCCAAGGCTGTTCTCAAGATTCAGCAGCAGCAGGCCAATGCCTCCAAACGGTTGCAAACCGTGAAGGACGAGCACATGACAAAATTGCAGCGCTTAGAGGAGCAGCAGGTGGTCAATTACAGGAAGGGAGAGCTGATCACCTTCCATAGTGAGCAAATAGAGCAATGCAAACAGAGCGTCCAGGCCTTGCTGGACCAGCAGATGGACTGGACCAATATAGAGAAGCTGGTGGCCATGGAGCAGAAAAGACGAAACCCGATCGCCAACATGATCAAGCTGCCACTGAACCTGGCGAAGAACGAGATTACAGTTCTTTTGCCAGAGATCGAGGAGCAGAGCGATAGTGAGAGCGATAGTGAGAGCGATGAAAAGCGAAAAAGCGGGCCCGTTGCTGTTGCCATCGATTTGTCGTTGTCGGCGTACGCCAATGCTACGAGGTACTTTGACGCCATGAGAGCGGCGCTCGACAAACAGACCAAGACGAAAAATAGTGCCTCCATTGCCATCAAAAATACGGAAAGAACGATCCAGCAGGATCTGAAGCGGACGCAGAAAAAAGCTCAGGAGCCAAGCGGCCTGAAGCAGATCCGCGCAAAGTTCTGGTTTGAAAAGTTCTGGTGGTTCATCACCAGCGACAACCATCTGTGCATTGCTGGACGCGACGATTCGCAGGTCGATCTTATTTATTACCGATATTTCGACAAAAATAACGACGTTCTCGTTTCGAACGATCTGGCCGGGCTAAAAGTCGTTGTGAAGAATCCGTTCAAAAACAAGGACATTCCGCCAAGCACGCTGCTCCAAGCAGGGATTTTTTCTTTGTCGGCCTCGAAAGCTTGGGACAATAAAATGGTGACCAGTCCGTGGATGGTGAAGGGAACGCAAGTGTCGAAAAAAGATTTCGACGGAAGCATTGTTCCGGCCGGAATGCTGAACATCCAAGGCGAGAAGGCGTTTCTTCCGCCATGCCAGCTCGTAATGGGCTTTGGACTGCTGTGGCTCGGCGATGAAGAGACTACTAAAAAATACCGCGATCTCGCGAAAGCCAGAATCCAGGACGTTGGGCTCGAGCTTGCGCAGCAGCACGACAGTGTGGACTTGAAGATCCAGGAGCTGACTGCCATGCTTGAGAAGCTGGGAAGTGTGGATGAGGAAGACGTTGAAGAAAAGGAGAAAGAGACGTCTGTTGTGGCAGAGTCGTCTGAGACAGAAGAGCCCGTTAGCTCTGCAGAGAGCGCGATCAACACAGCCGTCAGAGGAAAGAAAAGCAAGTTGAAGAAGATCAAGCAGAAATACAAGGACCAGGACGAGGAGGAAAGACGTTTGAGAATGGAAGCTCTGGGAACACTGAAGCAGAAGAAAGAACAGCCTGAGAAGTCGGAGACACAGCCCGAAAACAAGGGCGTGGACAGAAAGACTCGCAAAAAACAGCAAGACATCCGGCTACTCAGGAAGCTGGTTGGCGAGCTTGAGGAGTCTGCGGAAGAATCGGAGACCACGCCGTACGACGAGATCATCTCGGGGCTCATTCCTGCTCCCAAAGAGTCGGACAGCATTGTGAATTGTATTCTGGTGTTCGCACCCTACAACGCATTATCAAAGTACACGTACAAAGTGAAAGTGCAGCCGGGTCCGCTGAAGAAAGGAAAGGCGTTGTCCGAAGCCGTCAGAGTCCTGCAATCGCAGACTCAGACGCTGAAAAAAGACAATGCTCCTTGGACCGACTCGAAAAACCTGATCGAGAACATCAACCAGCAGGACGCGCTGCTGACGATCACGGCGTCGAAACTGAAGCTCGCAGGAGCTGCGGGCGACAAGGGGAAGAACCCGACCAAAAAGTCAAAGAAATAGATATCTCAATTCATTACTCTAGAAACCTTGTTGTAAGCGGTCAGAAATGTTCTTCCTGGCAAAATTGAACGCATTGAGCAAGCCCTTCTCCGAAAGATCAATCTTGATGTTGGCCACGTCCTCGGTAGGAGGTTTGGACACTCTGGATGCAATAACACTTGGATCGGTCTCCAACACAATTCCGTCGTCCACAGTTTCATCGATCGCCAGGATCGTCATGTCGTAGTTCTCTTGTATGGATTTCTTGTCGATTTGGTTTCTCAAAATGATCTCCAGGGCCCCCACTAGCCCTTGCAGAACGTTGTACATCAAGGTCTCGTTCTGGTTCAGATCGCCAACCATATAAATAATCACGTCTGCAAATTCTCTATACACTACCACCTTGTTCTCGAAAAGTATAATGTCGGAGTTTTGCTTGTACGTCTTGCTGAACAGACTGCTTTCAAAACTGAATTGTTTTTTTTCGTTGGTGGCCAGCTCGTCTGTGGCCTGGCCGTGCGGTGGATGGTAGTACTTGGCAAAAAGGCGCTTGCCAGCGTTGTCCAGTACGATGACGGCCTGAATCGAATAGAGAGAAACGTCAAATGGCATGGCGACGGGAAATTGTTTTTTCTTAAGGACGTGTTCTTGTCACTGGGAAAAATAAAAACCTCTTAGCTTGCCCTTCGCACCCCCCGCACCAAGAGATCCTTTATTTATAAACTGTGCCTAGATTTTTCCTCCCTCTTTTGTTTAATTATTCTTACAAGGTCAAATTTCGGAAGGTTTCGCATACCTGTGTGAGGACATCGTGTGGTAAATAGCTTCCGCTAAGACTCTCTGATATGTCCTACAATAGGCAACTAAAGCTGATCTCTGATGGGTCCTCTAGTGAGGAAGACGACGACGATCTGCTCAACTACACTTATGGGCGGGCCAGAGCGTATAGGTCTAACGCCTACGATCTGAGAGACGAGACCGATGAGGAAAGAAGCACCGGAAACTGTAAGCATCCACCTTCCGTGCCCCACCGCCAAAACTTGATACTAACATGATTTCCTATAGCGCCGAATAAAAGACTACCCTCCACAGGCTCCGATTCGCCCATCTTGAACTCTCCGTTGAGCGAGAAAACTACCCAGCCTTTCAGTGCCTTTAAAACTCCTTACTTGAATACTAGCAGATGGAACAATATTGATAGATTGGGTGACGTTTTTGGAGTCAAAAGCTTTGCTCAGGCTGAAAATCCTGGTGAGACCCTGGCAGAAAGAGGTCTCACGGATCTCTACGAAAACTACTATGATCCCTACCCTTCCTGGGCCCCTGATGATGAGGTTCCCATTACAAAACAGCGCATTGAGTCCATCTTCATTCATTTATCCCGAATCTTTGGGTTCCAACACGACAATACCAAGAATATGTACGACTACTTGATGCGTATGCTTGACTCCAGAGCAGCAAGGATGGGGCCCGCAACCGCACTCCGAACATTACATGCTGACTATATCGGTGGATTAAACGCTAATTACAGGAAATGGTACTTTGGCTCGCAGATGGACATCGATGACACCATAGGTTTTGCAAATCAGAAATCCAAGAACATCAACTACCCTTTGGATGATTCGCAACTGAGATGGTCTCAGACAATGAATTCGTTTCTTCCTGAGGATTGTGTTATCCAGTTAGCCCTTTATCTTCTCTGTTGGGGTGAAGCAAACAACATCAGGTTCATGCCTGAATGCCTCTGCTTCATTTTCAAATGTTGTGCGGATATCTTCTACTCCTTGGAATTTACAAAGGAGATACAGCCTATAACCAATAGCTTCTTGGATCATGCAATTACTCCACTATACAACTACTATCGTGATCAGCTTTACGAGAAGATTGGAGATAAATGGATCTTGCGCGATAAAGACCACGCGAAAATTATAGGATACGACGACATAAATCAGCTTTTTTGGTACCGAAAAGGCCTAGAGAAGATACGGCTGGACACCAAGGAGAAGCTCATGGATTTCCTGCCCTGTGAAAGATTCCTTTATCTGAACAGAATCGTGTGGAAGAAGGCATTTCAAAAAACATATCAAGAACATCGAACCTGGGCTCACATTCTGGTCAACTTCAACAGAATCTGGAATATCCACATTGGCGTTTTCTGGTATTACACCTGTTTCAATTCCTACACTTTCTACACGGAAGATTATGACCTTTCAAGAGATAATCAGCCAAGTGTTTCAGCAACTTTGTCTGCATTGTCTTTAGCAGGATGTGTCGTCTCGCTAATAAATTTGATCTCTTTGCTAGGAGAGGCAATCTTCGTCCCAAGAAACTGGATAGGTGCACAATCCGTGTTTTGGAGATTCCTTTTAACTCTCACGTTTTTTTCAGTCAACCTATGTCCATCACTTTACATCTTCCTGGGGTCTGATATGTCTGTTGATAATCCGATCACTTTGACTATTTCCATCAGCCAGTTTCTTTTTTCCATCTTGATCGTCATATATCAATCAGTTGTACCCCTGTCTTCTTTGGCTGGTAGTGTCAGATCTGAAAAACGGAGGCATCATCTTCCCGCAAAATACTTCACCGACTCGTTCCATGAGCTGAAAGGTAAGAACTTACTAGCTTCATATGGGCTATGGGCCGGGGTTTTAATCTCAAAGTTCGTTGAATCCTATTTTTTCTTAACTCTGAGTTTGAGGGATCCCGTTCGTGAACTGAGTGTGATGAAATTGAACAGATGTATCGGTGAGCAATATTTTGGTTCAATATTGTGTGAAAGACAAGCATCGATCATTCTCGTGTTGATGATCCTTACAGATCTTCTATTGTTCTTCCTTGACACTTACCTCTGGTACATTGTCTGGAATGTTGCGTTCTCAGTTTGTCGCTCATTCTACTGTGGTGTATCAATATGGACGCCATGGAGAAACATGTTTGTTCGTCTTCCAAAACGCATCGCATCCAAGATTCTTTCCCAACAGAGTATTTCTGCGAGCAATGTTTCCAAACGGAAAGCCATGGTTTGTCAAATATGGAACTCTATTGTGGTCTCGATGTACAGAGAGCATTTGCTTTCCATCGACCACCTTCAAAATCTCATCTACCAGCAAGCCACCACTGCTGATGGGCACGTTCTGTTGACTGAGCCAAGGTTCTTCATGGAGCAGGAAGATGGCGAAAGTCCACATAAGAAGGAGGAAGTTCTCGACCCAAACTCAGAGGCAAGCAGAAGGCTCACTTTTTTTGCACACTCTCTTTCCACTCCTATTCCTAAACCATTACCAATAGATCAGATGCCAACCTTTTCGGTTCTCATTCCTCATCACTCTGAGAAAATTACACTCTCTTTACAAGAGATCATCAAAAAAGAGGATGAGTACTCGAACGTCACTCTTTTGGAGTACTTGAAACAGCTTTATCCTCTTGAATGGCATAATTTTGTGAGAGACACTAAGCTGTTGGCCAAAGAATCAGAACTTAACACAGGTAATGCATCAGCTGAAGCAAATAATGATTTAGCTTTTTATTCCGTTGGTTTCAAAGCTGCTACCCCAGAGTATATATTACGAACTCGTGTTTGGGCCTCCTTGAGATCTCAGACACTATATCGTACTGTATCTGGGTTTATGAACTATTCGCGGGCATTGAAGCTCTTGTATGCGGCTGAGAACTTAGACACCCCAACTGAGGAGCAGAAGATGGAAGAGGCAAGTGTCGTCGCACAACGAAAGTTCAGAATCGTGGTGTCGCTGCAAAAATTGAAAGACTTCAATGCCGAGCAGGACGAATGTAAAGAGTTCCTGTTGAGAACTTATCCCGAACTCCAAATTGCCTATATTGACTATGAGATTGATCCTGAAACAAATGAATTGAACTATTACTCGACTTTGATTGACGGAAGCTGTGATATCCTTGAAAACGGAGCAAGAAAGCCGAAGTATCGAATCAAACTATCTGGAAACCCTATTCTTGGTGACGGAAAATCAGATAACCAAAATCACTGTCTGATCTTTTGCAGAGGAGAATACATTCAATTGATTGACGCCAATCAGGATAACTATCTGGAAGAATGCATCAAGATCAGAAGCATTCTTGCCGAATTTGAAGAGCTCACTCCACCAGCCGATCCCTATCTTGAGCCTATCGAAAATATCAGTGGCAGCCTTTTGTTTCCAAAGAACCCTGTTGCCATCATCGGAACGAGAGAGTACATTTTCTCAGAGAACATTGGAGTTCTCGGTGATGTGGCAGCGGGTAAGGAACAAACTTTTGGAACTTTGTTTGCCCGAACACTGGCTTATGTCGGAGGAAAGCTTCATTATGGGCACCCTGACTTTTTGAACTCCATTTTCATGACTACCAGAGGTGGTGTCTCCAAATCGCAAAAAGGTCTGCACCTAAATGAGGACATTTATGCTGGCATGAATGCTCTATTGCGTGGAGGAAGAATAAAGCATTGTGAATATTTCCAATGTGGAAAAGGAAGAGATCTTGGATTTGGATCAATTCTCAACTTCACAACCAAGATTGGAGCAGGTATGGGAGAACAAATGTTGTCACGTGAATACTTCTACTTGGGAACTCAGCTGCCATTGGATCGGTTCCTTTCATTCTACTATGCACATCCCGGCTTTCACTTGAACAATGTCTTTATTCTTCTATCTTTGAAAATGTTCATGCTGTTCTGCATCAATTTGGCAGCATTGACAAATGACTCCATTATCTGTGAGTACGATAAGGATAGACCTATCACAGATTTGAGATTACCTGCGGGATGCGTCAGTCTTATCCCTGTCATCTCATGGGTGCAAAGATGTATTTTGTCGATCTTCATCGTCTTTTCCATTTCATTTCTTCCTCTGTGTGTTCAAGAACTGACAGAGAGAGGTATATGGAAATGCTTCACTCGGATTTCACGCCATTTTGCATCAATGTCTCCATTCTTTGAGGTCTTTGTGTGCAGAATATATGCTCAATCGCTTGTTAATGACCTTGCAATCGGGGGTGCAAAGTATATTGCCACAGGAAGAGGGTTTTCTACCATAAGGGTTTCGTTCTCAGTTCTTTACAGCAGATTTTGCTTCGAGAGTCTTTATTTTGCCTCTACCATGTTCTTGATGCTCCTTTATTGCTCATTGGTCATGTGGAACGTCGCACTGCTATACTTCTGGTGTACGGCGATCGCGCTCTTCTTGTCGCCGTTCCTGTTCAATCCAAATCAGTTCCAATTCACCGAGTTTTTTGTTGATTACAAGAACTTCCTGACGTGGTTGACCAGCGGTAATTCTTTCTACAAGAAGGATTCCTGGGTAACACATGTCAGGAGCTCAAGAATGCAGCTTACAGGTGCGAAAAGAAAAAAGCTGGGTAAAGGTAACGATAACCTTGAATCAGATTTCAAGCGTCCATCTTTCTTGGCGGCATTGGTGACTCAAGTGGGCTCTCGTCTGCTGGTTGCCGTGATTGTTATTGTGGCATACCTGTTTGCAAATTCACAGAATGAGGACATAAGCGGTCCTCCTTCGAACTCAATTCTGAGACTAGCTGTCATTACCTTAGGCCCAATTGTGGTCAACGTGGGAATTCTATTGGCCTTGTTTCCTATTTCGGCAATTTTTGGGCCTTTGTTGAGCCACATGTTCAAGAAGTTCCCTGACTTCATCGCCAACATCTCTCATATTCTTGCATGTGTGAATCATTTCGCGTTTTTTGAGTTCATGTTGCTTTGTCAAAATTGGGATATTTCCAAATCGATTTTGGGAATCTGCGCTTCGTTCCTTTTACAGAGTGTTATATTCAAGCTTCTTACCATTGTGTTCTTGAGCCGCGAATTCAAGCATGACAAGTCCAATCGGTCGTGGTGGTCTGGAAAATGGCTGACGTCTGGTCTAGGCTGCCATACTTTAACACAGCCTGGAAGAGAGTTTATTTGCAAGATCATTGAGCTCTCCGTTTTTGCGTGTGATCTGGTCACCTCTCACTTCATCTTGGTGTGCTTGTTCCCATTTCTGTTCGTGCCATATATCGATAGCTGTCACTCTTATCTCTTGCTTTGGCTGAAACCTCGAAATCAAATTAGAAGACCGGTCTTCTCACCGGGAAAGCGCAGGGCTCGAACAAAAATCACGGTTGCATACTTTGTGCTTTTGGTGTTTATACTGGTGGTATTTGTCCTTTTATTTGCGAGCCCAATAATATTGGCCAGAACGTACGGAATTGACTTCGACGACTATCTGCCAGAAATAATCGGCGTTCTTTTGCAACCTGAGGAAATGATTAACAAGAGGAAAGGATTGAAGAACTATTCATCTCCAAAAAAGCACAGCTAAGTATTTTCTGAGCATACTATATTTCTGTTTATTTTAGTCTAGGTCCAAATTGATCTTAAATCTTGAGACGTTTTTGCCTTGAGCATGTCAAACAGCTTGTCGACCTGTGGTGTAGAAATGAACATTGACGCAATTGAGAACCTGGGCGTTTTTACAAAGGCCTTTAGATGTGTAATGATATTGTCTAGGAATCGAGTGTCTGGTGATGCGAGGTAATTCGTTGCAGCTTCCACGTAAAACTCCAGGAAACTTGAGTCCAGTCCTGATGTCTCAAACAAGCCCGCATAGACCGAGCTGTCCATCTGAAGCACGTATGCATAATATTGTTCCTTCTCGCTGGACGGTTTTTTTGAAAGCTCAGAAAGGAATAATGCAGTAGGAGAGCGAGGAAACCGTTCCGGTTTCGGCACTGGCGGGATATCAGAGTCTTCCAATTTGAATGCTTTCTTTTTTGGTAGGTACTTTGGGGGAAGCGTGTCTGCGATTTGTATTGGAATCTCTATTAATTCTGCATCTAGCTCCTTGATTTTAATTTCCAGGCTTTCAAAATCCTGCTTCAGTGTTTGATTACTTGGATCAAGCTGAAGAGCTTTTTGTAAAGAGTCTTTGGCTTCTGAGAGCATGTCTAGTTCTTGCAGTGCTATTGACCTTCTCCACAAAAGCTTGATCTTGGTCTTGTCGTCGGGTTTGGTGGAAGAGAGTGCCTGATTACAAGTAGCCAAAGTGCCGTGCCAGTCTTTTAATTTGATATAAGCCATTGCCTTGTTAGAGTAGAGCACGGCGTTTTCTGGGTCCAGCAGGATGGCATTGTTATATATCCTGACGGACTCTTGGTAATTTCCAGCCTTGAATGCCTCATTCCCCTGGTTCTTCAATTCTTCTACACTCATGCTCTAGAATTAATTTTTTTATTTAATTTATCCGATCTCATGATTTCTCAGGAGCTGAAGGACGAACTCGACGCTTTGGACGCCATTTTTCCCGGATGCTATGATTTCATAAGCGAGCAGGTATATCGTTTCCGAATACCTAAGTACGAATACATTAGCATTCGCATCAAATTCCCAGAGAACTATCCAGAAGAAATACCTCAGATTCTAAATGTCAAATGTGACAAACGGGGATTTGACGAAAAGCATGTAGCTCAGCTTTTGCAGGAAGTGCTCGACTCTATCTTCAAACCTGGGGTTGTTTGTATCTTTGACTTTTTTACGGAGTGTGATGCGATCCTATATTCCGGGGAAGACGAAGAGCAGCAGGATGTCGACGCCAATGTGGAAATATCTACTTTTGAGCGTGATCCCGAACCGGAGGACGGATCCGAAAGCAATGACGAAGCTTACGTTGCTGACTATACATACAACGAGGCGAAGGAACGAGCCAGGGCCAAAAGGGAGCAACAAAGACCGCCAAAGACGATAGAGCCTCTGGCCAATTGGTCTATTTCCGAGGCTATTAGCGATAGGAAATCAACTTTTGTTGGTTTCGCTCGTTCGGTGCACTCCGTGGACGAAGCGTTTGAGTACCTGGAGCTTCTGAAGCAAGACCGTAAGGTGGCCAAAGCGAACCATAATATGACGGCCTGGAGAATCAAAGACTCAGAAACCGGAGCACAGTATCAGGACTGCGATGACGACGGAGAAACAGCAGCAGGTGGGCGGCTTTTGCACCTTCTATCCATCATGGACGTCTGGAATGTAATGGTTGTCGTCTCAAGATGGTTTGGAGGTGTCCATATTGGCCCAGATAGATTCAAACATATTAATGCGTGTGCCAGAGATGCGATAGTGAAAGGCGGGTTTGAGATAGCGGACGCCAAAAAGAAGAAGAAAAAGAAGAAATAGACCGGCTTCTAGTTCTTCCTTTTTTTGATTGGGAAGTCGTCATCGTCCAGCTCTTTACGTTTCACAAAGCTGCTATTAGCTCGCAATGCTGTGAGTCCTACTTTAGGCTCTGTCTTCGGCTCCTTCGGCTCAGCTTGGGTCTCTTCTGGCTCTGGGGCATTGTTGCGTCTTCCAGACACTCTTACGAGATCCACCATTTGATAGACTTGTGTATAACCGACTCTGCGTATTTTATTTCTGCGCGCTTTACTTCTCTGACGGATAATGTCTGCAACTGGCAACTTCCACTCGCTCATATCTGTGAGTTTTTGAGTGGTCTGTACTTCTTCCTGCTTGACCTCTGTGTCGTCGGCCATTCGCATGAACTTCATGTTCTTCACCCGCGCAGACAAAGACATGCTGGATGTATTTAGATAATATTTTCGGATTATTTTTCAGATTTTTTTTTAAGGCTGGCAGTGCACACAAAAAAATTTTAGGGCCAATAATCTGCTATAGCTATTCATCATGAAGTCTGATTTCAGATTCTCAAACTTGCTGGGAACTGTCTATCGGCAAGGAAACATCATCTACAACGAGGAAGGCACCTTGCTGCTCTCTCCTGTGGGAAATCGAGTTTCTGTGTTTGATCTGGTGAATAATAAATCTTTCACTCTAGACTACGAACATCGCAAGAACATCGCCTGTATTGCCCTTAATAAGCAAGGAACGCTACTGCTTTCTGTTGATGTTGATGGAAGAGCCATTCTTGTGAATTTCAAGGCCCGCACAGTTTTGCATCACTTCAATTTCAAAGAGAGAGTCCGCGATCTGCAGTTTTCACCTAGTGGTACCCATTTCGCTCTGGCAGCCGGCAGATTCGTCCAGGTCTGGAAAACTCCAGATGTTGCTGAGGATCGTCAGTTTGCGCCCTTTGTTCGTCATAGAGTGTATGCAGGACACTACTCAGACATCACGTCCATTTCTTGGTCTGGCGATTCCAGATACATTTTGTCAACCAGTAAGGATCTCACAAGCAGGATATTCTCGTTACACAGCGAGGACAGGGACGTTAAGATGACTTTGGCGGGACACAGAGACTACGTTATGAAGGCATTTTTCGACAAGGACCAGGAGATAATATACACTATATCGAAAGACGGAGCTCTGTTCAGATGGGAGTACACAGAAAGACCTGGTGAGGAGGAGATGGCTGACGATCAAAAACACATGAGCTGGAGAATCATCTCGAAACACTTCTTTTTTTCCGACCACAACGTCAAATGTGCCACGTTCCATGCTCCATCCAACCTGCTCATTGTTGGCTTTTCCAACGGAGAGTTCCGCTTATACGATCTGCCTAGTTTCACCATGCTCCAACAGCTGTCGATGGGATTCAATGCCGTCAACACTGTTGCGATCAACTCGACGGGCGAATGGGTCGCTTTCGGGTCCAAGAAGCTCGGACAGCTGCTCGTGTACGAATGGCAGTCAGAGTCGTATATTCTCAAACAGCAGGGACATTTTGACGCAATGAACTGCCTTGCGTACTCGCCAGATGGCAGCCGAATTGTGACTGCATCGGACGACGGAAAAATCAAGATCTGGGACGTCGTTTCCGGTTTCTGTCTGGCCACCTTCGAGGAGCACACTTCTGCTGTGACGCAGGTTGTTTTTGCGAAAAAGGGCCAGGTGATGTTTTCGTCGTCTTTGGACGGTACAGTCAGAGCATGGGACCTGATTAGATACAGGAATTTCCGCGTGTTCACGTCCACCACCAGAATGCAATACAGCTGTCTTGCTGTTGATCCGAGCGGAGAAATCGTTTGTGCTGGCTCGCTTGACGAGTTCAGCATCCAGGTCTGGTCTGTGCAGACAGCACAATTACTTGATCAACTGGCTGGCCACGAAGGCCCCGTGTCGTGTCTGAGCTTTGGCAGCGAAGGGTCTCCATTGCTTGCAAGTGCCTCGTGGGACAAAACGATCAGGATTTGGGACATATTCAGCAGAACACAAACCAGTGAGCCTTTTGACGTGCTCCACGAATGTCTGTCGCTGGCCATGCGACCTGATTCCAAAGAAGTTGCTGCCTCGACGCTTGACGGACAAATCACGTTCTGGGATGTGCAGCAGGGAAAGCAGGTGAGACAGATAGACGGAAAGAATCACATAATAGCGGGCCGTTACGTGGAAGATCGGTTTGTTGCTGCCAACTCGGCAAGAGGCAAATATTTCTCCACTATTGCCTACAGTTTTGACGGATTGTCTATGGTGGCTGCCGGAAACAACAACTCGATCTGTCTCTATGATCTTCCCAACGAGGTGCTTCTTAAGCGGTTCACAGTCTCGCAGAATATGCAGTTGAACGGAACGTTGCAGTTTTTGAACTCAAAGAACATGACTGACGGTGGTCCACTTGAGCTCATCGACGACGACGGAGAACTGTCTGATTTGGAGGAAAGAAGACGGACCGATTTCTCGTTGCCGGGGTCCAATAGAGGAGATCCGTCGGCAAGAGCCACGCGGCCTGAGATCCGGGTCACCAGTGTGCAATTTTCTCCAACGGCCAATGCGTTTGCCTGTGCCTCCACCGAGGGTCTTTTGATCTACAGCGTGGACGAAAGTCTAGTGTTTGATCCGTTTGACTTGGACGTCGACGTGACTCCCGAGGCTACGCTGGCTGTGTTGAAGGATAGGGAATATATGACAGCTCTGGTGATGGCATTCAGGCTGAACGAGACGTATCTAATTCACAAGGTCTACGAAGCCATCAAGGTCAGCGACATTCCGCTCGTTGTGCGAGATCTGCCCCTGGTGTATGTGGAGAAGCTAATCTCGTTCATTGGCTCGATCCTCATGGAGAGCCAGCACATTGAGTTCAATCTGATATGGATTGCTACTATTTTACGCGTGCATGGAAAATACATCACAAAAAACAGACACCAATTTACTAGCTCGATGCGTTTGGTTCAAAGGTTCCTGAACAGAGTGGCCAAGGACGTTGTCAAGGCCGGCGTCAGATCCGAGCAATTCTATTTTTACCTTGGTTCAAACAAGAAACAGCCCGCTATGCAGATCGATGGACTCGAAGACGGCGGAGCTGCAGAACGCGCGTCTGATTCGGAGTCTGACCAGGAGGAGATGCATGACTCAGAAGACGACGGTTGGTTCGGCCCTGGACAGCAAAAAGAACTGACCCTGCGATTCGATGGCTCAGATGATGAGGATATATAATTTCGGCATTATAATTGATAGAATTTCTCCGCGAATGCTTTTTTTTCTAGCTTGCTAGAATTTCCGTTTTTTTCTTCGTTTCAGAGCCCGGTGATATACAGCCCCATAACCATCGATAGCCAACATGACCCGACAAGGGAGTCTTGCCGTCTTGTCGGAGCTCATTGAATTACAGAGATCTCCGAAACCACTCCCCGAGTTAGAGCCCCAAATTAAGGAATGCTTATCCAAGTTATCATTCTTGCTGGTCCTGACCTCCAACGATGCCACAGAACGACAAATGCTGTCCAACTCGCTTTCGATCTGGACTAAGATAAACGAGGCCATACAAGTATACATGGAAAACACCAGCAAGGACCCGCAAACCACAAGAACACCGCTGATCTGTTATCGCACAAGGCTTATCAGGGGTGTGATTCTTCTTGCCAGGAACCTGATTGTCGGGCTCCGGAGCCTTCTTCTGTACAGCGATGACGAGCGCGCAGACTTCTACTCCCGCATTGGGCTCAGGAATAAGGACATTTCGGGGGAATTACTGATACAGTCTCTCTATGTCAATCACAGCCACAACATCATACCACTATGTTTGACGTTTCTGGACATGATCAAAGAGCTCGAAGAGAGCGGCTTTCCGGAGTTTGTCGACGTCTACTACAATGCTATGGTTGCTTGTTTTGAGTATCTCAGCAACATCACCAAAATCAGCACAGAGCTCAAGAAAAACGTGACGCCAGACTACAATGCTGACGCGCTTGTGGACTTTCTAGCAGCACTGCCGAATTACTGGGACGTATTTGCCCGACTGAATATTGTCGAAACTGACTTGTTGCTCTGTGTGTTTGTCTATTTCAGAAACTTGTTCAGCGATGACGGGCTGCTTTCGAAAATATTCCATGAGCATCCGCTAGCCATTGTAAATCTCGTGGGGACCTGCCTTTCGAGACTTTTGCCGTTTGTGCGCCACAATGAGAAGTTTACCGAGGAGCAGCTCGAACAGCTGGAGATCGTCTCTCTCAGCATGTATGTGAACATGGTCTCTCACGAAGGACTGGGACCTTTCCTTATAAAGGCGGCCAAGTCTGGAACCGACGAACAAACGATTGTGGACTTACTCCGAACTTTTCAGATTATACTAACCAGCAAAGAGAACGGCTGGGACAAGCTCAAGCTAGTGAATATCGTGGCTTGGCTTATGGACTATTTCAAATTTGCGGCCCGCGAGGCTGGTGAGCTTCTTGACAAAAAAGAACTAGATGACAAGGAGAAGGCGAGATTGAGCCGTCTTCACTCACAAATCATATCAGTGCTCGACAGTCTTTCGAGCCTCACGCAATACGACGAGGTGCGCCAAATGCTCAACCACTACCACTTTCTATCCGTTTTGGTAGCTTTCTTCAAGGTGGTGGAACGAAACACGTTTAAGAAAAGACTCAAAGACGATCAGGCACCGCCTCATACGAAACACTTTCCCCAGGTCAAGCTGATTATTGTGGAGATCATCACCGCGCTCGTGTATCAGAATTTCGAAAACCAGGAATTAATGCGCAACATCCATGGTTTGGAACTGATACTCAATAACTGCAATTTGGACGCCCATGAACCTTTCATCAAAGAGCGAGCTATTTTGTGCATCAAGTACTTACTACTAGACAACCCGCGCAACCAGGAATTTGTTGCGAAATTGGAAGCCAAGGGAACTGCCATCGATCCGAAAAACGAGGCAATTTTGGAGCAGGCTGGCTTTGAGGTTAATATTGAAGATGGAAAAGTCAAGCTCAGGAAGTCGGCAAGACTCACTGAGCTTGAACAGTCTGCTTCCAGTTCATAGTGCTGTAATAAACATTTTGGCTGTGCGGCTTGGGATCTAAATTTTTCTATTTTATTTTTCTAATTTTTTTTTTTGCAGTAGGAAAAATTATATTGAATGGCTAAAGCACAGTCGTCAGGTGTGGACATTTCGGGCGTGATTGGTCAAGGTAGCTCCAAGATCAAAAAGAAAATCAGAGACATCACGAGACTTCTCAAACGAGATAACTTAGCCTCTAATGTGCGAATTGAGAATGAAAGAGCTTTGGAAGCACTGAAATCAGAACTCGCTACTGTGCAAGCCAATCTCAAAGCTAAAAAGCTTGCACAGAGATACCATAAGGTTCGCTTTTTTGAGCGCAAAAAAGCAGTCCGTAGGTACAAAAAAGCGCTCAAAGAGCTAAAGGAATTGGAAGCCAAAGATGGCGACCCTAAAGCTATCAAGAAAGAGATCAAAAAGCAAAAGAAGGTGGTCAGACATTGCGAAGTCGATCTGGCCTACGTTCTGAATTTCCCGAAGACGGAAAAATACATTGCATTGTACCCTGCAAACACAGACACATCAGGGCTGTCTGAAAAAGCTATCAAAGGAATCCAAAAAACGGAGGCCAAAAGGACTGAGTATCGCAAGAAATTTGGTGAGCTCCTGGACTCCGGAAAATTAGAGATCTCTTTGGAAGACGGAATCAAAATTATCAATAAGGAAACCATTGATTGGGGATCCGAACGGCCAGAGACCGCCGCCGAACAGAAACAAACCACTCAAGACGACGAATTCTTCGACTAATCACATGTATAATATCTATATACGCTTCAAATATGCAGGATTTCCGCATCCAAGTATTTGATTTGCGAGTGAAATCTTGGGTCCAATTCCTCCTTGGCAACCAGTCCAAGTTGGATAAGGTCCCCCATAACCATTCCGACTTTTTCCAATGAGTAGTGAAGATAGTCGAAATTATCGTCGTTATCGTCACCAATTTCCTCAACTGCCGCTTCGTCGTCCAAATCGATGTCGTCTTCAATGGTGACGCGGTAAACTTCACCATTTGGACCGGTCTCGTACGTTGCCTTCAAATGAGCTGGCTTTTCGCCAGAAATAGAGCCCTTGGTGATGACTCCCCAAAGGGCCCAGAATATCGAGTTCGTGGCCCTCCAGATAATCGTCTCATTGTAAAGTTCGACCACACGAGCTGGAAGTTCACTTTCCTTCAGGTTCACAACTGAAGACGACCGTTGCGTCAAAAATGCGGGTGTGCCAGAAGATCTCGATCGACCCGGTTGTGGGACAAGATTAGGGGTTGAGGATCCGGGAACATAATTAATGTAGGTGTTCAGAAAGTTTATTCTTTCTTCTCGGGTTGGATATCTGTGAACTCTGAGCTTGTAGCTATCGATTGCGTGGTAGTTTGCCATCCATTCACAAAAATGGTTGGTGATGTCGTATGCGGGCAAATTTGGTCCGGCGTACTCGAAATCAATAACAACAAGCTTTTTGTCATCCTTATAGTCTAGGTCTGTAACCAGCGGGAGCGTTGTGTCTTCTGTAGAAAGCGATAGAGACGACGTTTTTTGAGCCAGTGTCTCGTCTAGCGCCATAGACTCAACGTCCGAGTCGTCCTCATCGAAGGATGGCTGGTTGTATTTATTGTAGAATAGCAGATTGCCATACTGAGTGTCGTTGTGGCAGAATTTCAGCTTCTCATCAACATTCATTCGTCCGCCGTATTGGTGATAAAGCCACTCTTGGTATCTGGCGACAATTTGCTTGAAGTGTGCCCAAGTGCACATGAAAACCTTTATTTGGTCATCTTGGGTGGCACTAGATTCCATCTCGTCCACTAAATGGGCCCACTTGCTGATTAAATTCCACACTTTGGGGCCCTGGAGTTTCTCGTCAGATTCCAAGGGAACGCCATAATGCAGCTCTTTCATTCTTCTGGCAATCATCCGGCTCACTTTCGGTTCTCTGATTTGCTCCTTGTTGAGGGTGATGGAATTGTTCAAGAATTCCTCGAACCTGCCATTGGAAAAACAGCCCAGGAGCTTAGGGCCTATATTTCTTTGGGAAAGCCGTTGCAAAGTCAAGAGCTCGCTCTTTCTGTCAATAATGTTGTCGACATTGGCACCATAGAGTCTTAGAAGAAGCGGATACAGGTTCTTATAGGTCACCTTATAGACACAATTTGTCAGCGCACCGCTTATACGTTGTAGCTCGAGATTTTGAAGAGAAGCGCCGGTGAGAGGGATCTTGCGCCATTTGGGTATTCGGAGGTTTTGTATCACAGCAAGAACGTCCTGTTTGAAATAGTCAAGAGGAAGAGTATTGTCAAGTGTGGCTTTACTCTCGTAGAATTCTGGGTCGAGATTGGAGTCGTCAGCGAATGAGAAATCCGCAGAAAGAGGTCGCACCCCAGAATGAGACGAAGACGATCGCCTGCGTCTTGCCTTTCTCGAGGTTGATCGTCTACGATGCACAGAGTTAGATGAGAGTTTTCTTGAGTATCTGGGTCTCTCCATTTTAAGGAATCATCAAGTATTACCGGGATAATAAATTAGTAAATTTGCTTGGAAAATAATTGTGCACAAGATCGTCGCGTCGGAAATATATCGTTTGACGTTTTCGCACCGCCAAATACCTGATGTTGTTAATATGCCGAATTGGGCAAAACATCAATAACTTTCCGCTTAGTTTGATTTAGTCTTATTTGCAATATTCTACTCCCTGCCCACTAAATTTGCTTATCGCTTGTTCTTCCTTCGTTTTATGGTTTTATATTTCAGCTTCAGCTTGGCAATTAAATGACGCTATACTCAGACTTGGCCTTCCAACATCAACCGCTTCAAACAGCTCAGGCTGTGGACAACGACAGACTCATAGTCACCATTCCCTTCAATTATACCCACTTCATCAAGCCAGCAAATGTACTGCACGAGTCCCTTGTTTCTTCAGATTGGAGGCTTATAGAGACGGACGCTGTTTCGTCCTTCCCTTTCTTGCAAAACCTGCCAGCGGGCACCATCATTTGCGATAACCTCGAGAGCTTGAGAACTGTCGTCAACCACGCGAATGAGAGATACGCCGCCTCGGGAATAATGACTATTTTGAACGAGTTCAGAGGCTCGGAGAGGAAACTCACGATCTCGATCATCGGCAGCTACGCTTCCCAAAGAGAAATGAATGAGATCAGGTTGCAGATTTTTCGACACTATTTCGAGATCGCCAAACGCAGAATCACTATTGACTTCGCGAAAAATAGCTACTGTTTCACATCAATCGGGAAAATCAAAGAAGAGCTGACACTGTTTCTTGATGAGGTCTCGCTCTATAACAAATGCTCCATCTATATTGCTCCTTCCAAAGAGAGCTCCTCCAAATTTGACATAGTGATTTTGGGCAGCCAGGATTGTTCAACTGTAGCTGAAAACAAGGTGAGACTGTTTATCGACAACTTGAATCCTCTGTCTCATTGCGATTACATAGAGATCGAATCCTTGTCACTGCTGCCATTGATTGGTGGAACTGAGTTCTCCAATTTCAAAAACATTGTCAAAAGAACTCACTGCCACATCTACCTGCCAAATTTGACCCCAGAACTCTACTTTAGTAATTCGCTGGATACGGAATCTCAAAAGCCAACCATATACGTCACAGGACTGAAATCATTGGTGCTGTTAGCCAAATACATGTTGTCGGACATAATTCAGAAGATCAACAAAACACCGTTCATCAAACAGCTCTCTGTCATGCCAATCAAGAGAGAAAGCATGATCCTGTTCATGGAGGATCCGGACTTTTTGAAGAATATTATGTTCGAGACTGGCTGTTTCATCTCCATCCCGTCTCTTGGCTTCTCATACCCAGAAGGAACGGGCGATATCATTAGTTTCCAGGCTAATTCTATTGAGGATGTGGATAACGCAATTGATAAGTTCATGAGTCTCATTTCCAGCTTTTACAGTGCCAAGTACGAATTCAAGATGACAACTTCAACCACCGCAGATGTGAGCAAGCTGCTGAGTTTCAACGATTCGCTATCTTTTATCACGAACTCCATTGTGTCCTTGGCCAAACTCAATGACGATTATGTCTTTCAGGTCGTTGGGCGCTCTGACGGGCTCAAGCAAGCTGCCAACCCTCTAGCTCAGTTTGCTCCTTACTTGGAAGCTGACCTCGTTAAAAGCACGACCACATACCAAATAGAACTTTCCAATAAGGAGAAAGACTTCATTGCTGGCAAGAAAAACGGAAAGATCATCAAGATCATGAATATGTCATCGGTGACAATCAAGCTTCTTCCGTTCACAGACTTCAACTTCATTGTGGAGATAACGTGCGCTGATTTGATGGATTCCGTACTTGGCCTAGGTATGTTTGAAGACGAGCTTCCATCCATTATGATTTTTAACGTCCCAGAGTCATTCCACAGACAGATCATCGGTGTTGGAGGCCAGACTGTTCAAACGATTATGAGAAAGTTCAATGTGTTCATCAAATTCTCCAACTCTTTCGAGCTAAGCGAGAAGTCTGAATCTGCCAGCCCGCATTCCTCCAACTTCCCTCAATCTTTTATCCGAAAGAAAAACGTGATTATCAAGTGTCCGGCGAAAAACAGGTCACAGATTCCTCTGGCCAAGATGGAGTTAGAGAAGCTTGTTGAAAAGGTGATGAATGTCAACTACTCCTGTTCTATTGTCAAACTAAACAGACCACAATGGAGGCTATTGACATCGTCTCAGCTCAACTGCAACTTGAACACAAATCGAGTCAAGCCAAGCAATTTTGTCACGGAGCTGGAAAAAACGACCAACACCTTCATTAAATACCCGAAGCTGGATCATGAAGAGGCCAACCAAGACACTGTGAGTTTGGAAATATACGGAATCGATAACAATTCCAAAACCTGCTGCTCGGAGCTGATCAAGCTGCTTCCATATGAATATGAGCTCAAATTGCTCAAATCTGGAATATTCAAAGAGCTTATGGATACAGTGAGCAACACCAAAAGGATGCTGAATCAGCATACAAATTTGCTTCAGCTCGAATTTTTGAACACTGTTGTGGTTCCCCTGAAGCTTCTGTACAATGTTGAGCTGTTGTTCAAGAGCAGCAAAACCACTGACTCGATTATCCTGAATTTTTATCCCGATGCTTTTGGTGTCGAATGGCTACCAAAGGACAAACTGAACGATGAGATACAGCTAGAGGTTGGTAAGACAGACAAGTTTAGCCAGATGCTTGAGAACGTCAAGATTTTCCTAAGAAACCAGAAGATGGAGATCATTTCGCAGAGTTTCAAAACTTGTGAGTTTGAAATTATCACCCCTGAGCAGAAGGTCGAGAAAGAAAACCTGAACTCAAAAAAGCCGTCCCAGCAAGGACTCGACAATACCGCATTTTCTTCTGTCTACGTTAGCAAAGGAGCATCGTTTCAGCAGCCGATGCATCCGCCATCCACGAAGCGTGTTCCGTCTTCGGAAGCACAGCATCAGAACGGGGGCTCTCGTTTCCAACAGACAGTCAACACAATCGGTCCATTCAGCGCACCTGATTTCAATTTTACGCCAATGAGCAATACTTACTGAGTGCACAGATCCACTCGCATGGACGTTCTTTTATAATGCAAAACCTCAACCACGAATTGAATATGACGTTGATTTCGTATATAAAGCTTCAATTATACCCTGAATTTCATCTCAAGAGATTACTCCTTGTTGGAGATGTTGCGATGCAAATAATTCAAGGCGTTGGCAAGAGCGGATCCGTTTTTTTGTGAACTGGCGTCGGAGCCGTCCTGTTCTGGATTCATTAGTAGTTTCATTCGAGAGGCATTATCGGTCTGCTCTCCGTTTGGTGTCGATTGCAGCTGTTTGACCCATTGCGAAGCGAGGTTTATTGCCGAGTTTGGCGGATGGGCAATAGATTTTGGATCCTGAGGGTTGGTGGGCGGTAGTCCATCGTGATCCAGGTGGCTATACTCCAGAGATAGAAGCCCACTGGTAGAATCGAACGAATAATTCAGGCGTGACTGACAGGGGTACAGCAGGACGTTTCTTGGCTGCGCGACATCGTACTTGGCGTTGTCGTTGTCATGCGACTCGTTTATGTCTTGCTCCTGTGAATTTTCGGGCACGTCAGCATCGTCAACCAAGAGCGAGAAATCTCTACGTTTATTTCCAACGTCCTCGTGGCATAGCATCTGCGCGTAGAACTTGTTATTTTTCCAGTTGGTCGACCTCGTCTTGAACGTGTATCCCTGGCTTTCCAGAATATCAAAAAGCCGACTCAGATAATGCAACTTCAGCTTCTTTTTCACTTCTTCTCTATAATTTGTCACTTTTTGCTCCACACTGTCAACACTGGCATAGTCGGGTCGATTGCTTATAATCATGCTAGAATCGTATCTCTGGATAATGAACTCTGGAACCTCGCAGCTATATTTGATGGAGATGACGTCCCTTTGCTTGTTGTGCGACACTCTCTCCAGAAACGATGTGAAAGAGGGACGAAGTTTTACAGGTTTGACATGGCCCAAATCTTGTTCCACCTGGATAGTCGGCCCCATGACCGACTCACGCTGCAGCTGGTCCATAGCATTCAGCTTGTGGAGCATTTTAAGCTTCTGGTTCTTTTTGTAGACCTTGTTTTTCCGTCGGCACGCATCGCACGTCTTATATTTCGTCAGTGTGGCTGGGTCTTCGTCTGTAATATACACGCGCCGTTTGACCTTACACTTGGCGCAGTCCATATGCGTCGTGTTATAGGCGGCCAAAGACATGGAGGAATTATAAGGCATTGATCAGCCGGTCGATCCCCAGAAAATCAAAATAATTAATTAAATAAATTCAGCTTTTTTTTCGGAATATTCATGAGCTCCTTGTTTCTTCCGAATCCCTGCCTTCTTGGAATACTGCTGTCAGTTTCCACGCACGACGGGAACCAATTGGTGTTTCACTATCCGCCCCAGCCCAATGAGTACGGTTATCGCCCGACGCCGCTCGGAAACCAAGTGCTCAACACAGAAGACGACGACTATTCCAGCTCGTCAAATGACGAAATAGACGACGAGCTGCTAGACATGAACCTGTACAGCATTCACAACGGCGACGATGACTACAGCATTTCTGCTGGGGGCAGCAGCCGTGGCAGTGTAGGCGCAGAGAGCAATGGCAGTGGTGTCAACATGCTGGGCACCTCGACGAATTCGGGAGGCAAGGGTTTGCTGGGGATATTGGACGAGCAGGACCGCAAGCGCAAAGACAAGGAGCACAAACGTCGCAATTTAATGAAAAACATCATCATGGGGGAACAAGTCGGCCAAACAGACACGTCGGGGAGCAACAGAAGCCCCAGTACCTCACTTGTGAACGGAGGCGTCTCGGACCAGGAAACTGCCGCTTGCAAAGTCGACAAGCTCTTTGGGTTTGATGTTGACTTTGTTAGCGAGCTTGTGACACCTCCAAAACAGCTCTGCAACTCGCGCTTTGAGGTATCTGTGGAGGATATGGCTTTTTTGGGGCTTCCAATTCATGTTAACGAAGACGGAAACTGGAGAGTTTCCAACCATGCAAAATCGCGCAGGAAGAAAACAAGCCGCAAGAAGAAGGTGTCTTCAAGCTCAGAGTCGTCTGGCGAGGAAAACGAGTCTGACCATGGAGAGAAACTGACGAAAAATGATTGTCCGATGTACATGTTCCATCTGGTATTTGTCATGAACCCGCCGGTGATTGAGTATAATCACCGGATCGACGAGATGTTCCACTACATTGTGAGTCGGATGGCTCTTTTGCTGAGATACGAGCAGCAAAAGTCCAATTACGTGTGGAACCAGTCAAAGCTGATCCTCGATCTCAGGGAAGAGTTTTCATCGCTTTCTTTAAACGAGCAATGGAAGAAGATTACCGAAAAGTCGTCCCTGGCACGAATGATGGCACAGACGTTCACGGCAGTCTCGAACTCGGAAATTATCAACATTGAGATTAACAACAAAATGCGGTCGTTCCAAATCCCCATTCGCACAGAATTTAGCTCTCTGCCGCCACGCCATACACAGCTATTGCCTGGATCCACCCTATCGTCTACGTCGCCCTTCAATTCATTGGGGCTAGATCTGCACAGCAGTGCGCAAACCGATGACGATACCATGATCCACTACGCCCTGATCATGCTTGATGATCCAGAATCGGTCATCAGGGACATCCAAGCCGAAAGACACTCTTTGATTGCTAACTTCATTCGCATGATCAAGCCAAGCGAAAGCTTGTCCAGATTGGCGACCCTCAGCGGTCTGGATATCGCAGAGGTCAAGCTGTTTGCCAACCATCTGGTGTATTGGAGAAGAGCCAAGGCCGTCTTGCCATTGAGTCCTAGAAACGTTTACATTGTATCTCCGCTGGCACCGCTGTCTAATGTTCACAAAGATTCAGTGTTGTTCAAACAGCATTTTCCAAATCTGCCCCCGTTGGCCAATTTTCTCTCGCTGATTTCCTCCTCGTCCTCGAAACCAAGACCAATCAACACCATCATCCCAAGTAAGGACCACAGAGACTTGTACCTGGATGCTGTTGCTTGGTTGCTAAGACACGGCTACATCACCCAGCTGCAAACGTTCCTCTATTTGCGTATTACCAAAGAGGTGAAAATAAAGGTCGAGGAAGAGCTGGAGATGGAACGAAAAAACAAAAAGAACAAGCACGACGGCGATGACCCATCCTCCGAGGATGAAGAGGACAGCAAGGTGGCTTCAACGGATAACACCACCAAAAAGAGAGAGCAGTCATCGTTGCCGTACTCTCTCTCGGGATCAGCAGGATCTGATCTCAATCTCGAGTCGCAATCTATATTGCCAGGAACTGTGTATTTTGAGGAAGAAGAAGAGGAGGACACTATTCTTCTCGACCCGCAGAGTGCCACTGCTCAAGAACGCCGCTGGATAGCCAAGTGCGTGGAGGGCCAGCCGCTAGAGGTGATCAATCTGTTCTACAAGCTGCTGAAGTACATGAACGGAAAGACGTCGCTGGAGCTCTTGATGGTGAAGGAGAACATAAGTCGTCAGGATGTGCGGAAACTGCTTGTCGCTCTAGACAAGCATGTCACAACTGTAAGACATTGGTGATGTATAATTTAATAGACGCGACGATCGACTTTTTTAGGCTCTAAAAAATTGTGCGTGCGTGTGTATTTATTTGTTTTGTTGATTGAACGATAGACGAAGCGTTTGTGGAGACTGGTATAATGTCCTCATAGATTCAAACAAAGGACATAACTTCGAATCGCGATATCACTGTTAGACTGGCGCGTTGTATAACGAAGAATAGTATTCATCACATAATATACAGATCACTACGTTCCAAGATGGACAAAATAGATAGCCCGGAAGAACAGGAAGAGTTCCCTTTTGTTCCCAATAACCAAATGGATCAACAGCAGCAATATCTTCGATATATGGATGAGCGACACGAATACCGAAATCGCAAGATCAAGACGTCGCATGGACAATACGTCAAAGTGATGGTACTTTTCGCGATTCTACAGATCATCGGCATTGCGTTTTTCACCAAAGGGTTCCTGTTATCCAGACAGGTGCTGCAGAATCAGGCGACGTGTCTTGAGCAACAGGAGAGCGAAAGCTGCGAACGATTTTCACCCTTCAAGAAAACGGTTGTTCTTTTGATCGACGCCTTACGATTTGATTTTGTGATACCTGTGGAAGGAGAGAATGCCGACCCGTACTATCATAACAATTTCCCAATCCTGTACGATCAATTTGTGAAGCATCCGCGCAACTCCTTGCTGCTCAAGTTCATTGCAGATCCTCCGACGACCACTCTGCAACGACTGAAGGGACTGACCACTGGCTCTCTGCCAACGTTTGTGGATGCAGGGTCCAACTTCGACGGAGACACTATTGATGAGGATAACTGGGTGTCTCAGCTTCACAATCACGGCAAAAATGTCGCTTTCGTTGGAGACGACACCTGGACCGCTCTTTTCTCACCCTTTCTGCACTCTAATTTGACATATCCATATCCATCCCTGAACGTTTGGGATCTTCACACTGTCGATGATGGTGTGATTGAACATCTCTTCCCAATGATGCACGACAAGAGCCACGAGTGGGACGTTCTTATTGGCCATCTCTTGGGAGTTGACCATTGCGGACATCGCTATGGTCCTAGACATTACGCTATGAAGCAGAAATTGAACCAGATGAACAGTCTAGTAGACCAAGTCATAAGTTCGCTAGATGATGACACGCTTCTCGTTGTGTTTGGGGACCACGGAATGGACTATACAGGAAATCATGGAGGCGAGTCCAAGGATGAGCTGGAAGCAGCTCTGTTCATGTACTCGAAGCGCAAAAACTTTGGTCGATTGGCTCAGGAATACTACAATGTCACCGACCTGGGTAACAATTACAGATCCGTTAATCAAATTGACCTGGTTCCCACTATATCGCTGCTGATGGGTCTTCCTATTCCATACAACAACCTAGGATCACCAATAGAGGAGGCTTTTATTGGGCCAGATGGGAAGGACCAGCATCAGCTAGCCAAGGTCAATTTTCTAACTTGCCAACAAATTCACAGATACAGACAACACTCAGATCAGCTTTCCTCGGACACAGTTGTCAATTTGAAATTTGAGGAGCTTTCGGAACATTGGGACAGTTTACAACAAGGAAAGAAGGATCAACTAGACTTTATCAAATTCAACGAGCAATGCTATGAGTACCAATCTCTTTCCTTGGAGAAATGTAAGTCATTGTGGGCGACCTTTGACAATGTCTCCATTGCCATTGGTATTGTGCTTGTCACCGTTTCTCTCCTCCTCTTGATCATTTATGCGAAGTTAGTTCCCTTGGTGGTTATCACGCAGCTCAATCCACAGTTTATCGCAACATCGGCAGCGATGACCCTAGTTCACTCATTGCTGGTCATTTCCTTCACCACAATATTCAAACCTGAAAACCTTAATATCTTGTGGTCCTGTTTATTAGGAATCTCGCTTGGAATTATTAATGGGATTCTGGCTCCGATCATTGATCGGTACTCGGTCCCATGGCTTTTAGCACAAGTCAGAGAAAATCTCATACAGAACGGCTGGACATATTTAGCATTGTCTGTGGTTCTGATGCACTCGCTGATCTTCACTTCAAACTCGTTTGTCATTTGGGAGGACAAGATTGTCGCATTCTGGCTCACCTCGTTTGGTTTCTGTGCATTTTTCAAGTCCTTCAAGCATAAAGATTCCTATAAGCAGCTTCTTGGAGCATACCATTCGGTTGTGTTCATTTTACTCACCAGAATGACTTCAAGTATTAGGTTCTGTCGCGAAGAGCAGGGTTCTAAGTGTCTAAGCAATTTTGAAGTGACTTGGTGGTCTGTTGGTCTCATTTACGTTTCTGCCATGTTGCTTCCAAAGATGATTGAGAAATTCTTTGATATCACACACTCATTTCATGGTGCTGCTCCGCTCTGGATTTCCACTGGTCTGAAGAGCATGATGATGTTGACCGGTTTGATGTGGACCTTGGAATATATTGAAAACAGCGACTATTTCAACGCTCAATTTAAGATTCCGTTTGAGGCCTTCAAGGCAACAAGGCTGACGATCGCACGCATTGTGATGGGAATTTCCCTGATTGCTAGCAACTTTGGGTGGTTTTTGGGCCCCCTCTGTATCAAAATTGATTTGAAGTCGGATACAGACAACCAGCAAGTATTGAAGACCGCAAACATCATTGGATACGGTAACGTTTACGGATCCGCCTACTTTTTGTTCGTGATCAATGTTCTGTGTGCAGTGTTGCTAGTCAACAAGCCGCTGGGAATCGTCTCGCTCGCGCTATTGGTCAACCAGATTTTGACGCTTTTGGAGCTGATCGACATCCTTAACATCCGTACCAATCTCATCTCCGTCGTCGCAATGGGCCTGTTGGCATATTTGCATTTCTTCACCACGGGACACCAAGCAACGCTGCAAGCTATCCACTGGGACACTGGTTTCATTGTCACTGAGTCAATCGTGTTCCCGTTCACGCATCTTTGTATTTTGATGGACACTCTAGGACCATTTATAGTCGTCTGTTTATGTGTGGCTCTTATGTGTCTGTGGAAAATCCCCCCAACGAGCAAGGCAATTTCGCTGATCTCAAAGATCGTCGAAAACTCATCAACTTTGCTTATATATCAGACATGCTTGACATTATCCACGCTAATCATGACAAACCACTTCAGACGACACCTGATGGTATGGAAAATATTTGCTCCACGCTTCATGCTCAACGGTATCATATTAATCACGATGAACGTTATACTGTCATTAGTTACTGTGGGTTTCGCAACTGGCAGGGTCATAAAACGCTGGAACCAGGTCTTTGGTACCTAAAATCATTGTTCAATTAATTTTATAGACTACAATACACTCATTCCAAGTTTCCGTGGAGGTTGTCGAGGAACACCTGGTCGTCAAGTGCTCCAAATGCGCCATCGTCGCCAATAATCAGATCATCCGAACCCGCGTACAATAAGTTATTGTCAAACTCGAAATTGCCGTTCTGGGCACTTGCACTGAACGGATCGTCGAAATGAGCTTCTCCCAGCATTTCCTGCTGTGCCGGAGTCGCATTTGGAACGGACATCGCAGAGATCTCCTCCGTGCGTCTGTTCTGAGCTTCTTGCGCTCGGCGCTGCTCTTCCTCCTGACGCTGTTTCTGCATGAGTTCCTCTTCCTGTCTCTTCTTTTCCGCAAGTTCTTGTTCTAGCCGAAGCTTGCGATCCTCTGCCTCTTTTCTGCGCCTGAGTATGAGCTCTCTTGCCTGATGGTATTCCTCCAAGGTGCACTTGCGCTGCTCAAAGTTTAGCTGACGTTTTTTGAACAATTCGTCATCCTGTATACTAATGCTGAATTTGGCCTTGAGGTCGTCCGTTATACTATCCACCATGGATATGAAATGGTCCAGCTTTGTCACGTCGTATTCCTGGAAGGTATCAGATAACAAACCAATTTTCTCCGTCTCGTAAGCAAACTTGTCGTCAATATTCTCATCGATCGTTTCGGACTCTAGTTGTTCAATAAGTTTCCTCTGATGCTCTTGCTTCAATTTCATGACTCGCAAATCTCCACAATGGCTGTCGGCAGCCGTTGGCTTTTCGAGGCTCTGCTTGATCTCCTCCTCAGAAGGCGCGTTCTCGGCGTCGACGGGTTTGCCGTTTACGAGACACACGGGAAACGAGGAGGGAGGAACGATTCTGGTAAACGGCACAAACTTGCTCACCACGTTTTCCAACAGCTCGTTACTTAGCTTGAACTTGAATGCCGCAGACTGTCTGAACGAGAAAACGTCCACTTCGTCGTTCAGAAGCTGCGATTCCACAGAATTGGGCGGAGGAATAGGCAGACTGTATATAGGATGCGAGAATATGTTGACGGGGGGCTGCGGTTCGCGAGGAGGCGGAGGGGGCTGTTCTTTGTTATGCGACTGGCGGGACGGAGGCGTGAGTCCCCGCTGCTCGTAGAATGCGTTTGGCGGTCTGCCCCTTTTTCGGTGCGGAGGCATCGTTCCTAAAGTGTTTTGTTTTCGGAAATGTATTTTTTTGATATAAAGTATATATATACATGTATAAAATAATTCGTCGCCGATCGTCGCCAATAGACGCACCCATCTTTCACTCCTCGTCAACGTCGCTGAAATTTGTCGAGTGTGTCAATTCGTACTTCGTCAGCTTCATTCTGCGTCTTCTGTTGATGAATCCTAACGCGTTGGGAGGCTGTACAGAAGGAACAGCCAGTTCACCTTCTGTTTCTCCGTTATCGATCAAATTGTCGTTTCCCAGGTACAAGATCTTCATAATGTTGCCAAACGAGACGACGATCGATTTGTGCCCAAATTTCTGAACAGGGCCTATGCGTCTGATCAGAAGCCCTGAACTGGCGCCGCTCGGAATCTCGTAGTATTTCACCTCTCCCGTAGCGGTCATGGTCCATCCTTCCCAAATATCATGTAGTTTCATTTCAGCAGCAGCACGCTTGCTCTTGCGACTCCGCAGCCGTTCGCCCTCTATGAGCCGTTTGCTCGAGCTGTAGCCAAAAACGTCTCTTGTATCGTCCTCAGGGTTCGTTTTTTTGCGCACTCCAATCAGAAAATTGAGGTCTGTTGGACACCAGCCTTCCACGTTGCTCAGCCAGTGCTGGTGCTCTGTCACCGACGCAAAACCAAGACACCGCGTCTCGCGGGGGTCTCTCTCGACTCTCATGCAAATGCTGTTTTTGGCCTTGTTGTCGATGGAGAAAGTGTGCACGATGAGTGTATCAGTTTCCAGCTCTGTGTATGCTATGGAAAAGGAGCTCACGGAAGCACATCCACAGAACCGGCAATGAGACGGCTCTGCGTGAAACACTTTAAAAGTGTTGGGTTTGAACTGGCCGATGTTGACCGATTTTAGCATAGTGCCCGAGTTCACGTCGATCAGCTCCGCCGTCAGATCACATGCTCTCACAAACATTCCAACAAACGGAACAGGCTCTATCACCGCGCCGGAATAATCTCTTTCCGGAGTGTCGGGGAGCTGCTCCACCTCAATCGCAGACTGCGACCCAAGGGCCACGTTCGCACGCAGCTTTTGCAACGACTCGAGAGATTTCTGGTTCATCGACGAGGTTCTGGAGATCATCGCTGGTGTAATTAGTCGCTTGCCAGAATTGTAGCTTTCTGTCTGCACCTTTACAGACCTCACCTTCCACTTGTTGTTGATCGCTGTGGCAACCACCAAAGACCCGTCGTCCAGCACCCCCACGACTCTGTCGTTGACTCTGGGTGTAACTATTTTTTTGCAGCATATTAGCTTGTGCTGGGTCAAATTCGTCCTTGTCATTGACCCGTCTGCACAGTTAACAGTCACCATATCGCCGTTCCTCAGCACCATCACAAACTCTTCATTTTTGTTCACATTGGGACCGCAATGCTTTCCCCGGTCGAACGTCGAGTCGACAGACGGCGACCGTCCATGACCAAGAAAAGCCCGATTTAAAGACGTCCTTCCGCGAACTATCGGATGCACAGACGGCGCAGGACTATCTTCGGACGACGAGCTGTCATCCAAGCGTACCTGTTTGGAAAGCTTTGATTTCCGAGTCACGGTCTTGACTTTAGAGCGTGATAGCTGAGGACTCGTTCGAGCTCTGAAAAAAGACTCCAACGGAGTGTCATTTATCAGCTCATCGACCTGACACGTCCATATCCACGACATGGTAAACCGCGACCAGCATTTCACCGCCCCGGATTTACTGAACACAGTGATTAGAGAGCCTGTGTTTGACATCACCACATTGGTGACAGGCAACAGAGTTCCACTGAGAGGCAGCTGTGTAGGAGGAGGAAGAGGAACCGTCATTGGCGACCAGACGAGAATCTTGTGGTCCATCCCCACAGAAACTATGAACGGACAGGAAGAGGTGGATATGCGCACAACGTCCAGGAAATGGCCGTTGACCAGTTCTTTGGAGTTGAAAGCGGTGTGCTGGTTTTCCGGCGCGGTTTCCAGCGTTCCTCCCAACCCTGAAGAAACGTTGATGCCATCTTTGGCCAGGAAATATTTGAGAATTAAAGGCGCACTGGACATCACAAACGTCAAACAGCTCAAAAACTCCAGAATGTAGAGCATGTCAAAATTGAAGACCGTTTCCTGGTTGGAGCCAACAAGCAGCGGCTCCGCGAAAGGCTGCACAGCATCTTTCGCAAGAACCACTGTGGGATCCAAAATAGAAACGATAAACTGGTCTTTCTGTGAATTCGCAAATTTCGAGTATAGCTGAAGCAGCTCGGCTGCCAGCACTTTTTTATCGGGGAAAAAATCCAAAGACATGCTTTGAAGAGCCATCACTGAAGCGTTTGCAAACATCGACTGCATAGACGCGAAAGTCTGGGGAATGTGGCAGTTTACGCCACAGGTCCATTTGGATATTAGTAAAAATACAACCAGCACAATGGCAACACTTGAACGAAAGGACTTGAATAGCGGAAGTTTCACCTTGAAGAGGTACTGCCGTGCAGTCGTCCAGAATGACACCCCGCGGTCTCTGTTGTTTTGTGGACTGAGCAAAGCCGAAGAAAAGATAGAGCCAGAACCAAGCGGCCTCATTTGCATCTCCTGATCCTGAGAATCGTCGTGCTTATTCGACCTTTGCAAAAGATCTTGCAGCTCAAGTCGGCGTATATCTATTCCCACAATTGTCGTGAAATAGCTGACGTGCAACAGATGGTCGAACACGAGGGTCAGCGAAGTGAAAAGCACATGCTTTCTGGCGAGCTCGCTCAGAAATGGCAACGCCAAAACCAGCAAGGCGATGTCTGCTAGGACGATCGTCGTGGACAGCGGATGACTTGAAAGCGCCGCCTTGCAAATACGAGTGCTCACAGACATTTCGTCGGATGTCCGCGACGTTGCCACCACTAGTCGAAAGGTATTTTCTATGCTCACCAGTAGCACGATTGACAGAGTGATCAAGAGCGGGAGTTGAGAAAGGTCAAGAGTCCTGTAAAAATACGTTGACAAAGTTGCGCTGGAGAATATGGAAAAAGTGATCTGGACAGCGTAGGCACAAAATAGGCCAGTTCTCGACTTGATGGAGTGAACGTTGGTTAGAGATATTATGGCATAGACAGCCACAAGCACGGGAGCAGCCGCTACCAGAGCACTCTCCAGGAAATTACATTTTTTGTAGGTGAGCTTAAAGCTGGTTTTTCCAGGGTCCTCTGCCTCAAAGACGTGGAACTTGTTGTTTGATTTGGCCGTCTGCAAATTTTCCTCCCAAATTTGCTCAAAATGGCGTGAGGCCTGGGTCGGATAAATGATGCAGAGCTGCAGCGATTCGGCACTCTTGACTATTCCATCCACCTTGCTAATTCCTGAAAGCAGTCGAAATCGCGACAGAGGGACCCTCCAATTGGCTTTCTGAGACTCCATGAGATGAATGGTTTTAAGCACATTTGTGTCGCTGCGCAGCAACGTTTCGTTATTATGCCAGTATTCGAGAGGCGAGTGTATGTATATGGATCCATCTCCCAGCGAATCGTCTCCTGTCTCTAAGCCGTGTATTAATTCTTGCTGTAAATGTAAGACATCCAGCAAAAATTCTTTATTCAGAGCTCCGTGAGACTTCCTCCTCGCCACGGCTTCCATCGCGCCAGACAGAGTGCGGTTTTCGCAGTTTAGGTTCGGCTGGATCCACACACTTTTCATGAAGAAGTCAGGCTCGGCCAGCGGGCTGTCAGCGAGGTGAATATCAACCGTCTTAACGTAGCTGGTGTCGCTAAGAGATGTTGGAAAGACGCTTGATGTGGACGCATACAGCGAGTAGAGCGTGGGATAGCTCAGTACAAAAAGGATGGTGGTCGGCCAGAGAATAAAGGCGGTCGGATGCTCCAGCAAATGCTGCAAAATTCTGCGGTGCTTGGATTGCAGAAACTGGAGCCATGCCGTGTATCGGGCAGATATAAGTCGCTCCCAGGTCTGTAACAGGCACGGGCTCGATTGCATTGTGACCAATCTCAGATTCCAGCGGCGATGTGTTTTAGTGACCCATCAACTTCGCCAGCTTGCAGTGTTCTGGTGTCGGGATCAAATTAAATTGGTATTAATATGATCCCGAACTTTTTTTTAGCATCCGGAAAAAGTGCAAACATCTTTACACTGGCTTTATCTTTTTCCATCTTGACTAATGCTCTCGTAACTCGTTAATTCTATATGCAACACTCTACTCGACTCTTTTTCCGCAGTCGCCAGCCTTGCAAACTTTGATCTCCCGCACCCACTCGCTGTTCAGTATCTGGGCACACGTGATTCTTCTCTGCGGCAGGGGATCTAGCACAGAGTATATAACGTTCCTGCATCTCGCACGTTTGAGACCCTCGATCGGTTCGTAGCCTTTGGCGTCCTTCCTTTTCTGCAGGTAAGTGGTGAAGAACTCGTCTTCCGCGTTGGCCAGCTTCCAAAGCTGCCGACCGGTGCGCATGGCCATGTATATCACGCCGCACGCCCAGACATCTATGGGTCTCGGGTCGAACTCCTTCTGCGTGTACTCCTCGGGCGCGATATATGGCGAGGAGCCGCAGATTCCATGACTCAGTTGCACTTCGTCCTCCCACGCCATTTTGAAGCACTCGGCGTTACCGAAATCGGTGATTTTCAGCGTTCCTTCTGACGTGAGTAGCAAATTTTCTGGTTTCAGATCCCGGTGAGCAACACCCATCTTGTGCATATAATTGAGGCCCCGGACCAGCTGTTTGAAAAAACAGTCTGCCTCCGCGTACTCCAGCCTTCCTGCCGTCACAATCAGGGAGTACAGGTCGCCTCCCGAACAATACTCCATGACCTCGCAATAATCGCTCTTTGCATCTTTCAACAGGTCGATGGTCGATATGATGTTCAGATGCTTCAACGACGAGGATATACAGAACTCGCTCGTCAGTCTTTTGGAGTAGCGTTTGTCGCTTTCATTAGGACGTCTTCTAAACTCTTTGACTGCGTAAAGAATTTCGGTAATTCCGTCAGAACCATCCTTGACCACTTTTTTATGGGCCACACGCACCACTCCAAATGCACCGCGGCCAATCACTTCTTGGCATTCGCCGTATTTTTCCACAAACAGACGATCGTCCGCCGCTTCAGGCTTCATATTCACACTCATGGCGGTGCTAGGCTGCTGGATGGCGTTGTGAGGCCCAGAGAACTGGGTGATATCGCCTCGCTTCACCTGGTTCAAGAGACCAGACAGCAGTGTTGGAGGCAGGTTCTTGTTAGTTGCTGCGTCCACCCTGGCCTTAGCCTCGTTGTCGAGCGCAGCCAAGTTCGAGGAGGACAATATATTGGGAATGGCTGAAACGGCAGAATTTCTTAATTTCTTGGCTCCGAGCCAATCCTTCACCATCTGGCCCAATTTCTCCTGTCGCTTGGTGTTTCGAAGATGGTGCTCGTGGGTTCCGTCCTCGCGCATCAGGAAACGGGCCACTTGGGGAGGTTTAGACGCCATCGACCCAGACCGCGACAAAGGCACAGCGTCGCTCGAATTTAGGCTTATCGGGACAATATTTCCTGCAACCTGCGAGGAGCTCTGGCCCGGACTTCTGGCTTTGCGTGCACTGTTGCCCACATTGGCGCTGGCCAAAGAGGACGTCGAGTTCGAATGGAGCTTGGCCTCCTTGTAGTTCAGATCTGAAGCACCCTTCGCCTGTAACGTGGGGGATGAGGGACTAGAGCTCAGGGACGCATTTGAGCTGGTAGCAGGTGACGGCGACTCTGTTCCTGACGCGCTCTTGTTATTGGAGATCCCTAGAATCTTGCCCAGCTTGAAAATCGCCGAGTTGGGGTGTCTTTCTGTGGTTCCTGAGGCAGCCATGAAAACGTACCTCTTTTGACTTCCGCAGTCTTCCCCCTTTCAATCGCTCGTTTGAAGACAATCAAACGCTTCACTCAACAGAGATGTAGGACACCTCGGTACCGCTAATGTATGTCAAAAGGCACTAACTTAAAGTGTGTTTTGGTGGCTTTTCGATTTTTTATATCTGAAGCAAAATTATATACACTAGGGATATTTTTGGAGCCAGACAAATTTTTTCAGTCTGCAACCGTATCCGGTGCGAGGTGTCGATTATTAAGGGCCTTAGTCAAGCCGTATCGAGGGAGCAGATTTGCGCCAGTTTCTCGATGTGCAGTTTGAGAAGACATTGCTCGCGTGCTATCTGGCGCGCGTTCCTGAGATACGTCTCAAATTTCAGCTTGCCAGCGTCGTGGAGCTTGTCCAGATTGTAGAATAGGTCTTCCAGAGCTTTCAGCTTTGTGACCAGCTCGTACAGCTGGTTGAAGACCGGGGTCTCCGCTACCAAGTGCGAGTCGAAGTTTGTGACGCTCTCGTCGTAGCCCTTTTCAAGACTATCATTCAAATGGACCATTTCTTCGGTCTTGGCCTCTAAGAGCTTGTCCTGTTTCGCTATGGTCTCTGATAGAAACGACAGGTAATTTTTGTCGTTGATGGTTCTTTCTGTGAGCTTTATGAGCTGATTCTGCAAGTCTATCAGTCTCTGAAGTGTTTCTGTGTCGAATGTGTTTAGAAGCTTGGATTTTTCACCCTCGAGCGTAATTTTCAGGTTATTTATCACCTGGCTGCGGTTTGGGTTAGGCGGCAGCAAAGGCGGTTTCGAGACCTGCGTGGGCTTGTCTATTGGCATGCTCATGAGGTTGATCTTCTGCTTGGTCAGCCGAGGAGTCTCTGCTGGCTTGGGAGAAACGGGTTTCGGTGGAAGTTTGGGTATCGGAGGCGTACTGTTGGAGTTGCTAAGGGGAGGATGTTTCTGTATCGTATCCACGAAAATCTCCATCAATCTCAGCAGCCGGTTGTCTTTCGGGGGCGTTCCGTCGTTGGAGACGTCCTGTCCGAAAGTGCGCATCCAATCGCTCAAAAACGGATGGTAGAACCTGCCGTTGGCGTCCAGGTAGTTGTTTGGCACCACCTGTCTCCCGACCCCGGCCTTTATGTAGATCAATGGGGCCATCCGTGGATACTCGTGGGGAATCCATACCTCGAAGTCAACCTCCTGCTCATTGGTGCCGTACACTTTGACCATCAATTCCTCTTTGCCCAAATCAATGACATGGACGTCTGTCTTGACTTTGAGGTACGGGAAACACGTCAATATCAGCGAGATGTCCTGGTATCCAAGAACCGGGTTGCTGTACTCAGGCTGGAGCACGCGAAATAGCCATTCTAGTAACTGTGGAGGCAATTTCGACATCCTCCAGATGCATGCGATTATCGATCTTGGAATGCGTCTAAAAAATTGCTGCTCAAAAATTAAAAACGTAAAGTATTTCTGGTCCAGCATCAAAACGCACTATTTTGCCACAAACGCGACGAAACTACTTGGACTTTATCGCACAGAGGTGATTTCACGCATTTGATAGACACTGTTACAGATTGCGCTGGAAAATAACAGAAAATGAGCGGGTAAGTGCCAACTGAAATACCTCAAAACCAAGACCCTAACTGTTTAGATGGACCGTTGTGTGGACTCTACTTGTCACCGTTGCCGTGGGAGCTGTGTTCTGGAGATATGCACCTAAAGAAAACCAGACGTAAGTACCGATTTCCATCGTTTTGCAAAGACTAACCATTCCAGTGTTTGGAGAAGCACGGTGTCGCTGTCGTTGGCTATGATGTTCCTCATGTGGGCCATCACATATCTGTGTCAATTGCATCCGCTGGTGGAACCAAGAAGATCAGATTTACGGCCAGAGTATGCAGACTAGATACCTACACCTGATCAAAAAATACGACTAATGTGCTAAGATGTAGAAACGACAATTCAGAGCCGCCAACCAGCCTGGTGGCTCTGGGTAAACGCGTTTTCACGATCCCGTCCTCGAACTCAACAAAGTATCAAATCGCAGAGACGACAACGGGCTTGATCTTCTCCATCACCAGAACCCATTATTCCATAGAGCAAGGGAATATGAGGCAGAAACAGGAGTGAGATCCTCTTTGTCCATCAACCAGCCCACCGGCTGTGCAACAGGCAAAGAAGACCAAGTGAAAAATTTGTCCTTCTCTAAAATTTATGCCCTGCTTTATATGCTCTGTTTGCTTACGTGAGCCTCTCATCCAAACACGGCAAAACAAAGACATATTCTTCTCCTGGTCTGGCAATTAGCATGAAATAAAAACCTCAATGGTGTCCATTCTCTATCCTTTCTGGCTCGTATACACGTCGGTCCAGTTTGTGCTTGTAAGGCCGGTCGTGACGGCGGCCCAGATACTTTTCTACGGCGTTGTGCAGGTTCCAGCTGGGGTCTTTCGGTGGGTCTTTGGAGTCGACATCACTCGCCTCGATCTGGTGCAACTGCGCTATGTGCTCGATCTCATCAGAATTCTGTACCAATTTCTGAGTGTTGCGATTTTATTCGGCTTGTTTGTGGGCACAGTCAACGGCCTGGCACTGTGTCTGGTGCGCTATCTTTTGACCTTTAAACAGCCTGCTATCAGGCTCTTCGGCTCGTCAAAACTGCAGATTAAGCAAGAGGACGAAGAAATCAAGCCGTTTATAAAGTCTGAGTGGGGCCTGGAACCAATCAAAACCGAAGAGATCAGCCCGTTGTCCGACCCAACCTCGTCTGCGCAGGTCTTTGATCATTCCCAACATCAGATACGAGAACGCCATCTTTCTGCATACTACGACGACGACGACGGATACGGCACGGTCAGACGCGAATTGTCGCCGAAACCCCCACACCAATCGAGAATATCATCGCGATTTTCATCGCTTCGCAGTGACTCCTTATTCAACACATCGCATCACCAGTCAGAGTCGGAAACCGATACTACAATTGACGCTGACCGGTCAGAACTAAACATAATCAAAGAAGAGGATGTATCATAATGACATGTCACATTCAATCCTAAATGTATAGGTTACCATTTCCTGCCACCATTTCTTGATCGAGATGAGAAATGTCGAATTTGACCTGCCACCAAGCTGTTGCATCCTGGACAAGTTCATAAACTTTGCCTACCACCATCCTTTGAGACTGGGCAACACTGAAGGCTTTGGAGATCTCAAAAAAATCGTGAGCTACCAGTTTGCTCGTTTTCTGTCGACGCTGAGTGTTTTTGGAGACAACAAAGCACTGATGCCTCCTTGGACCTTGCAACTGTCACTTAAAATTCAGCTCCAATTTACAGGACCTGACATCTTCAGTGCGATGGCGTGGAATACGGATGCTATTTACAGATACAGAGTGATGATCCTGGTGAACTTTGCTGCTTTTCAGCCCGTCTGTCTGTCTGAATTTAACATATTAGTATACGAGTACATTATTCAAGATGTGGATCTGGAAAAATTCAAGAAGCTGGCGTACATCAACCTGAAAGCGGTGTTGCAGTCCCTCTCGGTCAGAGTGGAAGTCAGTCATGTATAGACCAGCGAGCCCGCGACAAAATTCTTGTTGTAAATAATTTAGATTGTCGTATTATGAGTTGCTACTGTTGAATCAAAATGTATCTCGGCAATTTGGTTGGGACTTGTGTAATGCTGCTGGTATAGAGATTGTGCAAGTTCACTGTCCATGAAGACTATAATATTCAATGAACATGAAATTGACTACCTCAATCTTCAAAATGCTACAGTCTACAATATTCATTTCTCTACGTATTATAAAAATCATAGCGAATCTCAAATAACATTCCCATTTCCTCCAGCCTCTAAAGCCCTCTTCGATATCTCACCCCCCCATCCCTCCGCGGTGTCCATCCTTCCCCTGGTGTCAGCTACGTTATCGTCCCACTAGTGGCTGTGCGATGTGGCACATGTGGCTAGTGCATAAAAATTTTTCAGAAAATTAAAGCAGATGAAAAATAAAACTCATTGAAGCTCTCTTCACAGCAGTCATGTCTAAGGAAGAGTTTATGATCAAGCCGGAAAGCACCACTCCAACCAACGACACCTCGGAGTGGCCACTCCTGCTCAAGAACTACGACAAGTTGCTGGTCAGAAGCGGGCACTACACCCCTATTCCAGCAGGATCCTCGCCGCACAAAAGAGACCTCAAGAATTATGTTTCCTCTGGTGTGATCAACCTGGACAAACCATCAAACCCATCTTCCCACGAGGTTGTTGCTTGGGTGAAGAGGATTCTGAGAGTCGAGAAAACCGGTCATTCTGGTACTCTTGATCCTAAAGTCACTGGATGTCTTATTGTCTGCATCGACAGAGCAACGAGACTGGTCAAGTCCCAACAGGGTGCTGGTAAGGAGTATGTGTGCATTGCTAGATTGCACGATGCCCTGGAGGACGAGAAGGAGATGGGAAGAGCGCTTGAGAGTTTGACCGGTGCTCTTTTCCAGAGACCTCCACTAATTTCCGCCGTCAAGAGACAGTTGAGAGTGAGAACCATCTACGACTCCAAGCTGCTTGAGTTTGACAACAAGCGCGGTCTCGCCGTTTTCTGGGCTTCCTGTGAAGCCGGTACTTACATGAGAACTCTGTGTGTGCATCTTGGTATGCTTCTTGGTGTTGGAGGACACATGCAGGAGCTTAGAAGAGTTCGTTCTGGTGCGCTTTCCGAAAACGATAATCTTGTCACTTTGCACGACGTGATGGATGCCCAGTGGCTGTACGACAACTCCAGAGACGAGAGCTATTTGAGAAAAGTGATCTCTCCGCTGGAGACGTTGCTTGTTGGCTACAAGAGAGTCGTGGTCAAAGATTCCGCCGTCAACTCTGTCTGTTACGGTGCCAAGCTCATGATACCTGGTCTTTTGAGATACGAAGAGGGCATTGAGCTCTACGATGAGGTTGTTCTGATGACCACCAAGGGAGAGGCTATTGCGATTGGTATTGCCCAGATGACCACCGTCGACCTGGCCTCGTGCGACCACGGAGTCGTTGCCAAGGTGAAGAGATGCATCATGGAGAGAGATACGTACCCAAGAAGATGGGGATTGGGACCGGTTGCTCTGAAGAAGAAGCAGATGAAGGCCGACGGAAAGCTGGACAAGTTTGGAAGACCTAACGACAACACGCCAGAGTCCTGGAAAAAGGAATACGTGAGCCATGAAGATGTTCCTGCGCCAGCCATTCCTGAGGACAAACTGCAAGCTCCGGAAGTTCAAAAGTCGAAGGCCACTTTCCTGGACTCGCCGAAGGACGGAAAGGACGGAAGGGACGAGAAGGACGAGAAGGAAGAGAAGAAAGAGAAGAAGGAGAAGAAAGAGAAGAAAGAGAAGAAGGAGAAGAAGGAGAAGAAGGAGAAGAAACGGAAGGCCGAGGGCGAGGAAGGCGAGGAAAAGAAGAAGAAGAAGAAGAGCAAGAGCGATTAGACAGTCCCAATATAATTAGTAGTTTGCAATCGTCTGTAGACTAGACTCAGTTTTTTGAGATTGTAATGGAGCCCAGATTACATAATGCAGCGAACTCTGAAATAGAGGCTTTTTTGTTTTTACAGAAAAAGTGGTCAAAAACAATAAATAGTATTATCTTCAGGGCACTCAATTTAGTGCATTTGTCATCTTATTCGGATTAGGTGGCACATATAGGCTTGAATTTGTTCAATACACATTATTCATGTCGTGGGAAGGCTTCAAAAAGGCCGTGACAAGGGCCGGAGCATCGGTAAGTATGGCGTTGGATTGCCTTCGTGCTAACTAATTTAGGTGACTGTTCGGGCGGCTGACAAAATCATTGACAGAGACTATGACATGGAAGAGAGACGGTTCAAAACATTGGAAAAAGCCGGAACCCAGCTTGCAAAGGAGACCAAGGGCTATCTTGACGCATTGAGAGCCGTGACGGCATCGCAGGTTGCCATGGCCGAAATCATCAACAACTTGTACGAAGACGCTAGAGCGCTAGGCGGAGCAAATGTGGGAGGATACTATTTGAGCGCTGTTCAGGAGTACGACCAGGAGACTGTGAAGCAGCTGGACGGGCCTTTCAGAGAGACAGTTTTGGATCCTATCAACAAGTTTGCCTCGTATTTCTCTGAGGTCAACGAAGCCATCAAAAAGAGAGCGCACAAGAAGGTCGATTACGAGCAGGCAAAGAGCAAGGTTAGAAGACTTATCGATAAGCCTGCCAAAGACGCTACTAAGTTGCCAAGAGCAGAGAGAGAATTGCAATTGGCCAAAGACATATTCGACGACCTGAACAACCAGCTTAAAGAGGAATTGCCACAGCTGGTTGATCTGAGAGTTCCATACTATGACCCTTCGTTTGAGGCTCTAGTGAAGATCCAGCTCAGGTTCTGCACGGAGGGGTACGCGAGATTGGCGCAAGTGCAACAATACCTTGACCAGAGCAGCAGAGACGAGTATGCCAATGGTCTTTTGGACGCCAAAATCGATCAATTGCTAGCAGAGATGAACAAGCTGAACATCTGCGCTCTAGGGGTGAAATAATGAATGGTATCTTATCTAGTGATAAAAAAAATATCCAGGCTGTGTAAAATATCACTGATTACTCGCCTATTCTAGAATTTTCCATTTTTGGAGATCAGCTATATGGAAATATTAAGACTCCGTCAAAGTGGTCAATTGCTGATATAAATCAGGTTCCTATCCAGAAAAATTTCCCTTATATATCCAATCTTGCTTTTCACGTTAGTTGATTGCAATTAGACAAGATGGTTAAAGAGACAAAGCTCTACGATTTGCTAGGAGTGTCACCTAACGCCAGTGATGCTGAACTCAAAAAGGCATATAGGAAGATGGCTCTGAAGTACCACCCGGACAAGCCTGGTGGAAACGCAGAGAAGTTCAAAGAGATCTCAGAGGCGTACGAGATTCTGTCGGACGCAGACAAAAGAGAAGTTTACGATCAATACGGATTGGAAGCTGCCCGTGGAAATGCTCCTGCTGGAGGCAATCCATTTGGAGGCGGCTCATCGGGCTTTAGCAGCGGCGGTGGAGGAGGCCGTACCTTCTCTCAAGCCGACGCATTCAACCTATTCAATCAATTCGGTGGCTTTGAAGAGATGTTTGGAGATTCTGGTGGCTTTAGAACGTCCAGAGGTGGCTCACCATTTGGCTTCACCTCTATGGGAGGAGGAATGCCAGGTGGATTTGGCGGCATGGGAGGCGGCATGCCAGGAGGATTTGCAAGTGCCCAGCCCAAAGAGCCTACCGTTGTTGATCTGAACGTTCCTGTTCCATTGGAACTATTATACACCGGTGGATCCAAGAAAATGAAAATCAGACGGAAGGGTCCTTCTGGCCAACTAGAGGAGAAGATAATAGATATCAACATTAAGCCGGGCTGGAAAGCCGGCACAAAAATAACATACCCGAACGAGGGAGACTACCAAGACGGAATGAGGCAAACACTAAGATTTACGATTGTTCAGAAACCACATGAAACTTTCACCAGAGAAGACAATAATCTGAAGACCACAGTTAAACTATCATTCAAAGAATCATTGCTAGGATTCGAAAAGGAGGTCACCACATTGGACGGCAGAAGAATTCCGCTCACCAAGTCATCGCCAACGCAACCTGGATCCGTCAGCACCTATCCAGGACTGGGAATGCCAATTTCTAAATCTCCAGGCTCTAGAGGAGATCTGATCATAGAGTTCAAGGTCGACTACCCAGTTTTCCTCACACAACAGCAGAAGCAGGCAATAAGTGCAAACTTCTAATTTTGATTATGGACTCGAGGCATTGTAGGTCCGATACGATTTCTCAGTAATGTATTATAGATTTGCATTGATGATACTAATGTTTTTGGGAACCGTCGCGACGATCGTCTTTTTCAGCATTTAATCGATTAATTTTCGTCTCGTAATTCAATCGCTATCTTTACCCTAAATGTCCGTCATTCTTGCGTCGGCCGGCTATGACCACACCATCCGATTCTGGGAGGCGCTCACTGGAGTCTGCTCCAGAACTATACAGCACGGCGATTCCCAGGTCAACAGGCTGGAAATCACCTCTGACAAGAAGTTCCTCGCCGCGGCTGGCAAGTCCAAAATCCGTTTGTACGATATCCGTTCCTCGAATCCGAACCCAGTGACTTCATTTGATGGCCACACAAACAACGTGACGTCCATCGCGTTCCAAATCGAAAACAAATGGATGTGCTCTTCCAGCGAAGACGGAACTGTCAAAGTCTGGGATGTGCGGTCTCCTAGCGTCCAGCGAAATTACAAACACAACTGCCCCGTCAACGAGGTCGTGATACACCCAAACCAGGGCGAACTCATCAGCTGTGACCAGAACGGAAACGTGCGAGTTTGGGATCTGGGAGAGAACAAATGCACTCACCAGCTTATTCCGGAGGACGACGTGTCGATTCAGTCCATCAGCTGTGCGTCAGATGGGTCAATGCTGGTGGCAGGAAATAACAAAGGAAATTGCTATGTGTGGGAGATGAAAAATAACGAGGATCAGACACTGCTTAGACCGGTCAACAAGTTCAAGTCGCATTCAAAATACATCACTAGAGTATTAATTTCGTCCGACTGCAAGCATCTAGCAACGTGCTCAGCAGACCACACTACCCGCATATGGTCTACAGAGAATTTCTCACTCGAAACTACGCTCAGAGGCCATCAGAGATGGGTCTGGGACTGTGCGTTCAGTGCCGACAGTGCGTACTTGGTGACCGCATGTTCAGACCACTACGTGAGACTATGGGACCTGAGCACCAGTGAGACGGTCAGACAGTACAACGGACACAACAAGGGTGTGATCTGCGTGGCATTGAACGATGTGTAATGTTAAAAAAAAATGCAATATTGAATCACGAAAAAAAATCGACAACAGCAGGACTCGAACCTGCGCGCGAAAATCGCAAAAGATTTCTAATCTTTCTCCTTAACCGCTCGGACATGTTGCCTGATTCGAAGTATATTTTCTCTTAGAGGTATATCACGGCAAGTGAATCTTTGGTAGCAGTTTAATTATTCATTAATGGTGTATATAGCTATCCTTCCATCCTTGTAGCCAATGAACAGAAAGCTGTTCACGAGATTCATCTCGTCCCTCCTGCGAACAATATTCTTCCCCATCCCGTTCGTATGAACCAGGGCTGAGCGGGAAAAGGCCTGAGTCTGACTGAATGCAAGCACAGCAGCTCGTTGTTGCAAATCTCGCACATTCTCGGCAATATCGACAGTGCTGTTTGTGGCAGCTATCGATGGCACCATTTTATGAAGCTTGAATTGGAACCGCAAGATGGACTCGTCGTCGTAGTTGTAAAATCTCGAGTAACCATCCCATGTCACCATTCCAACTAAATCTCCCATGGTCTTCACGTCTGCAACGCCCTTGTGTTTGAGCCTGAAGGCACTGTGTTGGTGTTGGGACTGGATCACAATTTTGTCGGCTGAAGATGTGCTTATGAGGTTGCCGTTGTGGTGGTCATAATAAAGAGCCAGTATAGGATTGGGATAGTGCTGCGAGTCGAAGTCTAGGATGTCAACTTTATCGCCCTTTAGTGCGAAAGTGATCACATGGCCGCTTTCAAAACCCACTGCGAATTTTTCGTCGTCGAGCCAGACTAGTTTCATGACAATGCCTAACCCCCTGCTTGAATTTTCAGGAGAAACGTGAACATTGAGGTCTATATTTTTTTGGCCAGCAAGTTCCAAAGGATCGACGGCTTTGCACAGTCTTTTCAGGTCGTTGTTCTCAACGTCTATGCGGTAAATGTCCAATTTGGCGGAGTCCTGGGTCCCCGGGGCCAGTAGAACGCCGTTTCGAATATCCACATTTGAGAAGTTCATCACATTAATAGGCATCTGAAATGCTACCGGGGGAGTGGGCCATTGAGCGGTGCTTCCACCTTCTGTGTATATTCGTCTGCTCAATACACTCGTCGGCTTGAATATGTGCGGTGCATCGTTCGAGAATTCAAAAATACGCCATATTTTTAGCTCTCCGTCCTTACCATGCGAAAGCAAATTTCCAAACCAGATGTTATCAAGCACCGGTGAGCCTCGATCCCAGGCCAATCCCATCTGCTTGATAGTCAGAACGTTCCCGTCATGAGCTTTCCAAACACCGAGCGGTCTTCGCGACGTTAGGTCCCACCAGTATATCCAGCCCGACTCGTCGCTGCTCGTAAGGGTAGGACTCATGAGCTGTATTTCGCGTTCTCCCGAACGTGCTGCCAAAGAGGACGGCACGTAGAATACCTCCAGTCCGGAAACGGCGTCCTTGTGGCCCCGCAGGGTGCCGTTCAAATTGGTTACTCGTCCGGTGGAGGTGACTTTTATCATTATTTTATATATGCACAGCCACATCCTTTATTAAAACCGTCAATTTACACTGTAGTAGAATCCCAGGCCAATCCCAATCGCGCAACCGGCCAACGCCAACAGCGCCAACACCCCGCTGGCTGCTTTGTACTCTAACGGCACGCGGCCAAAAGTTCTGTCCAAATAGCCGACGCATATGAGCAGCCAGAATGGTGGCACGAGGAACGAAGCAAGAACGAAAAACAGGGCCGTATTTCTCGGGCAGGTGTGGCCGATCCGGGCTCTGTGGTAGTAGAATTTCTCAAGGTCGCCGAACTCGTTCCACTCGTCTAGCTGGAACGTGCTTGAGTCCGAGGAGAAGGACTCTGATTGGAGGAGGTTTTTCTGCGACTCTCCGGAGCTGAAGTTTCTCTTTGCCTCGTGGTCTTTCAAATACGCTTTTTTCGGCGTGATGGGGCCGTATTTTTTGCTGTTGAACAGCGCCGACTCCTCCTTGGTGAGCAAATAGTGCTGAGTGCCAGGAGCGAATTTTCTGAACTGGTACGAGGAATTTTTCAGAAAAGGAGGGCCGACAACCTGGTGTGGCCGCAGACTTTGTGTCTGCGGATACTGTTCTGTCACGCCGCTGGCCTCGTCCGCCGCGTCGCCGTCCTCGTTGCTCGGATAGTCGTCTGTGTATATCGTGAAATCGTCCTGCGACGAGCCAACCAGCTCGATCACCGAGCTCTGCGTGCGAAAACTGCTGCTGTGCGACAAATTGGATATCTCCTCGGTAAAATACCCGTGCTCTCGCTGGGACGCGCGAATGCGGTCTTCCTCTCTGCGGCGTGCGATCATCGTGCTGTTTCGGGTGAGATTCTGCGAGTCGTCGCTCGTCACCAGACTGGAGAGCTCTCCGGTGTAGTCTACTGTGCTTTCGAACTCATTGTCCTGCGGAGGTCTGCAATTCTCCTGCTGCTCGGAGCCTGCCTTTGTGGTACTCGGGACTTTGAAAAGACCGCGATCTCGCTTCTTAAGAGGACTCAGATTTAAAAACAGGTTTCGCTTGATTGGTGTTTCTGAGTTCAGCTGGTTGACATGGAACAGGCTTCGGAGCCGGGACCCAGAGGTCGGTGGCGATACAGGCCCGCTCTTGCGAAGGGGCGTTTCGTAAACGTTCGGCTCCATGGTGGAAGTGCTAGTGCAATTTTCAGTTTATTTACAACATGCTCCATTCGGCAAATTGACAACAGGGTGCGATTACGTAAGCACAAGACTGCGAGGTAGCCTGATCTGTGTGGTGCTGGGGGGGAAGGGTTCAGTTCGATGTGCTTGGTGTTGGCCCTCTCAATGCACAGGGCTGTGCGTTCGCGTGCTATGTGGCTGCTCGGACATTAAATATATTTTTAGAATATCTATAGTACCGCTTTTTATGGACCTGCAGTACTCGTCAGACTCGGACAGCGATACTCAGGAAGCTCTCAGACCCCCGCCAGAGAGCTTTCTTCTAAAGTACTCGGAGACTCCCGTTTTCAGGCGCAAGGAGACACCCAGCAAGAGAACGACGCACGTGTTTCTGCACATACCCTTGTCGAATGAACAGCACGCTCTTCTGCATTCGCTGGCCAGAAAGTTCTGGGACGAGCTGAGCCGGCGGTGTGTGCTCGACGAGTCGGCCACTTTACTGGAAACCCTGTTCGACGAGCTCACAGACACTGCCAGAAGTCTCCATATTTCTCTGTCATACAACCTGACTTTTGAAAACGACCAAAAACTTGGAGAGTTCATCTCCTTGCTGGAGGAGAAACTGTCACTGAAAACTCCGTTGGAGGTTGGCTTTTCCGGCGAAACCAGACTCCTCCCCAGTTTAGACGGGTCCAAGCAGTTTGTTGCCCTGATGGTGGATCAAGAAACACGCAATAAGCTTGAAAGCACGGTGGAACTGATAAACCACCATATTCCGGGCAAAAGAGACGGCGTCAATAACATGCCGTACAGCCCGGACTTCCTCCACTGCACCATCGGCGAGATACACCAGAAAGACGTGCAATTCAGCGCACACCTACAGCCGGTCACGCTCGCGGCTGCCAGCGTCATGGCCTCGCAGGGGAGGAGCAAGACACCCTTGCACCAGAAAGATGCTGGCGAGGCGAGAAAAAAACCAGCGCAACAAGCCACATAATTTTCGTACTTGCTTATCGAAACGCAGGAGGCAAAGTGTACGTGAGCCCCAATGTCGAACCTATCGCCAAACGACCCGCTGTACGAGCCCCCACAGACGGAGGAGTCGGCCAAATTGACGCCGCAGGAACAGAAACTGTACAAGCTGTACGGCCGTTTGCCCAAAAAGTCGGAGGTGCTGCAAAGTAAGCTAAAAGACAGAAAGTTTTTCGACAGCGGAGACTACGCCATGTCGAAAGCCACGGGACACAAAGAGCAGGTTGGATCGATAAACCCGCTGAAATTGCCAAATATCGAGAACGTTGCGAGGATCAACAGGAACTCCATTTCTGGGGTAAGTGCGACGGGGCTTTTGAGTGCCAACCAGCACAAGTCCAATCTGGAGAACGAGCGGAAAGACGTGTCTGAGGAGGCGGTGGAGGACGAGTAGCTGAAGAAGAGGTTCTTTGGTGCTATAAATCATGAGTTTATGCTATTTAACTGTAAACCTATAGGTGGCTAGCCGATTAGTCTCTTGCTGATCCGGCCAAATATAACTAGCGAGATGAACAGGAAAGACCCGTTCCAGAGAAGATCGGCCAGTGTGTCTGGGTCGCTAAACACGCCGAGCAGGTTTTGCTGGAACGTGACGTAGGTGTAAACGACGATCGTCCCCAGAGAGACGATAAACGAGGACAGCAGGCCGCCGATAGACGAGTCCATCACGATCCACAGCAGTGCGCAGATGCCCAGGAAGACGAGCGACGCCTCGAGCTTCGAGTCCCACTCCACCTTTCGCAGTCCGTACGAAAACCCGACCAGTGCAACAGTGAACCTGACTAGCGCAGCCGTTTCTGGGAAGGACCGTTTCTTGCCGTTCCAGGTGAACACGAGCTCCGAAAGCGGTCTGATGGAGCCAAAGAGCAGGCCCATTACGGAGTTGTTGAGGATTTCCATCTGGACGGGGCTCAACGGCAAGTTGACGTTATCTCTGACTAGGTAAATTAAACGAAAGTCCGCGAGATTGGGGAGAGCCGGGTTCAGTTTGTACAGCTGCTCGATCAGCTTGATGAACAGGTTGCCGAGCACACATAAAACCAGACTTTTGCCGACGATCCCGGGAAACAGGCCGATTGCCGACTTTCGCGGGCTCGAGCGCGGAGGCGCACGAGGAGCGTCGCCGGGCCTCCTCTTTCTGATGTTGTCTTTCAGGTTCTCGTAAATATCGTTTGCAGTATCTGCGTCTTGGGCATCTATCAAATTTTCGCCGCCGCCGTAGATCGAGTACAGCTGAGGCGTGGTCAGTGTGAGGACGGAGGAGTTTCTCGACATGAGGGGCCCCGAGTTTAGGGGCTCAGTCTTGTTGTCCGGCTCGTCGGTATTTGAGGTCTGGGTCATTACTCAAACGGCTGTGCAGGGAGATGGAGCAAAAGTGTTTCTGGGCCTGAATATTGAGAGCGTGGATATGTTGTTTGTAAAGAAAATCGATCAAGTCATGAAATTTGGCCTCCGGCATTTATTTCTGTTCTGATCGATGTGATAATTGCTGAGCTAATATGGGCATGCGGGTGCGCTTGCACGGAAAGAACAGAGCACACCAGGGAAAGACTAGCCCAGACCCAGCCCCTTGGGCGGCCGCCTTGCCCCGCGTCCAGACGGAGTTTCCGCTCTCCTTGAATACCACACGGTTTCCGGCTCGCCATCCAGCTAAGCTACTCTGCTCGGGTCGCGCCGCGGGACATCCGTGCACCGGGAGCCCGAATAATTTAGGCTGGATAATATGATACGCGTGAGGCCCTGGGGTGTTTGCAGTTTGCGAGAGATCGGGAGGTTTTCCCGGCAGGCGAAAAGCGTTTGCACCTTGTTTTTCTGCGCACTGGAGAGGCCGACCGAGCGAAGAAGCGTCACACGTGCCGCGATCAGGTGACAGACACCACGCGAAGTCGCCAACCGTGCAACTAATTTTCCGAATGCGGCAGGCGTCGTGTGGCCCCTCCAAAAAAAAAATGTAGCCAAATTGGATCAGACTGAAAACTGTTTTTTAGGTGGACAAGCTCTTCTCACAGTACTATACTCGACACCAAGGCAAGGGACACCGACACCTTGTGAATTGCACAGCACGCAGCGCGCACAAAATCCAGTCTTTTCTTTGTTTTTTTTCAGGTCGCTAGTCGAACACACCACTACAAGGGATAGATAATTGTCTGCATACCGCAATGGCAGATTTGTACATTGCGACGTACTCACAGGTAAGTATGGTCTAGCCGTCTTTGGCAAGTACTAATGTCGCCAGGTCGATGTTATTGAGAGCACGGTGAACGGCATTCCGCTGATGCGCCGGTGCGAGGACGACTGGGTGAACGCTACCCAGATCCTCAAGATTGCGGGGTTTGGCAAGGCGCAGAGAACGCGGCTGCTGGAGAAAGAGGTGCACCAGTTCAAGCACCAGAAGATCCAGGGCGGATACGGCCGTTTCCAGGGCACCTGGGTGCCGTTGGACTTTGCGAGAGAACTGGCCCAGACACACAAGATTCCTACCGAAAACTCCAAAGTGCTGTACTACGACAGGGAGAAGGACGCGCCGCTGGAAAAGCGCACCAAGACGAAGCCGCCGGCCGCGCAGGGGGCCGGGGTGGAGGCACGAAAGCGCAAGAGCAAGGTCGACGGCGATGCCGGGCACAAGCCGAACAAGAAGGTGCCTGGGTTTTCGCAGACGCACGCGCCGCCGACGTTTGGCAGCGTGCACGCGTACCACGCGCAGTCGCAGGCCGCGCCGCCGATGGTGCCGATGAACACGTCGCAGTACGCCTTTTCTGCGGCGCAGCACCCCTACTCTATGAAAATGCCCGCCTATTACGCCGCGCCGGCGTACCCCGGCATGTCGCAGCAGCACGTGGTGATGCAGCAGCCGCAGATGCAACGGTTCTCCCACAACTACAACAACTTCGGGTCGCTGTCGACGACAGACGGGTCGCAGGACGAGCTGCGGCTCAATAGGACCAGCTCCGACACGTCCACGTCGAGCGGGTTCGAGTCGGAGCTGAAGCACCCGGGCGAGCTCGCCATGGACTCGTTTGCGCACCACCAGTACGCTCTCAGCACGCCGTCGGCGTCCAACATTCTCTCGGAGCACCACGAGCTCGAAAACGGCGAGTTCGACTACTACACGGAGAAGCTGCTGAGTTTCTTTGGCAACGACGACGAGCCGATCCCGGACTTCATCCTCAACCCGCCGCGCGACTTCGACATCAACAAGGCCATCGACGACGAGGGACATACGCCGCTGCACTGGGCGTCTGCGCTGGCGTCGCACCCGGTGATTCAGGTGCTGATCGAGAAGAACGCGAACCCGCTCATTCTGAACGGCTCGGGAATGAACAGTCTGTCGAAACTGGTCCACTTCACCAACTCGTACGACCTCAAGAATTTCGGAATCATCCTGCAACTGCTGCGCCAGTGTCTGATTGTGCCCGACGCGCAGGGCCGCACGCCCTTGCACTACATCATGGAGCTGACGGCGAACCCAAACAAGGTGAACTGTCTGAGCTACTACTTCGACGAGATTGTGCGGTTCATCGAGTTCCAGCAGAGCGAGGCCGAGCGGCTCTCTGCGGGCAATAAGGCCGACAGAGACCTGCTGCAGATCCTGATAAATCACCGCGACAAGAACGGCGACGCGGCTCTGCGGCTCGCCGTCAAGGCCGGCGAGCCCCGGTTCATTGCGAGGCTGATCAAGCTGGGCGCCGACGTCGACGAGGTCGGGCTGCACAACATTCCGCCCGCGGTCGTGCAGGAGCTGCGGCTCGACCGCTACGAGAGCGTGGAGCCCGCCAAGTTCCGCACGCCGACGCGGTTTGCGGCCGAGGACGACAACAAGGAGAACGTATTCGAGGACAACAGCACTATCACCAACAGCAGCGTGGCGGGCAAGGACGACGCCGCGCAGCTGCTCAAGCTCGAGACGCCGCGGTCGCCCGGCTCGCGCGCAGACGACCTCGCGGCCGCCGAGTCGTTTGTCGATAGTCTGCGCCTTTTCGAGAGCAGGCTGGCGTCGCTGATGCAGAGCCTAAACGAGAGCGTCAAGGCCGAGCTGGGCACGAAGGAGGAGGAGCTGGCGCACAACCTCGAGACGATCCGGCAGATGGAGAGCGAGGTGCAGCAGCTGGGCGCCAAGACGGACAGGCTGATGGAGCAGCTGCTGCGGGACGCGGACGACGACGACCGCCGCGTGCTGGAGAGCGCGGCGTTCGAGCCGCACACCGTGCACGGTCTTCTGGACAAGTACGAACAGCAGCTGCACGAGAAACACGAGCAGCTGGTCAACATGTACGAGCGGTCGCAGGCGCTGGAGCTGGCAAAGCTGGTGCACCAGGAGGAGACGCAGATCAGCGGCGCTGCGGAGCAGGGCACGGCGGCGAAGCGCGTCGAGCTGGCTGTGCAGCTGACGTCGTTGCAGATCGAGCGGCGCGGTCTGATCGGGTCGATCACGGCGTCGCTCAGCGGCGTGTCCGACTGCGAAGAGGGCGACGCGGCGGCGCTCGAGGAGCGCCGCATGCAGGCCAAGCTGTACCTGTACCGCAAGCTGATTGCCAGCATCTGCAACCTGCCGTTCGAGGAGATCGACCAGGACCTGCTGACCGGAATTGAGACGCGGCTACTGGAGGCAAAGACATAAATAAATCACTACGGGACACTAGGCATAATAAACAGGACGTTGAACAATATATCTGTAGATAACCCATCCTTCATTCTTTTTGCAACTCCACACCTCCAACGGCCCAAATTTCGCGCTCGTCCTCGAACTGGTCCGAAAACATGGCCTCTTTGTCGCCGCCGGCCGCCAGCCGTTCTCTTTCGACGCTCGCGAGCCGGAACCCGACTCGCTTGGCGTACTCTGTAATTGACCGCAGCTGCAGCGTCTGCCCGCTTGCCGTCTGCAGCGTCGGTGCGGCGTTTTTGGCCTGCGCCCACTCGTTGAAATACCCCATGTTCTCGTCCTCCACGAGCCGGAACACCGCCAAGAAGGCCTTTTCTGCTGCCAGTTTGATCGGGATCAGCGGGTCCCGCACGCAAAGGAACACGCACGGCGCAATATCGTCCACAAACGGCCGCACACACCGGTCGTACTTGAACCGGCAGACCGTGCGCACCACCACGAGCGCGAGCCGTCTGGCATCTCTCGAATTCGACGGCGGTGAGTTCATGCTGACGCAGAGCTGGCGAACCAGCGCGCCGAACGCTGTCTCGTCCTCGTCCGCGAGCTCGTATTCGTCGGGCAACTGCAGCATCAGCTTGCCGCACGCAAGCACCGCGTTGTCCGACACGTCTGCGAGCGGCGACGCACAAGCATGGGCGATAAAACGACACACGTCGGCAAACAGCCCCGTGGCGAATACTTGTGCGGGAGCGTCTTTGAGGAACGCGTTGACCGTGAGCACGGCAAACCGCGCGGCCTCCTCGTCGCGCAAGTCGATATCCAGCACTTTTGCACGCAGCATCCGCACGGCCTCGTCGGGCAACATTGTCGACGAGAGCGCGCCAATCAGCTTGGCGTACGCCACAGCGGTGTCCCCGCCAGCTTGCTCGCCCACCATCTCGTGCTCCACGAGAGCCAGCACGCCCGCTTTCGACGCGTCGCTCATCTTGCTGCCCGCGCGCAGCACCACCTCCAGCAAAGCACGCAGCATCGCCGTCTTGACGCCGCGGTTCTCTGCACCAACGGCGTTTTTCGCGCCCGCCACCAGCTCTGCCACCAGCGGGTCCACGCGCGGCTGGTACTCGATCAGCGTGCCCAGTGCGCGCGCTGCCCGCGCGCGCAGCAGCTCGTTCGACGTGTCGCTCAGGGACTTGACAAACGTGCGCTGCAGCTGCGGAATGAACGGTCTCAGGAACTGCGGGATCTTGGCAAACAGCTTGTTGAGCGCCAGCAAAATCGCGCTCTTCACCTCGCCGCCGAACCGCTCGCCGATCACTCTGATCAGCGGGCCCACAATCACCGTGACAAACGGCCGCAGGGCGTCTGCCGGCGTGCGGTCCACGACGCCGGCAATGCCCTCGGCGGCCAGCTCTCGCTGCTGCGCGGTGCCGTACATCAGGCCGTTCAAGAAGATCGGCAGCACGCAGTTGGGGCCCTTGGGCAGCCCGAAAACGTACAGCTCGTGATCGGGCAACAGCGACAGCGTGCGGTGCGCGGTGGCCACGAGACGCTCGAGCGTCTCGCGCGGCTGCCGTTTCACCAGCGCCGTCAAAGCCTCGAGACTGTGCGCGGCAACGTCGCGGTCGGCGTCGTCGAGCGCCAGGATCAGCTGCGTCACCAGGTCGTCGACGTACACCGAGTAGTCGACGGCCACGCTGTCGAAGAACTGCGGCAGCACGCGGTAGATCACGTGCGTCTTGCGCTGGTCCTCGTGTCGCATGAGCGCAAGGACCTGCTGGAACAGCGGGTGGCACCCGTCGTCGGTCGTCACGGACAACAGCGTCTTCAGCAGCGCGGCGAGCAGCTCGTCTGCGTTGCCCGTGCCGGCGATCACCGCGTCGACGAGCGCCGCCACCACCGTCGACAGTTTCCTGTGCAGCGCCGGACCGGCCACCTGTGCCAGCGCGCCGATTGCGCGCGCCTTCACCGGCGGCGTCAGCAGCGACGGGATCAGGATCGGGAACAGCACGTCGGCCTTGGTCACCATGATCTCCTGCAGCGCCGCAAGCGCGTTCTCGGAGGCCTCTGTGTCCAGCAGCTCCAACAGCTGCGGGATGATTTCGTCGACGGCGACGCTGCCGACAGCCTCCTGGAGCACGTCGAACGCCTGTGCGGCGGCCTCGCGCACTCCAGGGTCGGCGTCGACAAGCGTCTCGCGCACGATCTTGAACAGCGGCGTGCGGTACTCCAGGACGGTCGCCGGCGCGGACGACTGGATCAGCTCGCGCACAGCGATGCAGATGCCCTGTTTGGCGTCGGCGTCGGACGCGAAGAGCGACGCGTCGAGCGTCGGCAGCAGCTGCGCGAGCGCGTTGCCGCCCACACGCTTGACCATGTCGCCGAGCGTGGTGGCGGCGATGTTGCGCTGGTTCTCGTCTGCCGACGCGAGCCGGCGTACAATCGTCTGTGTGAGCGTCGGCAAGATCTCCTTGACGGTGCGCGGCGTGTTGGCCACGAGCGCTTTCCAGATATTGACCGCAGCGATCCGCACAGGCCCCGAGTTGTCGGAACGGCACATAAACAGCGCCGCCAGCACGCGGTCGCGTCTCTCGGCGCCCAGAACCTCGTTGAACGCCCGGCTCACGTTCACAGACAGCGCAGTAAGGTCCTCCGACAGCTCCTGCTTGCCGCTGATGCCGCTGATCTTGAACAGCAGGTCGCCCGTGAGCTCGACGCTCGAGAGCCGGATGCGCGCGTTCGCGTCCGACAGGCCGCGCTCCAGCTCCGGCAGCAGCAGGTCGACGGCCTTGTTGGCGTAGTTGTTGACTATCAGACGGCCGGCCCGCAGGGCGGTGTCGCGAACGCCCTCGTCGCTGTCAGCCAGGCCGGCCAAGATGGGAGCAATGGTGCGCGAGAGGTACGGCGCAAACTGCGCGCCAAAACACACGGGCAGAAACAGCAGCAGCGGCATGAACCCGGCACGCACGTGCTGCTTCGCCGACGTGCAGCCGGCCAGAATCGTCGGCAGCAGCTCGTCCAGCTTGCCCAGACCGATGCCGCACGTGACCTCGGCCAAGGCCTGCGCGGAGCCCATCTTGTCGCCCGCGCGGGTCTCGTCGCGCAGCGTCGCCAGCAGCCGCGGAATCAGGTCGGGGAACCGCTCCTCGCCGAGCTTCTCGACGAGCGAGCCCAGCGCGCGCGCGGCCACCGCGCGCGTCTGCGGCACAGGGTCGACCATCGCGTCCTCGAGCTCGGCAACAAGCTCGGCAAGATACGGCACCAGGTCCTTCGAGTCGACCAGGATCGCCATGTTGCCCACGATCTGGCACGCCTTGCGTTTCGTGGTGGCCGAGCGGTCGCGCATCCCGCGGTGGATCACGTGGATGATGAGCGCCAGCGACGGGCCGTCGATGTAGTGCACGAACTGCGTCCTGATCAGCGCGTCCAGCGCCTCTGTCGTGTGCTGTGTCGGGTCTCCGATCGCCTTCAGCAGCACCGGCACGAGCTCCTGGATCTCCGGGTTGCGGATCACCTCGCCGAACCGCTTGAGCGCCTGGTCGGCCGCCTTGCGCACCTCTTTGTGCGTGTCGTTCAGAACACCGACGATCTGCGGGACGATCGTCGGCAGATTGGCAGCCAGCTGCGTCGGGTCCAAATACGCCATCGAGCCCAGCAGCTCCACAGAGCCCTTCTTGGTGCGCCACGCGTGGTCGTCCAGGTTGCCTGTGACGAGCGGAATCAGCTTCTTGATGCCGTAGCTCGTGGTGTTTTTCATGATCATCCGCGCCGCGTAGTCGGTCGCCTCGCGCACCTCGGGCGACGGGTCGCCCAGGCTGCGCAGCACGATCGGCAGGATCTCGATCACGTACGGCTCGAACAGCGCGCCCAGCGACTGCGACAGCGTCTCGAACGCAAACGACACGCCCTCGCGCTTGTGCGGGTTCTTCTTGTCGTCTGCCGCATCGACCAGGTTCCTGATAACGTCGTTTTCCGCCAGAGACTTGAGTCCGGCACCCTTCACGAGCCCGGCAATGCCGTACGCGGCTCCGCGGCGCTGCGCCAGCGACGCCCCGTCGAACAGTTTTCCAAACAGCTCGTCGAAATAGCCAGACAGCTTGGCCCGCGTGGCAGAAACCAGCGGCGCAATGCACTCCGCCACGGCAAACTGCACGTCCTCCGACGGCGTGTCCAGCGCCCGCAGCAGCCGCGACACGATCTCGATCACCCGCGCGTCCTTGGCGTCCAAGTGCCGCGCCAGGTGGCCGTACAAAATGATGATGCTCTCCTTGATGCGGTCCTGCGTGGCTGTGCCTTCGTCCTTGGCCGCGAGCCCGGCCTCGAAAATCGGGATCAGCGGCTCCAGCAGCGCAGCGCCGTGCGCGTCGATGATCCGCATCCCGGCGTCCTGCATTTCCTGCCGCACAACAGCGTTCTTGTCGCCCAGAGCACGCTCGTCGATCAGAAAACGGAACACCTGCTCCACCTTGCGCGTGTCGGCGAGCTGGGGCGCCAGATACTTCAGCGCCAGCGCCACACCGCTGCGCTCCTCCCACGCGTCCTTCGTCTCGGACGAGGCCTTTATCGGGAGGCCGAACTCGTCCAGCTGTGGCGCCGGCGGCTTCTCTTTGGCGCGGTACAGATTCAGCAGCGTAGCAAGGGTCTCGGAGAGCAGTTCGCCGCCATCGTCAGCGCCAGCATCGCAGACCGCCTGCGCCAACGCCCTGGCCACGCTGAGCCGGATCCCTGCGTCCGGATTGCCCAAAAACGGCACCAGCTGCGCAGCAGACCGTCTGTCCACGCGGAACCCGCTCTCGTCCCAGATAGTCCGTGCAACCGCGCTGTTGACGGCCTCGTTGTCGAACACGGCGATCCACAGCTCCGCAATAAACCCGTACCCGGTCAGGTCGAACTCCTCGTCCAGCGCCTCCAGCACACACGTCCGCACAAACACCACGGGCGAGATCACGTGACCCACGATCAGGCGCAGGTCGCTCTCGGCAACGTTGACCGACACGTTCTGTGCGAGCGCGTTGAAGCAGTCCTTGGCCATTTTCGATTTCGACGGCACGGTCATGAGCGAGAACAGGTCGCGCAAGATCGCCGTGCGCGGGATCGCCGGGTTCTGGAACACCTCCGAGTGGCACGCCACCAGTTCCAGCGCCAGCGCCAGCTGCTCTTCCTCCGGGTCCTCGTCCTGGAACTCGGTGTTGACGATGATTTTGCTGCGTTTGTTCCTCAGCAGGTGCGTCTTGCCGTTGTCGATGATTTTGGACAGCAGTGGCAGGACGTACATGAGGGCCAGCGCGTCGAACGGCGTTTTATCTGCTGCCATCTTGAGACTGAACAGCTGCGACGAGATCAGCTCTGTGAGCGGCAGCGACGCGTAGCGCGGCGGCACGGCGATGTTCATCAGCCGCAGCGTGCTTGCGCCGATCCACTCGAGCGTGGACGTGCCCGCCAGCCCGCCAGAAGGCAGCGCGGCCGGCAGCGCGAGGAAGCACGTGACCGCCAGCTTGTCGACGAGCCGCATGGCGTCCGGCGAGTGCAGCACGCCAACGACGCCGGCCACGGCTGCCGGGAACCACGTGTCGCGGCCGTTGTCGACGGTGGCCGCCTCTGCGGCGAGCGCGGTGGCGATATTCAGCGCGCGACACAGCCGGTGGTACGGCGCGTCGATGGCTGCTCTGGTCTCTCGTTCGAGCTGTATCTGCGAGTTGACGGCCTCCTGCTCGTCTCTGGTGAGTTTTCTGGCAGCCCCGCTCTTCTTGGCGGCCACCTGCTGCCGCACGGACGCCTCCCATTGCAGTGTCTCGTAGTCCCTGGAGTTCTTGCTCACCTGGGGCCTTTTCTGGCCCTTTTCCAGCACGTCCACCACGGGCACGCCGTCCTGGCCGTGCCAGATGGCCAGCTTCGTGTCGTCGATCTCGGGAACGCGCGAAACGTCCAGGTCGGCCTCCAGCAGCCGGCGCAGCTGCGGCACCACGCTGCTGCTGTCGACGAACGCGATGGCAGCAAGGGCGCGCACGATCGCGTCGTACATGCCGCTGGCACGGACCTCGGCCGAGGCGTTGTCGAGCTGCTCCGTCAGCGTGTCCACAATGCCGCTGTTCTGAGAGATCAGAGTGCCAGGGTCGATCTTTGCATGCAAACAAACGCCGGGCCAGCCCAGTCTCACGCTGGCCAGCTCGCTGTGGTACATCGCCGGCAGCAGCGCCAGCAGGTGCGTTTCCAAGATTTTTCTGTTGCCGTCGCCGGTGATTTTCATGATGACTGGAGCTAATTTTCTCAGGTCTAGCTTCGGGTCCGCCAGCCCAGACCGGTCTTTGGAAAGCAGGTCGCAGATCGCCGCGATGACAGAGCCGGCAACAAACTCCTGGTTGGCCCGGTAGCTGTTTGACAGCAGCTCCAACGCCAGCCGTCTGACCGGACCGACTATAGCCATGGAAGTCAGGACGTACAGCCACGAGTAGCCATACTCGACCAGCGGCTCCGAGACCTGGTCGGCCAACGCGTCTAGGGCTCGCACAAACCACTCCTGCTCCTCCTCGGTCGCCAGTTTGCCGTAGACCTTGAAGTTGGTGACAATTGCCGGCTTTTCGGTATCATGGAGCGTCTTGGACAATGAACCGGATTTTCCTAGATGGTGCAGGATGACCACCGCGGCATAGCCGCCGGCAATCAGTTTGTTGGCGACGCTCGGCAGCGGCGCAGAAATGCACTCCTCGAGCAGGGCTTCCAGCGACGGGATCGCCGCGTCGGCCACCAAAGCCGGCTTTTTCTGTACCTGGCTTCCAAGGGCAACCGTCCATGCTTTTCTCTGCTTTTTGTCCACAAGGCCCGTCTTGACGGCGTCCAGAACCTTGTCGGAGACGGAACAGACAAACAGCGCGTCCAAAAATAACTTAAGCACCTGCTCGTTCGATTCTTTTTTAATCAACGGGAGCAGCACGCTCTCTATTTTGGCGCAGGTGTTTTCTGTCTGCGGAACGGTCTGCAAAATAGCAGCACACAGCAGTTTCTGGTCCACAGCGCTGGTGGTCGAGCTCTTCAGCAGCTTGCACACCTCTTCAAGCAGTTTATCCACTTCGGTCGACCTGCTTTTTGCAAATATTATCTTGAAACACTCGCATCCGCCCTGTCTCACGAGCGCATTGGACGATTTGAGCGAGGACACCAGCTGCGCCAAAAACTTGCTTCTGGCAACGCTTTCGGCCAGGTCGACACTGGCAGCGCCGAAAACTCGCGGACAGACAATATAAAATGTCTGCTCAGAGTTGCGCAGAGCAGCCTTTTCCAGGCCAGGAAGCACGTGTTCCTCGAACTCGGACTGCGTCAACAAGCCAATAAACCTGCCAAACGAGTCCAAAGCGTACCCGTCAAGCGAAACCTTGGTGGCGAGGATATCTTTGCAAAAGTGTATAATAATCTGATTTCTTATGGAGTCGTCGATGCGTGTGTCTATGGCTGCCAATTGGCCGAAAAATGCTAAAATGCCGTTTGCAGAGAGCCCCTGCTTGCCTACGCCTGCAACAAAGCTCTCTATTTGCGAGCGATCTAGAGATCGGACGATCTTGGCCAGAGCCTTGAGTGCTTCCCTAACGAGCCTGCCAGACCGCTGTTTCTTGTGGTGTTCCGCAGTGGCTATGCCGTCAACGAGCTTGATCGCGCTGGGGAGCAAACAGTCCGTCAAAACAGCGCTGTCTGGCTTCTGGGCAGAGAAAAAGACACACCAGTCCAGCAGTACCACCAGGTCAGCTACGGCCAGAGGCTTGCCAGACAATTGTCCAACAAACTTCTCAAAAAGACCAAAAACCACGGCTCTGTCCTGCTCGAGCAGTTTCGCAAAGACGTCTTCTACCTGCCTCGCAAAAAGCTTGTCGTTGGGGAAATTATTGTATAGTCTCAGCAGAGAAATAAACGTCCTGCTCAATTGAGCCTCGTCCAGACGGCTGTCCAGAACGGCGTCGATCTGCCGGACCGCCGCACGGCGGGAAGTCAGTGACGATAGTCTCAGCTGCTGCAGCTGGAAATCCAAATCGCCTGCTTGCATGTCGGGATCTAGAAACTGTAGTGAAAATTTGAAAAACTAAAAGTAGTGCAGAGAATCTGCCGGGACGGGATGGGGATTACGTAAGCGGGAAGGGCAGAGCCAGAGGCGTTGGCCCCGGGTGGCTAGGGACAGCGTGCTCGGGACCGGCGGCGACGAGGTCCGAGCGGTGGGCGACTACGGCCGGGGACCAGCCAGACCTCGAAACTTGCGCAACGACATTCGGTAATTTTCTGGTCCTCTGCTGCCAGTCTGCCTCGTTGCTGTCACAGGTGAAAGCATAAAAGTTTTTCCGCACCTGTATATTGTATAAATCGTTTATTTCAGTACTCCTTCGAGTGGATGCCAAATTCCCAGCTGTCATAGTGCGAACATCCTAGAAAATCCCGCCACACACGCAGAGTACCGCACATTTTTTCCGCTCTTGCCTGCATAGATTATCTGACCTCATCCATGGGAAAACATCAGAAGAAGGGGCCTAAACCAACGCCGCTGTTCGACATCCGGCTGCGATCCACCGACCGGGACGTGATTGTGCTGAAGGGCTCAGAGGACGACGCGCCGTCTGTTCTGCTCTCGGGCGTGATTGCGCTCTCCGTGGTGGAGCCAATAACCATCAAACGGATGCAGCTCAAGCTCTGGGCCAGTCTCAAGTTCAACTGGGAGGAAAAGTACCAGTCGGCCAAGTCCACGTACACGCGGCCGTACAGGTACCAGAAAGTTCTTTTCGAGTTCGACTGGGACCCGCTGAATCTGCAGGAGTTCCTGAGCAACAACAACCGGCCGCTCAGCTCCTCGTACACCGGCTACGCCTCCGACGGCAACATGGTCAGTTCCGGGTCTGGTTTTGCCACGGGCACGCTCACGCGGTCCACGAACTCGTCGTCGAGTTCTCTGAAAATGATGGCGCACACGTCCAAGTCGTCGTCCACCCTGAACAAGAACAAGTCGCTCACAAACCTCAGTTCTCTGTCCTTCACGTCGAGCAACAAGAACGAGCCGGTGGTGTTGCAGCAGGGCAACTACGAGTTCCCGTTCCAGACGATCCTGGACGGCTCGATCCCGGAATCCGTCGAGGGCCTGCCCGGCTGCTCCGTCGTGTACAGACTGCAGTCGACGATCGAAAGACACCGGTTCAGCGCGCCGATCGTCACGCGCAAACACATCCACGTTGTGCGGACGCTCACCACGGACGCGCCCGAGCTCACAGAGACCGTGGCCGTGGAAAACACGTGGCCGCAGAAGGTCGACTACTCGATCAGCGTTCCTGCGCGCGCCATAGCGATCGGGTCCACCTGTCCCATTGACATGACGATGGTGCCGCTGGCGAAGGGTCTGCAGCTCGGGTCCATCAAGATCAGCCTCAACGAGAACTTCAGTTTCTCCACCACGTACTCCAGCCACGTTGACGAGCGCACGGTGCTGAATAAAACGATCCCGAAAGTTGTCACCGACCAGAACGGAAAAAACGTCTGGACAGAGGCCGAGATGGACGAGAACGGCGTCTTTTTCAGGAACGACGAGATGGCGCTGGCCCAGGACAAATGGGAGGTCCGCACCTCCGTGAACATCCCGTCGTCGCTCGCCCAGGTGACCCAGGACTGCACGATCTCGCACTACGTGCGAGTGATCCACAAGCTGCGGTTTGTTGTCTCGCTGATCAACACGGACGGCCACGTGTCCGAGCTGCGGGCCACGCTGCCCATCACGCTCTTCATCAGCCCGTTTGTCCCGATCAAGGCCAAGAACCTGCCCAATCTCGACGACGACCTGGCCACTGCCAACGTCGAGGACGCGACGATCCGCTACAAGGGCGACGAGCTCATGTTCGGCAGCGACGGGCCCGGCCTGCTCAGCTCCACGGCGTCCACGCCGGGCTCCAGCAGCTTCCTGTCTGCGTCGGCGCCCGCGCCGACCTACAATTTCAACGCCCAGGAGCTGATGGCGCCGCCAAACTACGAAAACCACGTCTACGACAGACTCTGGAGCGGCGTGAACTCGCCGACCGACACGCCAGAGTTCTCGCCGCCGTCCACGCCCAGAGGCCAGACCGGCTCGGAGCCGTCGCCCGACGCCAACCAGCTCAGCGAGTTCAACATGACGGCCACGGAGGGCGGCTTCAGCAACCAGCTGCTCGCCAGCCTCAACAGAGTGCACTCGTCGCAGCAGCCGGCATCACGCGGAAGAGCCGTCTTCAACCTGTCCGACGAGGGCACAGACTACTTCTCGTACAACTCGCCAACCGAAAACACAGACACCACGATTGCCGGGCCGGCGTTCTCGGGCGGCGCGGCCCAGCCGGTGCCCGAGACGCCTGGCCTTGCCATCAACGACCAGCGCGTGACGCCAGGGGTTTTGTCGCCGGTGCAGCATCTTTCCAGAGCAAACTCGTACGTCGAGCCTGCTCCGGGCGCAGACGGCGAACGTCCCGAGGAAATCAAGTGGGACGGCGAGCTGCTGTCGCGGGTGCCCTCCTACGAAACGGCCATCAAGTCCGACGTCACCGTGGGCGACCTCACGCCAGCGTACGAGCCTTCCGAATACGGCTCCTACATCAACCTGGACCAGCTGGACTCACGCCTGAACGACGTGCACATCTCGCAGGGAAACCACTCGCACCATCACCACTTCCCGATCCATCCAAAGCTGTCCAGAAGCACGACCTCGTCGTCGATTCTGCTGAATCTCGGCCGACACAAGGACCACAAGCTGCTGGCGTCGGAACTGGCAAAAAGCAGGGCCTCGTCCAAAACGCCGTCCCCGAGCCTTTCTAGAAACCACTCCACCGCAAACATATCCACTCCCAGAAGTGCTCATCAACACAGCTCGTCTATAGGCTCTGGCCAAACGTCTCCGCTCTTGTCTACGTCGCCTGCAATAAGCCAGCCAAAAGGCGTCCATCTCCATCTCAGCACGCACGGAACGCCCGGGTCTTCCTCCACCGACCAGTCTTCGAGCCAGAACGAGTCCAGCCACGCGGCTGGGGGCGCCCTGAAACGCCCCGAACTGGTGAAATCCAGGTCTGCGTCGAGCTTCCATCTGAACATGTCCAAGAAAAACGGCTCCTTGTCGAATCTTAGCTTCTTGCACAAGAAGAAGCAAAAATGATCAGCTTCCCTGAAAGAGGGTGATAGAGGTTTGTTTGGATGCAACTTTCCTGTGCTACCAAACACAGCTACCTGAAACACCCGGTGCAAGGTTGCCTGGTATTTTTGATATGTTAAAAATTGAATCAAGTGTGGGAAAAAGGGTCGCTGAAAAAAACATTTAAATTTGTTTCACCCTCTTCAGTCTTGACCACTAAATACTACATTCACGGGACGTTCACTTCCCGGACACAGTGCCATGAGCTATGAAAACTACGTAAGTTGATTTTAAACACGAGTCTACACTATCTCTTTGCCAGCGTCGATGTATAAAAAAGGGGCTGGACAGGGATGAGGTCTTCACGACAGAACTAACAGCTTTCCGATCTTGCAACAGTCCCAGAGTAAACCTGATTCCGCAGACACCACCGAGTCGAACTTTGGCACCTCTGTGTCCGGCGACGGGGTGCTGAGATCGGAGTCCTTTTCGGGCTCCCAAAACTCTTCCAAGCAAAACAAACTAGAGCTATCCCCTGGTTTTGACGCTTCCAAATCCATGAGGTCCTCAAATTCAGACACACAATTTGACCTGTACAGAAACAATCCGATGGACACAACCTCGCAGTCTCCCCACGTTCGGTGGCAGCAGCAGACGTCCTCCGTGTCGAGGGTTCCGAGTCTGAGCGACGCCGCTGGGATCTCAATGCCCCAGGTCTCAAACACCCAGGTCTTAAGCGGCCTGGACTCTTCCAACAAGTATGCAGGGTACTCCTGGGCGTCTGCCGCTAACCCCTCCTCTGCCGCAAATAATTACAACACCACGGCAGCTAGCAGAGATTTATGGTCCAGCACTGCAGCTACCGCGTCTGCGGGCAAAATGACCGCCAACACTAGTACATCCTCATCTCACTTGCCCAAGATGCAGGGCAACTATTATTCAGGCTCAGACTCTCTGTTCAATCCATTGTATGACACCTCGAACGGAAATATGCCACTTGCTGCATCGACATCAATGTCTAACTCAGATATGGATACCTTGGCGTTGCAGCTCATGCAGTTGAACCTTCCAAACTCGTCTTCCAATCTCCAGTCTTTACAAACTCATAAAGGACCTGCCTACTCTTCGAGCAACGACTTCTATATGTCCTGGCCCACGTACTCTAATCAAACTGCCAACGCTGTCTCAAAAGCGCCTTCAAACAATCAGGCTTCTGCATACATGAATATACAACCGCAAAGAAACATAGACCCGAGAGGCTCTCAGACGCAAAAGTCAGGCACTCCAGAGTCTGTTGCCGAGATCGAAGATCACAAGATCCAACTTGAGCTGAAGGATTCCATCATCAAGAAGCTGGAGGAGGAGGTTGCAAGACTGAACACGATCCTGAGGGTTTCCGATAGTGATGATAATAAGAAAACATTCGAAATACCAAAGAATCACGAACAGTTATATACCAAGCTCACAGAGAAGCTCCAAGCTGCCCAAGAGGAGCTGGAGGAGACGAAGCTCAGACTGGAAGTCATCTTGACTGCTGTTGCATTAAACCCGAACCAGTCAGTCACGAAGACCGGGAGGTACGACGAGGAGGAGATCGCGCACAAGATCATTACGAAGATGCAGATGCTGACCGAGGAGAACGAGGAAATGGCCAAAATGCTGAGCTACGGCAAATCAAAGGAAAAGGATATTGAAATTGGACTTTTGAGGAAACAGAACGTAGAGCTGAAGAGCAAGGTTGCCAAGTTGGAAGTCAAATTGAAAGAGCTCAAAAAGTGACACCTTTATTGCATTGTAGCAACGATTTGCTTATACTATACATTGGTAATTAAATAGAGAAATGCCGTCCATGCACCAACTTGCAGTTCAATGGCCGTTCGGTCTGCGAGTGTTCAAATTCCCGAGTTCTCAAACACGTAGATGTAGCCCGACTTTTCTATCTCCTTGATGCTCTCCTCGTTGGCAATTACGACCTTCTCGTCATTGAATAACACCCACTTTTCCTGTCCCTCAATCTGTTTTTTCAAAAATGCGACATAGTGGCCAGAGTGAATTGTGACTCCCTTGTGACAGATGACGCCTTTCAGAGTGTACTTTGTGCTACGTGCAGCATTCGACTCCAACTTTTTGATTCGCTCCTGTGGCGAAACAACCTCCTCCTGACTGACTTCGCCATCGTCGTCGGGATTAGCAAAAAGCCACTCAACCGCCTGCTCAATGTTGCCTTTGTTCAGCACCAGAGCTTTGTTTGCCAGTTTCGCGTTGAATCCCATAGATGTGAGCGACTCCACCTCTTGCTCCGAGACTTTTGGAGCGGGTGCTGAAGCGGGCTCAAAGGGATCATCGATTTCGGGATCCTCCATGTGTTCAAATAGCCAGTTCATTGCTGTCTCTGCATCGCTATTTCCTGTGGTGTAAAGGGCCCTCTTGCACCTGTTTTCAGGAAATCCCATGGCTAGCAGAGCGTTCATTGCGTCCTGATTGAAGGAAAAGGAGGAGGCTGTGTCATCTTCAGGGAGCAGCTCTTCGTCTGTTTGCAGACCGGATGATTTGAATTTTGAGAGGTCTATATTTTCCTCGAATTTAATCGGCACGTCTAATTTTATAGGCACCCAGTTCTCCAGTTTTATTCTTTGAGGAGACAGAATGAGATAGTCAGGAAGCGAGGTAAGTCCTTGTTTTTTGGAGGCCGGTTGTAGTTTTTGGCATTTTGGACACTCATACTCAACTGTTTCGGATGTGCTCAGCTCCAAAAGACAGTCCTCCAACCGCACCTCGCTGTACACCTTCTTCCCGTCATCACCAACACGTAAAACCTTGTCCTGCACAGGCAAACGAATGTTGTTGGTGAGCTCCTTGGCGAGTCTCACGCCACCACATCCCTGACATTTTATCTTATTTTCAGAAACAAAATCAAATGCATGGGTCGGACCGGTTGCAGAGACTCCGTTCAATTTCTGCGTTTCAATTTTGTCCAATAAATAGAGCAGGAACTCAAACGCGTCCTGCTGTTGCATGGTGCAGAACTCAGGGTGGCCCTCGCCGATCAGCGACTTGAACCCCTGTGGCTTGATCCCTCGCTGAAACTTGACTTTCTCGGTTGTCAACTCATCGGGGACCGAATATCTTCCAGAAAGCAGCCCGTCTCCTAGCTTAAATAGCTGTGTTTCCAAGTCTGTGGATGGATCACCCGGGTTAAGGATCTTTTCCACCGGCATTCCCTCCTCTATATGAAAGGCTGACGAAAAATTGTGAACTGAAAATAGCACCTGCAAGACAGACGAAAGATAGCACGAGTTCCCGAGATTCTTGATACCTGTAAGGCCCTTGCCAAACACGGGAGAAAGCACGTCTCCGCTATCGTCAGACATGTTGAAGTCCCATTTGATATTCTGCTCAATTTGCAGCTCTGTAAGCGTTTTCTCTGTCTTGACTGTCTGAGAAATGTCAATGCCAAAGGTGGCAAGGAGCTTGACAAGGTCCGGAACTTTGACCTCATCGTTACAAGTGTAGCAATACGAATCGGCCGAGTTCAACGACAAAGATCCAAGCTTGATCGCAATGTGGTGGTCTGGAAACAACTCGTGATGCTTCAATGCATGAGAGTTTCCAGCAACACCGCCAAATTGCGCCCGACCACAGCCAATAGATCCACACGTGACACAAATCCAGAGGTTCTCCTTCAATCCACATTGAGCGCACTGGCTTATATCGAGTTCTGCAATTGGCTTTTGTTCGATGTCGAAAGCATGTGGACAGGGGACAATCTCCTGCTCCCAGGCCTTGATTTCCTGCTTTTTATCGCTGGAGGTTGCTTTCAGAATGGCAGCGGCACAATTGGAAATTTGGGCAGGAATCCCTTCACTGGGGTAGTCCACAGACTGGTCGATTTCTGCACAATAGATCTGGGTCTTGGTTTCAAATAGCTCATTCTCTGTTTGCTCCTTGATCTCCAACTTGACCATCTTCAGCGGCTGTTCCGACTCCCGTTCTGGCTGCTTCTTCGGAGTCTTTTTATAGTTCAGGTAGATCGAGTGGCTGAAGAATTGCGCGTGCTGGCGGGTGTAATCAAGCCCATCTCGCGAAAATGCCTGGAAACAATGCATACAAATGTCAAGACCATTTTTGTCGAGCGGCGTCTCAAAGGAGAACATGCAGTCGTCCTTGTAGACAGGCGTATTGCTTGATGGAGGACTGATAATGTTATCCTCCAAAGATTGAAGATACTGGAGCGCCATCTTGGTCATTGGTGTAGAAGGCAAATCGATATAAAATATTTATTTCCTACAAAATGCGAAAAATGGTTCTGAAAAATTCATGACGACGTTGCAGACAAATCGCCCAGCTCGCACCACCCGTTCACAGGGAGACAGTTGATATATTTGCACCATTTGCAGCTATCCGACGCCTCGGCACCTTTATCTGCAAAGTTCTTCGATAGCAGTGCGAAATACGCTATCGTCAAGGCGAGACAGACGACTCGAACAAAGATCCATGTGAAAAAGATAAGTGGTTTGCGCGTCTGTCCGTCCTGCTCGTAGACAAAAGACGGGCTGTCCAAAAGGACAGTCCCCAGCACGATGCCGATGACAAACCCGCCAATGTGGGCAAAGTTGTCGATTCCTGGCAGTAGTCCGAGCACAAAGATAACAATCACTTCCACCACGGATCCGACCAGCATCATGACAAAGAGCTTCCTGCCCGCGCGGCCTTTCAGACGGGGGTCGTAGTGGTCGATGTTGTTGTTGTAAATCAGAAGAATGAGGTTCATGGCAACACATGCGCCACACAGCGCTCCTGAAGCTCCAGATGAGGCCATACCAGCAGGCAGGAAATTGGCCCCCAAAATGGAGCCGCCCATGCCCGCAGCAACGTAGATAAATGCGTACCTGAGTAATCCAATGTAGCGTTCAACCTTAGATCCAAGCGCGACCTGTAGCAGAAGGTTGAATATGATGTGTATGAATCCGGCATGAATGAAGATGGACGTGAACAGTCTCCACCATTGGCGCGGCGTGCCGTCTGAAAAACCAACGCCCATGCCGCAGAGTTCCTCCAGACTGCAGACGTCCGTGGACGTGGACGTGGAGTTGGGACACGGCCACTCCAGCTGCTCGTTATCGGTATATCCCGTGATCGTTGTCATGCAGGGCAGATATCTGGCTCCCACGTTGATTTGCACGTATGATGAGGGTCCAAGCATGGGGTTGAAGTAGGGCTTGGTTTGGAAAACGGTCTTCGTGTAAATGCCCATTTTCACCAGCTCGTAGATGAACACGACTACTTGAATGAGGCTGACGAAGTACGTGAAGTAAGGCCATCCTCGTTCACGTCCCCCAAAAAAAGTCTTGTATAGCGCACCCCGTTGCCGTGATTCTGGAATTGAGCTTGTTGTCGAGTTGTAAGCAGACTCCTTGGCCACCTCATTTACGTTGGGAACAGGGGGGTATGCTTTGGAAGGAGCGTGCCTGGAACGCCCTGAGACAGGAACGTTTTTGGCTTCTTCGGTGCGATTCACCAGCCGCGAGTAGTTTCTGTCGCTGAAGGGATCATCCTCATCGTCTGAGACGTCAAATGGGGAACGAACCATTCTAAAGAACAGGTCACTGAGGCTTAGTTGAATAAAATATTTATATAGTCTCTATTTTTATTTATTTATTTATTACATCATCTCGTCTCGTAGACAAAATAATGCAAACCAAGATACCCTAGGACCACAAACGCACCAACCATTCCGGCTAGCCAGCAAATATCAAATCTGACAGCCCCGACGTCGAATCCAAATGTGCTTAAGATCACAGCACCGGGAACGTTGATGTCCAGCCCGTACTTCTTTTCCTTCAGCACCAACCCGTTCACCTCGTTGACCGCCAAGGCCTCGTAGCCATAATGGAACACAGAAATATTCTCAAACCACGAAATTTGCACTGGAATCGTGTCCTTATTAATAAATAGTCCAGCAAACAGCAACGAGAATAGCAGAACAAGCACACCTACCATGGTAGCAGAACCTGGCTCTTTGATCAGAATCCCAATGATCAAGATTTCGAGCGATGCGGCCAGATTGAACAGGACGAGAATCAGCATAGAGAGCCAGAACTTGTTTCCCTCCATGTTCAGACCCACCAGTGGATATATGATGGCCATCAGAATGACAGGAGGGAATAACCTGAGCGGAATCACATCACATAATAATTTGCTCACATAGTAGCTCAGCGGATGATAGTAGTTGTTCGAGCGCTCTCTCACAAACACTAGTCGTTCCACAGAGAACGAGTGCAGCCCTGTAAGTGTTGAAAAGCCAAACAAAGTCAGCAGGAAGAAAAAGAGTCCAAGTCTGTTCTGGAAGCCGCTGATATTGTTCTCAACATCGTAGTAGAGATAGGAGCAAAAAAGTCCCATGATAAGGGCCAGAGCATAGTGCGACATCAAGAGCTTAGGGTTTCTGTATGAGTTCTTGAACGTTCTGGAGCACAGAATGGTGAGCTGTGTCCAGAAGCTGGCTCTAGTCTTGCCTCCTTGTGACTTGAAAAACGAGCCTGCAGAATTGTTATCTTGCTGCGCGTTGTTGAACTTTTCTGCAAGCTCCTTTATATCCGAGTGCAATCTTTCGGCGTTCAGCGACTGCTCAAAAATAGAAGCGACGACCACACTTGACGACTTGGATGTTGCGCCCGCACTTTTGACTCTATTGCCAAATTCGTCGCGATGCGAAGCATAATGCTGCCATTCACCAGTAGGGTCGTCCACGTCATTGGCAGGAAGCGAGGTATGTATGTCGTGCTCATGATTATCGCCGTCAACAGGCGAAAGCGTAGTGATCGGACTGCCGCCAGCGGTGATATCAATGAGATAATCTGCAATGTTGTAGCCAGCAGGACAAACGTACCCGTTGCTTGCGAAAAAGTTGCTGCAGTCGCTCATAAGGCCAGAGTATACCAGCTGTCCCTCAGACAACAATACAAGCTTATCGAATAGAGCCACAATGTTGCTTCTAGGCTGATGAATTGTGAAAACCACTGTTCTCTTGTAGTCCTTAGCCAGTCTTACCAAGCACTCAACCACGTTGAACGCATTGTATCCGTCAAGCCCTGACGTGGGCTCGTCCAAAAACAGAATCGACGGAGATGTCACCAGTTCACACGCAATGGCCACTCTTCTCTTCTCTCCACCCGAAATTCCTCGTTCAAAATCCGAGCCGATAAGCTTATCTTTAATGTGAAGAATACGCAGTTCAGCAAGGATTTGGTTGACTTTTGCCTTTTTGGTGGCCATCGACATGTTTCTCGGCAACCGCAGAAGCGCACTGTTCAAAACAGTCTCATAGACAGATAGAGTCGGGATGAGAAAGTCTTCCTGGTTGACAAAGCCAACAGATTTCTGGAAATGCACAAGATCTTGCTTGGTGGTGATGCGCTCGCCATTCACGTAAAAAGTACCTGACGCCTCTCCTCCCTTGTTTTTACCGGCAATGATGTCTAGTAACGTAGTCTTTCCAGCGCCTGATCCTCCCATGATAGCCATACATTCGCCGGGCTCAACGAGTCCAAAAGCGTTGTTCAAAACCCTTTTCCCTGCCACTGTGTAGCTGACGTTCTCGAACGAGAATATAGCAGGCTTGTAATCATCGAGCAGAGAGTCGTGCATATCCGGATCGTCATCTGGAGGCAGTTGGACAACGCCTTCGTCCATAAACAGCGGCGACCGTTTGATACCGTAGAATCCCAATCCAATGATAGCTGCGCAGCCCACAATGGTCCCTGCTATTCTCAATAGATCAATCACGCCAAATTTCGGCTTTCCAGGCTGGTCAAAGCCTGGGATCTCGCTCTCATGTAGACATTCGCCAGACTCACAATGGAGCGTGATGTACGGGTCTCCAAAAACATTGGTGATCAGATCGTTCATGCTGGGCTCTGAGAACTTGCAATCCTTGTCCGCCACGTCACAAGAGAAATCTGCAGGGCCTGCAATGGTCTCTGTGAGGAAATCCGAGATATCAATCGAACCTTCCTGGCCACATAGCATTTTTCCCGGGAGACATTTACAGGCAACGTCTTCGCAGTTGTAGTGTGTTGTATTTGCACCGAGGTCGTAATTGAATTTGCATTTGGACAAGTCACAGTAGAAACTCTCTTCCTCGGCAATCCAGAACTGAAAGTTGCATTTTGCCGACGTCTTGTTGCAACTGAAAGTCACTTGGGGCTTCTTCCCATTCAGCACCTCCAGGATCTTGGAGTTGGTAACATCGCACATCTGGAAATTCCGATTGACAAGGATACCCGAGTGATAGCACGTACCCTTCAATCCTCCTGGAACGAAAGCATCACAAACCGAATCTATCTGGCACATATTACAATTTATACCTCCCCATCCTTCTTCACAATGGCATGTTTCATTGACTTCTCTTTTAGGACGGTTCGATCCATCGGGCAGAGCTCCGCAAAGAGGAACAGAACAATCGTCACCACCAAATCCATCCAAACACTCGCACCTCCCTGTGAAAGGATTGCATTTGGAGAATTGTTTGCACTCAAAATTCGGGAGGTTACAGTTGAAGCATGGCGGACATTTGCCGTCTTTATCAGGGACAGAGTCCCCGATGGCGTTCATTGCCAATTGCTCCAGCACGTCATCTTGCAATTGCTGCCAATCTCCTTTGATAAGAGTCGAAAAATCGCTGTTTCTGGAGAAGGCACTCAAAGGGCCGACCAGACACAGCGCAAGCAATAACTTTTTCCTCAGCATGGTCACCAAAGACTGGGCTCTTACTTGCTATTTTGGATTTATGGATACTTGTGGATAGAAAGTCGTCTAAACGGATGGAAACAGCTTGATAATATGATTTTAACAATGCAGACAGCACAGACCGCAACTAGAAATGTAGCAACCAGGTGTAAGCAATGAATGATGTCGAAATATAGGATACTACAGAAATTATATTTATGGAGTAAGCGGGACGAGCGACGCGTCGCTCTGGTATCAGAAGAAGTCGTCTAACGTTTTCTCTGAATCTTTCTTGATCAAACCTAGCATTCCTGCCGGCAAAATCGGCTCCTTGTTTTCATCCAGCACATATCTAAATGGCATCTCGGTCGCCTCGTGCTTGCTAAACCGGATCTCAGGGTAATCAATGAACTCAATATTCTCAAACGGAGTACCTTCCAGGATCATTTTTGTGGTGCGCACAGCAGTGTCGGTGGTCATTTGTAGATTGCCTAGGCGTCTTGTGTCGCATTCCAGTTTCTTCTTCAGCTCGGAAGTTCTGTCTCGAGGCGGGTGGTCACCGAGAATGCCTCCGAAAATGAAATAATCAAAGCTCTCTTTGTCGCTGGTCTGCAAGTCAATCTCTGCACGGGGGTCCAGAAGACAGAGTTTGGATCTGGAAACATCCACATAATCGTTGACCTCTTTAGTGGTCCATACAAGGCCTAAGTCTCTCAAAGGTTGCGGAATATCTTGGTCTGTGGTGCCCTTTGGAAGTGACGTCAAAATGAGGTTGTTCTTGCCAATATCACGGATTATCTGACAGTACTCGAGGACCACCCATTCGGTGAATCCCTGTTCCATATGCTCGATTATGTACTTCATATTTCAGGAATGTCAAAACTACTGCCTCGAACCTATTTTTGCAAGAAAAAAAATACACCGACGCGTCGATAGACCACAACCAGACGATATTTGTTATCTCTACTGCTGTCAGGCGGCGGTGATGCAAACGGCACAAACGCGAAGTTACAGCCTTGCCGAAAAATTTGAGCCTAGTGTGGCTTCGGCGGAGTTCTTTGACCCCTCGTAATCGTAAATGCGAAAGCTCGCTCGGCGAAATCTATATACCGAACTAATGCCGAGAGGATTGTTTAGTCCCGAATTGGGCTTTATAGGGCACGTCTTTTAGTGGCTTAGCTAATCTCTCCGAAGCCGCACCAGGCTCTAGAATAAAACCGTTTGAAATTTAAACCCCTGCTTTTTCCTCGTTCTAAATTTCTCATATCATCATCATGGGCTATCCAGACGTTATAGGTGGCGTCTCCAGAAAGGTCTGCTCGGGCATTTACACACACTCGTGCCGTTTCCTAAGAGCGGGCTACTTTGAAATTGGCGGCCGCATGGCTGTGATCTCTAGTCCGCAATCGTTCATTGTTTGGTCAGCAATTCCATACGATGAAAGAACAATTGACTCTCTGAATAAAACCATGGTTGAAGGAGGCGACCTCAACACTGACGAGTCCTTTGTCCAGAAGGTGTCACATCTGATTATCCCAGACGGCGAACATACGATGGCTGTGCAGAGCTGGAAAGCAAAGTTCCCTAACATCAGAATCGTGGGATTCGAAGGCCTCAAGCCGGAAATTGCCAAAGTAACCGACGTTGTGATTCCGAACAGTGCCGCTTGGAAGATTCTTAGCACCGGCGACTTGAGTGCGTTTGGCTTCGATGAGACAAAAGATGTGGCATTGGCAGATGCCAGACTGCAATTTATGTTCTGGCCAAAAGTGTCAAACAAGGAACTTCTGGTGTTCAGCGAGCCCCAGAAAACAGTCTTTGCCGCTGACGTGATTTTTAATCTCCAGCATAATAAGAGAAGGATCCCAGAGTCAGATCTTTATAACGAACAGTTTGAGGGCAACGAGCCTTTCCATCTTTTACAAAGGCTCTTCTTTAAAAATGCGTTCAGCTTTGGAACTAGCTTCAACAAATTCCTTGCCAAACGGATGGTTGCTGACCCTGTTAGCTTCTCTCCTGCTTTCAAAGAGCTGCTTGCCAAATGGGATCCGGTCAAGGTCATTCTTTGTCACGGCGATGTGATCGAGCGTGATGGGTCAGCCGTTTTCAAGAAAGCTTTTGGCCATATTGTCAAGGAATAGTGTTCTTGTAGCAACAATCATATACGATCGTTCACCTAATAAATCAGTATTCGTCTCCACATCGAGGCTGTGCAAAATTTGGATTTATCTATAAGGAGGGAGGGCACGAAGAAGAGAAATCTGACCATACAATATTTGAGAGCCTATAGAAACTAAAAAAACCAATGATCTCGAAAGCAGTGATAATGGTGGGCGGAGGCTCCCGTGGAACGCGGTTTAGGCCACTTGCTTTGGATCAGGCCAAGATCATGTTCCCAATTGCAGGAAAACCTCTTTTGGCGCACACAATCGATGCCATACTAACAATTCCTACCATCAAGGAGATTATTTTGATTGGGTTTTATGATCCGGCAATATTTACCGAGTTCATCCTGGACTTCAACACGAAGATGAAGTACCAGAATAGAGACTGTTATCTGAAGTATTTAAAAGAGTTCAAAGCTTTGGGAACAGCAGGAGGGCTCTATCATTTCCGGGAGGAAATCCTGAGGGGCAACCCGCATGGATTTTTGGTTGTGCATGGGGACATCATTTGTTCTTTCCCATTCGTTGAGATGATCGAGTTGTACGAGAAGATAGCCTCAGAGAAAGGGGGAATTGAAGCCATGCTGTTTGGAGTCAAACTCACTAATTACGACCTTTTCATGGCACTAAGTGGCTCTGAACAGTCATCGTTTGGAACCATCGTTTCAGAAGACAACGGAAAAGTCATTCACTACGTTGAGAAGCCCGAGTCAAAAATTTCCGACATCATCAACGGTGGTATTTACATCTTTAACGAATCGCTCTTCCGCTGGCTGTCCAACGCCAAAATTAGCAAGATTACAATAGCAAACGATAACACAACTTTTGAAACAGTGGACGAGGACGTGATCTCAATGGAGAAAGATGTGCTACACTTTCTCCCGGATAGCGGTAAGACTTTTGTTTTTGAGTACAAAGGCTTTTGGAGAGCCATCAAAACACCTTCCGACGCATTGTGGGCCAATGAACTCTATTTGGATAAAGTTTTCCAGAACAAGTCTGGCCAGGTTAGCAGCGTGATTCACAAAGCCTCGGTCAATATCGAGCCTCCGGTGTTTATCCACCCTTCTGCAACCATCCATTTTGAGAACGGAACTAAAATCGGTCCGTACGTGTCGATTGGGGCGAATGTGACCATAGGCGCTGGTACCAGAATCTACAACTCCATTATTTTAGAGTATTGTGAGATTGGACAAAACTCGCTTGTGCGCAACAGTATATTGTCTCTTGATTGCAAGATCGGCAATTGGGCTCGAGTCGAAGGAACAGGTGTGAATCTTGTCTCGATAAACGAAATTGTGAAGAAAAACGGTCCTACAAAAATCAAGAAAGTGCTAGATGCAGAAACTAGTCGCGTCATCGGTATCAAAGATTCAGGCAACATTTGTATCCTCGGGTCCGGAACACATATCGGTGATGACCTTTACGTGCTGAACAGTTTCATTCTGCCTAGCAAATCTATCAAGGATGACGTAAAATACGAGATCATCATGTAACAAAGACGATGGTTGCCGACACTCCTTGTTCAACCCTATTTCAATCTGCTATTGTATGCCACTCCCCAATTTCCCGTTTCGTATCTTTGATTAAACACCAGTACATAAGTAACACGAAAATAAATTTTTTCACTTTCCGCTTTGGGAATAATCAAGTACTTTGACGGCTTCTTTTATCCCTTTAGAAACTAAATTGCGAGACCTCCTTCAGTTTCATTTGAAGCTGTTCCAAAACCGATAAGACAGGCGAGCATAACACTTAGTTTCCAACTCACTTTACACTTACACTTCTGATCTCTGAATTTTGCCAGACAATCCGTATCGTTGGCCAGAGACACCCGTTGAGACTATCTTTAATTGCGTTGTCCCCCACGCGGATAGTTATCAGGCGATTTGCCAAAGTACACCTGCGATAGACAAATCCAATACAGAGACCGAACACATAGAGACCGATCCCAAGATGCAAGCAGAACATCCGGAAGACGCTATTGCTGAGAAGATCTTGAAGCGGGCCGAGATCGCGAGAATTACTCGGCAGCTCAAAAGCAAGCTTTTCAGGGCTGGCATGAAAGTTAGAGAAAGCCAGGGAAAAGCTACAAACTCCTCCTCCCCACCTATATGGTCCTCCCCTACAAGAAACTCTGATTCGCTCGACAAGGGGACCTCTCCTTCTACGTCGCCTATGAAACGGAAGTCTTCTGAAACAGGAGACGACTTCTCATCGCCCGTGAAACGCCTCCACCACGCCAACATCCCATCGTCACCATTCTATCCTTCCAATAACGATATCGGATACGCGTCAACTGACAGGTCACCTCACCAAGAGAAGAGCGAGCTGGTACCAATTCCAAAGACTCCTCCTTTGAACAGCAAAGCCATGCTCGACGACATAGCTCTTCAAAAGACGTCCAACACAACCAAGGAAAACGCTGCCGGGTCCGCACAGTCGGCGCTACAATCGGCATTATTTTCCACACCAAAGAGTGCTCGTACGAAAAAGAACTTCGATTTCAAGACTCCTAATTCCAGGTACGTCGACGAGAACGAGGAAGGGGCAGGCCTGCTGCTCTACTTGTCGAACTCGCCGGCTAGAACGTCCAACTCAAGAGAAGCCAAAGACTCGAACAACTTCCTCAACATCCCTACAACGCCTAAATCCAACCACGCTTCCATGCTCAATTTGACCAGCACACCCAACCTGGGCATCGAGTCCACGCCGCCACGAAACAGCTCTTCTGCATTGCCGTTCTTGACACCGTCGCTTCTGCAACCTCCAAGCACTCCAGGAAATGGTAGTATACTCGGTGCCAAGCTGTTTGACACCACGAAAAATGGCTCCAGGACCCCGGCGTTTAGTATGTCTGATTACGTGAGCATTTTCACACCGAGCCCGAGACACACGCGCACACCGGAATTTTCGCACGGGTTTGTGAAGCCTGCGGTACTAAGTTACTCGAAGGAACTGAACGGAATAACAAAGGGCGACGATAACTAGCAACGGCATGTAACAGGTATAATTTAATTGGCTTCTATCAGTAAGGTAATCACATAACACTAGCCAATCATATTTTTTGTCAATGTAAGCAAGATCAAAAATTAAGGCCGAAAAATTCGTAATATCGATTGACATTGGATTAAAATGTCAATATAAGGACATCCAAACTTTTAAATTGTTGACGCATTTTTTCTGCTCTGAACGTATTTATAATGACTGTTATTGAGATATCCTCGCAAGACCAGTTCACCGAGCTGACCTCCGTGTCGAACAAGCTCATTGCCCTATATTTCCACACTCCCTGGGCCTCTCCATGCATCCAAATGAATAAGGTTTACTCCACGTTGTCTGACTCTTCTCAGCACAGCAACACGTCATTTATTTCGATCAATGCTGACAACCATCCCGAAATCGCCGACCTCTTCGACGTGTCTGCTGTTCCCTACTTTGTCTTGGTCAGAAATGGAACCATTTTGAAGGAGCTCAGTGGAGCAGACCCTAAAGAGTTCGTGACGGCGTTGAACCAGTTCAGCGACAAACCACAAGAATCGCAAAACTCTCTGGCATCCAATGTGCCACAACCAGAGCCTGTTTCTTCCAGACAAGCCGGCTCATCGAGTTCAAAATCGCCTTCCCCTGAGGAAGAAACCCCTGAGCAATTGAACGCCAGACTCGCAAAGCTGACAACCGCCGCCCCTATCATGTTGTTCATGAAAGGTACCCCATCTGCTCCACAGTGTGGGTTCTCGAGACAGCTGGTGGCAATTTTGAGAGAGCACCAAGTTAGATTTGGATTTTTCGATATCCTCAAGGACGACGCCGTCAGACAGGGACTCAAAAAATTCAGCGACTGGCCTACATTCCCTCAGCTCTACATTGGCGGTGTTTTCCAAGGCGGACTTGACATTGTGAAGGAAAACTTGAGCGAAGATGAGCACTTCTTCGAGCATGCTTTGGAAGAGGCAAACAATGCCAGCTAATTGTGCATGGTAGCTTAATGCGACTAATAATATTACTTGACCTATAATTGTAAAACCAGCGAGTCGTCGCTAAACTCGTCCGCAGACATGTTTTCCTGGTCACTGTTCACAATTGGATCAGTGTCGAACTCTGAGTCCGAACCGTCGACTTGAGCAAAAACGCCGGTTCCAAAATACAGCTCCTCCAGCTGCGATTTTGTTTCATATGCCACTGGCATGTCAACCTCTTCGTCGTCGTCGATTTTGAATTCTGTGTCTGCCATCATCAAGTTTTTGAAGTCTCCTCCCAGTCTCCTCACATTCACCCCACAATGGATGCCAGACTGCTCGCTTTTCTTCCGCAGTCTTTTCGAGTTCAAAATCGCGCACTCGTAGAATCCATCGCACGAAACTAGCTCAAAAGTACTAAGATATGTGTACCTGCCTTGTGGTATGAGTCTGGCCGTTCTCCTGGCAGCGAAGTCAGCGGTCTCTTGCTGAATGCGGTGCAATTTCCTCTTATATTTGCCATCCCTGGAATACCGCATGCTGAGAAAAGCACCAGTCTTGTTGGAGTTCGCCTTTATATTCCTGCATTCCATTCGTGTCCCTAGACATGCTATCGTTGTGGCAATCTCGTTCATAAGGGAAATTCCGCCGAATGAGTAACTGAAGTATGACTTGCACTGTAAATTATCAGATATGGAAAGCGTATCACTGAGTCGGGCAAGCGACTTGGTCAGACGGGAGGCGATTGACAGGTAGTTTTCAAGCAAGTTCAAATGGAACATCGAAGAGGTTTGTAAAACCTCCGTGACGACGTTTATCACAGTCAGATAATCTGTCTGTGGTTTGAGATCCGATGGGGAGCTCTCTAGCAAACGATATTCGTGAGCCCGTTTGACGTAGGTCTCATACTCATCTTGTGGATGCTGCGTTCCGTAGATGATTTTCCCGATCGAATGGAACACGTTCAAGGAGGATTCGCGACCAAGAAATTCATCGTTCAACGATGAACAGTACTTACACCAGTACTCAAATAGTATTATCGCGTTTCGAAGATCACCCGTGCCACTCAGTTTCTCTATTTTTTGTTCCACTAGCTGTCTGGGAATTTGCTTGATGGAAGATATTACACTATCTTCAGCGACGGCTATGCGTTTCAAACACCGGTTTAGATACCGTTTAGCCACAGGATTGAATTTGATCCTCGTCCATTGATTGCCTTCCCTACGCATGATCTTGCTCCCAAGAACCAGCTCGGTTTTAAAGTTCGACTCAAGCGAGAAGGAACCTCTTCCATTCTCAATGTCAACCTCATATTCGGTGATACAAAGTATCAGGGGGGGTAATCTTATTTTTGCATCGAGATCAAGCCACTCTAAAATACTTTTCCGGAAAGCTTTCAGCGTTTCGTCATGATGTAGGTTCGGCAACTCTTCCACAACGAGACACCTGAGGTTACCAATTGTCAGAACCTTGCAACTTTCCAGAAATTCTCCAAAACTATTCACGCTTGACGTTTCACTAGATGTCTGTGTAATCCAGTTTCTATACTGTACCACATTATTTAGACGGTTTTCGTGATCGTAGCCTTCAATCCCCAGATGGCCGTTTGGTCTGTTCCTGCTGGTCATAACCTCTTCGCACAGGATTTTGGCCGAAACGCTTTTTCCACACCCACTTGGGCCTGAAAGCACCAAGAGCCGATGATTTGTCCTGCCAAAAACCATATCCTGAATCTGGGTGCGTAGCTCTGCAATTTTTCTTTCGTGAACACATAATTGCGAAGATTCAGTCGGACAGTACTTCTCAACCCAAGTGATAGAACTATCAATTAGACTGCTATTCCTCGAGACTGTCTGTGGTTTGCGAAAAAGACGGGCTATTTCTTCTATCTTTGGTGGTTTTTGAATCTTTTTTACTGTCTCTGTGCGTTTGACGGTGATTTGACCATTCCCGTCGTCTGAATCAAGCGAGATTATGTCTGATGATAAATCATTTAGGTCTGCCTTTCTGGGCTTTTTGACGAACCGCTCTTCACCATCGGAAGCCAGCATAGAGGATTCGCGGCTGGATATGGTCACTACGTCTACCTCTGAAGGCAAATCATCGTCTCTATACACCTTCTTTCGTCGTCTTCTGTCTGGTGCCATCCTCAAAAAAAAGATTATGCACAATATTTCTAATGTTTACAGATAGTTTAATTATTACGTAATCTATAGGCTCTCGATCATGTGGAACATGCTGGACAGCGCATTGAGCTTCATCTGGTCCGTGTAGGCAGCAATCGTGTCATCTCGCACCGACTTGGAATTCAGAATCCAACTCACGTCACTTTGAAGACCTAGGGGAACCGTGTCTTCTTCCACATTGAGTTTCTTGAGCTTAGAAGTATGCTCCCATTTTTCGGCTGCCTGCTCTGCATTATCAACAATACTTCTTGGAACACCGCACATAGCTGCCACATGCATACCGAAGGACCCGCTGGAACGTCCGGACTCCAATTTGTACAAGAAAGTGATATTTTTCGATTTGTCGTCTACTATGATTCCCATCCGAAGAGGTTTGACACGGGGGTGGTTGATGAACGAGTTGCCCAGGGTAGCATAATGGGTCGCGAAAAAGCCGATTGACTGGACGTGCGTGGCGATGTGGTGCAAAACGGCCTCTGCGATGGCAAATCCGTCACTGGATGATCCTCCGCGTCCCAACTCATCGAGAATAATAAGAGAACGAGGTGTGCATGACTCCAGAATCTTTTTGGTTTCTGAGAGTTCCACGTAAAATGTCGACTTTCCTTGCATGATATTGTCGTTGGCCCCAAGACGTGTCATTATTGTGTCGATTGGGGTCATTTTAGCGGACTTAGCAGGGACAAAGCATCCAATTTGGGCCATGATGGTAGCCACACATGTCATTCTTAGGACCGTCGACTTTCCTGCGGCATTGGCACCCGTGAGCAGGCCAATATGGTCTTTTTGATCGACTCCCAGAGAAATATCATTTGGAATAAAATCTTTGGTACCAGAGATGCCACCTGGAATAAAGCATGGATGTCTGAGTTCCTGGAACTCGAGCTGTGCAGACGCGCTGTCAATGAATTCTGGTCTGCAGGCGGGCATTCCAAGAGACTCTGAAGCACGCGCCAAAGACAATATACAATCTAGCTGTGCCACGGCCTTGATGGTAGACGACCAAGTAGTGTAGTCGCCCATAAACCTGCCGTACATCCTTGCTTGTAAAGATTCACCAATGATCTTGTGCAGTTCTCTAGTCTCCATCAACTTCCTCACCAACTTTTTCACTTCCGGAGACCAGTATCTCTTACACTTGGAGGTGGCTGCCATTTGCTGCCAATCCTTGGGGATCCGCGAAATGGCTTTCGATGGAACTTCAATCAAGTATATCTCCTTCCCGCTATCTTTGTAGCACATTTCCTGGCATTTGAACTCACGTCTGTACTGACTTAACATCCTCTCAAGTTCTTTCTCTAGCTCTTTAATCTTTTGGTTGCTTTCGTCAAACTCGGGCTCCACACCGAGTTCTGGGACCAGGACTCCGTCTTTATCGGCTAAATCCCTGTCAAATGCATTCGACCAATTAGAAACGCACTCTGGCAACTCGGCCGGGAAAGAATCCAAGATTTTGCCCAACTCTCCACCTAGTTTTTGAGTTCCTTCAGAGTAAGTGGATTTCAGTATTCTGACCAGACTCACAATGCATTCGAAACCAGTCACGCAACGAGCAAAATCCTTAACCTTAAGGTTTCCAGAATGAACCCTAGCCAGCAATCTTTCCAAATCAGGAAGCTTGCCTAGCTTGGATTCAAGGAGATATTTGAGATCTCCGTCGTTCATCAAGACCTCCACGGAATCCAGTCTCGATTCAATGTTTTTTCTGGACATCAGAGGATGTGTCACCCAGCTCTTAAAAGTCCGCTTTCCAAACGGAGACACTGCACGATTTAGTATTTTGAACAAAGTGCCTTTATCACTCTGATCAAAAGAGTTACTAAAAATTTCAAGATTTTGAAGTGTCACACCGTCCAGTCTCATACAGCTATCGGAGAAACTCGTTTTGTAAGGATCGTATTGCTCTATGTTGCCCATGGAGATGACCGCGGCATCCAACTTGAGTGATTTGAGATACCACAGGAGAGCGCCAAATGCCGAAAACCCAACATTCTTATTTGAATCGTGGTAGTCCACCAAGATTTTTGGATAATTGGAAAGATCATCCAAATCCGCTGCCTCAAAGTACTTGCCTCTCGTCAGTTGCTCAAAAGTAGTTTCGGAGGTCCAAAACTCGTCTGCCGGCTTCAAAAAGTTGAACGTTGCGTGTGGTTGAGAGTTGAATTTGAGCATTCTCAACACAAATTGGGAAACTCTCGACTTTTCGATCAGCACCTCCGTAGGCTGAATCTGGGCAAGCAGTGTCTCTAATTTATTACAGTCCACATCATCGTCAAATTGAGTGAGTTGGATTCTTCCAGTTGCAGTATCAACAAAACACACACCGAAAGTCTTGCTGTTGTCATTATTAGTGACTTCCTTCAACGATAAGCAGTATCTTGACATTTCATCAGTCAACATTCCCTCGTCTGTCAAAGTTCCACACGTCAGAACACAAGACAGTTCTCTTTTGATGACTTTGTCGTCCTTTGTATTCGCATTTTTCTCTCTAATCTCCTTAGCGAGCAGAGATTCCTTTTGGTCCACCTTCGCAACTTTGTATCCCTCGTCAATGAACTTCTTAGCCCAATAATCAAAAGACATCTCCGGAATTCCAGCTAGTCTCATGTTGGCCCGTCCTGTGCCAGCCAGTTTAAGGTCAAATTTCTGATGTCCGATGTCTGCATCTTTTTCGTAAAGCTCGAAGAACTTACCCTTTTTGAAAAAGACTATGGAGTCCCACATCCTGCTTTTGATCTCCCAATATTGCTTTTCGAAAGCGGTAAACTTAGCCCAAGCAGACTTAGGAATGTATAGGGTCCTTGGATCATACTCAGGATCGAATTCGCTCCGTCCATCAGCATCCTTGATGTGCACGAGCCACTGATATCTTTCCTCATTCTCCTTTGCAAATCTGGACTGCGGTGTCTGCTTCTTGATCTTTCTTTGGGTGGACACCTTATTTGAATCAGCCGAAATATACGAGGAAGTGGACTCAAACTTAGATGCCAACGTGCTCTTTTCAGAACCAGGTTTTCTCGAGTTGTTTCTCCTGGACGGATTTTCAACTTCCTCCTCTTCGTCTGGTTCCATTGGCAAGTCATCGCCATTTAGTTCCTCTGCAAGATTTTCTGTACCAGGAACAAAATCGTCATCATCTGCAGACGCGTTGTCGCTCTCGAGTTCGAATTCGTCATCGTCATCATCGTCAGCGATCGTCTTCCTCCGTTTGATTCGAGGTGCACTAATATCAAAATCGGATTCTTCATCAGAATCTTCGATGTAGCTTATCTTCTTAGCACGTCTTGACTTCACTAATGGTGACTGTGAAGCGTCGGGCGCGGAACCGCGGTTCACGGAACTCGGAGTACTAGGTTCAAATAACTGTGACGATTCTGGCGCAGTTGATGCCACGTCCTGCGGGGCCTCATTCTCCTTGTCATCTATCACTGCTCCAAGTTTTATTTCCTTGGTTTCTTCGCCGCGCAGTGGAGAAGAGTTTTGAGGAGTAATGATAGCAGTAGACTTCAAAGTTGACTCCTCACTCGGTTCGGGTTTCACAGATTTCGCGTTGAAGAATGCAAGCAACGACGATTGCCTGTACTTAGAAGTACTCTTAGGGCCTCCTTTGTTTGCCCCTTTGTTTGAAAATCCGTCTTTTGCTGAACTGGTCATTGGAGCTTATATCCTAGTTTTGTCGACCACTTTTCAACACAGATCCCAATGTGTATGTATATATCAAAAGTAGATAACTTTTTATGAAAGTCCCACAAGGGATGCGTCAGAGATATATATTCCCGGTATTCTTTTTTCATTGAGAGCGCGTTCGCGTTTGAGATTACGTAATTACGATACAGACTTGAGAATGGACAGCAAATCAGCACAATTCACTTTTCACTAAAGTGTAAACTCCAATTCTTGACTACTAGGGGATATAGGATCAAGGACGCGTTATTACAGCCTGGCCTCTTTGTCAGCTTCAACTATCAACTTCTTGATAGTGTCTGAGCTCTCGCCGGGATGAGAACCGACGTACTCTTTCAGGTCCTGCAAAACCTCCCTAACCTTTCCGTTCACATTGAGTATTAATCTTTGTGTCTCCTCCTTTATTTTGATGGCATTTTTGAGTGTGTATTGGAGTTCCTCGTTACTCTCGTCAGTTTTCAAATTGCCTTGTAAATCAGCCACCGTGTCCTCGTGTTCCCTGAGTTCTTCCTTGTACAGTTTCTTATCCTTCAGAAGTCTTTGAAGAGCATTGGACTTGATTTGAATAGTGGAGACCATTATCTCGGCGTTTGTTTATTAATCTGTAGAACGCAAATTAAATAGATTCGGTATTCAAATATTAAAAAAATAATCTACGAGGGTTGGAATTTTGTAGTTCTCAATCAAGAGACAAGGGTGTCTAAAAGAGTTATCAGTTTGACCATCTCATTCAATCCCCTTGATCTAGAGTCTCCCGTCGCGTAGGTATCGCTGATTTCCTTAATTTCCGTCTTTCCCATCGAGAGATCTTTTTTCAGAATTGCGGTGATGAGCTTAGAGAAGTGAACGGTTAACTTTCTAGCTTTTTTTATGCATCGTTCGTTTTGGGGGCCTAAAGAGATGATCGTCGAACACACAAGCTGGAAAATCGGTATGTAGAGATCGTAAAACGAAACCCCTTCTAACTTATCATCGTTGTGAGAAAGGCTCGAGTCTAGTGAGAAAATTATTTCAATTGATTTCTTTTCGCCAAAGCCGTCATTCCCTGCGCTTTCTAAAAGCAGCGTCAACCCAATTTCTGGATCCTCCGCTAAAAAAGAGCAGTCAGTGATTGCCTTGAATATGTCGCACTGCAACAATTGTTTAGCACCGATCGCCGTTTGAGCTATTCTTGTGAGAAGACAAAACACGGTCTTGAAAGTTGTTAGTTCATAAAGTAACGAGTCAACCGACATTCTTGGACGTCGATCAGAAAGACAAGCCAGAACAATCTCATCCATCGACTTGATCCGCTGCACTTGCAAGAGCAAATAGTTGTTTTGAAGAATTGCCTCGATCAGGAAGTTACCCCTAAGTTTCGGTCCTTGAAGGGATATCGAGATTTTTAGAAGCGTCTCTAAAAGCAGCAATGCAGTAATCTTGCATGATCCCTCTGCTGTCAGGGAATCGCTGCAAATAGAGCCAATAAACTTTTGATCAGCAGATCTGATAAAAACCATGATTTCGGTCAAAACCGATTTGTTGACTGCACTCTGTTGCAAATAATTATTGGCAAGCACGTATAGATCGGCTCTTATTGTTGGGGTTGATTGAGGAGACATAATTCCTATTGCTGATGTTTTGAAAACCGGGAAAAGCCGCGTAGAATCAAGCAAAGCGGCAGTTTCACGCTCACTTTCAGACATTTGGATGTTTGCCTTGTCAATCTCATATAATCTGAATAAACAGACACACAAAGATATAAGGTCTTGGGCATAGGCAACATCGAAGTCCAGGTAGTCTATTACTTGGGGAACAATGCTCTCGAACACTTCGAATATGAAGCTGATTCTGATATTTCTTTCCAGTCCTCCATCATTTAAAATTACTTGGGTGAGCAGGGCCCAAGAGTGTAAGCATTGAAGCTGATGAAATTTGAAGTTATCGAAGGAAACTGATGCAGTCAGCAATTTTTTCAATTGGAGGAATTCTTTCTTAAAGTAATCGAGATTTTCACTCTGGCCTCTTAATGATAAAAGTCCCAAAGATTGGGATTCTTTTCCCACAAGGACGCAAATCCTATCAATAACTGACATGTCGTATGCAAATCCGTTTATGTCTTCACGAGTGAATGATGTCTTGATTGCTATCTTTTTCAAAATGTATTCAAAATTGAATTTTTCAAATGCAGCATTGGCTCTCTCGATCATGTTTTTTGGTTTGAATTCAAGAACATCCAAGAATTCAAACAACCGAGGTGATCCAGTGCCGTAGTTCTTCGAGTCTATCAATAGGTTCACGTATTTACGGGTCAAAGAATACGAACCGTAAAGGGACGTGTGCCTTAGTTCCAACGCAACCAGCTGAAGAATCAGACTGCGAAACATTGTGAAAGCAATAAGTGCACACATACTACCACCTTGAGTGACAAAAGGGTTTTTGAAATTGATCCTCGAATCAAATATTCTCCCATTCCAGAAAGTCTCAAGCCCAATTTTCTTGGTGGTAGTCAACAAATCAACGAATAAATTGGAGTCTTCAATGTCCCTTAGAAAGCTTAAAAGTTCGTAAGGGCTGTGGAGAGATTTCACAAGTTTGTAGATTATTTCCAGACAAAGAGCACTGATTCTCACGGGAAAGTACTCTATGTCTACAACTTTCCTGAATTCTTGTAAAATTGATCTCAAGAGTGTCACAATTGACTTCAACAAGGATTTTTCCGATGCAATATAACCTAGATCGTTTTTCTCACCAATTGTCATTGATCTGGTGTCTAATCCCAATAAAAAGTGGGAAACAGTTGCTATACCGGAAGTGCTTGGAAGATTTTGATTTATGAATTGGAGCACTTCAGCCTTTAAGGAGACTGAGTGAGGTTCAACAATTGGGGCTTCAAGCTGCTCGATAAAAGCATATCTGATCCTGGTAGACTCGTCGATCGTCTCAAGCATCGTGAGCACTTTGTCTTTTCTGAGCAATCGGGAGCCTAGTGAAAATTCAGCAATCCCTTTAGATGAGGAGTACAAAGTAGCTTTTTTGAAAATGGACAAAGCTACCTTTGAAATTTCTGAGTTTGCTACACCAACATACAGCGCAATGTTGGCAAGCAATGGCAAATTCAAAAGCAGCGCCTCGACAAACGACTGAAGCCCCCCAGTACTGATTGCGGATGGGGAATAAAATGGATTGTCAGGAAGAGTCAAGATAGGTAGTAGCTCGTCGGTGTAAAAACTCTCACGATCCAGAAGCAGCTCTATTACGTTGAGTGCCTTCAAAAGCAGCTTCGATTCTTTTGATTCTGAATCGAGTTCGTTCAACTTATCAATCCCGAGGTTAGCAATTGCAAATAGAGCATTGTGCACAGGCATCCGATAAAGGAATGTCAAAACTGCAGTTCCTGGGTGAGATTGTAAGTACTGGATAATATTTTTGCACGCAGTGATATTATCCAGATCTTTCAAATTGCAGGCTGACGCATCCATGATCAGTTCCGGTTGTAGTTGAGCCAAGCACGTTTCCCATAGAGATAGTATAGTTAGTTGCAAAGGAGTTGTGTAGTCCTCGGCGTATTTTTTTTTTGTAAGCTCCACGAAAATGTCCGTACTAAGGAACTCCACATAAGGCCAAATACCCTGACTTCTGTAGTTTGAACCCAAGTCCAAAGGAAAAGAGATTTCAATCGGATCAAAAATTTCCTCTTGCGTCTTCAAAGGTTGCAACAACTTAAGGACAAGAGTGGAAAATCCGATGACCTCCGCAGGGGATTTTAGCGACGACAAAAAGACATCACTCAATACTGCACTTGAATGCCTTAGCTTTAAGTGCTTGGAAAAGATCCAAGAGTCCATAATTTGCCAAACCTGCTGCCTCTCGTTAACTCCATCTCCAACAAGAGAGCTGATAACCATAAGTACTGATCCAGATAACGGGGTGTTGGCTTTCAAGAGTTCTGTCAATATTGCGATGAGTTGGCGATTGTCACTTTCATAAAGTTCGGCACGAGCTCTATCGCTATTTCGTGCAATATCAGAGATGAGCTGAAAAAAGCCAGACAGAAAAATCAGAGAGTCTTCTCCTAATTGAACGACAACATTATTTTCAACGTCAGTACTTTGATGTATTGAATAAGAGTGATCAGATAGATTGACTGGCAGTTTGGAAGACAATAGTTTATTGTAAATTGCTAAGGAAGAAAAAATGGATGACCAGCTGACACACGAAAAGCGACTTGATATGGAGGTTGAGCCACCTATTGGGGTCTTTAAGGAAAGCTCTTGGGTGGATGTGTTAGTGAGTTGCAAAAAATTGAACGCGTTAATAGCATTTTCGCTGCTGTTGGAGAGCGCAGCAAGCAAACAGCAAAATGTCGACACTATTAGCGGGGAATTGCATCGTGAAGCCCATTGAAGGAACCCATAGAGGCTGGAAGAGCTGTCCTCCCAAAATTGAGCTGAGAGTTGAGGCCTGGATCTGTAAAGGTAATATACAGCAAGGTAAAAGCGCTCAAGGTCAGCATTCTTTGATAAAATGTCTAGTTCGAGAGAGTCACTCAAAAGTAGAAGGTCTTCTTCCATATCACGGAGATGTGTTAGCACAAATGCAGCATTTTTCACAAAAGAATGCACAAATTCGCTAAATATTGAAGCGCAGAAGTCGCTGAAATGAGGCTCAAAACTGTAAACCTTGGTAGGAATATAAATTATCTCTGCCTCTGTCTCGTCTGCGGTCAAATTTCCATTCAGCCTTTGTTGTTGAATTGCCCGTTTCAGTTGATTTGTTGCGTCTGTATCGACATCTAGAAACCTAAAAGGCGAAAATTTTGGGATGTGCTGTTGCAGGAATAGACGGAAATCGTACATCAGATCTGCCCTAGGATCAGTGCAAAACTCGGGCTTGGAAATCTCAGATGCAAGCGAGAGAAATTGCTCTAAAGCGCCTATCGAAATGAGCATTTTGATTGGATTTTCCACGCTGCTTGTGAAGTCGAATTGCTTGGCCCTTGAGCTTTCCGACTTGCACCATTCAATGAATTTTGTCAAGAATACTAGCACCAAGAATGCCTTGATTGGGTTTTCTGCTAGTTTCTGCGAATCTTGTGTGAGTTCAACGAATTTATGATGCATATTTTTCACATCCTCGTCGGAATATCTTTCGAGCTCTGAAACATGTTTCATGGTTCCAGGGATATAACTCATCACTAGGATGTCATTTGTACTGAAAGTTGTAAAGTGATTGAAAATTCTCTCAAAAGCAGTGGACTGCATCCCATGTAAAGAAACCTTAGCAAAGTAAAGCTCTCCCAAAAGCTGGTGCTCCCGAAATAACGAATCTCGGCGGTAGATTATGGGCTTGAAAAAACTAGGGTCAGAAAGACTTCCCATAAGCCTTGAGCGGTCTACCAGCTGCTTTATTTCATCCAGCTCTTGTTCAATGGATTGATAGCATGAAAAAATGGTGTCATAAGATAGTTCCGATAGAAATTCTGTTTGCAGCCCCTCTGATGAAGACCTACATAGGTAGTAAGTCACAATTTGTAGTATGTATTGTCTTCTGGCATAGTATGCAGCTTTGGCTGAATCGAGAGCGGAGATTCCAGACGATTTTTGCTCGTTTTGGCATGCGTAATAGAGTAGCTCTGCTGCTGCTAGTTCTTCCAGATTCAACTCGTCTGCGAGTTTACTGGCATCCATAACAAAAGTTTCATTAAGTTGGTAATCGACGCCATCTGAAAACGTTAGTTTGCCCTGTTCAAGTTTTGATCTACTTGCATCGCATCGTTTTGGTTTGAGCAAGAGGTTCTGCAAATCAAATTGGAGTTCAGCTGTCAGCCTCAACTGATTGTCAAGCTGATTAAGCTGAATGGCTCCATAAAGAGAAGCAAATGGTACCGTTGACCAATGATACGACATGGAGCTCTGAAAGGGCAATGAAAGATTTAGGATTTGTGAGACAGTCGAATTTTTTCGAGTATAAACATGGCACTGCCACGCTTTACTAGCCACCTTGTGATTATGAAAACTTAAACGCCGGGTAAGTCAAAGTGTATGATTATATAATGATAATGGCGCGAAGATCCTCATACTGCCTAATTTTTCAACCCCCACCGAGTACTCCGATATATCAGGGGGTGACAGCAGAAATGTGGAATACTGCTCTGCTTGATCATTAACACGACTGGCTATTGGTGCGTTATTCAAAGGCTTCACTAGACCAAATAAGACATAGACACGGTGCTGAATATGTAGAGACCGTGCTATCGCTGATGGATCTTGGGGTGCTAAATTACGGCTGGGCATTAATGCCGATAAAAAATAATTTTCGTGAAAATAGCTCGAAACAATAAGTTTGTTAGGATATAAGGAGAAGCATTCGAAAAAAAACTCTAAATATTGAACAAGGTAACAATTCTTCAAAGAACCACCTTCATACTATTTGCTGGACTTTCCGTTTCTACTAACAGCTATTGAGTTACCTGGTCATAGACTTTGAAGCTGCTTGTGTTTGGGCATTCTGAGAGACGAGAAAAGTTTCATCGAGTCAAAACTGGCATCAAGCTGAAAACAAATCGAGAGTTATTTCCACATAATTCGCTCTCTAGCAAAGTGGTTCATATCATCAAACCAGTATTCTCCTATCCAACCAGCAAAGAGGATTCTTCGAATTCAGTGATAACAGGATTATTCTAAATCACTTGAACGCAACGTTTCCATCCGCTATTTTCTGCCTATTCTACCCTATCAGATTGTTGACATCCTGCTATAGGGTTTGCAATTGGCGACAGCAGAGTTTTCATTGATCCCACTTGAAAGAGTTCCTATTTATTTTTTTGACCCGCTTTTCTACTCGCTTTCACCCCCAACCATTATTCGTTTTATTTATTTCGGGAAAGAAGAATGACCAGTATTTGGGGTTCCTTTGATCATCCTCTTAGGGATAGCGCTAAATTGGACTTGGACGCAGATCTGGATGTCAACTTGCGTTTTGCAAGGCTAGGATTGTCTGCGATGGAAATAACTCCTTCGGTATCTGAAACATCCACGGTGATATCACCTACCGCCTCGTCTGGTAACTTGCTTTCCGACGTTAGTAAAGGACGTGAGCGTGGCGGCTCAGCAAACTCAACATACACCTCATCGTCAGCCAATTCCACACCAGGTCTCGCTCAAAATATTTCCTTGCCTGACGATCCTGACACACAGCAGATTGCCCTAGACATGTTGGATCTGATCCCGAATCTCTGGGCTGATAAATCCACAGACACATTAGAATGTTCATCATTTAGTGCTTTCGATTCTGGCAGAATTCCCTTTTCAAGTCAGTGTACCTCAAGCTTTGCAACCGCACACAATGGTCATAATTCGCCTCGGCTCAATCAATCGTCAAAAGCTATTCCAGCAGCTTTCAATAATTCAGAGAGTTCTCCCTTTAATCCCTTCCAACAGCTTCATCACAATTCCTCGCCGTTTTCCTTTGCACAAAACCCCAACTCTTTCAATGATTCTTCTCGAATTCCAATGGACGGACCCGCTCATTCCACCCCTCAGTTTCACTTTTCGCCACATATCACAATTCAGAATACGGTGGAGACAACAAGCCTCGCTCATGGTGTTAGCACACAATCGGCCTACCCTCTTACTGAAGAAAACCTCCTGCTCTTGAATCCCTCTAAACGACTGCATCAGGGAAAGCACTTGAATGTTGCGGTGATTCCCACTAAGATGGATCAAGATAATACCGCCTATCTAATTGTTCCTGCAAATCCAGCTGTGAATGAGAGTGATGTATCCAAATCTTCAAGAGCTGAAGGTGCTCCTAACACAAAACGGAAGGATACCCAGAAAGCTTTTCCACAAAGCACTTCAAATTCGTCACACGGCAACAAGTCTCATAAAACATTCTCTTCCTCTAGCGCAAAAAGCAAGGGAAATGTTGACAGGGATCTTTACAAAACCGAAATGTGCACACAATTTCAGGAAAAAGGAAGCTGCCCTTATGGAGCTAAATGCCAATTTGCACACGGAACGGAAGAACTGAAGAAGGTCAAAAGAGCAGACAATTGGAAAACAAAATTATGTGCCAATTGGCTCAAATCAGGATCATGTCGGTACGGTAAGAGATGTTGTTTTAAACATGGTGAGAACGATAGAGGGAACTCGTGACCGATTTTGGTCTGTATGTGAATATGCCAACTTTGAATGCTTGATAGATAAGATTTGATGATGTTGTTTTTATTTATTAACTGACACTATACTCAAATTTTATTTGTATTATTTCCATTACCCCTCTTTGACTTTCTTTTTTGCAATTACAGTATTCAAGAATCACTTCTAGCCAAAATTGTCCTCACAGTCCGCACACCCCATATTACAATTTGACAGGCAGCTCGCTACAAAAGAAAACAATAATAAGCAGTCACCCCACATTTTCTTCTGAAGTGATTCATTAATCTGTAAAGAAGAGTATGTCAGTGTGACACCCAACTATTGACTTATTGTCGATTGGAGCAAAACTAAACCACGTTCTATCTCAGTTACTTCCTTAATGATTCCTAAAGACGGTTTGAAATTGACCTAAAGATGCTTTTGTGAAACACTTCCCACCGCCCACGACTATTGATACCAAAGCTGCATGATTGAATCTAAAACTAAGTTGACCCCCACCCACCTTCCTCTCTTTCCTCCTCCCTCCTCCCTTTATGATGCTATTTTGATTAATCGTACGTTCATGAATTGCTCCCTTTGGTCTTCGTTATCATTAATATGATAGTTTCGTTTGATTATGTAAGCGATGGCATAAATAGTGTTTGCTATAAGAATGTCATAAATGCGTTGTCTTCCGAAACAAAAAAGTGATGTCCGAACTTGCCAACGATTTGCTTAAGAAAAGGGCACGGCAGTTAGATCCTCCGTCGAGGTTTTCCTCAGAGGAAGCGGACTCCCTAGGTCAATTGCCAAATTTTAGAAAAAATGAACTACATCTTAGTACCCAAAACTTACCTGATATCACTTCATTTTTCTCGCAACTTGAGGTATTCACGAATGATAACGGCTATAAGTTTCAGACTTATTACAAACCACCCCGCAACAAAGTTGACGATTCGTCAGTTATTTTTGTCATGCATCATGGTGCTGGATCAAGTGGTGCCACCTTCGCTAAATTAGCATTAGCTATCGAAACACAATGTGAGATGCAATCTATATGTAATGTTCCGGGTGTCTTCACATTTGATATGAGGGGTCATGGGCGTACGGGACTGCTCAACTCTTCCAGCGAGGAGAACAATAAACTTTCATTTGACAAGTTATGTGACGACTTTCGGCTCTTGCTTCAATGGTTTCATGAAAGGTACATTTCAGAGGGGCCTCCCCCTAGCTATTTTTTCGTCGGACATTCACTTGGGGGTTCAATCTTGACTAAGGTCATATCAGATGATGTGAACAAGAATGTCTGTCTCGAGAAAAATTTGGGGCAATTAATTGCTGGTTTGGTCATGATTGACATCGTCGAAGATACTGCTGTCAAAGCCCTTTCTGCGATGAACAGCTACTTGAATGCAACACCCAAGCAATTCCCTTCTATTGAGCATGCTGTTCGATGGCATATTGACTCAAACCTACTGCACAATCATGATAGCTCACTCATATCGGTGCCAAGTTTATTCACTCGCACTGAAGAAGGACAGTTCAAATGGATCATCGATTTACGGAAAACCGAAACGTTTTGGCAAGAATGGTTCAAAGGTTTGTCAAGTAGGTTTGTCAGCATACCCAATCGCGTCTCCAAGTTGCTTATCTTAGCCAATAATGATTATTTGGACAAAGACCTGATGATAGGACAGATGCAAGGCAAATATCAATTGGTTGTTTTTCACAACAATCAATTGAAGCACGTCAATACACTCACCACAGCTACTCAAACTATACCATCGGAGGACGCAAGCGACCTAGGACATTTCGTGCATGAAGATATCCCATTCAAAGTGGCCGCATGCCTGCTCGACTTTGTTGAAAGAAATGATTACAGCTTTGCATCTTCAAACTCGTCATCGTCAAATATCAAGTCTCAAGTGGACTTGCTTACTGCATTAAATGCAAAGTGGGGAGTTTCTCAATGACTGATGACAGGAAACTTCGGATAGTTGTCCGCCCAGTTTCTGCGGTCCCCAGTTAGTCCACTGTCATTGTACTAAGTGTTTCATCCGTTCTCAGTTTTGATAAAACGTCGTCAATCTTTTGGCGGGCCCAGCTAAATTTCGGGTCTATCAGAAATGGACGTAGATCGAACCGGTTATCGTCCGGAGAATATTGCTCAGCATGGTAGGATGGAGTACTAACCGTTTGCTTGTGACGATTAACACTATAATACCAGAAGAAGTTTTTCACCTTATCAGCAGTCTCTTCAGGAGTTTTCTGATCACCCCATATATGTAACAACTTGATAAACATGGAATAGGGTCCGCATTTTTCCACTTTCCGCAATTTTCCAAACATGCTTAATTCATCGTAAGTAAAGCCCATATCTGCTTCGTCCGACTGGACGTGGCTATCAGTAATCGGCTCAAGCTCAGCCGTTGGTGTAGCATCTACAAAACTTTTCAACACAGGAAGCTCAAATTCTTTTTCGGCCCAGATTATGAATCTAATCAAATCTGATTTGGATATTCCACCAATTGGATTGATGTCGGCAGAAGAGCAATCGTACTTGGTTAAATAGCCCCTCAACTGTTCGTCCACATTTGCAGATCCTAATACCAGAAGGCCGCCTGTGTTGTTCCTTCCCCTAACCCATGGCAAAAGCTGAGCAAAAAGATAAGCGAGTACCATTCTTAGCCGGGCTTGAATGTTTTGCAGGGCTAGGTTCTCAATATTTGACCCACCAAAAATCTTGAACACTGGCTTCTTTCCTGTCGTCACTTCAAACAAACTGATGGTCGCTGATACAAGAGAGTCCATATTCAAATCAACATGGTAAGAACCTATTTTTTCCGCGAGCTCTTTGGCTCTGCTTCTAGTGTCCGATGAGGAGTTCTTAGTCCCCATATAGCATGTATGAAAAATCTTTCCTGCCAGATCTTGAGGTGAGGATGGAATCCAGCTTTGGGGCATATTTGCGACTGCTTGCGCATCTTCAATCACCTGATGATTCCCCTCCTTACAAGCCTGCACAACTAATTTGCACATAGAATGCACTATAACAGATGTTGCACAGCTATCAATTCCTCCACTCAAGGGTATGAAAAACCCGGAGCCCTTGCTTCGACGAACATAATCCCATAGCCAGCATGCTGGCCCGTAAGCGATCTCCTCCTCGGGTTTATAATATTTCAACTGCTGTGGAACCGAAGGACTGATTTCTATATCGAAGTTCATGGAGTCGGGACTTAATTCTGCAGGAACATGAATCCGTTCATAATTTGGCGTTAGCCGGCTCTGAAGCCCATGGGATATCAGTGCCCTGTAGGCCCTTACTTCCTCCAAATCGACAGTTGCTGTTATGACTTCAACGTCGAACAAAGAGAATTGAGATCCCTGAGCAACCACCTTTCCATTCATTGCAATCAGCGCACATCCATCATAGTACAAACGATCTCCATCACAACCTTTTTGGTTAGCATACAGATAAATGCCTCCACATTTTCTGGTGGCTTCAGTGATCATTGCCATCCTCGTGTCCAATTTTCGCAGTTCATGATGTGATCCTGACGAATTAGTGATAATCTCTATTCCGTCCAATGCCATGGATATGTGTGGGGCTTGAGGAGTAAATAGCTCTTCACAAGTCTCTGCCCCCATACATGTATCCAAAGTACTTATTACCGCGTCACCAAATCTAACAGTCACTTGATTCGTTATGCTTTGAATCATTCGAGGCAGAATATACTCCTCAACATATTGAGATTTCAACCAAGGGGTGAAGTACCTCATCTCCCGATAATTTCCATCATTCGCAAGAACTATTTTCGGGCGGATTAATAGGATTTGACCGTTGTAAGACAGGACACGGCAGTTGTATCTGCGATTTCTATGCATTATTGGCATACCAATATCAAGCAGAATTCCAAATGTCCGATCATCTGTCAGAATTGACGCATACATTTCCCATGAATGTAGGTAAACATCATTTTCCAGAAAGTGGTCTAAACAACCATATCCCGGAATTTCCAACTCTGGCCCCACTCTTAAAGATGCTTTTTTTCTTTTTGCTTCCAGAATTGATTCAAGAATTCGGTCTCTATTGCCCTCAAAATCAAGGGCCCATTGATTCAACGCACATGTAGCCAGCGTAATATAATGAGGCATTGTCTTTTGTGGAAACTTGTAATTAGGGTAATGATTTTTATATGGTAATAATTTCAGCTAAGTAGCTAGCTGTTGAGAGGATACATGCTTATATAATCACATGGGTGGTCACGTTCAGTCGTGACAATATCACTTGACGCGTGATAGTTGTTCCTCTCTGCATAAAAGGGGTTATGAGAACCCTGTAATTCCAGGTCCCTAACAAATAGGCGGGCGAGGACAACCTCAACACGCATATAAACTTTCGACTCATATATTCCGTCCCGATCTCTTCAATTGCTGCGAAATATCTTTCTGCTACAAATCCAGATCTGCTCGACAACAGAAGTCGTGTCTGGTTGGCTTTCAACCGAGTCAGCACGGGGAAATAGCTAAGGGATACCAAACATGTGTACCAGTTGTGTACTCGTGCAAGGGGATCTCACCCCCTTTGGTGCGATATGCAAGCTATAATTCAAGGTCTCAGCAAATTGATAGGTGATAAAAAGAGAAGCGATTTGACATTCCGTATGTGCTCCTTGAAGATGAAAATAGGTGGGCAAGGCATTTCATTCGGACTGCGATATATAGTTTGGCAACAAGCACCTGGCGGCTTCTTTGTATAGATTTTTTTAGTACGATGTAGATTAAACACATTTTTAGAATTTTGAAATATGTACTTGCCTCTACTGATCAAAGAGGATGTCTATTATTCAATCCACATTCTCCTACATATGATTTTGTAGCCAAAACTGGTATTGCAGCCTGACTTGTATTTTCGATCATCATATTTTGATACCCAGAAGGGCAGTAGCTCGGCGTCATCGCTCTCACAAAGCATGTGAGTTCTATTGGCCACATTCTCCTTAAATGCTTGCGAAAAACAGCTTGTTTGATTATTTCCCTCGGGATTGAAACTTATCTTTAAATCTACAGGTGCTTCATCATCTTAGAAGTAAATCTCGAACGCTGTCAAGTGAGAAAACTGAGACCTCAGCTGTCAGGTTTATTTAGGTTCGAATGTTATCGGGGATACATTGGCTCTCGCTTGAGGTCAAGCAAATCAAAGCTATACCTCAGTCGAAAGAGTACTGGCAGCAGTTAAGTTAAATCTTGTAAAACACTGTACTGAACGTACTAAAAGACCTATGTTACATAAACCATTATTAGATAACCCAGCAATGCTTCTTGATCGAGATATTATATTAGACAGCATTAGAAGAGCTGGTTTGATCTTGCGGTGTATCAAGTTTTGTTATCATCGGAACAGGATTAGTTGACGCAGTTGGAATTTTTCTAACTGTGCCTTTGGTAGTTCTCAAACTGGCGGAGCCAGGAGAATTAAGTTCAGAAGTCGACGGAGAATTTGGGGACATGATCCCCGAGGTCATCGGGTAAGGCGTTGAAAGGCCAATCAGCGAACCAGATTCAGAAGGGCCTGTTGTAGTGTCAACCTTGACTGAAAGTTTGCGATTAGAAGAGTTTGTCGATGAAGGAGTTGTCGATGTAATTTGAAATTGAGTCGATGGTTGAGTATTGGGCGTATGGGTTGCTGACATGTTGTTGGATTTTAATGACATGTCTTCATCCGTAGTCATATCTTGGATGCTTTGACCCTTTTCCAGTTTTTCGAGGTTAAGACGTGCATTCTCTCTTGCTTCAACCATTCGTTCTTGTGCTTTTTGGAGTGGGATCGTAGGCGTCACGCACGAAGAAATTGCTGGAACTGATTCATCAAGCTCGATTGTGGCTTTCATCAGAGCAGCCATCCACCCTCTCATTTCTTCCTTGGTTTCGACGGCAAAATAATGAACTTTTTGCTGAGTGAAAGTGAGCCCTTTCTTAGAACCTGGGGCCGGAGGAACAAGTTTGAAACAATACCTTCCTGAACCAGTGGTGGCTGCATACACAGTGCTAAGTTTGTCCTCGGTATCAACTGCAGGTAAAACTCTGTGAGCAGTTATATCAATGAGTCCTTTTTCGCGCTTGTCTTTCAATGAGCTGAAATACGACAACCTTGTCTTGTGAAGTGTGAAATATCTTTGTTTCCATGAACCTATTGACAAATTTCCTCTTTTGCTCATCCAGCCTGAGTAGTCTGCTGTTCGAATCGCTTCATCTGGAGATATGTTTCTAATGCCTTCTTGAAATGCTGATGTCGACATCTTGGAAGATCTAAGACCGCCCAAGGAACGAAATCCCGACGTTTTCGAATTATTAGTAGCTGAAGCCGCTGCTGCGGAAGCTATTCTCTTTGGATCAATGGTTTTGGGATTTGGAGACATATCTTTTGCTGAGATGGACCTTCTATCTGAGTTTTTTCTGTCGATATCAAGTTTCTCTGGGTTGACTTCAGTCTCAGAGATTTGTAAAGAACTATTAAATGGCGGAATCAACTTACCGTGGCCCCCCTTTATTTGCTGCTTTTGTGTCGAATGATGGAAATTTTTGTCCACGTATCGCCACGAGGCATCCTTTTGTGCAACGTTGAAATCCGAATTTGTTCTAGAATGAGTTTTAGTGAACAATGCTCCCTTTTGTTGCAAAGCATTGGTAAATGATGTAGAAGAGGGGTTTCGAGAATGCTTCCGTTCGGTGTAAATAGATGATGTATTTCCAACAGAGGATTCGCGACTGTGTCGGTATCTTCCATGCGACTCATCACCCTTATCCGTTTCTGGTGAAATCGGAGAATCTTTCTTGACCAATGGGCTTGGAAGGGATGGTGGTTGCGGTGCTTTTCTGGGAGATTCAAAAAGCCCTGTAGGTGTGCTGAATTCCTGTTCGGGCTCACTATCATTGTCGCTAGGTGTTTCAAGATAATTGGGCGGCTCCAGTTCAGCCTCAGAAGTGTCCCCTAATGATTGTTTGAAATCCACAGGATTTCCAACGCTAGATTTTGATCCGCTAAGGCTTGCTCTGAATATATCATCCATTGATTGCGACCTCTTTCTCGCATGGGTACGAAGCACTAACTTGGATTCCTCATTCCCTGATCGACTACTAGGAAACACAAGTTTCCTACTGTGCCTTTTATTCTTGGAGGCAAGTCTCAATTCCTCTATCTCTTTGTAAATTTCAAAGCGGGTACCAAACGATGTAATATCAAGCTCCTTAAGGTAAGATAGCTCCAACTGAATTAGTATAGCTCCATTGATCTTATGTCTGGCGAATTGACCTGCGCTTTCAATATCAAAATTAAGGCCAGAAAAGTATTGAGTGACCTGCTCTGGACTCCAGCTTGTGACCTCCGCTGGATCAAGAAGTACACTGTGGCTTTCATGGTTGCTTAAACCTTCGCTGGAATGTAGCTCTTGCAATGCTTTATCTATATCGCTTAAGGTCCTGTGTACTGAAATGTACCTGTTGGAACTCGTATCATGGACTTGATTATATGGCGTCGCCTCGGCATTGTTGGCCGTAAGACTTTCAGAGTTGTTGTATCGATCTGCAATAACAAGTGGAGAATTGGACTTCCCAGTCTTCTGCTGCTGGCTAAGCGATGAAAGATCAGAGATCTCTGAGGGAGAATTTACAGCGACGGGACTGTTTAGCGGTGTCCGCCTCGATCTTGATCTAAGCAAAGAAGCCTTTCCTTTGCTTTGTCCACTGGCCAATTTTGTAAATGCCTTTGGATATAACCCAACTCTATTGGTGGACAAGTTTCGTCCCATATACCATCCATCTCCAAATTCACTGTCATCGCTGATGAGCTCGATGGTATCGCCAGGGCGTATTGTGAGTTCATCACCAAGTCTTGCATTGAACTCTTTTATGACGCTGTAATAATTCTCGTATCCTTCGCTCATCGACGTGTATTGAAGAAACTGAACAGATAATGTAAAATTTTATAAAGGGCCAGCTCCTATGTTTGAGTATCTTTCCTTGTCGCCAAAATCTTCAGCTTAAATAGGGTTACGAGAACTATTAATGCTTACCACACACCGTTTAAGCACAGTTCAGCTTTCAAATTTGAAATTTGGACTGTTGTTAGTTTGCCCTTACGTTAGCAGTGAAAAAAAAAAAAAAAAAAAAAATTTGGTCTTATGTGTGGAACAGGTTTTCAGCTAGCTACATAACAACCATTATTTTCACTCAGCAATAGTATCCAAAGAAAGCGTATAATTACTCCACTCTATATTGCAATTGCTGGATATTGAATCCGTATTCGCGGATAAGCTTAATGTAGTCTTTTTGTCAGCGCCGACTTATACGTCACTGTTTTGTGTTAGAAACAAGCCTCTTTCACTATCATAAATGATAATAGGGGCACACTTTTCGAATCGATTCACATTTCACCATGAAAAATCATAGACGGGAGGCCGTTTCTCGTTTTTAGAACCTGTAAGGCATCCAAACCATGGACCCTGATAAGTTTGACCTCGCAACTTTTAGCTGCATTGTTTCAACGGCGACTTGAACAGTAACCCCAATTCTCAATTTCACAGACTGTAATTTCGGGAGTGTTCCTATTCGAAAACATATAGTGCGATTTCTTTCCTTGAAGGTGGCCTGGATCGCATAGCGTTTTAAAAAGTTGGTTGAATGCCTCGTGGAGACTTATGGAATTGCAACTTCGTATCGATCCTGCCCCTTCAAATCAGCCCAACCGAATTTATAGCAGTCGGCCAAAGGTTTTGAGTGCGCTACACTCTGGTGAAAAATACTACATTGAGACTCGCATAGTTTGGCAGCATTTTGCCTACACACGTGATAGTGTTTGATACAGCCAACAGGTGTACGTCTAGCTCACGCGAAGGTAATCTGTCCCTAGACACAGTAACCCTCAATCGTAAAATCGAAAGAAACGGGTGTTTGACTGGTGAAACCAAGCAGTATGACACCAATGTTTCGATCTAGAATCAACCGAACGGCAGACTGGAATCGTGCTTCAAAAGCCTGCTCTCACTCGATAGGCCTGAAATTTGAGTCACTCGGAGAGGAACTTGAAGACGGCGATACAAATTCGTTGGGATGAAAGGGAGACCTTATTGCTGACTGAGTTGCTTGCTTTTGCACGATGGTAAACTTCAATTTGTCCGTACAGCTTTTGTCTTCACGTCTTGCTATATATTTCGGCGACGATCATGCGAGATTTCATAGTCGACTTTTCGCAGACCGTTACTATCTCGCGGTGTGTTTTGCTCTATAAGGATGAATTTGTGCTCGTCCATTCTACCTTAATTAGAGATACCGATTGGTCCGAAATCAAATCTTTCAGTGAGTTAGTGAGTTTGTTTCATAGTCCCTGCCTCCTTGAAAAGGCTTAGTCCGAAATTCAAGAAGCGCCTACTTTGAGGTATATTTGAAAGAGGGCGCTAATTTGTCATCTCGTCAGTGAGAAAGAAAATCTGCCAACATTTTCCGTCGCAATTCATCAAAAGTTCTCTCTTTCATGCAATTTTGCCTTGTTGCAAAAGGCTTCCAAGGAAGTGTTGAAACTAAATGGAAATTGGCAATCTATAGGACAAAAATGTGGCTGATCGCATTTTAATCTTTTATGATGTCTGGCGGCGACTTGAAATATGCTTCAAATGAACTTTAGTCCCTTTCCGATACACAGTACCCCCGGCATTGTTGATCTCAATCCTCGTGCCCCTCAAGTTTGAATTTGCATTTATATTGATGAGATGACTTTTTTCACGTAAAAGCTCACTTTAGCCTTCAAAATTTCAAATTTGGTATACGATCTTGTATATGAGCCCACTCCTGTGATTTTTCGCTTCTAGAGGAGGCCCATGAACATTTGACGTCTTCAACCAATCTCTGGTATTTCTTCGTAATCCAAGATATTCCAGGTATTTCACTAGAGGAATAACGAGGGCAAACGTCGCCTCTGAACCCAGAAAAATTTCAAATGCCCGTCACCAAAGTCGACTATTTGATTGAGATATTGCAATTACTTATCAAACATTGAATTTGCCCTAATTCTTTCCAAGGTCAAAGATAACAATCTCCCTTCTAATTCAAACCAGCGAAACTCCTTTTGACTTTGATAGCAACCATATATGAGGACTGGGCCTTTTTTTTTACAGAGTGATGTAAATGGCTCTTTTCATCAAGTAACAATACAAAGCTCCGCTTTTAATCCTAATACATCTTTCATATGTAGAGCTCGTTTGGATTTCGGGAAGAGCTTATATCTCCAGATGTTCTCAAGTTTAATGTGTGCAGAAGCTGTTTTGCTTTACCTGTAAATATTTGGAGCAAAAACCTTATTAAAGTAACTGATCTTTTGACATTTTCTTCACTGCTTGGTGGTTTCGACGGCCCTATCTCAGAAAGGCTCATAGGTAAAGTGTTTTCATTTGCGCTCAATGAGATAAAAAATCCAAAGGGTATCAACCATATGCATAAACCAAAAAACGATGCAATTTCTGTGAATGATGGATAGTGTGGCAACTTGAAGTCGGGATTGAGCCTTTCATCAATTGTGGGGACATAAGGATTATTGAAATGTTTGAACCATAAGTAATGATTCAAAAGCGCCAGTATACATGTGGCGATGAACACTGACCCTGTTAGGTCGATGTTTGGAAATCTCTTTAAGTTCTGATAATATATCAAATATGAAAAGAGTGAGAATAAAGTGAGTTTGAACGGAAAGCCATCAAAAAGCCAAAGGAGAGCCAAATATGCTGCAGTGCTCTTGATGAGCCTGCTTAAAAGTCTTTTGGTCAATTCGGTATTTTCTTCTACCAACTCAGACAAATAGTAAAGACCGGATGCAATGGAGAGTGTAACCGCCACAAAGCCCACAATTGAGCCTGCTACAGCAAGCAATTCAATCAGCATTCTGAAATTAGAGTAGTCAGCGACAAAATTCGATTTTCACGCCGAGGACTTCGGAAATAGCTTTCGAAAAAGCTGACAGGTAAAGTTTAATTTTTTTTCTTTTTTCTTCAAAACCAAATGAATTTTTGTGTATTCTATTTTCAGGGGTAGGAAATTTATAAAAATAAATCGTGCTGTTTCATCTTTTATTCAAATATTTAGTACGAGTCCCAGCACAAATCATTATAAGAGGAAACGCAGCTTGAGGCTGTGTGTTTTGGGAAGTAGAAAGAAAAGGTTGATTCATCATTTCTAATGGCACCATTTTTTAAAATAAAGAGTAAGTCTTCAAAAACTTCTTCAGACGGAATCTCTTCTCCAAACGAAACTCTTCAAAGTCCACAAAGTAGTCGAGTGCCCTCCAACTACAGTGAAAAGGTTGTGTATGCCCTTCAGGGCAGATCAGCAAGCTCAGGATCGGGACAGCATGTGAAATCTCATATCACTTCAACCAAAGAACAAAACAACCAACTTGCATCTTTTAGGGCTTTACCTCAAGGTACGCCTCTCATAGATCAATCTGAAAACTCTCCATACCAGTCTGACTCAAATCTTCAAAGCCAAGCATTCTCGAATCCAGTGAGAATGGAAAATGATGAGATGATCGGAAACACAACATTAACACAGCTTTGGAGTCCAGTAGAAACAAAAGGTGTTCAGAAAGTAGATTTATATCGAGATACTGGCGAGCTTCAGCAGCAAGAACGATCCACGATAGCCTCTAACAGCCCCTGGAAAAAAAAAATACTTTATAATTCTCCTTTCCCCAGGTTTAGTCATGCTGCTTCATCTATTACCTCAGAAGCCGGAGCACTTTATCTCATGGGGGGACTGTGTGGTAAAAACGTTTTTGGGGACATGTGGATTGTGGAACCCGTGAAAAGTAGCTCTGATAAACTAAATGATTATCCATATATCGCATCCCCAATTGAAAATTTTGAGAAAATTCCATCTCCGCGAATCGGGCACTCTTCAATTTTGATTGGAAATGCTTTCATTGTATTCGCTGGGGACACCGTTACCAATACGACTCAAGAGCTTGACAACAAACTTTATTTTTTCAATATCACGTCACTGAAATGGACTATCACGTCTCCTGACGGTCCAAAACCGTGTGGAAGATACGGTCATCAAATTGGTGTTCTCAATTTCGAAAACAATGCTAGTCCTTCACAATGGTCGAGCTACCTTTATGTTTTTGGAGGACAAGTAGAAAACGATTATTTCAATGATATGTGGAGATTTGATCTTTCGAGTTTTAGAGACCCCAGAACCCAATGGGAGAGAATTGCCATTGACGATGGGGATGTTGTCCCTCCAGTGATTTCTAACCATTCTATGACCGCATATAATAATAAATTATATGTGTATGGGGGAACAGATGGAATTAGCATCTACAATCATCTTTTGGTTTTTGACCCTCTAATAAACAAATGGGAATATTGCAAGCTTAAGGGCTCGGTTATTCCACCTCCACTCCAAGGTCATGCGGCGGCAATATACCAGAATTTGCTCTTTATTTTTGGAGGCAAGACAGCTGGCGGTGAAGCCTGTGATGGCCTCTATATTGTTGACCTTAATTCCTTAACTTGCTTCCAGCTGGAGTCTGGCCTCTTTTGTTCGCCTACTAAAAGGTGTGGCCATACAATAACCATTGACCCGGTTCATGAAAAATTGTTAGTGATGGGTGGCGATCAGTTGGACAATGATTTCACACATGTATCTGAAACTAAAAACAAGCTCATTCAAGATTCTCAGTTTGAATACCAAAACTCAATCATTTATGAACTAGACCTTCAGCTTCTCCCAAAGTTTTTAAGGTTCACATCTAGTCTGAACAAACAGCCTACAATAAAATCACCACAATCGTTCAGGAAACCATCTGAAATATCCATTGACAATACCAATGAACCTGTTGGTGTGACAAGAGGGTCTAGTAGGCTAAGTCAATATGCTGTTTATGAAAATGTAAGTGACGATGATGAAACCAAGGAGATATCTGATTACCATGTTGATAAACCTGCTGTGTCCAATCCTTTCCAACCCCAAATCCAAAATAACCCATCAAAACTCAAATTAGATTGTGATAACGAGGTTCTAGCTCTCACGCTTCCCGACCCTGGATCTCAGTCAATGAAAACGGAAGATATCCACAAGCCACGTGAGTATGTGAGAGAAGCCCATAAAAAGGTGTTCATTGCACCAGAGAAGAACGGGCCGAATTTTAATACCAGTTGTGATGTGGGGGAGCAAACTTCAAGTATTGCAGGGAGGTTTGTAGCAACGCCTGCTACAGATGCCTATCAAAGTACTGAGAAAACTCAGGAAATCAACTATCCTTCTAAGAGTGAGCAAGAATATGTTGGACCAAATACTCTTGAATCACCCAATCGGAACGGCTCGAGTTTGGATTCAACAACCTTTAAAGAGTTTTCAACCATGCTACAATCACTCAGAAGGGAAATGGCTGAGAAAGTCGAAAAGGCAAACCTTCAGCTCAACAGTTTGGAATTTCAACGTCAGGAACTTATCAAAGAGAATGAAGCACTCAAGTCACTGGTCGCTGGTGAAGCAGCTAGACGAACAGAAACAGTGCAAGAGAGAATCAATCAAGAAGAACCGCGTGATGCGATGTCAGCAAGAAGTTTCAGTGATAGTCAACGTATTGCATTGGAAAATCAGATCCTTCAGCTGACAGCTAAAAACACGGCACTACTCTCCAAGGTGAAAAATTACGACTATGTATTCGAGGAACGTTTGCAGAAATTGGACAGACTCAATCTTTTGATACAAGAACAAGAGAGGAGCATCAAAGAACTAAAATCACATCTGAGAGGTGAGGCAGCTATATTGGCTAGGATAACAGAACTCGATAATCGGATTAAGTGCGCTGAGCGGAAGTCGATGTACTTATGTGACGTAGTTGGAATCAGAGATCATACAACTTCCGATATCTCTGAATCATATGCTGACGAAAGGAAACGTTATTATCTACAGGCCAGCCAACTTTCAGAGAATATTGACAAACTTCTCAAATCCTGGAAAGATGCTCCGAGAGAGCATGTTCTCAATCACTTGATCCATGATACAAATTCACTCCATCAGTTACCGGGTGCGGTTGATGGTAATTTAACAGATGATCTACAAAAGCAAATCAACGAACTGATAGCAAGCAAGAAGAATGACGAGGAAAAGATTAGCAAACTCACGGATGAACTGACAATGTATTCTGTCAAAGTTAGGGAGCTAGAAGACTCCTATAGAAAGTCTTACGCTTCGCTTAAAAATTCGCATAAGGCGCTTACAGTATCTCAAAGCGAAATCGAAAAATACAAAGAACTAAACAAGCACCTGATGAATGAGTTAAAAGAGTTGCAAATGAAAAGCATGAGCACCAGTGATAGGGAGATGAATGACAGGTCATCTGTTGAAAGTGGCATCTCAGGAATTGATGCTTCCTTTGATGCCCGGTACGATTTCAAAATCAAAGATTTGGAAGCAGACTTATTTATTGTAAGTCAGGAAAGAGACCAATTAAAGGAAGAAATAATAACGCTGAAGAAAAAGCTTTACACAGTCTCGTCTTGAAGAACTTTCAGCGTGCAGTTTTGCTGATATGTAGTATATAATACATATTTTTGGTGTAATTAGCTTTTCGGCGAATTTGTTCAAACTCCTCTTTTCATTTCTTTGAGTCCACTCCGTCAGTATCTATGTTTTCGGGTAAATCTCCATCCGAGCAGTCAGGGTCAATTACTTTTGTTCCCGGGCTTTTGTCATGGAGATTGGAGCTTCGTCGTCTATGTTTAGCATGTAATCCGTAAGACTGACGTTTTGAAAACGATGGTGTTCGTAGCTTTTTCGGTGAAGATATGGGGGTCAAGGGTTTGGATTCCTCATCCACGGCAAGATTTTGTTTCACCTCATTTACAAAATTCCACAACTTGCTGGATACTGAGTGTACTATATCATTTGAGCTATGAAACTCTTGGTCAGTCTGAAATTGTTCAGCGTCCCTCAGTGAGGAGGTATCATTTTCTTGATTTCCTTTAACAAGGGATGACGAACACGAGAGTCTCTCTGAAATATCAAGCTCATCATTTTTCCGCTCTGAATCAGGACATGAGGAGCTCATAAATGATGGACCTAGGTGCAATTTCTCGAATTCTTGGTAAATCAACGAATCAATTTGTTGGAACAGTGTAAGAGGTTTGGCAAACCATGATCTGCCAAAGTCGTCCCTGAGATCGTCATCTACTTTGTCTGAAGGTTTTGAGTTCAGAAGCGGATCACCTGAAACACCTGTGGTCTGTAGCCGTCGTCTTTGAAGACTATTGGGAGATTTTGGAACGTGCTTTTCGAATAGCCCATGATTACCCCCTAGTGATTGACCAGATCCGATCTTTGTTGTGAGTTCTTTTTCAATACCAATCTTCAATTCCTGAATCTCATTTTCCAGCTCCTTTTTTCGATGGGAAAGCGCTTTCACTTGCTGATTAATCTCTAAGATCTCCATTTCTTTAGAGGCTAAAAGACGAAGATCATGCGACAATCCATGATCTTGTTGATTTATCTCGATGTATCTAGTTGGTGTGGCTGATGGACTCCTTAAGGTCGTGTTCTTAGTTATGTTGGGCAGAACTGGCCCTTGCTCAAAAGTTTCCTGCTTGGATGAGGAAAGCTCTATGCAGTTTTTCGTTTCAGATAGTTCTGTGCCGAACACACTAAGTCCCAAGTTGATTCCCGTTCTTTTGTTGCTTTGCGGGGAGCCATCTGCATTGTCTCCAAAGTATGGCGAGGAAGGAGTTGTACCAATCTTTTGTTCTTTGTTTCCTTCAATAGCATCGGGCGTCATTCTAGTCTTCAGAGTTGAGGCAATTTTGGAGTTCGGGGACTGACTGGAGACTTTAAATGATCGGTTGGTTGACATGCTTCGGCGTAGGGTTTATTGGTATGTGGCGTTTTGCTGTAATCAGTTTATCTCTTGTCAACGCTTTGACCTTCAAAGCTTTGAATAAAATACTCAAGGATACCAGATAAGAAACTATAGAATTGCTTTCCCAAAACCGCGCTTATATTTCAAAAGTATTTGAAAAAGTAAATTGGCAATTACATAGACAAATATACATTGGTTTGACACCGAAATTTGGATTCTAAAGTCACAAACGGTATTTATATGAACGCACTCGTCCATGAATTTCCCCTGAGCGATCCTGACACTGACTCTGTAAGTGATCAACTGGTGAGTATAATTCCCCATCCAAAATTCGTTGTGAAGACCAGGTTGCTTAAGCCATACAGAGAATTACCTGCTCGGACCAAGCTTTTTGTCAATGTATGTTCCAATTATAATGTTCCATTACCTGGAAGCCCATCTGACCCTGTAGATTGGAAATCTCTTTTTCTTTCCATCGCTAATGATGAATGGCAACTACCTATTTTGCTTTCTCCTGACCTGAGAGATGGTAAAGATAAATCCGGGAATGCATCTCTCATAATCGACTGTATTATAAATGAGAAAGCATTTCAAATGATACTTTCCAATATCTCGTTTAAAGACATCGTTATAGAATGGTGCTTTGATGCGATCGAATCGCGATTCAATGATGATATAACGATCGACAGACAAGTCAAAGCTTTGCCAAAACGATCATGTATGGGAGAGCCATCAACATTCCAAACAAAGATCTCAACATTGAGGGGGATCATAAAAGCAACTGACACTACTTGTCAATACGATCAACACACATTTGCAAATGACTATCAACCAGAATCTCGAGATAATGACTCCAATTCAAGACCATGGCCACCTTGGAATGCAAGGTCTCATGACTTTAAATCCGAAGGATCAAAAAAATTGAAAGTTCTACCTAACAATCTGAAAGTACATGCTTACTCTCAAATTAGTGCTCTTAGAAATGTTCCTCAGCTTAGGATGCTAACCCCTGAAGAAACTCAAGATTCATTCATCGCTCATGTCAAGTACCAAGTCCCAAGTGCTTTTCATAATGAGTTCAGCTTGATGTACAACAAAAAGTCTAATTGCTTGATTGTGACAATCTATTCCCCGGTCAAAGATATTCCATCCATTAGATTTCCTTTGGCAGGTCTTATACCTAAGGTTATCGAGGCAATTTCTGTCAAAGATGAGAATGAGGCAAACACTTTACATATCTTTCTCAAATAACAATGAAAATTCTAAAAGCTCAAAGCAAATCTAACAGCACCTCCCATTCCCACAAATTGTCCACGAGCCAGGAATTGCTTGAATTTGTAGTTGGTGATCTGATCTTGCATCAAGTACTTCTCTCAATTGGTTCCAGTCCAAACATGACCAGTTGGAGTATTTTGGCTTAACGCTAAAAAGCTTCTCAAGTGAAGGATCTTGAGAGACCCTCACTGCCACTAATTCCAGAGTACACTTTGAAGTGTCGAATAGTTCATTAACCTCTGCAACCAGCAATACTAAACACCTATCAGCAACTAAATTTTCACCAATTTTAAGCCCTTCGTAAAAATACATGTTTTGAATACTGGGCATATCTAGGGAAGCGAACGAGCCTTCAGAGCTCAAATCGTATAAATGAGCTTTTTCATAATCGTTGTAAATCAAATAATGTGATTGTTCTATGGTTATGAATTGTGTATTATACATTGGTCCAAGATGATGAAACACATTCTCTGAAGAGAAATTGGGGACTATTGTAGAGATCACGAGTTCTGATTTTCGAAGATGATACAACGAGGTCCCTATCACCTGAAACTGAAGCGTGCCTTTGGTATTTTGAATAAAGTGAGATTCAACAATGTTAGCCGTCATGAGGTAAACAAAAGTGCCCAGTGGACTAAAGGCAGCGAATGAAATGTCATTTATCCGTCGAACTCTTGAGCACGAATCATGTAGTTTTATCATCGAAACGTCATCAAAAGTGTTCAACTTTTTGAAGTAAAGAGTTCCGCAAGACGTTAAAGATGCAAATATATCATTATTCAGTAACATCAGATCTTGAGTATCGGCTTGACCGGTTCCACTTCGTACATATATCATATTAGCACAATTGACTTTGAGATAATGCAAGATTCCATGGACATCATAAAGAATTCTAAGATCTTTGTCACTGGACTCATAAATTGATATATGTGTACTGCTACAAGCCACTTTATGAATGACATGTGGATTGGGTTGCAACATGAAAATGTAAAGCATTGACGATGTCAAGATAACACCATAGGAGCTGGTAAACTCATATGATAATGCATTGCCCATAAAGGTGCTCAAAACATTATTTGTAGAAACTTGTATAGCACACTTAGTAGTGACCATCACATTTGCCCCGACCCCGATGACATTTTCCAGTTCCGTGATCTTGACGGGGTGACTTTTGAAAATTACAGTATCACCCTTCAATATTAGATCATGAAGATATCCATCCAAACAACGTGATAATAAATGGTTTACATCTATAGGATATATTTCACACATAGAAGCGAGAACAGGAATTTTGGTTTGCTCAATCTTCAGTTTGCTACGCATTTTGATTGAAGTCAAATGAGTTGTATCATCCTGAAAGGCTTCCACAAAAATAGAGGTACAGTTCTTTGAAGAAGAATTAACAGCTTTTGATTCCGTGAGCAAATTTGTGACTGGCACAAATGACTGTTCTCTCAATATCCCTTGAACTTCAAGTCTTGATCGCTTTGTAAACTGGAACAATATGACGTTCGACCTCGATATCGCTAGATATTTATGATTATTAAGCTTGAGCACCTGCCTTGCCTTGATGTATTCACCCACAAACTTGAGTTTGTAATTAAAGTCAGACTTTTTTACTTTGTAACTCAAAAGTAATAGGCCTTTCTTTTGGTCACAAATGATAGCATGACCTTCCCGTATGAATAGAACATCGAGAATATTGTCATTTGAACAGTAAATTTCTAATCCTTCATCGCAACCAAGGGCTCCGTATTTGTTGCATGCACTCGAACTCAAGACAACTCTAATTTTCTTGGAGACAATCAAAAGATGTCTCTCTCCGATTGGTATGATTTTTCGAATATTTCCGTCATGAGTACGAGCAAGCCCTAGAAGTCGTGAATTGCTGCTCGACAGTTTGTAAAATCTTGAATCAAATCCATTTGAGCAAGTGATAAGTTGTTCCTCAAGAATGGCAGTTTTTCGGTGTACCCAAGGCAAGCATAATGTCTTGTGGTGAACAACGTACATGAGTAGTACGTTTCTTTGAATTTGTGAAAAGAAATCTGGCCCAAGTTCCAAAACTCCATCGTCCGCATAGGGCTGGAAATTTATCTTGCGAGCATTCAAATATATGCGATACAGCGTTGTCTGAGCATGAACAAGCATCCAACCTGTCATATATCCATCAAATAAAGATTTCCCACCATCTTGAAAGCGGTTTTTGTGTTTCTTTATGTCATGACCACAGTGAGCGATCTCAATATGCTCCTTGTCCCATGTTAGCACTATCGTTGAGGGTTCTCTAACAATGTCAACTATAAGAAGCAAATAACGTTCAATGACGACCATGTGATACAGATTCGTATCGGGTATTAGCAATTTCTTAACCGGCTTTAAGTTCGTACCGTAGATTACTATCTGAGAACCAAAATTGATCACTACGTAATTCAGCCATCTCACATATCTTTGGGCAATTTCGGCAGTTTCACCATATACTTCCATTCCCATCTGTTCCCTCCTGAAAATAAGCTAGCTAGCAGATGTGATTAATATTTATTTTCCAATTTTAAACAAACAGATTATACAACCAGCCAAGAAAATTATTGGAGCCTACATATCTTAAGGAGTTTCAATGCATCACCTTGTCTTGCTCCTGATAAGGATTTTCTATTATTTCCGAGCCTCCGAAGGGTGATATGGTAAGCAGAACAGGGCCTCTCACCACGACCAACCCCAAGTGGCGCGTGTGATTTGATAATGTGTGACTATCACATTCCTCCCTGAGAGTTTCAGAGCAATTATCCAAAACAAGGTTCATTAGCTGATCAAAACCTTTCAAGACCCCGGTCACTTTTCTTCCTCCTAAAAATGTGATCACAAGTCTTTCATTTTGATACTTATGCAGATCCAAAATCGCATCCCTTTTTGGGCCTTCTAGCTTATCTCTCTTCTGTCGCGGTCTCTCTGGCTCATAGGATTAGCTTTCCATTGTTTGTTGAGTAACCTACCTCCATTCTTCAATCGTGAGAATAATTATTTGTTTGATGCTAACTTTTTCAATCAAGCTACGAATTATAGACTATAGGGTCATGGGTCAGGGCCCATAACCCATTGGGGGTAGCGACCCGATGGTTTATCAGTAATGCTTCAATCACTGCTTGCACATCCTTGGCATCCACAAGACTTGCAGGCTGGATTTTGCTGTGTCTCTATACTTTTTGGAACCCTGCAAATACAGGTACGATTTGCGTCAGAACGTTCAATGCATTGCAAGCAACACAAGTTTTCATAACCCTGTTTTCTCCATTTAGCAATAAGCTCAGCGTCTCCGTATTTGTGGTTCAACAGCCAATCATATGTTGGTCTTGTAATCATTCTTTTCTTGTGAAACATGTCATATATATATCTTGATCGTTGATGATTAATGTGGGAAATTTCCCATAAGCTCTCGTACTTAGGGCGCCCCATTCTTGATTTCATGGATTCCGCAACCTTCATTTTCTGTTCGAATTTCACTAAGGTTGGCTGAACTTTCCAAAACTCTTCGGGAGGCTTGGAGTTCGAACACTTGAATTTTGGCATTTTATCACACTGTAGTAAGAGTCTGCTACAGCCAAAATTTTAGGAGGGTGTTATTCATAAGGAAAAATATTTGAAAAAAAAGTTGAGATAAGATGGATTTTGTGAACGTTTTTGTAACTTCTGACCTTACTTCATCGGAGCGACGAATTTGTCTGAGCTGGACTATAGAATTCTTCAAGTCGCGATTGGAGTTAATCACTGGAGTTTCAACACTGGATCAAAAGATTTGGATCTATAAATCAGCTGACGCCGCTGAGCGCGAAGAGATGACAGCCGTAGGATCACAAACTCTCAGTGCATATAATATTAGACCACACACAAGAATACATGTTGATGATACGAACGCTAAGTCAGTGCTGAGAGAGTTAGAAGCAGAATTCAGCGATGATACTGGCCAACATTACGTGATGGCAGATGAGAAATATAAACAACGCAGGGAGAGTGTACTTAAATGGAAAAAGGAGAATTGTTATGGTGAATTCGACCCCCACTTTCAAACGAGGAATCCTTTATCAGCTCAGGAGATCGAAAACGAGACCAGATTTCTCAAAGTGGGGCAATCGTGTGAAGTCTTGAATGGAAATACATCTAAATCTGGTGTAATAAAATTCGTTGGAAAAATTGATGAGATAGACAATGGCAGGTGCATATGGGTTGGTGTCGGGCTGGATTTGCCTTTAGGGAAAAATGATGGTAGTTTAAAGGGAAAGCGATATTTTGACTGTGAAAAAAACCATGGATGCTTTGTCAAACCCTCCAAAATCCGATTGACACATTTCGACCCAATGTTGTCTTCTCCAAATATTGAAGATGAAATTTAACTAATCTTTACCACCAAATAGACCTCGCGCGAATCGGAAAAAAAAAAATTGTGCGAGTAAATGTGAACCATTATCTCGAATGGGAGTGGTGTAACGGCTATAGCCTCGCATGTAGCTTGCACCATTACGTCCAGCAAGCTCTTAGCCCAAAATCGACTTTAAACTGTATACTGCGCTCGACTGATTTCAAATGTGGATATAGCTCTCCAACCAGAATTGATAAAAGCTTTTATAGCATTTAAGCGGTAATAACAATCTTTCATCAACCGAAAGCCTTGGGACGTTCCTCTTGAACATCTCTACGGCGCTATTACAAAACTAATTTGGCAAATTTATTATCAGGCATCAATCCCACGAACAATCATTACCGTTTTCGAAGGGAACAAAAAAAACGTTTTTCAAAAATATTGCCGGACCTTGCTTGTGTATAAGATTTTGCTGATTGGTAATTATAATAAACTGGGATAATAGTGGTAAAAAGGGTACCAATTAGTTATTAGCTTATCATAGGCTTCATCACAAAATGGGATTCTCTGGCTTGTGGGAAGGCCTCTCTCAGGAATTCGACATTTATAAGTTTCTTCGTTTGGTTGTCATCATAGGTGGTTACATCTTTTTCAGGCAAAGATACTTGGAATTTATGAAACACTATCAAGTCAAAAAACAGCTTGAAGAAGACCATAAAAGGAATGCCGAAGCTTTGGTTGAGAGACCGAATGCTATAGAGGCGGAATCTACCGGTGTTGCAAGTAGTGACAAAAGATGGGGTTGGGGAAAAACAACAAGATGCAAGGTCAAAGCACAGCAGAAGCAATTCCAAAAGCAAATAGAACAGGCGGCATTGGAGGCTTCCCAAACGAATGGACCAGAAAGTGATGAGGAAATAAATGAGTTGCTGGAAGATTGATCGGAATTCATGACAAGTTGAATAGTTTGGCGAAAACTTTGCTAGGTTGATAAAAAGATCTTACAAAGTGCTTGACTTCCTCGCGCTTCCTTTGTTGTTCAATAAATTAAGTCCATCAGCGATGAAGTAAGTAAGATTTTCTTAATATAGTACTATAAATCAGATATATTACTGATCATAGTATGTCACTATTTAATCTGGCTTTAATCGAAGCCAATTTCTATGTTGTCACTGTTTCAGATACTAAATAACAGAGCTGTTCAAAAACTGTGACCAAAAGTATAGTTTTATCATGGTAGAAGCTTCTCTGATATCTTAAAGTGTAACTCAAGTAGTTTTTCTTGCAAGCAGAAATTTAATCTTTTATTTCAAGCTCAAAATCTCACACAACGATGGCTTATAATGAAAAGAGACGAAAAGGCCTGGCCTTTTTGGGTTTGGATTTTACAGATGCTGGAAGCTATATTGACACCTCGAACTGCATATACTCGCATCCTATATCTGGAAATTTGACCGTGAGAGAAAAGGAAGAAGTCTTCAAGTTCACACATTTCTGCGATATCATTGGCACTTCCTACTATTACACGAACAATCTCTCATCACCAGATTTCAATGGAAACTCTGTTGCAAAGACTAAGAATCAAATTACATTTGATGATGGAATTAGACGTTACTCGGACAGGTACAGAAATACAATACAAAAACTGGATAAAAGTTTGAACTACTATTCTTCGATTTTCTTTCCTGAAGAATTGAGAATATCTAGTATCGGACGAAAATTTGAAAGAGGAAATGCTTCCAAGTTCGCCCTTACAACATTTCTAAAACCCAGCATCACAGCAATATCCTCACCAATGAATTTGGAGGAAAAACAGAGACACATTATTGAGAAATTTGATAGCGTTGAGGATTTTGACGAAGATGTAATAGAGGCCGAGGAGGAGGAAGAAGAGGAGGACGATGAGTTTGAAGAGGAAGACGACGATGACTATAATGCCGAGAAATACTTCGATGATGGCGAGTTTGATGATGGGGATGAGGACGGTAACGATGAGGTCGCATTTTGACGATCCTTCGAAGCAGAGACTCAACGCTATCGCTTTCTTTGAAGCTTTCTGATCTGTGAGTACGAAAGATCTGATTTGCTCTGATTATAGTATTGTTTTCGATTGTAAGAATGTTCGGAACCGAGATGTTCGTTGTCCTTGCTATGAAATGCTGTTTTAAAGTCAGTGGAGGAAAGTGGACGATTCATTTGTGTTAAAGGGACTCTATGAGATGGTGGCTCGGGTGCAACATCTTCTTGGTCCACTTCGGACAGGACTGTGGTATCTGCACTTCTCGTGTTATTTAACAAAGGAGAATTGTTTCTTAAACTACTTTCAAGTTCTGTGTTATCTATACCTGAATTCTCTCGTTTGTCAAAGCCGAAAACCAGATTTGATAAGAAGGACTTACCTATTTGTAAAGTCTTGGTATCGCTGAGATTATGGCGTGCCTTGGCTTGATTTTCTTTCGCGTCATTTTGGTGAATCGCTGGTTCGAGTTCATCTTCATCACTTGAATCCTCAAAGAGTTTATGCGTTAACAGGTGTGTTCTAGGCTGATGGGCAGAAGGTTCCAAATCAATCACGGTAGCCTGAGTGACAGGTTTGTTGAATGCAGATGAGAATCTCCAAGCATTATTGACTAACCTTTGTAAAGAGTTTTGGTCTGTCCCAAATGACTGACTCATATTTAGTAATTTGCCTGTTCGTTTTACCTCTTTATCTTCAGCATCATAATTCAATTCCCTGAAAATCATGCCATCACAGTCAAATGGTTGTCTTGATTGTGCTGGTGGGGTGGAAGGAAGATTTTGCGGTATAACAGAGGAATAGGTTCGTGATGATTTGGTTAGAGGTTCAACGTTAGCGGGTACTTCTTTGGACGAGGAGTAGTAAGTCATTTCTAGATATATCTTTCCCGCTGGCCTACCGTTATAGCTGAGAGAGAACCAGTTATCATAACCCTCCTTGGATGATCGGCGAAGAGCAGGTGTGAAATCTATGTCTGCTTTACAAACGAGCTCGGAATCTTTTTTCAATTGGTGGTAAATAATGAAGTTCACGGTTGTTTCTTCAACGTTATCGAGCGAAAACCACAACTCATCGTCAAATATAGGATTCTGGCCACCTCGGTGTACAATCTTTGTCTTTTGAACCTGATCCTGAACTCGCGCAACACAGTAAGGGGATTGCTTGTCAAGCTTTTTCCTGTTTGGCAAATCTTGCGCTTTGGAGACAATAATTACCAGTTGATTGCTTGGTTGATACAGTCTTGCACTGTTCACATTTGATGATCGGAATGAGTCATTCATGGGCAAATATCAAGAAAGTCTCTGAGTCAAAAAAAAAAGTTAGATGACAGCTTGCTCATATATATTCTTGAAGTGTTGATGTTTTTCCCAGTTAGGATTATTTGTTACAACTTCTCAAGAATGATCTTTAAAAATTTTAGACACTAATATTCCGAAAACGAATGTTTTACGGTCCTTCCATCGTAGAGAGCGGCAAAAAAAACTAGTCTGACAGTGCATTCATGAGATGCTCAATCAGGAAGGAACGAACCTTATCTTTCTTATTTAAGCTAATCTTTACATCCTTACACAAGAGCAAGAATATCTCAAATTAATAGTTCTTAACTACTATAGCCGAGAAAATTCAAATTTATGCAAATTCAAGGGTTTTCATTCACTTCGGAATTCTGGGAGTACGCACAGCTAACCAACGGAGGTAGGCCAGTATGCTCTTCAAAAGAAAGAAGCCTGTTTCTCACAGCAAATGTTGGTTTGTATTTAGGAAACTCGAAAATTGAGAACTATCAAAACGGCCGTCTCTATTTAACAAATCTGCGTCTCATCTATGTTCCTTATCAACCCAATGAGGCTCTTGAGAAGAAGATTGGCTTGTCATTAAATTTGGCTTATATAGAAAACGTTCAATTTCAGGCAGGATTCATGAGATCAAGTCCAAAGATTCTTTTGATCTTGACTCAAATATCTCCAGATCTCGAACAAGAAACCCTTCATAAAACTCTAAATTGGGACTGTCCCATATGTTTTCAATCGAACAAATGTGATCTAAAGGTGGGATCTAGGTTTAATGTTCCAAAATGTGAGGTTTGCGGAGTCAGCGCCAACGTCGACGAGCTTAATAAGCTTAAAGTTGAAAAGCAAATTATATCTCGATCGAAAACAAACAAGGGTGATACGAATATCATACCCAATTCAGTGAACCGCACAAACAATGCCGCCAATAAGTTGAAATTGCATGAAGGTAAGAAGCCAAATTCACTAAAAGATGATTTATCAAATGAGATATCATTGAGCTCGAAACCTGTTTTTTGCATGTCGGTCAAAACCGATGCTACAGACCGATTTTGTTTCAAGTTAAGCTTCAGAGATGGAGGCGCTCGAATTTTCTATGACAAGCTAAAGTTTGCTCTCGGACAAGCCAAATGGTTACGTGCAGATTCAAAACTTCAAGTCAATGCTGGTGCTTTGAGGGTAGCACGAAATTTCTCAGCAACTGACGCCGATATTCAATCGATACCATCAAACGTGAATTCAAAGCTAAATTTTGACTCCACTGAAAAACGAGCTGGTATTCATGGGCTGGAAACGTTGACTTCTTTAAGGAATACTGAAGTTTCCACGTTTCTCAATAGCTCGCTTAGAGACCTACAAAACTTGATGGATAAAAGCAAGGATTTGGCAAAGATTGGAGACGACTATAGGCGAATGCTGATGAGTAGTAAAATATTAGATGAAGAAGTCGGTCAAGCAGTCGAGCTTCTCTCGCGATCCAGAAATTCATTGAAGCTACTCGGAAACCTACTCAATGACCGTGAAAGTATTAATGAAGCTAATGATTTCTATACTGTCGAGTCACTCAACTTGCTTAAGCAAACTGGTGGTGCAGAAGCTGGATCTTCTCTTTACGTGGAAGAGCTTTCTCGACAACTGTATGACTTTATCATTGAAGAGAATATAATTGGAGACAAGAACGGTTTAATCACGGCGCTTGATCTCTACTGTCTCTTCAATAAAAGAAAAGGATTTTATTCAATATCTCCTCGCAATTTCCTTCTGGCAATAATTTCGCTTGAACGATTAAATCCTGATTTGCAACTCATTGAGTTAAAGTTACAGTCTCTTCAAAAGATAGAGAGAGGAACAGCTAGGGAGATACCAGAAAAAGCTCGCTCACTCTATGCTATCTGCTCCTCCACGATGAATGCAAAGTCCATTTCGAGGTCAGTTTTAGATGTTCTAGAGTCTGTCAAGTTTGAAGGCTATTCTGCTCTGGAGTTTCAGGGCATGTGTTCTTTACAGACCAATTTGCTTTTACTTCAATCTGTCTTGAACGCATTGACTAAAGACGGTGTTCTGTGTGTTGATTCAACACTACAAGGTGAAAAATATTATAAGAACGAAATTTTTCACTTTGAGGCTCAAAGCTGAATACTTCATAATCCTCACGCAAAATTCAACGTTGACATCAGTTGTTGTAATCAGCAGGCAATGATGATCTCATCATATTGAGGAAACCTCCGGACAAGATGTTGTTAAGTTTCTTTATAGCTGTATTTTGAATCGGGGCTTCCGTCATTTGGTAACGATGGCGTATTCTGCAGCCCTTTGATGCCTCCATGTATATCTGTTTCCGCGCCCTTCGCGTTCACGTTCTGCAACTGAACCAATTTCGGCAAGCATTCAATTTGTTCAATGACAAAGTTGCGCTCCACTGTAAAAAGTTCATCTTCCTTCCTATCATTTGCAAAGGTCCTAAGAAATTGCAAAAGGCGCTCGCGGTTTTTGGTCAATATTTCTATTATGCTTCTTGATTTTCTTGGGTTGGCGATGAATATCTTAAATACATTAAATGATTCAAACTGTATGTTTTTAGATTTGTCACCAAGAAGGATCATGATCAGCTTTAGATTATGCGGCGAGTTCACATAAGTTGTCATAAGGTTATAGTTAGGCTTATCTAAAATGAGCTGGGCGAGCAATTTCACTGATTGTCTTTTTGTGACATAGTTTGGGGACACTATTAACCTGTTGATTCTGTCGATAAATTTGTTTATATGGGAGTTGAAGAATTCACTTGCAACCAGCTTGTGGGTAGTCAAAAAGTCGTTTAAAGTTAGGAATGCCTCCGTTGATGTTTCGAATGAGCCATATTCACAATAATCAAAATAATTCCAGAAAATGGGTTTGAAGATGAGGTATTTTGCAATTTGCTCATACTTGATTGCCTCGCGCAGCATATGCCCGGTGTTGATTGAAATCTCTGGATTTTCTGGTCCTTTCATTAACAAAATTAATATTTGAGGTCTTTGTAGTAGATGGTCAACTGTAGGAGACCTGTTGACGATTTTCCGTTTCAAAAGCGATGTAAATAACAGACTCACAATTTTGCGCGCGTCAAACTCGATTGAGGGCAAATTTTGAATTAAGAGAAACAAGCAATCCGTACTGTAAACCTCGTGTGCTAGCTGGGCAATTTGATCTGGTTGTGAGTCTGATAAAACGCCATTTGACTCGTCCCCTCTCCCAGTCAATATACCTTTGATTGACATCAGGTATCTTGTTATCTCATCCTGTGCTTTCTTCCCATCATTTACCGTTTCCAACTTAGTAAGCTGGTCATTCATTGCCCTAACCAGTTCAGCTGGGCTCTTGGGATTCCGTTTAAAAAGAAATGCCATGTCTTGAATTTTGTAGATCTATACCGCTCACCCCAACTGTCTTTCCAATGATTGAGTACCTTTAAGTAATCAAACTCTCAATACGCCCTAACACTTTTGTAAGTGCTTGATCAGGAATTCAAGACAAGAGATTTCTCTATCTATCTAATGTGAGTGTTCCTATTATAGCGCTTATAGCAAGATCTTGATGGAGCCAAGTAGTAACAATTTATACGTATGTTTCAAGAGGTTTTGAGCGATAGTATCAACTTAAAGACAAGTCTGAATTAAATATATGACAATATTATTTTTGTCACAGTAACTAGTTGACAGCGTCAGATTTGACTAAGCGCTCAAAGGTGATTATTACTAATAGATTATATAATACAGTAAAGCCGAAAACTTTTGATATTTTTTGGGGATTTCTGGTTTTCCCGTCGGAAACATTTGACCAGCCGTGGGTGAGATTTATATCATGATCTGAGTCATGTGATGACAAGAGCTTGGACCTTAGCTCGATAACATTTCCATTTTAGATCATCTTGGGATTGTTGTTTTCTGTGGGAGAAGAAATTGTAGCTCCACAGAATAGACCTGAACCTTTACTGATGCACCTTGACAAACATTAAGATTAGGTAGGTAAACATGTGTTTTTCCTACTTGCATTGTGGGATTCACCTCGATGATTTAATTGGCTCTCCGATATGATTGACCAGTAATTGTCTTGCTTATTCGTTTTGATCAACGAATGCAGTGGAAATGAACTCATAAATTAAGTGGGAATGTATGGATTTAATCCACGGTGGATTATCCGGAGTTCGTTGCAAAGACAAAGGGCAAACTAGCGCCTCCAACAAAATAACCGAAGCAGAATTCATGAGAAAGCTCCCGGTCAATAGAATGTTCGGCTCAATAACATGTATCAAATGCACTTTAATTACCATATGTGAGTTTTTGTCTTACAAAAATACCCTAACTCACGTACAAATACGCCTAGGAGCTGCATTAACGTACAAAGACATTTCACGACTGAGGCACAACCTCAGCACCTTTTATTCCAATCAGCTCCTATATGCTAAAAATATGACTATATGGTATTCAACTTGTGTGTTCTTATTTTGCTTCTAATACAATGAACCTGCAATCTACATTCAATGCCACTCAATCATGTCAATTTTTGGGTGCAATCAAACCATACAACCATTTGAAGCCTCAATTACACCTCAACGGGCGTAAGATTCCAGCACAATCCTAATTCAAAATCCCCCGCTCATTCTATTTACCATGCATTTTCTGGCCAAATCTAACTTAGTTTCACTCAAGTGGGCTCCAAGATGTTACAACATTAGTGGTAAGAACACATGAGTTTGTGCATTTGGTTGCAATCTAAGCCTATATCGAATATAGAGCACACGTGCTAGATACTCATTAAACTTTGATGATCCCCTGGCTTTACCACCTATATCATGTACAAAAGCAGCTCAATCGTGTCCACTTTGAAACTCATACTGATTAAAACCTCAATTCTCTGCCGATCTGTATCCATATGCTAATTGATAGCTCAGAAAGCTCCACAAATTGGACGCATTCTTTTTAAGATAATATAGTGCATCTTACGTATACAATCCGGTTACAAGGGGGATGCAATGATATGAGACACCATCCATCCATCACAATCTCAACTACAAATATTATGGAACAAGGTTCGAGATCTTGTCATCACACGACTCAAGTGATGCTAAAATTTCTACCGACGGACTAACTAAATGATTTTGACGGCAAAATCTAAGAATCCCAGAAGAAAATTACAGTTTCCTGTCTCATCTGTATTTTCAAGTTTATTTTCCAGATTATAAAAAGTTACCCCTCAAGAGGGGTAATATTACAACGCCCCTTTTGTAACAATCAGAGGCTTTCGTCTGGATCTTGAATGCGATGATTATCTAAGAACATTATACGATCCATACCATCAGGTTGCTACAACACAGAAAGCTTATATAACAAGCGGTGTAAAATGAGTGTTTTGTGCCCATTTGGAAAAAGCTAGCTTTTTTACCATGCAATGTGAATATTTCATTGGGGGGCTAGTGGGAAAAAACTCAACCAAAATTCATATTATTGTATAAAGAATCCACTAATTTTTGGCCTACATTAGCATGAAATTACATCCAATTTCCTCTAAAGTCCACTCTAGTAATGAAGTACACTGGGCTAAAAGTGAACTTATCGTCATTGCAGACTCATGACATACATGTATTTTGCAGGTTAGGCTTCAGTGAACCGTATTATGTGATATCTTAAAAGTCTCAAAAAGCTCCATGATGCTGCAGCCTTGCATCAATCAAGTAAAATATTTGTAATGGTAGCAACTCAAATAGCAATTATCACCACACGATCTCTCTCATAGCTAAATTTAAGGTTTCTGAGTCAGCCAGCGCAAAAGAATCAAAAGATGACAAAATCGAATTGGATTGTGAAGTACTTTTTCAACCAACATTATCCTCTATAAGAAAAGAATATAATGCTGTTTTCCACCCCCTTCGCCGCACTCTTTTAAGAAGAGTGTCTAGCTGTATCCAAGTTATTGGCAAGTAGAACGGCCCATCCGCTTGATGTAGTACACATGAACCCTATTAGCTAGAAATGCAACAAGTTAATGATCGTGCAGAAGGGAAGCTTGGAAGAGTGAAATGTACAAGGTAATGCCTGCTGTCAAGTCCACCACTTTCCCGGAAAAAGCTTTGGGGAAAACTTTGTACTTGGTATAGATATATCAAAACATCGAAGAGCACACATACTTGCAGCTTCTATAGGTTAAGTACTAGTGACTAAAATGGGCAAAACTGTATTTGCTCATTTTCCTCAGAGTCGACCAAAGGTGAAGGATTTACTCAATTCATATGTTGGAACTTTGTTTTGATAAGTGTAATGTCTACAGTCATTGTTCTTCCTTCAATAGTGTGACTATGTATCAGATAGTTAGTATCTTTGGTATACCTTAGTCCCTCACTTATAAGTGGGATATGACACACCTTTATATATTGTTCAGTTAGTCTCATATGCATATCTCAACAAGACCAACAAACCTTCATATCAGGATAAGCCGCACAGCCATGATATAATATATGACTATCATATCCCAACACATACATGATTGCGGTTATGTCAACAGTTACTACAACTTAGATTTCTCTATTCAGCTCCTCCAGAAGCTTAGAGTTTAGCTTTCTTCGGTAATCTTTGGTCTTAAAATCTGGTTAGCACTTGTATTCTATATGTCTCTACATAGTGTGTTTGGAGCCCATACCTTCAAGAAGAGTACACATACCTCATGAATAAACTGATCCGAATGCCTGGTACCTAATATTTTCGTAATGCTTGTACAAGTTTCGAAGTTCCTGCATGTCTTAGGGGATGGCAGTCCAGGACTTTGAATAACTGACAGTTCCGGTTCACGAGACATCCATCTCGGATCATTGTGTGGTACGTTGGTAAGGGAATAATATTAAGGAATTGGCTACTTTCCTTGATAAAAACAAGAATGCAGAATCTCAAACGATGTTGAGTTGTTCAAAGTCGATCATGTTCAGATCGTCCGTTTGCGTTGAGTAGTTGTTATACATGAGAAAAGCCTATTGGTGGAATACTTTTCTGATGACAAAACCTAATTTGAAAAGACACAGAGAAGGGATTCGTATGTGTTGTGGTACAGTCAGTCTCCGTCCTGTATTTTATATTGGTTCAAAAAGTATATGGATCAACGATTAGAATATGAGAAGGTAACATGTGATCTACATGACGAAAGGAGATTAAACATCAAGGGTACCGTCCGTGTAAGCTGCAAACTGTGTAAGCTCATAGGGAATTATTTCCCATCAAAAACCTTGATTTAAGTAGAAAAGTATAAAGAGGCTTGCTAGTCAATCAAACGTACCTTTAAAATGGTGGTTTCAACTATTTTATAGACCAATTGCCACAAAATGTAATATTTTGACTCCATCCTGTTGAGGCTAGTCGTGCGAGAATCTAAGATAAGATCTTGATCCCAAGATCCCACAAAACAGCTCCTTTTTTATTCTTATGAGAGACTATTCCTCAAAATGACTAAAGGTTGAGCACGTGGCATCCGTACCCCGGACTTTATTCAATCAGCAATAGATAATATGAGGGGTGGTATTTGTCCTTAGTACTCTTTAACTTTTCGAAATACATTTTATTATTATAAATCTGCCTGCTTTTATAGCAAGTGATATCTTTTATGATAGAGTTGGTTAAACTTAAAACAGCTCATAGAGAGTGGGAACTATGCAAAATGCAAAAACACCACAGTTAAAAAAAACAGTCTCGGTTTTGGTTTTTGCCCATTAGGGAGATAACCGGGCTGAATGGACAGGGCGATTGAAACCGCTTGTGTAATCGTATGCTTTCAAATTAACTGTCACTTTCTTTCGATCTAGAGTGCTGGAAAAGTCAAATAATCTATCATAGTAATAATCAGGACAAAAAATCATCTGAAAGCTTTGCCATGATGTATAGTCGTGCCAGATATCAACTTCTTGCAATATGCGGCCCTAAAAATACTTGCTGGCTGTTCAATAAAGATTAAGCAAACCATCAAAGCGGGTAAGCCATTCAAGCTTTCAAGTATCCGGATTATAAGCCAAACTGCAAAATTCATATACTGGCTGGTACAATATATAGTATAAATCTGTTGAAATTAGACGGTATTGTTGAATACTTTCCCTATGATAATACATGTCTGGAATGGCAACCAGATATACCGTGTCCGAGTTATTGAAAGTTTTTTTCTCTAGTTTTAAGGCGCCTGGTTTAAATCCATCTATCATTATATGGATATATCCAACAGTTGCACGTTTCCAGAGCTAGAATATATACAAACTGGTAGAATTTAACGTAAGTGGATGCCTCTGGAAAAAGGTTTTGAGTGATTTTTGATTCCTTACCTACCATTACCTGCTTGGTTGAGATAGATTCTGAAGTTTCGCACAAAAGATGCTTCTCTGCTCAACCTACGAATAGATTGAAATGGAAAGCGATCTAGGATCTAGATTGTCACCGGACACTTGAGAGAAACGTCATACAAGCTGAATATGGTCTACGATCGTGTGATTATGCAGTCACGCATCCTATTCACAGTTGAGAGGTATGCGGCTCCGAATGAAATGTAGATTCATGGTTCGTCTTCTATGGTTAAGACACATATTGAGGGAAAGATTTCTGAACGATCTTATCTAAGAATCATTGACAGCAAGAATTTGAACCATTGGATAGAAATTTCATGGGCAGACTCATATTAATTAAGCTGTTAACTGAACGATTAGTGAATCAATCAGTCATGTAGTCAAAATGATCACCCCATAATTATTCTCAAAACACGTAGAGAAATATTCCGTCAGCAATAATCAGAAGAGTATTCTATCTCGTTAAAGCCCAAAACCAAAAACACTTGCAGGATTAAATAGATAGCCGATTACAATTTCAGTGGAGCATCCTGGTTTATTTGGTTTTGAGTTCTTTAGGTGTCAAAATTTTGACGAGTCTGATTGTATAGAGATGTACAAATTCTAATGGTAGCCAGCACCAATGCAATAACTACAAACCCCTCAACCTTTGCTCGCTTGGGCAACATCAAGCACATTTTCCGAGTCTTAATTTTTCAGTTTTCCTTGTTCGATTAGGCTCTGTAATAAGGAGCACACATTGTATAAAGTAAAGGTATTTCATGACCCCATTTAGAAAATAATCATCTCAATATTCCCCCAAATAGGATTGAGTTGTTACGAGAGAGCATTTTAGCAGTTAATCATTCGGTCGAGCAGAAGCACTCCAACAGCTAGTCTCTCAGATTTTATGGATTAGCTAGCACAGCTATCACTAATATATCGTGATTCAGAGCTCATGTACCTGATATTTCAATTTGGTCTCCAAATACTCTTATATCTGATATTATTAAACAAAGCATTTCGTTAGCCTTTGTTTTGTATCTCTACTGCTATCAGCAAGCCTCACTCAACCAATTGAAAAATCGAATAAAGTGATATCAAATTATTCAAGCAATGAACTGTTCGCCGAAAAAGTTCAATGTTTAGTACATGCAGACATCGTAGTCATGCAATGAGGTGAAAAGTATAAAGGAAAGCTAGTTCAAAAGGTTCATTGAAGTTGACATGGATTCACATCGGATCTATGACTTACTACTATGAGTGTCAACAGGATTATCAGGCACTCTACTCTACCATCCCAGCCCGTAGATCATTTGGTACCAGATTTAAGGTCCCGTGTTATGGTATGGCTTTGGGGAACGCGTCAAGTGAAAAGCAGCGATACTTTCAAATCTAGTGAAGTTAATGTTGAGATAAGATAGTCATAGATTATATCATGGCTGTGCGGCTTATCCTGATATGAAGGTTTGTGGGTCTTGTTGAAATATGATAGTTATAGATTATGTCATCGCTGTGTGACTTATCCTGATATGAAGGTTTGTGGGTCTTGTTGAGAATTGCATGTGAAACTAACCAAATAATATATAAGGGTGTGTCATATCCCACTTATAAGTGAGGGACTAAGGTATACCAAAGATATTAACTATCTGATACATAGTCACAATATTGAAGGAAGAATGACTGTAGACATTACACTTATCAAAACAAAGT